TAAAAGCAGGAAGCCGTCTTATCAGATAGTTGAGGGCGGCCAGCTGCGTCTAGCCCAGCACATTGTGCATTTGGGTTGGCGGAAAGGTGCGACCACACATTTTTTCTGGCCTGCATATCACGGGATTGCCGATGGTGACTCGAGGGGCCTTCTGACGGCCTTTGCACAAGCCGGAGGATATAATGCCCGTTGGTTCGGATGATCAAGTAGAATAAAGTAATCGGAAGCGAGAAGTGAACATCATCAATGTGCCTTCGGGGATCCACAGCGCCGTGTAGGCAATGAAAAAATAGGCACAGGAAGTTAATCGACATCCTGCAGCGCTGGCTCAGTGGATTGGCGCGCGACAACAGCTATATTGAGTAGTCGTGCAAAAAGACAGAAAATCTGGAATGTGACTCTGACCACAGTCTCCGATGATACCTACTGCTGTAAAGAGGGGCGTGCTGGGATTGTATCGAAAATATCATATTCCACATATCACATCTAACATTTTGCCTTACCGGCCCCGCAATGTTAAAAAAGGAAGATCGATCGTTCCTTGTTACCAGGTATACGTCGAATGGGTCCCCTAATCTGCTTGTAGGGGCTGATTCGACAGAGAAACAATGATCTCAATCTTGCATGGATCGACGCTGCGTCTTTCCCATGCAAGTAATTGTCTTCGTTTTTCTCGTGACCGATCTCGAGCGTTTTTTGTTTTCGACCCGTTTTCCTCGCAACCAGGAAACGCCGCTCCGCCGGCCCCATCTGTCTGCATAGAGCAATAGATCACATATCACGTAATGTCATTTTTGATGCAGAAATGCGTCGATCCTCTGCTGTACACGAAATCCATCCATTCTTGGCGGTCATGAATTGGGATATGAAATGAAATGGAGAATCACAGCAATGTCTCAATGCTATGCAACGGAGTAAAAACCCAGGAACAGCATCAGCGAGGAGTAGAGTTCCGTCACCGCCTTTGGGGGCGTCAGCCTCATCGGCACAAAGGGTAGGACAAACGAGCCGTTGTCTCAGCCTTTTTTGCTGTTTTTGCCTTGAACTTGTCCGCCGCTGGCGCAGTCGGAGGATTAAAGCGAGTTTTGTGTTCCCCTTGGCTGCCACAACGGATATTGTGACTCGCTCAAACTAGAAGATGGTGTTATAGCCGGGTTTTGATCCCCTAGATTCCTCTCGCTTCGGGAAGGTAGCCAAATAGGCGCAACCAGGGAAAATATCCTGCCCTGGACGATCTGCAGTCAGCATCCCATGTTTTGTTCATACTACCCGTAAACACGCAAAACGGGAATATTTGTGGTTCAAGACTATACTTTTGAGATTGATAATGCCGGGAAGGCTTTCCTAGTACTGTAGAATTCCCAATTGTTAGCGGCCTGGTGAACTGCACCAAAAAGGGCCTCACAACCGGGATATGACCCCTGCAGTATCCAGTGAATTCACCATGGGGTTGCCCCAGTAGTAATTTTGCTCCGAAGCCCGAGCATCTCCGGTCTTTCCAAGGATCGATAATGGCTGGTTTTGTTAAAGGATCCAGAAGTAGGTAACTAGGTATAATGTTCTAGTTTTCCGGGACTCCAGCATCTAGATAGCGGCAGCGAAACTAGCCACAACAATTTTCCCGTGGGCTCATGCTCAAGGTCAATACAACGCTCATTGATCACTCTCACATTAATAAATATTTGCCGCCAGATTGAACGACGCATGCCGTGGAGTGAAGTTAGCTTTTCCGACAATGGAGATAATACCGATCAGTGCTTCAGTTGGCAAATTTATAAGTGACCGTTCACGCCGAACTTCCTTGATTAAATCGGCGCGGTCGTAAGAGGCGAGAAAAGCCCAACCTGGTGATGATTGAGAGCAACCAGTCCGCAGACCAATTCATCAAACTGGCAGGTTATCATACACCTAATTTCGGACGTCAAGTCAAAATTTGGATCTTTCTACTGCATCATTTGCATGTAATAGTGGCAACTAATAATGACGAAAGCGTAATTGAAGCTGCACAAAGGGAAGCTAACAAGCCTACCAAGGGATTTGTCAATCTGACTCATCACATTGATTGAGCGCGGGAAAGAATGCGCAAATCTGATCCATTTGACCGGGAACGATGGAGTTCTATTACCTTTCAGCGGGAGAAGAAGGAATCATAAACTTTCACCATCTACCTAGGTAGTGTGGTAGCGGCATGCGCTGCGGTAATGCGGTCCGATCCAAGCCGACATGCGCTTCGTCATGAACTTTGAGTTGCTACTTTTGAGGATAGTAGCAAGCCAACAATGCTGGCGTTCAGCCGAATGTGATTATTCCCGTCTGTTGGGAAAATGGCTGATAGCACAAGAACACTAGTTTAGACAAAGCCACTGAGATCGTTTTTGGTGGCATATGAGCTGGCGCGTGTCCCCTAGAAAGGGAGGGAAATGCATCAGACGAAATCTCAGACGTGTCAAAATGTCAATCATACTCATGATTTAGACCCATAGTATCCACGCTAGCAAAGAAGATCGATCTATCAAATCGTCGGGTCTCGATCGATATTTATCCTTTCCTTTAGTTGGCGAGCAGTCCCAATCCCTTGGGCACTCCTTCCACAGGTTCGGGTCGGATACAAGCCCCAGAGACTCAATTGTTTGGCACTGTTGAGCAGTGATTTCAGGCTCAAGTCTGGGTTGTCAACCTCTTGATCCGTGTTCTTTGGGTCAAAGCGCACTCATTTGGCCCTTGGTGCTATCAAACTCTCTGCAAAGTATTCAGGCGAAGTTATGGCAATTCACGCTTTTATGACGAGCTTCTGAGCCCTTGATTCAGCTAGGTAGAGAGCGGCTTCTGTCCCGACAAATCTATCGCTGCGATTCACGAACTATAATGAAGCTCTCCTAAAAAGAGTTTATGCCATTAGAGTGCGACGGAAAAAAAAAAAAAAAAAAAAAAAGAAAGAAATGTACAAACCAGTATACATAGGACTTTGGAACACAATTGATCAAGCATAGTGTACCTGCTGATGCCGGACGTTTTATCCAACCCTTCTCAACTACCCGTTTTATTGGTCCCCTATTCTAGGTGCTTATTTGCACAGGGGTTGAGAGTTAAAGCTAAGATGCATTAAACAGAGCATGTCCGAAATGCTGTACGCAGAGCTGGTCTGCAAAAACAGTACTTGACCAATAATGCCGAGATGCAGGAAGCCGAAAGACGACTCCTGTATAAGGTCGAGACGAGAAATTAGGGCTGAAGGAAGATCCAGAAGCCAAAAACCGCAGAGCTTAAACCAAAACACGATATCGCCGGTATACACAGCTGAATACGCCCAAAGATGATTTGATTGAAATACATAGAGTATTCTTGGTGTGGGGAAGGGGGGAGGGATCGAAAGGAAACACATCATATGCTAAGTGTATAAAAGGTAACAAAATGCGGCACACTGCAGAAAACTATCGAATAGTGAATTGATCAAATTAATTCATCACATGTTTTGCTGCGCTCATGCAAACCAAGATAACTCCGAGGTGACGCCCCAATTCCCATTGGAAATTGCCTTCGTGCGTCACGTAGGGGCTCTTTAACTCTTGCCACGAAACTCTTTTAAGATGTTAGATTCAGCTTCCTTCATCTTTTTCTTCTGCATACACCCCTTGAAAGCTACGCTCCAGTCTGTGAACAATGACGGACGCCATGGAGGAAGGACATCTGCGAAAGGAAAGGCAGTCGTAAGTTTGATATGCCCTTGTAGACAGGTTCCGCAGATACGGTTGGGTTAATGAAGGATGAGCAGGCGCAAAACACCGCCAAACTCAGCTGATAGAAAAGAAATGCCCGATAAATTGATTGACATCAGTGAGCTCGAGACGTTTCTGTACGGGCCAGTATCTTCGAGTGCTATCCAGTCAACCGCGGGCTCTTCAGAGAGCAGTGTCGATCAGTCGGAGCGGGACATAGCTGGAAAGGTTGATGATGCGGAAAAAATGATAGAGGAGCTGACTTCCGACGAAGTCATGACAGCTGCGAAGCAAAATATCAACAAAAGAACGAAGCGTAAGCCAAATCTCGAGAGGAGCGTCCTGAATAGCATGTACTGACGAAACTAGGGCATACAGTCCCCGAAACAACCGCTTTAAGAACTATCAGCGATTCGAGGAGCAGGGGAATGGGGGATAGGAAAAAGGGTCGCCCGACTGATCTGGATGGATCCCAGAATTTCAACAATATCAAGCCGTGGCTGTGGAAAACGAATGGTTTCAAGATGGACGAGAAGATCGAATCAGAGGAAGAACAAGACTCCATCAAAAGTACAATGAAACGACTGTCGATCAGGCTTAGTCATGCCAAGATCAAGCTTGAAAATTTGGAGGGAGAAATTCAGACGGTATCTGCCCAACTTGAGAATCTCCAGAGTGTTCTGATTGTACGCGAGAGCAAAAGTGATTGGCCGGGATTGAAGGACTTGAAGAATGTCGAAAATTGGCGACGCAGAGAGCCTCTGGCTGAGATCCATTCCCCAGAGCTGGGAAAAGGTGAGTGGGATAGCCAAGCTGGTCTAAGCACGGGAAAATGTCCACTAATGCATAAAGAAAGGAACAAGTGATACCTTAACTGATGAAACTGGCGAGCAAGGGAGCGTTGACGGAACTCAAACGTCCTTTGGAAAGAATAAAGCAATAAGCCAGAAGGATTTCTCGTTCAATAACGCAGATGATGACAATGATGAAATGGTTCAGAATTCCACAGCAGAAATCAATTCGGAAATTGGTCATCAGCTTCGCAGTGCTAATCTGCAGGGTGGAAGAGTCTCAAAAAATTCATCCCAGGACTACTTGCTGCCATCGGCGGTTCGAAAATATCCATTTCCTATACAGAAGACTGAGCCGCAGATGCTCAGTCAAATGACCGCGATGCGAGTCGACAAAGATCTGAACACTTTGGATCGGCTCTCGCAACGCTCTTCCATTGCATCAGCAGACACTGAGAAGATCACTTATGATCAAATGAGTCTGCTTTCAGATACCGGTATCGAAGTTGCTCGCATCGATGACATGATGCGGGTTTGGAGTGGAAACGCGTCCACTATCCTCGCAGCTGAGCGGCGAAGAGCGGCCGGCACTATTCATACAAGCCCTGCTGCCTCGGAGAATCTGCAAAGGCCCGTGCTGAAGAATATCGCCGTGCACGGTTCTCAAGAGCCAGTTCCAGTAACATTTCAGAACACCGATACGGTGCCGGAGCATCAAAACTGCTCTCTATGGTTGACTGGCATTCCAGCTTCTGCAAATATTCGGGACCTTTTGTCAGAAGTCCAGGGCGGAAAAGTTGTAGAGTCAAAGCTTTATTCAGCAAAGGGGAGCTTTCAGGGCACCAGAGCCGCAAAAATTACGTTTTCGACTCCGGCTGGCGCAAGTAGGATGCTCTCATTTGCAATTCGAAATGGATTCCAAGTCCTCGGCCAGCGAGTGATTGTGACACGAAATCGCAACAGACGAGCGCCGAACGAGTTGGCCGTCGTGCACGGTCATTCTAGGGTCCTGCTCGTGCGGGGAAGCCCATCCCAAACTCACCCGAACTGCATCTTGAAACTTTTTGCTGGCAATTTGAGATTCCAAATTGATCAAATGTTGCATTCATTTCGACGCGTGCCGGAGGAGGCTGAGCTTGAAATCCGCTTCGCGTATCTGCAACAAGCCACCGCTGCCAAATCACTTCTTGAAAGTAACCCGGACCTGGGAGTCACCTGTTGCTTTGGTTTTGATCCATGCTGCAAGCCATGGCAGTTGGGGGGATAATGAACCTCTTTAGCGGATCGATTAGGTCTAATGAATCAAATATTAGGTGAGGAGCAGGGGCAGATCATCCATCTGTGTGAAGTTCACCTGATCGCTTTTTTGTTTCTTTCGTTCTTTCGTTCTTTCGCTGTCATTTCTTTTCCTTGCTTTCTTTCGTTTTCTCATATGCTTCATAATGATTCAACGCTTACTTTCCGCCCATCGAGGTTCTAATTACATCCTAAACCACTTTGGAAGTGGTAAATGCGGGGGGTTTAGATCTTCCCAGAGATGAATAGGAGGGCTAAGCAGAGTTGGAGATAGATCCGAGGTGGCAACGGTGGGTTGTTTCACGCAACCAGATCACCATTAGCGAGACGCGATCAGAATTAATCATCATCATCTTTAGCTGGATTCCCGTGGACCTGGATGCTCCAAAATGTGAACTTTTACGTCTCTGTTGTCGAATCTGTTACTCCTTTGGCCAATAATCCGGTTCAGATGAGCCACATTAACCCCGAGCATCTAACTATTCGAGGTTGTTTCCCATGTGGATTTTGCACATCTACGTCTCCCCTATGATGACTATAGCACACCCATACAAGGGCATTTGAACCCATCGACACGCGCCCCCCGGAACTTTGCAAAGGCTAGGAGACATTCTAGCAAGGGTAGACTCAAGCCCTTGTTATCTCCGTATCTTTCTTTCGCCGTTCATGAAAATCCTTATCGAATCCATTGAATAAGACACGCAACCTCCTCATTTTCGTTCTCCCATCTCAAGACTTTTTGGATCCTGGTTGTGTAAGCTCTCCATTCATATGATATATTTTTCTCTCTGCCAGATATCATCGCGTTTGACACAAATTATCATCTCCTAACCCGTACATCGCGTTCTCAATCCATCTAACTCTTGCCAATGCTTTCATTAATTGCAATCATTGCAACATTTTCCATCTTCTGTATTCATTACGCACTTGCATTTTCCCGAAACCTACGCGCGGCCAAAGCATCAGGCTTGCACTATGAGTATGTGCCAGTCCATTGCTTCGGGCAATGGTGGCTCATAACCCACCGAATATGGCTTCCATTGTTTTTTCGCCTCCCTTCATCTTGGACATGTCCATGGCTTGAGTGGGTATACTCACAGTAATGTGCTTCCGAATCACCGCCACTAATGGACTAGTATTGTGCAACCGGATTGGATCTATACGGACAATTATAGGCCATTTGCTCGCAGAGGAACCGACATTTTCATCGCCGTCTCGCCTTTCAGCAACGTTGTCTGGGTAGCTGATCCGGAAGCGATTTCGCAAATAACTTCGCGTCGGACTGATTTCCCTAAACCAGTTCATCTTTATGACGCGCTCAATATATATGGACCAAATGTGGTCAGTACAGAAGGACCAACGTGGAGAAGACATCGAAAGGCTACCTCACCGCCATTTACGGAAAGTAATAACCATGTAGTCTGGGCTGAAAGCATACACCAGGCCCAGGCTGCTTTGAGCCATTGGGCTGATAAGACTGTGCTCACCGTCGCAGAAGACACCTTGAGGCTTAGCCTCCATGTCATCAGCCGAGCAGGATTCGGCGTCGGCCTTCGGTGGTCAGATAAAACAACCCCGACAAACCCACTAGAATCCGAAATGGATAGCAGTAGTATACCAGAAGGCCATCGGCTGAGTTTTAAAGCTGCTATTTTTACTTTGCTGGACCATATTATAGCTGTCCTGGTGGTGCCGAAATGGTTACTTGGTTCGTTCATCAAGACCGTCTTGGTTGACGAGTTATTCCTGATATGTAAATGCAGCACATTCACCCTTCAAGGCGCATCGAGAAGCATTCGAGTCCTTTGTCGAATGGCGCTCATACATGGATGAACTCTATCAATCGCGGAAAAGATTACACCAGGCAGGCAATGGTGGCAGTAACTTGGATATGATGAGTAAATACTGCGAGAATATTTGTAGATTTGAAGCGTGGAGAGTGTTGAGCTGACTGATTTAAAGGCGCTTTATACCGTGCCGCTCATGGGCATACAGAAACGGTAAATGCAAACAATGAAAAGATGGATCGACACACGCTCGAAGCCCCGCTCATAGATGAAAATGAGGTCATGGGAAACGCTTTTGTCATCTTCCTAGCCGGCCATGAAACGGCCGCCAATAGCATCCACTTCTCCCTTCTCTTTCTTGCGTTGAACCCGGCTTCCCAGCGGCTTTTGCAGAAAGACCTTGATCACATTTTTGCTGATCGGCCAGTGAGCGAGTGGACATACGAGCAGGACTTGCCTAAACTTTTCAATGGAATATGTGGTGCTGTTTTGAACGAAGAGTTGCGGCTCGTCCCACCGGTGATCTCAATTCCGAAGTGCACGGCTCCTGGTCGACCCCAACCCCTTATGGTCAACGGTCGAAAGGTGTTAGTGCCTGGAGGAACTGACATCATGCTAGGCGCCGCAGCGGTACATAGGAGCCCGAAATATTGGCCTGCAGGGAAGAGCTCAGCCGTTGAAACAGATCACGCCAGTGATCTCGACGAATTTAATCCGGAAAGATGGGTTCTTGGAGCCTCAGGGGATACCTCATCATCCATTGGTCATCCTTCCAATACGAGGGTTTCTGAGGACACCTGGCTGGAAAGTTCAGCCAGAGAAGATACGTCGGCTCAATTGTTTCGTCCTCTCCGTGGGTCCTATATTCCATTTAGTGACGGCCCTCGCGCATGCCTTGGGCGCCGTTTTGGCCAGATAGAAGTTTTGGCAGTGCTGGCTGTCTTTCTGAAATCTCACTCAGTCGAGCTTGCTGTCGACGATTTTGCTACTGATGCAGAGATAGACTCAATGCCTCGAGGGGGAGACGAGAGACGTAAAGTTTGGTCAAAGGCGGACGATCGTGCCCGGAAACTTTTACGATATGGAATGGGAGCGATTATTACCTTGCAAATGCGGAAGGGCAACGTCCCAATTAGATTCGTCAAGAGGGGAGAAGAGAGGTTTACATTGGATCGCATGTCGTCAACCTGATCTATTACATATGATCCATCGATAATGCTCAGTCCGCCGCTTTTTTTTTTTTTTTTTTCTTTTTCTTTTTTTTTTTTGTCTCAAAAGCCACATGTTATCCTTTCTATACTATTAGCAAGCACGATAGTGGTGGTAGACATTGATACGCCAGGCCGTTTCCAATTTACGCCAATGCATGTATTGTAGTTGGTCTACTCCGATACTCCGATAGTCGTCGGTTGCCTCCTTTTCCCGAATCAGCTGAGCTCAGCAGAGCGATGGCTCGATAACCAGACACACGAGCGGCAGGGCCCGAGGAATTTCAAGGCCCGAGCCATGGTGTCCTTGCAATGCTCCAGGATTTTGCGGAGGGAACGTGGCGAGGAAGAAAAGACAAGGTCTCGAACATGGAACATGGGCGAACTTTATCAGACCATGCATGACTAAGCATTCAAGAGCAGCTTCCCTAATTGGACATCATCCAAGGGAGACAGCTGTTGAATAAGGCCCCAGCATCAACTGTTGCACGTCTTACGACCATTTGCTCCCTGCCCAGATTTTTAGGTGTTAACGATCACAGCATGCAACTAATAATAATAGGCCAGCCATCGCTCTTTTCCCTAGATAGCAATAATCTTCTCGAAATGCTCTCTTTCCACCAGACATCCTCACCATGGAGAACTTGCAAAGCCAGTTGCTCAACCTCCAGGCCAGACGCACATTATGGATTTGGCTTTCCGTCTTTTGGACGTTTATACAGTTGCCTTTCTGGCTGATCCAGAACTTGGCACCTTCGTTGCGGCCGCATCCAGCATGGACATTCGAACAAGCAATCAAAATACGCCTTGCCAAAGCCTATCTGTGGCATATTTGCACGATGAAATCGACTACAAGACTATCTTTGGATCCTGGGCCTGAAGGCGGTCGATTCGTCGTTATCCAGCCAGCGGCACAAGACCGCTATCAAGGTGTTTGCCGTGGGTACGAGGATGACACTGATCCCGTGAAGATTGTCCCAACGCCGGTGGGGGCAACATGGTATCCAAGCCGCTACCGCCCGGGGGACGAGGATTCACGCATCATCATTCTACATCTGCACGGCGGCGGTGCCTATGCTTTCGGTGATGGGCGTCCGGGTGATGCGGGTTTTGCTGCTGACTTGCTTGTGCGCTATTGTCATGCCAAAGTTCTCTGTCCTTCTTATCGACTCGCAAGCAATCCAGATGGCCACTTTCCGGCCGCACTCCAGGATGCTCTTACATCATATCAGTATTTGCTGAGCCTGGGTATTTCTCCGGAGCGTATTGTATTGTCTGGCGATTCTGCTGGCGGAAATTTGGCCTTGGCCCTACTGCGCTACTTGGAAGACCATGCTTGGGAACCATTCTCAACCTCCTCCTGTTTCTCATCACCACCACCATATTTTCGTTCCTCATCAACATCTTCGACCTTGTCGTCTCTCTCATCATCATCATCTTCTTCTTCTTCTTCTTCTTCTTCTTCTTCTTCTTCTTCTTCTTCTTCCTCTTCGTCTACTGCGAGCGGCTCCCGTCGTTCAATTTTCTCCAATGGCTCCAAGTCTTCGTCTACTACTGCCACTACAACACTATCCGCTGACCCTGCTGTCCTTTTCCCAACTCCTGCGGCGACCCTTCTCTGGAGTCCCATGGTTGATATCGCGAGTGCATGTGATCCATCTTCCATTGACAATAATCCGCGATACAGTACGGACTATCTGGTGGGAGGATTTGGTGAATGGGGGGCTCGGAGTCTCCTCCCCAAGTTGCTCCCTGCCACACATCCTTATCTGTCACCAGCCCGGCATCCGTTCTCAACCAAGTCGCCCATATGGTGCCAGGCCGGCGCAGGCGAAGACATGTATGAGACCATTCTTCACTTCGCCTATGGTATGGAGCGCATGCCTGGGAATGCCGTCGAAGTCTACGTTCAACCACATGCCCCACACGATATATTTTTAACTGGACCGCGCATTGGATGGGAAACTGAGGCAGAGGAGTGTGCGATTCGTGCCAATGACTTTCTTGTCGCCGTAAGACGTGGTGAGAGTTTTCCGAGGGATATATAATCATTGCTTGCGTCAATTACTCTTACTTGTCCATTCCTTTTACTCCCTCTATCTGCCACACCTTTCTTGGGCATCCTCTCGGGAGCGTTCCAAATCTTACGAAGTCCACGATCGGGTATTTCTCCCAGCCCCGAAGCATACTCAGCGTTCTATTGATTTATTTTTGAATTCAATATTTTCTTTCCTCGACGAGTTAGACAAGAGCTGGAATTGGCGTTGGAGTAATATTCATCAATTACTCGGGTTTGCTTGCTGAATGCATTCATTTCTGCTTTTTTGGGTTATATATATATTGGAGGATTGGTCAAGCTGAGAGGGTTTTGAATATCAGATGCTGAGCGTTCCTTGGAAATGAGATAGTAGAGCAGAAATCATATCCGTACTTTTGCTTGTGATTTGTGCCTACCAAATGGCTATGCCTCAAAAGCTCCAAGGAAGCAGACATGATAAGATAGCGCTCTACCTAAGCGTCTGGGAGACTGAATGTTTGGTACACCCGGTCATTGACGGGATTCAACGATACCTTCAAATACTAAATCATCCCGACCGTTTATTTTTCATGTAAGAAGAAGAAGAAGAAAAGAAAGAAAAAAAAGAAGGGGAAAAGCTCTGAAGGCATTAGAAAGCAATCGCCGGTCAGAATAATATCTCACTCTAAATCAGATTTGGTCGATCGCAGCTTTACGCGAAACGTCAATGGCGAGATCGGTGGAAGCTCTGGCGGGGACAACAACAACAACAACCTCACGCTGCATCCGTCGACCCACTCAAACACTCCAATCCACCTCCACTCCTCCTTCTTCAGCCTGTCGCTTGCGTCCTTTCAACTTTTCTGTCACTCCTTCCTTTCTTGAGTTTGTTCCTCTCAAATGTCGTCCGTTCAATTGTAGAAGGTAATCTACGCCAGTAGTCGAGTTGCGACTGCCATATTCATGTGCTCCCCCGCGCGCCATGAGATCGTCTCTTTTGTTTATAGCTCCAACGTGTTGACAACGCGACTTAAGCTAGCCATAACAAACCTGCGCGCAACCTCATCAAGGCCACTCCATTCCCCTCGTCAATCCGTCCGTATGCGCAACCAAACGACCATTTTGTACGGAGACTTTTGGAGCTCTAATTTGAGAGCTGACAGCTTGCTTGAGTGCTCGGTCTCTTCCTTTGCCCCCTGAGCGCAATAAATACATCAATACGATACAGCTGTAATTCTCTCCAGAGAATACGCTATAGCGCGCTCCAGCGTCAAATTCGTTCCTTTTCGGGTCATCTTCTAAACGCAATACTTGCCTGCCGGGCTCAGGAAGGCTCTCTTAAGGGTTACATTCGCGAGTTGAGTCAGGAAGTTATAGGATACAGCGCCTCGTATGGCGAAGGCCTGTTGAACAGCCGCTCCTCTTCTGGGCGACCTTTTGCAGAAACTATAAGGCTTGAATGATGCTCAATCAACTTCACCCTAGGGATTTCTTTTACCTTTTCTACCTAGGACACTCTGGACAACGCCCCCCTGTCGCACTTCGTTGAAACCCGGTCAAATCGAAGTTTATTTGCCGTCGCAGTCAAAATACGCCTAGATACACGTCACCCAGACTCCCATGCCAACAGTTTCAGGATCAGCGAGCCCTTCCAGCGGGCCGGGGTCCCAGCGCGCGTCGCGTATCCGAGGCCATCTTCCCGTTGACCTGAGCCACCGCCGGACTCGATCTCTGGACCAAAGCCCCAACGTTTCTGCCGATTCACCATCAGGCCTCAGCGGAAGAGATATCTCCCATCTGCCTCGAGCCGTCAGAGAACTACAAGACTTTAATGCGCCACCGAGATCCAGCTCGAGCGATTCGAGATCGTCGTCAAGGAGTCGGGGCACTCCACGGTCGAAACCGCCTACGAGACACCGCCTAAGCAAGATAGAAAGAGAGCTTCTACCCTACAATGCGGAGCCAATTAAGGATTCAGAGGAGAGAGCAACCTCTTCGACTTCGCAACTAGACATTGAAGACAGCCGTATGTGGTTAACACGATCAGCCGAAAGGAACCTTTCTAACATCGCCCAAGGTCGCGACATTGAACGCCGAAAATCCCTCAACGTAAAGAAATTGATGCGAGAACAGATACTACCGAAAAGCAGAATTCAACGGGATCCCAATGCGTCCGCTGCTCCTGGCGTGCCGTTGACGCATGCGCTCGACATGGCCTCTGACTCCGAAGACCTGGCTTCCGGACCTGGTAATGGATCCTGGATAGATGACGAGGAAGGAACCGGCATCGTCGACGATATGAAATCTCCCTTTGTCACATCCGTCAAGGAACGTGCATCATCAGACCATCTGAAGGTGTCCATGGACGAAGATCATATCCAAGGATCCGGACTTTCCGGGCTTCAAAAGAAGAAGAAGCTTGTGCGAGCCGAAACAGAAAAGGCAGAATTGCTTTACGAAGAGTGGTTGGAAAAGAAAGGTATGTGTTTGTGCTCATATGCGAAATTTTAAATAGACGACTAATTGCAACCGCCTTGGTATTCCAGAACGTATTAATGAGATTCTTTACGCGCCCTCATACCAATCTTCCACTGCGCCATCCGACTACGAGCAAGCGTCTCTCGAGAACATTCCCGAAGGAATTGATATTACGATGGAAGAGGGTCTCTATGTGTTTCATCCAACTCTGAAAAAGTATCAAGATTTCCCAACACTTTTATCCGAGATTGAAGAGATTGCAGGAAGAGAAATGGGTGTAGTAAAAGTGGTTGTGCCCAAAGAAAGGTAGGATTTAAAAAATAGACATGTGCAAAATACCTAGTGTACTAATATTTTATTGATAGCAGCTATCCTGGTTCTGCCGGGGCAACATCCTCGGTCCGATCAACAACGTCTCTTTCAAAGACAGTCGATAGTCTTGTGGATGGCATTCTTTCTTCGGCAGACGCACAGGGTCAGAAACTCAACCCATTTAAGCTTGATATGACTATCCATCCGAATACCCGATATAAGGAGCAATCGGTTTATAAAGTCAGCAGCTGCCCGATCCCTGACGTGCCAGCAAAACAGTGGCGTGAAGACATTGAAAAACACCGCCAAGTTCTGAAGGACAAGCATTGTCTCAATGTCGATAGCGCAAGCGACGCTTGGTCTAGAACGAATTACACCGGGCCTTCAGAAGGGGAGATGATTGAGAGCTTTGGTGATCCTCAGGAAGATTCCGTGTACGCAATGGACAATGACGGTTTGTGAAATGCTAGAAATCCTTTGTCCCTTGCAACTTATGACTGACATGCGCGATTAGCAACATCGGATTTACGCTCAGCTCTCGGATGCATTGACCCAAAGCTTGCCGAAGTCGCGGGAAACAGCCTCATGAAGTCAAGGTCTAGAGTTTCCGGCATACATTCTCCTTATTTCTATGTGTCGAATCGAAATGGCACACCGTTTGGAATGCACGTTGAGGATTTTGCCGCGTACTCGCTCAACTATCACCATGTCGGCGCCCCTAAGAAGTGGTATGTCGTCCGTCCTCGAGAGCATCAGTGGCTTGAGGAGTTTATACACAATTTCCTCAACCCGGAGGAGAGATTGTTGGGCAGCGAACATTTGCGGAAACCAAGACGGCCGCCTCAGTGTGGTCAATTTCTTCGGCACAATTCGCTATATCTTCCCGAGGAGACACTTCGAACCATTGGGGTATGCTACACTCGAGTTGTGCAACACCAAGGCGAGATGGTCATCACCTTTCCGTTTGCATATCATCAGGGCTATAATACAGGACCGAACATTGCAGAGGCCATTGGATACGCCAGCGAGCGCTGGGAGATTTTTATTCGAGAGGGATTATACCAGAATTGTCGGCGGTCAAATTGCAAGATCGACCCTATACAGATGGATTTTAGTTTTATCAAGCACATTTCTGGGCGGGGCCTGGAATCGAAAATGACGAGAAGACCATACAAGTCGGAAAAGTCGTTAGGAGCTGCGGATGGCGGTCGTCGAGGCTGGGCTACACAACGCAATGTCCGGCGGTCGCACCACCAGAAGAATGATTCTCAATCACTGTTTGTCGGTCAAGACTCTTCTTCCTCTTCTGACGAAGCCGAAGATATGGTCGAGCATCGGATAAGTGAAAATGTCTCGAATAATCCAGACGTGCACTCCTCTGGTGTCATGCAGACGCCTGAGCAGCTTGCGGCGGCAAAGCGCAAGAAGGCATCGCCGCCTGGTACGCCGCCACAGCATATCCGACATCGAGTGACGCCTCCAGCTGGAGACAATGGCGACGAGACAGAAGAAGAAGTCGATGGGTCCGGCGGCACATCTGAACAACAACAACAAGAGCCAACGAGACTTGCTAACGCGCTTACTGGCAAAATGGATGCAAATGGACTATTGTCTCATCGCGCCCCCTATCACAGTCATACTTCTTCGTCTTCTTTTCTTGGCCACCCCGACCAGGCTCATAGTTCTCAATCGACACTTTTGTCTCTTGGTCGCTCTAATGAGAATTATCGCCCGCTTACCAACCAACGAGTCACTGGAGATGGCGAAGGTTACGCGCAAAAGCAGCTTCTGCAGGCTTCTTCTTCCTCTTCTTCTCACCCTCGCAATGACTCGAATGCAACGTCTAGTGCAGTCAATATGACGCCAAGCCCTCACGTGTATAGAAATTAAGTTTAAGTTTGGGAAGATGGGACATGCGTTGGAGGTCGATCTGTCTACTGTCAACAGTCGACAGTCACACTTGGTTTGCAACCTGTCTGACCGTTTTGGCGAACAGGAACGAACATGGCAGTTGGGCGGTTGTATATACCTGTTACTTTTCTTCTCTTGTTAATCTTTTTTTCTTTGCTTCTCTTTTTATTAGTCTTTTCTTTCTCTTTTCTTTAGTCTTTTCCTTCTCTTGTCAGTCTTCTCTTTCTCATTTCTCTTGTATTCGGTCTTTTTCCACTTCCTCTTGCATACCTATTCTCCTATTCTCCTATTCACCTATTCGCCCTGCTCGCCAGTCCATCCGAGTACCCGGGTCAAACACTAGTACACTATGTCTCTGTATTGTGTATTGTAACCAGGCCATCACCATATTGTGTGATGTTGTATTCTACGAATCTGTTTTTCTTTTCTTTTCTCCCTTTTCCTTCTTTTCTTCGTAGTCCTTTCTTCTTCTTCTTTTTCTCCTGTGGTCGAGGACTGAAAAGCACTGTTACATTACATTACATTACCGGCTGAACAGCCTTTTTCTTTTTCTTTTCTTTTCTTTTCTTTCTATTGTCAATATTCGTAGTCCGCTGGATTCCTGATGTACCTTCCGTACATAAGGCACACTGTACCTGTTTTTTCTTTATTCTATACCGTATTCTTCTGTATTGTATTTTCCAGTACTGTATTATCCTGTACTGTACTCTGTACTGTATTGTATACAAGATTATTTTAACTTGAAGAGCAAAGAATGTACATGTATTATCCGGCTCTTGACTGTCTTTGACTCTCCTTTTTCCTTTTTTCTCCTTTTTTATCTTTGTATCTTTGTTCGCGTGTTTGTTTATCCTTTTTCCTTTTTTTTTTCTCTATTTTGTTCTATCCTTCCCCTGCCTTGTTTTTGTATCTGGTATGTCTGGTGTGTATGTATGTGTGTGTGTGTGTGAGGGGGGTTGAGGGGAAGAGGGGGGTGTGTTTATTTCTAAGCGGTAGTTAACTCAGATCCTCGTGTTGTATATACCTAAGTACCTAAGTAGTTTTCTAATCCTGCTCCGTAAAACTATCATCATTATTTGTCTTTCGTCATTGATCATTCATCATCGATCATTTGTTATCTATTATTATACCTTGTACCTTATTTCTTCCTCGTTATTATAGGTACCTATAGGTAAGGTAGGTTCCAGAACCCTAGTAATCCCTAGTAGTCCTTGTAATGTGTAGTGCATGATACATGTGTTGACAAATCAATTGTTCCTACCTAGTCCTGCACATGTCAATTTGTGTTGACAATGACTAGTACAGAGATACAGATGGAGATAGAGACAGGCAAGATGGGCAAGACAGGTAGTTACTGTTACTGTTTACATTTCCTGTTATGTTTATGTTGACTGTTTATGTGTTTGACAGTGTAGGCTTGCACAACACATGATGCACAAGGTTGAGCTTTGAGGGTTCAGAGACAACTTGAGGCAACCCAAGGCAACTTGTGGTGATTGAATTCCTTGTAGAGAGTTGAGGTTGAATTGAGATTGAATTGAGATTGAGTTGATGTCAAGTCGAGGCCAAAAGTCGTAGACGTCCGACGATAATCTAAAAGGATTTCTCTTTTGGGATATAGTCCCTAGTCCTGTTTTGTTTCACAGTGAATACTGATTATGATTGACCCCGTCTCCCCCTTTTGGCCGGGGCCAGGGGGAGAGAAAGAATGAATGGGGGGGAAACAAATTAAAAAGAAAAAGAATAGAAAAAACAAATACAAATACCAAGAAAAAGAAAAGAGAAAAAAAAAAAAATGAATGAATGAATGAAAATAAGAAAAAACAAGAAAAGAAAGAAAAACAAGAAAAGAAATGAAAAGAATAAAGTAAAACTAAAACTAAGAAAAACAAAAGAAAAGAAAACAAAAGCAAGAAAAAACAAGAAAAGGCCAAAAAAAAGAAAGAAAAAGAAAATAAAGAAAAGGAGCAAAACAGAAAGGAAAGCCCCAGGACTCAGAAGAAATGCAAGCCGGACCGAACATACCGGAATTTGGCCACTGAGGCGCTGGAAAGAAAACCGCAGACATAATCATCGATGGGCTCAGACCAAGAGCACAGGCACTCATATACATACTAGTTACATGGTTACAGGTGTGTATAATGTATGTACATACGTGTATTGCAAGTCTATGTGCTTAAGATCTAACAACTATTTACAATAGAATCGAAAGCTTCTTCCACCAAAAGAATGGGAGGGAGGGGTGAAGGGGTGAGCGAAAAAGAGAGAAAAGATATGTAGATGAAGAGAAACAAAAAAAATGAGGGAGAAAGAGAGAAAAAAAAAGGGGGGGGACAGAAAAACAAAGAGGGGAAAGAGCGTAAAGGAAAATCAAGGATTTCCGTTTCCCTTGCTTGTCGAATCACTGCTCAGCTCTTTCGTCTTCCACCTGTTCGGTTGCAATCCACCGTCGCAGCTTAGGGAACCCATATGTACAATTTCCCAATCTTCTGCCTGCTTGTATGTACAATTTATTTTTCATCATAGAGTTCTTCTTGATATGAGACTACATCCTCGTAGGAGATCAAATGCAGAACAGCTTGTCAAGGTTTATTGGTGGCCGACCGATTTACTGGCGGTTCTGGTAGTCGAGGAGAATGTCGGCACCAATCTTCTCGGCCATACCGTAGAAGACGGTCATGACGTGAGAAGAGACCTGGGTCGGGGGAGCAGAGCCGTCAATGACACGGAGACGGTCAGTGCCGTAGACACGGGCAGAGGGGTCAAGGACACCACCGAGCTCACGGGCCATCATGGAGCAGGTGCCGACACCGTGGTAGTTGGCACGGAAGTGCTGCTGGACATAGGTCTTCCACTCGTCGAGCGAGGCATTGTAGTCGAGGTTGTTGCCGGGAATGGTCTCACCGGCCCAGTACTGGCTCATCTCACCAGAGTTGGACAGCTCACGGGCGAGCTTGGAGGCGGCAGCCTGACCAGCAAGGTCGAGCTCGTTCTGGTAGTAGCGGGGGTTGTTGGAGTAGCGGCCGAGGTAAGGGTCCTTGTCGAGAATGTGGATGTAGCCACGGGTGAAAGGAATGAGATCCCAAAGGTCGAAGCTCATGGCGCCGGCAGTGTCCATGAAGAGTTCGGCAAAGGCAACATCGTGGTTGACGAGCCAGTCAACCTGGTTGTCGTACAAGGTCTTGAGAGCAGTAGCGTTGTTGATGAAGCCACCAGCAGCAATGGCCTCCTGGACCCAATTGTCAAGGTTGTCCTGAATCAGCTGGTGAGCCTGAGGAGCATAGTCGCCAAAGGTACCATTGAAGGTGGCAAAGTAGGCGGCCTGACCCTGACCAGCACCGCCAGAGTTGATGTTGGAGCGGACGGTGGTGGTGGTCTGGTCCTGAAGATTGAGACCGACGGGGAGCTCGAGAACCTGCTCGACACCAGCAGCGTCAAGAACAGACTTGATACCGATACCGGACCACTCGAGGATGAGGGGAGAGATGGCGGAGCCGGCAGCGATGAGGACTTCGTGGTTGGCATAGACCTCGTAGTTGTTGACACTGGTGATACCAAACTGAATACCAGTGGCGGTGGGAGTGCCAGAAGAAGTGTCAAGGAGGACCTTGCCAACCTTTTGGCCAGTAAGAACCTTCAAGTTGGAACGCTGGTAGTTGGGAAGCAGCCACTCGCGAGCAGCATCAGAGCGGGTCTGATCCTCGTGGAGGGAGTTGGGGAACATGGAAACACCGACGGGGTCACCGCAGCCAAGATCCTTCTGAGTGGGGTAACCCTGGCCAGAGACGACGCTCATGAGAGCCTTCATCAGGGGCGAGTACTTGTCGCCAGTGTCACGAGGACCAGCGTGGACGGTTCCGTTGAAACCGTGGCACGAGGGATCAAGGTAGTGACCAGCGTCAATCTGGGCCTGGTTGGGCTCGCGAACCAACTCTGCCTTGTGCGAGTAGGCAGTCAAGTTGTCCCAGTTCCATCCCTCGTTACCAAGGACAGACTCCCACGAGTCAATCTGGACCTTGTGGGGACGAGTCCAGGTACCACCGTTGACCAGGGTCGAACCACCAAGACCACGGCCGGAGCGGATGATCTGGGTTTGGTTGTTGATATCCAAGGGGACGGTTTCATAAGCATGGTCAACCTCAGTGCCGAAGATCTGACCGTAGGTGTTGAGGTCCTCAATGATGGGGCCACGGCTGGACTCGTAGAAACCCTCCTCAATGACCAAGACGCTGATGTCTGGGTTGGCCGACAAAAGAGCGGCGGCGGTCAAACCAGTAAGACCACCTCCAGCAATAATGTAATCGAACTTCTGGCCAGCAACCTTGTTAGGATCGGTAATCAGGCTGCTCTGGATGTCGAGCTGGCTGCTCGTATAGGGCGCGGCAAGGGCGCTGCCAAACAGCAACGAGGCCGCGCCCAGAACAATGGATTTGGTGACCATGTTTCCGGCGGTGGAAAAGAGCGGGAAAGAGGGAGAGAAATGAAGAAGCAGAAACTCTCAGTGATCGACGAAACGACGGGCTCCTCGAGCAAGCGAAAGGAGGGCAAACAAGAGAGAAAAGAAGGATTGATTTGCAAGCCTCGAGTGTTCCCCGTGGTTCGAAGCTTCAATCAAGCTCTGGGCCTGCCTTCTTATATATTCGTCGTTGCCAGGTGCCCTCTTCCATTCTTTGACCCTCTCATTGATCTTCTCCCACCCTCGTGGCAAAACGGAAATCCCTGTACCGCAAGGGCATTATCCACATGGGCTCCATCACGGCTCCATGAAGAAAATAGGCAGCACGGCCCGCCAAGCGCCATGACTTGAGTTTGGCACCGCGTGCTCAAAGACTAAACCATGAGGGAAACGCGGCGCGAGCAACAATCCACTTGTTGATACACCGCCTCAGGGTCTATGGCAGATAGCAAAGGACTGAGAACCCTGAAGGTCGCACGGCGAGACTCGGTGAAATGAAAGGGCCCTTAGCAATCATGGTAATCCTTCTTTGGTCCGGACTCGGTCGAAGCAAGGAGTCGTTAGAAATCAAACCGTCATTTGTTCGGTCCAGACTTTGTAACGAAATAGCGCAGAATCTGCCTGGATGGTAGCCTCTCCACTGCTTTTACCGGTGTGCGCCTGGTACAGTGTGTCGCCAGCTTGGCCATTCATCCACGCATCTCCGTCGAGGGCCAAGAAGTTCCGTCGGCCCCTCTCTGCGGTGATGCAACCTTCGGACCCGCAGTGACGGTAGGTAGGTCATAGCCAGGCACCGTTCAATGCCTTGTTGAGTAGTGTGGGAGAGCATCAACGCATCATGATCGTGCTGCAGGCACGCAGTCTTGGCAAGATGCACGCCTTTGGTTTGCTCAAGGCCAAAACAACTTTTGTCCGCCAGGGTTTCCACCGTGTTGTTTAGTGGTGGTAGGTGGAGGAAGAGCTGAGGCACCATTTCGTACTGGTAAAGGCGTAAGTTGGTGCCAAGCCCTGAGTGCGTCGATAGTGCGACGCCGAGCCGTGGCTTTACGAATCGCACACTCAGCGTCCTCGCTCTGCTTGGCTTCACACAGATTCTCGATGCCAGTCTCGGTAAATGACGATCACTAAGACGCTATGATCTTTCCTTTCTTTCTCACTCCTCCATCAGCTTTGGATCTTCGATGGGTGGAGAAAGGTTGTTGATATTTTAGCCTCTGCTCTTGATGGACGTGGCGCTCTTGGTAGCGGCTGGGCGCTCTCCTCTCAACCCCCATCAGTGTCAAACACCGCCGCCATTATAATGGATCTTTACTTCGATCCTCTTTCTGAAATGGCAAGAATTATACCCGAGCGCTGCTTTGTCAGAACAGAATAAGAATAAAGCTGCCTTGCAGTATTTTAGCGTGGGCGTTTTGGCACGAGGGGGATCATCACATCCCTTTTTCGTGATCCCACGTGTATGAGTCTCCTTCATGTCGGTACAGGAATCTGCAAAGCAAGGCCAGGGATGGTCGGCATCATCCCCGTCCGGGTGTATCGACGGGGAAGCGGGAGGGAAGAGAAGGGAAAGGGAGAAAGAGAGATTAACATTGATGCTGGTGGATGGTGGACTGCTAGGAGACGCCGTCGGATCGCTAGATAATACTACTGCTTGTTACTATGTGGTTTTGCTGCTATCGCTGACGCTTAAAACTTAGGCGCTCGCCTTTACCGGTAAGGATGGCGGGTCCCTGAAGTTTGACGCACCTTTCCACGGCCCCACTACGGATTCGGGTCTGGGCGGACCGCTCCGGGATGGTTGTTGGTCTCTTTGATTCCCTCGCTCGAACGGTAGTGTGGCGGGCAAAGATGGAAAAGCCATCCCCTCATCAAAACACAGCGTAAAGCTTTTAATGAAGCTCCTGAGCATAAACTGGTAGCGTAGCGCCGTGCTCTCGCATTACAGCGCAATCAGAGTCCGCTTCTCTTAGGGTGAACCCGGGTAGAGATAATGTGAGAATCTAGGGTAGTTGGTGTTTTGCACGACCTCAACTATCAATTATGGGAACTCGCCATGTCTAGCAGGCTATGGCCTTGGTGAAATTGCATCAGTATCGAGGTTAATACCTCCTGAGGTGCGGGCCGCGGTCAACAGGCTTCGAGATCCACTCTAATTCTCCAACCAATGAGTTGTGCTCGTTGCTTTTGTCGACGGTAGGGCTTATTTTGAGGCTAAGCCGCGTGCCGTTGGAATTGCGCGAGGGCATAATGGCAAGAATTACCTCTCTTTTCCGTTTGCCCGTCGCCATACGGAGCCTCAGACCTCCGACTGACATAATCCTAATCCTCACTCATCCTTATCACACCTGCTGAGCGTGCCATTGCATCAAAATTTTCATCATCATCATCATCATCAAGCAGTGTAGTAGGACTGTGGAGGTGACGCGAACTTTCCCCTGCTCTGCCATGTTTCCCCAGCGGCGTGAGACCTTGCCCCCTGCGTGCAATGCACAGCTCGATTCTGCACGATTACCGTACAGATTTGATAATTCGGGTGTGTTCACCCGATCCATGAACATGGTTGTTGGATCTCAGCCATGGGTCAAAACGTAAATGATTAGCAAAGAAGCGAGGTCGTTTACGCCCTGCAGCGAATCGTAAAAGCATTGGCGCCGTGATTTCATTCGCACCATTGATTGAGCAAGAGCCACCGTCATCCTCGTCCATAAGAATTTGGTACTATAAAGGGTCGACCAGGGAAAATAAGCAAAGATTGCCGAAAGGCTCCAATTGGCCTCTGGTATACTTCCTTGCCCCGATCCATAAGCTAATGACAAAACCGGTTGCGTACGAATTCTCAGGGGAAGCAGTAGTATCACCTGGTCCTCATTAGTTAAATAGACCCTAGCATACCGAAACATCCTACACGGCGTACCGAGACCCCTGTCCCTGGTTCAACTGAGTATGAGGCAGAAGGAATGCACCACTCACTCACTCATAACCCAAAGCTATTGCACACCATCACTTGCAAAAGACCGGAAAGGGTCCACAATTGCCACTCACGAATTTCGTCCGAGATTTAATGCCTGCCTATTTTCTTCTGCGAGTTAGTCGTTTGATCGGGTCTGTGAGAAATCCCGAAGAAGACTCTTTTAGCGAGTTTGCAGCTTTTTTCAATGGTAAGAACTTCGTGCACGCTCCCACATCTGTTCCCCACTACTACCCAGCCCGTCTATCTAATTTGATCTCATCCGCCAGGCCGACAGATCACGGCAGCACCTGATACGGTCCAATATGGGAGATATTGTCCACAACCCGCTAGGATGCTCCACATCCCGTGCCGAAAGAAAGCCGTTGATGATCACGACTGTGCCTCACTCATGCCGAGAAGGGCTGGAGAAAAATACATGTACGGCTGAAAATTGATAATCGGCCCTTGACGAATCTTATTATTGAGAAAATAAAACATGGGTCAAAGTGACCGTTGACCATGGAATTTTCTTAGCAGTAAAATAATAAGTCTACTATTAATAAGATAGATTGATTATAGCTCTCTAGCATAACAGGATAAAGGCCGAACTTTACCGGAACGGTACCTCTGTAGAGCTGAACTATTGGAAGAAGTGGGGCGGCATATCCAGCGAGTAGGCAGCTTCGTCGACCTTCACGTTCCCTTTAACCATCGCTAAGTTTTACTTCTAAGTCATGCAAGACAAAATAGGTAGGTCGTTTTGTTAGATAGTGAGATACAGCGTATAATTTATGATCATGTCTTCCAGTGATGAGGTCAATATACAGGAAATCATGCATCAACCACCATGGTAGTGAGAACGAACGGCTCAACGGGCTACTATTTCATGTTTTGTGCCAAGGATAAATATTGAGTAATAAAATGGCCCACCGGGTGAGATTAGGTCAAATATGGGTAAAATTTAGTACGTGCCACTTAGCATGTAAGGAGCCATTTCGCCATTTAATTGGAGCACTATTGTTGAATATCATGGAGCTTAAAAAGAAGATAATTTGGCGAAAGGGAGCTTGGTCATATGCGAGCCGGTATTTCCGGCAGGAGGATCAAGGAGGTGGCATTGCATGATAGCCACGAGGAGAGCACTGCCGATGGCTACGAAGACGATGCCTCTCCAGGCCAGTTTGCAAACCCAAATCGAACGACCAACGCCGCTATTTCATGTCATTCAAGGACAAAAGCGGTCCGTCTCGAATCAAAGCGCATAGGCGAAAAGGTCCGGATTGACAAAGTTCGCAATGTGATAACGATCTACCGACCAGTCTGATTCAGTAAGTTTGTCTTCTTAATGATGACGCCCAGACGATTAAAGCCTGAGTGCTTTGGAGATTCGCTTCACTTAGTCCTGGGTGTCTGATTCGCCATTCATTGCATCTTTCAGATTGATTCTGCTGTCGAGCTCATCGCTCTGGTAAATATTATCCTTCTCAGCCGCTTTGTCCCTTAATTTCAATCTCCAAAAGAATGAGAATATCCAATATCATATTTCGAGATACATCCACCTCTGACGATCACGTGCCTCTTGTGAATGAAGGTGATGAGGTTCGTTCACAGCCAACCAGCCGAGACTCTACCAAATATCGGCTGTCGGATGCATGGCCACTGCTGCCAGGGACGTCTGGTAAAGCAGGAAAGTAGAAAAGCTTCGATGATTGGACAATGGCCAGACAAAGAAGCGGAGTATCCACTGGTCGAAAAATCTCAACTTGTACGCTTGTACTTGCTGTCGTTCTTGGCGGGACCCAGGACCGCCTCTTCCCATAATCAGTACCGGCGACTTTTTGGTGCGAATTTGCCAAGTCAACAGCTCCTTGGCAGCTTTGCTACACAGAGCTTCACTGGTATTGCCAAGTGCGACGGAGCGTCCTCTCACATCTCAACAGCCAGGAAAACCCCCGAAAGCCGGAGTCTGATCAACACCGTTGTCGCCGATTCCCGCTGATAATCTAGATGCGGTGCTATTCTCGCTTGGAGATTTGCGGCGGAGGTGCCAACGATCGAGGGATGTTTCCGAGGAGCTACGGAGAAGTGATCCAAACGACTTTGAAACACACTGCTTCAAAAAAGTCCTCAAAAAAAAAAAAGCCAAAGCCAGATCCAATTTATTTTTTCCGTCATCATTAGAAATTGAATTTTATCGAGATTTTGTAATTTTCCAAAAACTCATTTCCACATTCAACACTGCTCCTTATCATTCAAATATTTTATGTGTAGGAATTTTTCGATCAAATTTCGGAACGGTGGTGGGTCATAGAAAGAAAAGAACAGTACCTTAATTATGCCGATCACTACTCCATCAATATAGATGATCGGCCGGCATTCGACGCACGACGCAAGATTCGTTGATGACTGCGTTCATTTGGTAATGCCCCCGTAGAAGAATGGAAGGAGGGTTATCTGATCCAAATGTCGGCTCATGGATGCGCTCCAAGAACAGCTAAATCCACATAGCAACTCCAATGATTCTCTATGCACCTGGCATGCTGTCGCTTGAACTATCATCAGTATGTTACATCATCGAATTTCCAACTGAATAAAATTTTCTGGTTACCGCATGTTCAAATTGGACAGCTCCAGGAATCTAGATACACTTAGAAGATATAGTTAGTCGTTTGCTAGAAAATGCGATGTATTAAAAACACTGTAGGGTACCGCGCGTAAAAAATTGGCAAGGGACCCTGCACCGATTTTCACAAAGCCTCAGGGATTGTGGGATCGTACCTACTGAAATCAAGGGCAACAAACTTGTTTTGGTGGGTCGCTCTCCAGTCCCGTCTGCGTCTCTCGGCTCTTCCTTCAATACTGCACCAGTGGTCAAGGGTGTCAAAACGATCCAGTAATGCCTCAATCTGCGCGCACGTTTTGACCCGAACTTGTGTTTAACCTCGTACATCCCATAAGACGCCGTTGAGTCCCAATCCCTTGGCCCTGGCTATCAATAAGGTAGGAAATCACTGGCCAAATATTGTCTAAGCGTTTTCCAACAACATAATTAAATCACTTGCGATACACGTTGACTCTCGAATGGATTCGATTGTTCTGTTTGCCTGTTTATTTGTCGCAGCACCGCATATCGCCACATAATATGAGAAGACCTAGCAGTCCATTGCATCATCACCGGCCATTATATTCTACCTTACCTGATACAAAATAGTATTCCTTGAGTAGCTAGGTACTACCTTGTAAAAATTGCAAAAGGGATATGATTTTCAACGCCCATAAAAAGCCAAACATGAGCGACCACTCGTACAGAAACATTAGCTCCAGGCACGATTTACTATACCTGATTCAGAGGCTAATAGTTTGGTGGCTGAACCGTGGTAACTGGCCGGAAGCTACGTTTCATTTAACGGCGTACTCGTAGATAAATCCAGCCGTCTTCCAACCAGCCATATTTTAGCTGGCTTACAAGTTGTAAGGTTTTTCGCTTCCTACTTCAATGGTTACTTGGCGTCATATTCTTCTCACACTGCGCCCCTCCTTCCGCTCCCTTCATCCTTCCCACTTTGAGTCTTTTGTTATTCCCGCTTTTCAGACTTCTTTGTGGAACTAGATTTACACAGCCTCAATCTCATAATGGCGTCTACGATGCGGCGAAACGCGTCTATCTACGTGGTCGACCGGAATCTTGGACTCTATGGCAAACGTCGATTTCGGACCGTCTTTTGCATTCCTGAAAAACGAATAGACCGCAGACAGAGTTCTGATCATCCTCGACTTTCCCAAGTGCTGCAAGTATATTTGCACAGTATACAATACTGATAATCTCTTGGTGTATCATCCGGCTGGGATCGACTCAGACGTCCCTCATTTTCTGTGCTTGTTCTGACCTTCTGTGTTTAATCAAGACGTTGATAAGCCATTTGCTAAACTTCCAGCGGTTGCTAATATGCTATCTACATCAGTGCATCAAACTTTAGAATAGGTAACCATTAAACAGATACTGTCATATATCTCGATATCGATATTTTCGTACTTTTCTTGGCCTTCATGGCCGCGTATGCTACACCGCCACGGAAAGCTTACGCGGATGAAACTGCTTGTACAAAGCGTGCCCCGCCGCGTGCATGCTTTGAATTGCCAACTTGCCAAGCGGCCAAGGCGCCAAGTCTCTTATCGCGCTATCCAGAGCCTCTGATTTCCAATGGATCCCGAACTCGCAACCAAGCTCATCTCCGGTGGGGCCATTGAAGGCAGTTCCAAACGTCTCCCTCCTGAGACTTCTTTGTACTACTGAAGATCTGAACCCGCCGGACAAATTCCCATATTACACGTCTAGACAGAAAGTGTGCCGAAATAGAGGACCCGTGAGTTGTGAAATGCTAAGACCGAAAGCTTGATACCAGATTGATGTCCTCACTCTTCAGTTATGCCCTCGATGCTATGATCAACAATAGAAAAATTGACTCTATAGGATAGCAGTGACACTTCGAAAGAGCCCTCTGAAGCCTGAAGCATATTTAGACACCCATTCCGATGAATTGACCCTTCCGCGACAAACTCTACAGAGCATGCTCACAGAGACTGAGATAGTCTACCAGCTCTATCAAGAGTGCTGGTTATGGGTAATATACATCTCCCAGAATGACAATCCATGCGATAAATCCCAAGGTAGGCTCAGCTAGAGTATTGAGATTTAGATATGCATGAAATGTACCTTGAATAAAGAAAGAAGTAGACGAGAGGAGAGCGGTAAAGGTCAAGTTGAGTCCACTGATTCCAGTCAAAGGTACGTCACGACTCATGAGCAATGAACATGGCTTAACGCAGCATCAAAACTGACATGAAGTCTTCCCAAGCTTCACTTAGATAGTTTGTAAAGTGAATGTCGCGGCGCTCGGCAAACAGCAGCCTTTTGTTCAACGCGAAGTTCGATTAACAGTGTTAATCCTCACATCTCCATCTCAGAGTCTCACGGCTTCTGCCTGAGCCCTGAACGGTCGAGCCTACAATTTCACGAGCGTCTTATGACATGTTTGGGACTGCATAGAACTTGTTCGAGCACGGGAGGAAGAGTTTGGATAATACTTGAGATCTGGACAAAGGATTCTTCAAAAGTTAAGGCACTCCGAACGCCTCCAGGTAGGGGATCAATAGATTCTGGATTCTTAGATTTTATCAAGCTAATACAGTTCGTTCATAGGAATTGAATGGACTATATCAATGAGAAAACCCTAGTAAATGACGAGATAAAACCTTAAATTATCATCCGGGAAAACATCAGTTATTCAACCTTCGCTCGCCCGATGTTCCACAATTTGAACCAGATCTCAAAACCAGATCTCGCTCTCTTCCCCGCTCATCAAAGGTCATTCTGATCATAAGTAGCTGCTCGAAGACGTGCCAAATCCTCAGTACCCAACTCAGATGCTCCAGCTGCCAAATCGCTCTCGGGAGCTACGAGTTCATACGAGTCTTCAGTTTGGACAAGCTTTCCACGTTGGCGGGTTTGGAAGACATTGACGTCGATTGTTTTGAGAGACAAGAAGTGGTAGATATGAACCAGTTTCTTTTGTCCGTACCGGCGGGCCCGACCAATCGCCTGAGTCATCACCGCATCGTATTTGGACTGCGTTTCGGCTACAAGGGGCGACAGGAATATCAAATGATTTACGTTTGTCAAGTTTCTGCCAGTACCCGTCATGTTAGTGGTTCATTATTAAAAGGGATATAAGAGACCTGGACTTACGCGCCGCTGGCAGATTCGTTTGCCACGTTGATCACAAGCACCTTCTTCTTTGACTGAGTTTCATCGTTCTGAAACTTTGTGATGATATCGGCAGCTTTTCTACCATTCTGGCCCAGCATCGCAAAGTGACTGATCTTGTTCTCCTCTAGCGCCTGAGAAACTCGCCACATCAGATCTTCATACTGCACAAAGATAATGATTTGATCATCATCCGGCGTGCCTTCAATAAGTCTGATGACTTCTTCCAGTTTTCTTCCATAGTGGCGTCCGCTCTGAACGTTCGCATCTTCTTCACCTAATTCGGTCCCTCTAATTATTTGGAAGCTCATCGCCATTGCCTCACAGCCAGGAACGATGCAAGTCTCACCGCTGTGGAAAGATTCCCAGCATTTGTTGCACACTGTGTGTCCACAGACTGAAAGGACAGAGACTTGAGAGGGTCCGAAGTTATTGTTTCCGCAACGGGAGCATTGACAACGCTTCGCGTTCTCTGTTTTCCGGGACATTGTGTCGAGCTGAATGGCCCTCACTGCCTCAAAGAATCTTAGAGAGCGGATGCGCGACACCAGCTCCGTTGACAGTCGGCGTAAATCATGTGAGAGGCTCCTCAATGCTGCCACAAACTCTTTGAGTTCTATCAACTTTGGCAAACGAGTGTCTTCCTCGACTGTACTCAGTGTCGTCTTTCTCCGTTTCGCCTTAGCTCCTCTATCGTCCGCGGAATCGGAGAATCCAAAATCGCTCTCGTCTAGATCCTCAGCATTGTCGCTGCTGTTGTCCGTTGCAGAGTTCCCATCAGCTGAACTGGAAGAGATACGGGGGGCTATCTGACGACGTTTAAAGCCTGCTCCGAGCTTGGTGTGCCGCGAGCTAGGTTTCAGGGACTTCTTAGTCACCGGCTTATCGAAACTCTCATTGCCTTTTCCCGGGTCCGTCGTCGAAACTTTATAGAACAAATGCTCATCTTCCGGGCTGTAACCTCGCTTCGATTCCTCAATGAGCTCTCGCAAGATATCCGTGGCGCCATCATCGCCGAACTGGTTGGTCTTGACTGTCTGCACCCAAGCGGCATAATGAGCGTCATGCACTTGTCCGTTCGCATCCTTACATTTGTGCCGCAGCCAAATGGCGTGTTTCAAGTGGCTCTTCAAATCATCAAGCAGGTCCAGATACTGCCTTTTGCGTTCCGCAATAATGACCGTACAAGCTTGCGCGGCATTTTCGTGACCTTCTTGAAGATCCTCAAGAGTAAAGTGCGAGCAACGTTTGATGAGTGCCTCTTCCGCTGTCTTGCTGTCCCCCAAAGCCTCAAGCAGGCGCTTTTCACGATCACTCTGAGCTTTCGCTTGTCCTCGGCGAAGTTTCATGTCTTGAGCAAGCAAATAGGTCTGCAGCTCCAGATATATTGCTCGTTCAGCAGCAGGAAGCGTAACTGGTCGTAAGTGAACAACGGAGGGGATTTCATCAATCTCAGCCACATTCTGTACCAATCAGCAGCCTGACCGCAAGGAAGTAAAGAGAACACGTACCTGGCGCACAAACATGTCAAGGAATTTCTGAGCCACCACTTGTCGGTGCAAGTGCCATGCGGTTGATTTGCTTTCTCGAAAGGCATGAAACTTCTCCGCTTCTATTAATTGTTAGAAACTTGGTGGCAGTCGCAACAGGTCTCCGAGCGTCTTACCTGTTAATTCCCTGCCAAATCTGCCACGTCTAACAAAGTCGCCCGCATCGTCAACTCCAAGATTGATATTGAGAAAACTCGCAATCGATTTGATGTCAACAAAGTCATCTAACGGGGGAGTCCCTGAAAGGATCCAGCGGATATTAGATGACAAGCTTCGAACACAGGTATGATTTCTCCCGTCCAAATAACTAAATTCATCAATAATGATGCGATGAAAGTGAAACATTTGGAGTAAAGGACAACGCAGGTTCTTCCAATCAATGACGTGGCTCAACCCGAACGGATCTTCAGTGCGCCTACGGAGCTTTGGAAGAGCAATGTCGGTGCCCGAGATGTCTCCCTCGGAATAATCACGCATTTCAGCATCTCCCTTTTTCGATTCACCACGGCGAGCCTTTCGCTTCTTTCCCGATGCCTCTGATTCAGAGGGTATGGTGGCTGCTGCTGCGGCCTCCGCTGCTTCTGCCAGTTTCTTGTGCCGATAGGCTTTACCCCGTAGCCTTTTCGATGGGACGGTATATGTCAGCTGTTCGTCAGCCTTGGTCGCAGCTAGTTTCTCTCCGAGAATGACTTTTAAAGATTGCGGAGATTTATCTTTCAGCTCCTCCACATGAGCTGCTACACGTTCCAGGGCATAGCTATACCAAGCATCAAAGGCACGACCGGTACTAGCTGGCTTCTCCGGCAACGCAGCCAGATAAGCCAACTTGCTTAGATAAGTGTCATTGTTAAGAAGAGCCCACGGAACGACGATCAAGTCGGCTAGCAAAAGATCTCGGAATTTGACATTCAAGAGGGCTATTTGCGTTTTGATCACGATTACCTTGTACGAAGTGCCCAGGAATTTGTATATCTCGTCATGCCACTGATTGGTCAGATGCTGAGGTACAACAATCAAGGTGGCCTTGACGGGAATTTTCCCTTTCAGATCCGGAATAGGCAGCTGCTGGTCTGCTTCGTACTGCATGTCAAAAAGCCCGAGCGAGATGGCAGTTTTGCCATAGCCAACTTGATCTGCTATGACTCCACCCCTCACTTCTTTCAGCCTCCCAACTCTTGCTTCGGCACGCCATTTCAAGTTGGGAAGAAGGGCCTCTTCTATCTCTTCCTCCTCAAATGGCTGCGGGTCATTTTCTTGAGAGGCCATCCATGCGAGTGACCTCAGCTGCTCCGGGCGAAGCTCAAATTTGAAGCGAGGTGGCCGTGCGGAATGTGGATCTGCACGATTACTTTTCAGGACAAACTTCGGCATAGAGCACTTTGGGGGCTGAGAAAAGCCTGTTGTCAGTCTCCACGCACATGTCAGCTCGGTAGCAGACAGTTGCCGTTGAAGAGTTGCGGCAGCCCTATGAACAAGGGACGATATGTTGAGGCCAATGCGGATTAAGAGACATTCCTTGCCTTCAAGTTTTACCTGAATGACGAAAGGATGCGGTCGATGCTTGAGAGCTCGCTCATATGGTCCGGCTTTTTGAGGATCTTCATAGGGCTTGAAAGTATCCTTCTCCAGCCTCCATCTCACGGATGGCGGCATTGGCGCACAGCTGGCGCAGTCTCCTAGCCCTGCATGGGGAGCGAGTGTGTTCCAAGAATGGAGGCACGGAATCGACTTTGAGCGCTCAGTTAACCAAGAAAATGAAGCAAAGAAAGACTGTTGGTCAATGGCGCTGATTTCGGTCCATTCGTTTAACTTCCAAGGCAAATTTCCAATGGCATCACCCCACACCCTTAAGCTCAGGATCATGTTTGCTGCATGGCATGATTTCTCCTGAAGATAAACAGTGGGCGCCTGTTCTGGGGAAGCGAACACAGCGATTGCTTTTGAAATTGCTTCCAGAGTAGCACTTTGGAAGTCCACCCATTTTCCAATGACGGAGGCCGAAATCTTTTCAGAAACTTTTGCGTCAGACGGCCGCCAATTGGCACTCAGTTTTGCAAGTGTAACGCGCGATTCGCCAAAATTCAGTCGTCGAATGTCCTCGGAAAAAACAAAGCAGTCCTGTTTTGGATCGCCATATCTAGAAGGATCAAGAAACAAGAAGACTGGTCGTGAACCGTCGTTGCTAACTTTCTTATGAAGACTGTTTGCTGCTTTCCCACAGTTTGGCAGCGAAACGTAGGTTCCAGAAATGTCACGCCCCAAGAGCGCTAAGTCTTCTTGCCCAAGCGAGACTTCGTACGACGACCAAACATGTCTCTTGGCATATCGATCCTCCTTGAGACCAAGCCACGCTTCCCAGGCTGGTACCCGTTCTCCGATGCCTTTGAATATTATTTCAAATTTCGGACTGATGGGCAAACAAATTTGCCATTTGCCGGTCAAGAAGTCCTGACCCTTTGGCTGCATTCGCGCAAAAGGATACTGTACTAGGGCTCTTATGGGGCTGTTAGCCGGTTCCTTTTCGGCAGGTTTGGCATAAGCGCGCCATTCAACTTGGTCTTTACAAATAACAAGTTCCAAAAACGCCGTTGGTGCATCGTATCTGACAGTCCAGATATCTGCGCGAATGACTGACTGGTAATGGAACTCTACGGCCAAAGCGGGGGATATAGCTTTCTCGAATAGAGTCCATTTAGCCTCCTTTCCGGCTTCAACAAAATTGGACTCTAAGCTTTTTAGAGTATCAATTGTCAACCCGGTCAACTTGAGACTCATGGGCAGAGAATTTTTGAGCTCGGTCTCAAAGCTCATAGGACTCAGGCGCAACTTTGATTCGTCCTCCGTAACAAGGCAATACTGGTGAGACGGCACACCACCACAAGCTTGGCAAGTGGAATGTCCGCAGTCAATGCAACGCTGCAATCGTTTAGACGTCATCGTTTCTCTTCCTTCGCAGAGGCACAGGCGCGCACTGCGTTCTGCACGAGAACGAATGGCATCCATGCCAGGTCTCTCGAAGCGCGCAAGCTTGACGCCTTTACTTGACAAATATTTATCTCCGCCAATGGGAAAAAGTCGAACAGGCATTTCTTCAACATTAGGGACATCGACACCGCCATGGTCCAAGTATCTGGAAGATGCAATCAACGCGGCAAGCATGGCTGAGCCGACGACTGTGGTACTCATTGCATTTCCTGCAAGGTCTTGAAGCTGCCTCTGATTTTCCCGAGTGAGAAGCAGTCGGTCAAAAGGGAGACCCTGCATAGCCAATACTTCAAGCCCTACCATAGGACCGCCACGCGTCGTAATGAACGGAGCACCGGTCGGAGTTACACAATTGGTGATACCAAAGGGCGTGGTATCCGTAAAGCGATCTACATTTTGAGACAGCTCCCAAACTCGTCTAAAAAACAAGAGTAAGTCTCTCTCTGATCAGGTGGGGAGATCGGCGTCACTTACGTCTTGTACATGGAATCATAGGATCGTCTAGCATTTCGGAGAAATGCGATGTCCAACGTATCCCAGATCCTCTCTACCTGAGCTTTCCCCCAATCGGCCCACATATAGTCAGGCAGTCGGCAAGAGCCATTGTCCTGCCATCCAGTGACTGGCCTCCTGGTTCCCAGAGAATTGATCTCGCGGTACGTCATGTGCCTTCCTTGGCAGATTGTCCAGTCAACTTCTTTGTTTGCTCGACCGTCACTGCGCGCGATGTCCTTTGACAATTCAGTTCTTCCGCGTTGGACCCTCGGGTCATCATCGGGCAGCAAAAATGCTTCCACTGGTGAGCTTGCTTGTCGCTCAAAGTTCTTCATGAGCGTGACCCATTTCTGTACTGCACCACTGACCCTCGGCCCTAGGGAGTTGTCGATACAAATCATGTATCCTCTTTGCCTAGTGTGGGGGATGTAGTATTGCTTGGTGTCCAATTTGATATACTTTGTGGAATAGCCTGCATCGGCAAACTGTTTTTCCATTTGGCTCCAAGGTGCAGAAATCACATTCTCCAAAACAATCAGCTTTGGGCGCCATATCTTGGCATAATGAACAACCGCACGAAGCGTATCTTTCGACTCGCCAGGTTCGGCCCCTCTACCGTTAGGGTTGCTGTTCAACGTGGAGTAGTCGACGCAGGATGATCCAGCGACGAGAAGATCGACACCCCCTGGGATAGGAACCTTTGCACCATATGCGGTGGTGCTATTGTCATTAGCATCAACAACTTTACCTCGCACGAAAGGTCAAGAATGGACTTACGCTTCTTGTTCGGCGACCATCTCCATGATATCTCGAAAAATGATTGGCGGGCTAAAGTTTCGCTCAATATAGGCTTGTTTGAACGGAACGATTTCGGCACTGAATAAATGATCTATCTGGAACCGGAGTCCGATGTTCTTCAAACCTGCAACCCAAATTAGCAGACTGCAGTGTATCTGTTACTGTCCTCTGCAGAAGCTACTTACTTTCTGTGACAAGCTCTAAAGCTAGAAGTGGACTCTCAGTGCCAGAGCACATTGTGGCCACTTTGAGCTTTTGACCCCCTAACTGATTGATGACATCTTTGAAACCAAGCTTCAGAGCTTTCTTGCTGATATCTTTGAAGATGGCGTTGATATCATAAATGGGGGGGTACTTTTCACAGAGGCCGCTCTTATATGTCCAATTCATCTCTGCTTTTGCAAACAGAGCTTGGCTGACTGGAGCGTGCACCTTCCTCCCTTTGTCAGGTTCGGGGGTTGGCTCAACGCTGGCAAGCCCCTCATCATTAGAGGTATCACCAGCCTGCTCAGTTGAAGGAGGATCAGCAGCAGTAGCCCCGGCAGCAACTTCCTCTGGCGGAGTAGGGGGTCTCACATTGGAAGGAGCGAACGAGAGCGTCGTCTGGCGTAGCGGACGCGTAGAATGAGCAGGTTTGGGCTTTTGTCGCTTCATCGGAAGCCGAGAAGCTTTTAAAAGAGTAACCTACTGAAATCAAGGAGGGCTCGAAGAATGAAACAGGGAAAAGGAAACAGTGAGCAAAGCGGGGGTTGAAATTTCTTCTATTGGAAGCTAGAAGTTGCTTTTCTCAGCGCGATGGATGATGGAACAAGTGAGATGGGAGCGAACACAGCTCTTGAAAGGATTGAACAAGCCCCGTTTTCATGAAGCGGGGGGGCCTAGAGTGAATCAATGTGACTGCGATATTCCCGCCAGCCACTCAAACGGGGAGACATAGCCTGACCGTCCTGAACGGGAAATATCAAAGAAATCATGTCACGATGAATGCCAGAACATAAACGCAGGCGAGCAACTCAAGCGCCAGTCAGATACGCTTCCGGGCAAAGAAGCAAACATCTTCGCGGGGTCATCTCTATCTGACAAACTTCTTAGCGCTGGATCTTTCCAAGCGCGGTAGACGCATGATTATCTTGCCTTGACCTGCATCAAACTACGCGATCAAAGGGCTTGGCCTCATACATATCAATTTGGAAATCGGTGCTATTGGCCAACTTGACGTGACTTGAGATTGGAGATTTTTGCACCCGTATCCACCATACCTCATATTGCGAGGATGGCGTTGATTCCAACGACCGATCTCATGTCGAATGCCTCTGTAGGCTTTGTTCGGATTGTTTGCTCTTATACTTTATGCAGTATATATGCACTCTCTCTAGTCATATCAAATTTTGCCAGGAGACATGCTTCGCCGGATCATATATTCGTGACAGCTTCTTGTATATGTTAAAGACCAACGTCATCTTGTCACACAATGACGATACCTGGATACCATACCACAAATATTGTCAAATTTTTCCTCTTCTTTTGGAGATTTTCACTCTTTACTAACGATTACACGTCAAGTTCAAAAGCAGACGTTATATCAAATAGTCCCAAAACGGCAGAACCAAAACAAGTCCCACGTGGGGGATATGCTCATTGGCTTCTACTCCGTAAGCGAACCGCAAGCCGCGAACCGCCTTTCGCGACAGACAAGCGGGCCGCGGTCCCTGGATGTCTGAGGCCCCCGGTCGCCCCCCCATCAACCCCACCAACATTTCCACACTGTTCCTCAACGGAGGTTTATATCTCCGCCGACAGATACAGAACAGTAACTATAAGTTACTCCGTAGAAGATAAACAGCCTACGAATACAGTGTACAATACCGCAACGCCCCCGTCTCTTATCATCTGATACCCTCTTCTTCCAGCGATTTGCAAATCTTCATTGTTTACAAAGCGCTTGATATTCCGACCGATTTCCCGCAACACGAAAAGCAATATATCTTACGAATTACGAACAGACCATGACGATTGGTCATCCAGACTCATCTGACGCGCTGAACAAGTTTGAGGACTTGACTGGCATAGTCTCGAGCGGAGCATTTTCCAATCCATACGATGGGTTAATTTCTGCTTCTAATGACGATCCTGTCAGTCTCCTTCTCCTTCTCCCTCTGCCTCTTCCCCGCCTTCAATTTCCTCCCCGTTCCTGTCTGTGTTAGGCCTCCGCGGACAATCCTATATATCAAGCTTTAGCCTTTGCTGTACTACTGTCCACTGTATTGCTGCGCATAATGTCTGATAAATAAGGGAAACGGAACAGGCACAACTCCAAGCACTGTACTCTCGACACAGAGATACCCGCAACGAGCAGCAGCGCAAATACATTCTCTCGGACGATTTCAAGGGTCCGAATATCGACGGGATTTTATACAAGTTGGTCAATAAGTCAGAGTACCCTGGCTTTATCGACCCGCGATATTGTCTTGTCTTCTGGGCCCGGCCGCCGCAGCATATCAAGGATTTGATTTCTGCGATTCAGAAGAAACTTTTGGATGCTGCGCCGAGTGCGTTTCTTTCCCCTCCCCCGCTCTGCTTTCCATTATCAAACTCTGAAATTAAGCCAGTCAGTGCTAACATACCACCTCCGTTCAGGTCTATGGCTCATGCCAATCGACTCTCTACACTTGACCGCTCTCGAAATCACTCATTCGCGCACATCCCACGAGATCCAGCATCTTCTCGCGACACTCGAATCCAGCATTCCTGCTATTACAGACTACACACTAACGCATCGCGCGCGGCTGATCAAGCCACGACTAAGCTACGATGCCGCAGCCGTAGCTCTGTCATTTGTTCCTGCTGCCGGTGAAGGTCTATCTTCATCTTCATCTTCATCTTCATCTTCATCTTCATCTTCATCTTCATCTTCATCTTCATCTTCATCTTCATCTTCATCACCATCACCATCACCATCATCTCCTTCATCCAGCAACAACACACTACTCGATAACGGCGACGGAAAGAACAGCCATCACCGTACAGCCCGTACCGCCACAGACGACAAATACACATACCACCATTTACGTCGGGATTTGTACGCGCTCAATGCCGCAGCCGGAGTGGCCATCGATAGCAGATATACAGTTCCCTCGGCCCATCTGACTGTCGCGCGATTCGTGAGTCATGCCGATCTATGCGGTAGCGGTGAAGACCGCGAAAAGGGCGAAAAGGCATTGTTGCCGCCAGCGCCAGACAAGAAGAAGGTAGCAGCGTGGATTACGCAAATCGATGAGATTAATCGCTGGCTTGAGGAAGAGTATTGGCCTCTGCCTCTGCCTCAGCCTCAGGTTCAGCCTCAGGCTGACGTCGGTAATGGCTCGTCTAGGGTCCAGTCCACGATAAAACGAGGCGGCGAATGGGTCGTAGGCGACGAAAAAGGTCTCGATTGTCGCTGGGGCACATTGTGGTATGGTGGAGGCGAGACTGTTCGTCTTGGAACGGGATTTTGATTTCGATTCTGTCACCATTTTTATTTTCATCTTCAGGTCCACTTTCATGTCCACCTTTACTTTCACTTTACTTTCACCTTATTTTCACTTTGAGGTCCACTTCTACTTTCATATTACTTTTACTTACTCTGCATACACAACATAGATATATAGATAGGGAGATGACGAGTAGATAGATAGATAGATACCGTTTCCACGAGATTTACGACAATGCATTTATTCATCTTCATATTCATCACCAGGTCGCGTATAGAAGCGTTCTGCATTCTGAGATAAAGATACTTTATATAAAAAGATCTGTTTCATTCATCCATTCATCAAAGTCCCGTCCATATCTGCGTACTTTGTATATCCATGCAAAGGCGTGAAAAGCGTAAACATTAAAAAAGAAAATGGACAGTATAAAAAAAAGAAAAAGAAAAGAAAAGAGAAACACGCAACGCCCTAGTTCATAAAATCATAAACGCCCCGAGATGGAGAAAATGAGAAACAAGGAATAGGGAGATAAAAGCCAATTGATCCGTGAGATAGAGAGGTGGACGCCATAAGAGGTATAGGTATATATAATAAAATCAATCACGAAAAAAACAGTGACAAAACAAAATATAAAAAACAATAACGATAACAAAAAAAAATGATCAAAAAAATCACATAACATGAGCAGGCTGAGATTCGCCCACGCCTCGAGTGGTCCAGCGCTTCGAGCGGGTTCCCTCAAGTGGGAGCCAATTGCGCAAATGGCACTGGCCATTTCCCTGACAGACCCGCTTGCGGCCGAGGTTTTTGAAGCGCGGTCCAAAGGGGCCATTCACATAGTGATACTGGCCTGCGAAGCGGTACTGGCGGTGGTCGCTGAGGGGATAAAACTTGTCGCCCCAGTGGCCGGAATAGTAGAACCAGTCGGTGGGTGCGTGGGGGGTGAGCTGCGAAGAGCGGAGGGTATCATTGATATAGTCGTAGGTGTATGCGTGAGAGTTGAGGAGGGGATCCCAGAGGGGACCGCGATCGGTCAAGTCGTGAAGCATGCCCCAGGGGAGAATGTATGAATGGGTGCCGGGGGTGGCGTACATGGCGTGGGTACCAACGGCGGAGTAGGCGACGGGCTATAGAACGGGGATATTAGCTTTTGCAGAAGAAGAAGAAGAAGAAGAAGAAAAAGAGAAATAGAAAATTGCGGAACATTGAGAATGGGAAAAAAGGGAATATAGGAAGATGGAGTATGCTGATATAGAGTAAAAGGTGCATACCCTTTTTCCGATTTTCTGAACGGCTTCGTAATTGTAGGCTTCGCCACCACTGTGTTCACTAAAAAAGACGGCCTTGGGTTTGCCCTTGTGGAATCGAATGACGGTGTGTTCCCAGTCGCCGACGTGATTGCCAAATCGCACATTGAGCACGACATTGCCCAGGTTATAGCTGTAGAAAAAGAACCAAAAGGCGTCGACGACACCATCGCCCTTGTCCACCACTAATAAGACGGCCGGTGCGTCACTACGACCTCCTTGGACTCTCTTGCCCAATTTCCAGGTTGGCGCAGAAGCTGCTCGTCTTCGCAGGGTTTCTACGACATCCTCCCCTTCCGCCTTATTAGTGGGTACAGCAATATGCTCTGTTGCAGTCGGGTTTGGTCTCCTGCCACCTCTGTCCTTGGTGCTGCCAATTCCAACGTCCCACCATTGGTCCAGCTTGCTGTCCGGTTCATCTGGGACATCGCCGTCGATCCGTCCGTCCCATTCTGCCCAGCTCAGCTCCTTGCCATGGTCCTCGCCACCTTCAGGCAAGTCTCCAGGGCTGGGCACATTCTTCTCCCCGCCAAGCCATTCGGGCCGGCCCTCCACGTCGTCATCGCTCTGGAGGTAGACGTGTCGGCCATTGTCCCACTTGTTCAGCTGGCTAAGGTTTGTGAGATTGAGATGCTCTGAGAATAATGGGGTATAATTGAGATGCGGTGTAACATGATGTAGATGCTCTTCAATGTCGCATGGCCAAAACTGTTCTCCAGAAAACAAATGCACAAGCGGAGCATAGTCTAATACGTATTGCGGGATCTCGCGCAAAACTCGCTCGTCGTCGCTCCAGTCTTCTGGTCTTGTCTTGCCCTCTAACCAGGATGATGCCTGATGACCGCTATCTTGTGTGTTTTCGGAATCCTCCACGTTCATCATAGCCACTTGCTCTTTCCGCTTCTTATCTTTTGCCCGGCGTATCTCACTCGATGCTGTGCGAAAATGGGCCACACCGCACATGCCGAGCCATTGGCACGTTTGGCGGTCTAGCCATGAATGTGACGATGCAACCCATCGCACCTCTTCTTGGCCCTCCTCGCCAGGAGTCGGGGCGTGTGTGCTCAGTTGACCAAAGGTGAAAAGACCCAGTAACGTCGAGAAAATGGCGAGCGTCGCTCGCCGCCGTGTCGGCATGAGGCTTGCAGAAGCTAACGAGTCATTCAATCGGTCCGCTCCCACAAGATCAGTACAGGGCGTTGGCGTCAAAGTATTGGGGACGCAACGCTGGGGTAACGAGTCAGATTCAGCGAGCGGCGAAGAAATCAAGTCTTTCAAAGGCTGCAACTGCAAAGGCTCCTGGCCGTTGCGATCGCCAGCTAGAACGACAGAAGGGGTTTGAGCGAGAGGCTGTTGAGAGTTTGCATCAATCAAGAGAAAAGGTGGGCTTTCATCGAGCTGGGGATTCTCGTCTGGATATAGGATCGGGGCCCCCGGAATTGAGGAGCGTGAAGTGGAGCATGGTACCGGAGTTGGCAGCGACGAGGGGAAGAGCGTCGAGGTCGTGATTGCCCATGAAGGAAGCCGTGGCGGAGGTTCCTGACCGCCATGGGTTGCCGTAAGAGCCACTATATTTTTTCCGAGTAATCACTCAGATTAGCAAATCATGCCCGCATCTGAGTCAACACATGTACGAGACTAGAGGAGGGGGGAAGCTACCTAGCATGGCCATTGATTAGTCTTTGCGTGTGATATGATGATGCGATTACTCTATTTGGGCCCAGGGCAATGGCGTGTACGGCAAGTGGCCGCCCAGCATCAAGAGGGGGCCGGGGGGGGGAGGATAGAAGCCTGAACCCAATTTGGATGACAAGGGGGATCCGTCGGCAAGAACAACCGTCGCGTGGTTTACGTGAGAAAAGAAGGGTATCGAGTAAGATGAGGAATGAACGTGACAAGAAGGATAGCAGGGTACTCAGTGAAGGGGACGGGGGTTGTAGGCGTAGAGCACAGACACCCCTACATCGGAACAAGCGGATGTTGAATGTTTTGAACGGCTACGTCGGGAATAATAACGAGAAGAAACTTGCATAGAGTACGAAGGATACCTAGAGTAAGTTCTACGAGCCGCCGATACTCTGTATAGTAGGGTGAAAAGAGCTTCCCGCATGCGTCAGCAACTGCAGACATGCCAACCGCTCTGGAAAGCTTGTTATGTGATGATCCGGCCTAGGGGAACGATGGAAGATCCTGCTATCAGAGTATATACACACATTATAGCTCAGGCGATCGTGAAAAGGCCCCGGGGCTATTGTTTTGCGATGTAGATTGTGGAGATATCACCTACAGTAATATTCCCTTGTCCTTTTCTGTTGAAACTTGTTGAGCTCAACTCAAGACCCTTCATCGCATTTATCGAACCATGTTAAGTGCAGTTAGCTTGCATGATGTCAAGAGCGGTGTATAGGTTATCAAGCAAGCTATGGGCTTATCTGTTGATAAGTCATACAAGAGCGAGGGGAGGGGGACACCACCATCGACTCATGTCCATCTACGCAGTAAAGTTAGGTGGTTGGACTGGCCGAAAAATCCCCTCACGCTGCCCATCTGAACAAATTTGCGGCATCTACTGTACGCTACGGGAGCAGTGGAGCCTCTAAGTGCTCTAGCCGAAACGCCGACGAGGAAGCTACAGCACCTATAGCTGTTATGAGCACACACCATTGATTGGTTAACGGAGCACAGTATTCTTCAGAAGACATTTCTCTCGACGCCAATCATTTGAAGCCACAGTGGGTTCTTACATTGCCGGTCCGAGGGTCCATACAGGCAGAATCCTTGAACAGCAAATTCAGAAACGATTTGATGATGGAAGCCTTCGCTCGGGTCAAATGATACATAGTTGGCTGAGATGGACAGTGTCATTCTTTAATGTCGTCATAGCTCGCGGTCGGGGAATGTTTTCGGTCTGGATTCTCGGCCGATAGAACATCCCATGTCCAGCAAGTACAGAGGTACAGCATAACAAAAAGTCCGTAAGACCCGGTTAAGGCCAGAGCCGGTCTTGGCGGCCGCAGGGACGGAAGTTCGGTAAGCGACGTTCTAAAGTCGCGCACTACTGAACGGGATTTACAGTTAAGCCCTCCCATATCGTTCGCGGACTATTATCACCGCGCGTTGAAAGTCTTCTTGTCCATCTCTTTCTTGATGATCACTGATCGCTACATGCATCAGGACTGGGGGAAAAAAAGATTCTCAGTATCAGCTTTGCTAAAAACAACGCAGCATGGGTTTTGATAATTTAACCTGGGTCCAAAGGTGTTAAAAGGAGCTTCGCCGTTCCCGAAGATTCCCTTCACTTCTTACGCATTTGTCGCTGGGAAACCCTTGGGCCAACAACCCGGACAGGCGCTGTCAGCAATTCGGCAATTTGTCATTTGGGTTTCCTTTGATATGATGTCACATGCAAGGGCTTTCTCATGCATCAAATGCATATCAAATGACTCAATAAATAACAAAAATCAGAGCTTTGGGATACGAAAACTTTAATGCATTTTTGACTAACGGTAAAGGATTACTCCCAGATGGCTTACAATGAAGTTTATTGACAATTGCTTATGAACATGCCCATTTCACTACAAGTGCTTACATACACGTTGGCCATGACCTCTTACGATTAGCCTGCTCTGCCCAAGCTGGCTAAGTCCTGGTGGCTGACAGATCCACCTTATCGTAAGGTGGAGGAGGAGACCAGGACTTGTGAAAGCGCCAATGGTCTGACTGTAATGACTCTTGGAATTTTCCAATGATATTACTACGGCATGCAGTTGTTGTGGCTTTTCTTTGCAGTGGCGTCGGTAATTGTTTCGTTGATGCATTCGAGCAAATGACAAGCACGTGCCACGCTATCGATCACCAATAAAGTGTCTGCCGGCGAAAGGTGCAGCTTGCCCCGGCATTGTCAGCCGAGAAATCCCCGTCTCTGGCAGCAATATCAGCCTTTGGGTTCTTTGCAGATGCTGAGGTTCCCTTCGCAGCTCATGCTATAGCGTAGGTGATTTGAGTTGAGCCATACATATCTTCCACCTTCATCAATCAATGGGGAAAATGATTTTGCTCAAAATGTAAAGAGAATATTTTGTTTTAATAGAAAAAAAAAAAAAAAAAAAAAGAATATAAAACGAGCAAATGAATGAGTGCCATGAATCATTCTTGTGAGCCTGCTTTTCTCTCCACTTGATATTCCTTGCTTCCTTCTAAACCCGCCATATCCGTGCCTCCAGTGCAAGATCTCACGACATGAGGCTACAAAGCTCGGCGAGAAGCGAAGTTGGCTCCCCTTGGCTCCTCATTTGGTAGCCCTATCGATAAGAGCTCATCCACCTTCGCTCCAATTTGGTTAGCGAGGGTTCCAGACGCTGGAGCCAACGAGCGAGGGGACAACGGAAGCTGCTTTAGCGCCACAAAGGTCGTGTTATTTCGTCCAGATGATGTCGAAAGTTTGTTTCATCCATAATGAGAAGCTTCGTTGGCAACAGCAAAGATGGCATGTCTCAATATTCTGCCAATGATATAACCGCGCCAAGTAGTGCCATCGGCTCATCTGCCCTTAGACCAAACCCAATGGAGCTGGATGATGAGGAATGGGAGTACGAGTATGACGAGAATGAGACAGAGGTATGATTGCAAAACGTTTCACATGTTCTGTTGCACTGCAACTTTCGGCATTGAGAAATTTGAAACTTATATTACTGGTAGACTTTCTACGTAACGATTGATCTCTCGTCCAGAAGCGGACCCGCGCGATCGAAAAGGAAACTACCCCCACAGACTCAAGAGGACGGAGAAGAAGCTGAAGGCGAAGTCAATGAGGGGGAAGACGGCAACAATGATGACGGAGTCGATGCGGATGATAATGATGAGGAGAGAGAGCAAACGCCGCCTGGTTCACCGGCTCCTAGCCACGGAGGGGGAAGAGATGAAGCTTTAGAAGCTGCTCAGCGACATCCCCCGCAAGACTCAGATCCTGGCAATAATGCGCAAAAGCAGCAAAAAGGCGTACAAATCCTCGATCTACATACTTCTAATCCCATCATTTCTTATGATAATCAAATATTCAATTGCCATTGGTCATCAACGATTGGCACAGATATGCTTTTCTCCAAGCCTTCTGCAAATCCCTCTCACCCTGTCGTGCGGTCCACTCACGGATACGACTTGGTGGCACTAACGTCAGCAAAATTGATAGGTACGAGCGCACATCTGGCGCCCCGAAAGGAGGTACGGGTGAGCCGAAAAGGGGAAATAGCTGCTGCACAAGGAAGACAGCTTGAGAGGGGCACTCACCCCACCTCTGGAGGGGCTGCAGAAGAGCCTATCATACCAGTGGGGTCTGGAGCAAGTGCAGCCAGACACAGTCAAGCACGATTCCTGGAACGCCTTATGAGGGCCAAGGACGCAAAAGGCGAGACAGACAGCGTTACTGTGTACAGCAAGAAAAGACTCACGCAAACCGGCTGGAGGGCATTGCAGAGCGAGCGACGGAGAAGAGTTGAAGACATTGAAATTCTCCGTCATCTCGCTGAAGAAGGAGACGAGGAAGCCCAGTCCCAGCTAGAGCAGCTTGTCCAGGCTGATCCCCTAGGGAGCACTCACGGAGATACTCCAAGTGAGGCAGGGCCGTCTTCTCAACCTCAATCTTACGATGGTAATCTTTGGAGATCTGCTCTTGGAACGCCATGGGGAGACGATATTTTGCGAACGCCACGACGTGGCCCTGGACGACCTGGATCAAGACGGGGGAGAGGAAGTGGCAGAGCTACTCGAGGTTTTACGACGATGGGTCATTCTTTGATGACTTCAGAGTCGTCACCCCAAGATCCAAGCATTGACCAAAGTAACACAGCCACCCCCGCAGCTCGGTCCGAGTTCAGCACGCCTCAACCAGGAACCTCACTTCCCCCCGATGACGGCGCTCAAACTTAAGGAATCAGGGATCCAGGTTATCTGAGAATTTCGTTTCTCTCTATTTCAGAGGTTTCCCACCACCTGGTCTTTGTCAATATTCATTGAGGTAGACAACTTTTCATTTCTCTATTCAATTAGATGATCTCTTTGGCCGACGCTTCGTTAGAACCCTACCTTTTCATCACCAAATATTCCTTACTAACACTGCGTTCATTGCAGAAAGTCTGTCGACGATATACATATGAATCAAGTTTCCGGAGTCACCGCGCTAGTACCAATTACAGCCAGCGACATTCGAGACGGAGGCTCTGGCAAGCAAGCATGAAATTGCGCAGAGGGAGGGGTGCGCGCCTTACCCAATTAGGCAATCAGACAATTATCGTCGGACGTCTACGAGATTTGAAACGCCATACAAAGCCACCAGGGCTTCGAGAATTTAATTCCTCCTTTTGAAGTGTCGGATTCCAACACTCCATAAGACCTATTTATCTCAAACTTGAGCTAGAGGAATTGTATGGCAAGTTGAATTGCGTAGACGTTCGACGATCATTGAATGGTGAGCCTTTTGGGGTTGCCGAGGGGTGACCCTCTCTGGCTTATGGCGGCTATGAGAAAAACCCTCTAGTCCGGAAACGCTTGCAGCACAATATGCACTAGTCTTTCCAGAAGCGCCCTGTCGCTTGAGATATTCGCGCGCATACACCATATACACAGACTCCCTAATCGGGTAATTTTCAAACACCGTCGAACGTCTACCAAATTCGAATCCACATACAATTTCTCCAGTTCAAGGTCTTGGTAAATAGGTCTTATGAAGTGTCGGATTCCAACACTTCATAAGGAAGAAATAAATTCTCGAAGCTCCAGGGGCTTTGTAAGAGAACTCGAATTGTGTAGACGTTTGACGACATTTCAGGATTACTGTTTTGGGACATACCCTCGTGTATGTGAACGAAGCACTAGAAGCACGCGACACACTAGACGCGCCAAAACTAACGTGGCAACTGGATACTTGGCGCCCAAGCTACCTTCTCCCTGGATTCCCGGATTCGGAAATACAAAATCGTCGTCGAACGTCTACAGAATTCGAATCCCCATATAATTCCTCAATCTCAAGATTCTGATAAATAGGTCTTATGAAGTGTCGGATTCCAGCACCTCATAAGGAGAAATTGAATTCTCAGAGCTCCTGGAGCTTTGTATGGGAACTCGAATTCTGTAGACGTCCGACGAACTTTTGAGGATTACCCGATTGGGGATGGCTCCTAATAAAATGGACGAAACGCCAGAAGAGTAGCCCTACTACTGGCGCTTGAGACTTAGCAACGTGGCATAGCATGAAATGGCTATATTTGGAAATGCAAAAAGTCGTCGGACGTCTACAGAATTGCAGTTTCCATACAATTTCTTCGGGACAAGATTTTGATAAATGGGTCTTATGAGGTGCTGGAATCCAACACTTCATAAGGAGGAATAAAACTCTCGAAGCTTTGGGGACTTTGTATGGGGTTTCAAATTGTGTAGACGTCCAACGAACTTTCGTGGATTACCAAATCGGGAATGGCTCTCAAATTGGATGGATGAAGCGCTAGAAGCGCATCATAGCGCGTGGGATTCGGTGGGCTTGCGGCCAGCATAGGTTCGATTCTCGTCGGACGTCTACCAAATTCCAACTCCCATACACTTTCTCCAGGTCCAGATTCTGGCAGATGGGTCTTATGAAGTGCTGGAATCCAAAACTTCATAAGGAGGAATCAAATTCTTGGGGTTTTGGGGGTTTTCCACGGGGTGCAGATTCGTAGACGTCCGACGATAATTGTAGGATTGCCGTTTTGGGACAAATGGACAGGCGCAGCGTCAGACGCGCTAATAGTGCTTGGCACTTCATGTCCTACCGCAGAGTATCGTCGAACGTCTACCAAATTGCAATCCCCATACAATTCCTCTAAAAGGAGTCTGAGACAAATGGGTCTTATGAAGTGTTGGAATCTGACACTTCATAAGGAGGAATTAAATTATTGAAGCCCTGGGAGCTTTGCGTGGCATGTTCAATTTGGTAGACGTCCGACGATAATTGTAGGATTACCGGATTAGGAACAGGCTGGAGTGAGTGGATGGAGCAGTACACTCGGCAGGTGTTGAGGCTCTACGTGTAGTCCGTAGTTGCCTGATTAGGAAAATGCAAAACACCTCCAACGTGTGCATAATTTGCGTCTCGGTGAAGACTCCTAGCACACCAAATATATACTCATACTCCAAATGGAGTATTTGACTCTTTATTCTCACAATATCTAAATAGTATTCATTAGAATTTTGCGCGTGGTTATATGGGAAATGCAATTTGGCATCTTTAGACGTCCTCTGCTGGAGAGCGCGGAACTGATCAGATTGATAAGATAAATTTGCTTGATCGGTCATTAATCCCCGATGCCGACGCGGCGTCGCTTTTGACCACTGTATTCCATTTAACCACGTGTAGACAACTTCCAACAGAGTCTCAGATTGGAACGGGCGCCCGATGAGATCACTCTGTCTTTATGGCCATTTCGATAGAGTAACTCCAGTGTGGTAGTGATACTCGTTCCGTCTTTTGAAAATTCGGACTCAATCAGCACCAAGCGTTCAGCAGAACGCATTGGCCGTTGAACGTTGACAGCAATTGTGTTTCGCTGTAGGTGTAGCGAGCCTCAACCTGAAAGCAAAGATGCTTTTCTTTTCAAGCTTTTGCCTGCTCCTTTGCATTCTGCCGCTGGCGGTGCTATGTGCGGAGGATTTTTACAAGGTGCGTAATTAGCTGACCTGCTGGATTTGTCTGCTACAATTGTGCATCTTTATTAATTGCGCTGCGGCACTTCTGCACCGCTTTGCATCACTTTGCATCTCATCAGCATTGTCATGATGACATAACAAATCGCTTTATACAACGGTCCATCTCAGGTATCTGCTTGTGGATAGAAGCTGACTCTTACTAGTTACTTGGAATAGACAAATCTGCATCGGATCGCGAGATCAAAAAGGCATATAGAACGTTGAGCAAACAGTTCCATCCTGATAAGAACCCGTATGGTGTTTCAATCTTGCATAAACAATAGTCTGGACTAGGAAGCTAATAGCAGATACCGCGTCACAGAAACGATGAAGCTGCGCACCACAAGTTCGTCGACATTTCCGAAGCATACGAGGTTCTAATCGACCAGGAGACACGCAAGATCTACGATCAATATGGTCATGATGGCCTCGCGCAACACAAGCAAGGTGGTGGCCCGCAGCACCACGATCCATTCGACCTCTTCTCGCGCTTCTTTGGCGGAGGAGGGCATTTCGGACACGGCGGTGGTCAGCGGCGCGGACCTGACATGGAAGTGCGGGTCGATGTACCACTACGAGACTTTTACAATGGACAGGAGACTGAGTTCAGCATTGAGCGTCAACAAATCTGTGAGGACTGTGAAGGTTCTGGCTCGGCCGATGGCCAGGTGGAGACGTGTTCCGTTTGTGGAGGTCGAGGCATGAAGATCCAGAAAATGATGCTGGCGCCGGGCATCTTCCAGCAGATGCAGAGCATGTGCGATTCATGCGGGGGCAAAGGCAAGACAATCAAGCATGCATGCCCCGTGTGTAAGGGATCCCGTGTCGTCAAAAAGGCGTCCTCGCACAGTCTCCACATTGAGAAAGGAATGCCAAGGGACATGCGCATCCCCTATGAGAATGAAGCCGACGAGAGTCCAGACTGGGTTGCCGGCGACTTGGTCGTCCATCTGTCTGAGAAAGAGCCTGAACTGGGCCGGGAAGACGAGGAAAGAACCGATGGAACGTTCTTCAGGAGAAAAGGAAAGGATCTCTTCTGGCGAGAAGTTCTCAGCTTGCGCGAGGCTTGGCTCGGCGATTGGACTAGAAACCTTACACATCTGGACGGGCATGTCGTTCGTCTCGGACGTAAGCGCGGCCAGACCGTGCAGCCGAATTCCGTCGAGGTTATTCCAGAGGAAGGTATGCCGATTTGGCACGAGGAAGGCGGCCATTCTGCCGAGGAATTCGGTGCGCTGCACGTCGAGTACGTTGTTGTGCTGCCTGATCAAATGGACAAGGCAATGGAAAAGGAGTTTTGGGGTGTCTGGGAAAAGTGGAGAAAGAAGTCGGGCGTGGATCTGGCAAAAGACAGCGGAAGGCCTGTTAAATCCAGCCATGACGAGTTGTAGAGAGTTTCCCATCAGTTCAGGGGGCGAAGAAGCAGCGGTGTAAGGCGTGATGAATCCTGGTGAGCGTAATGAATCGGTGTATGTTCTTTCTTTTTCTGCGTCTCGAGGCAAGCTCACTATAGACTCATTTGTACAAGTAGCATATCAAGGCGCATTGTCTTTTATTTGTCCCATGTGAGTTGCAGCACGGTCTGTACCATCAAGTATTGTTGTGGAGTATTGCATGTGATATTCCTTGCAAGCTGGAATCTACAATGTCTTGCTTAAACATTGTTTCGACCTTTGTAGGTTTCCAAGGTGATTTATATCCTTGGGTTATTTATTATTTATGTTTATTCCCGGTCTACAACCTAATGACGACATGGATATTCCCCATTCGAATAGAAAGAATGCTTTGATAAATAAAATTGGAATGAATAAATAGGTGAAGAGAAAATCTGTCTTCATCAGTTGTCGCGCACTCTGTAGACGACCTCATTCCCAGAAAATGGAGATCCGGGTTAAGAGTCTCGTGGGAGACAGGCTGAGACATCCCGAAGCAGCTTAGCGTAAATAACGAAACAATCTCTTTGAGTTGCTATGACTTCATAACGAACAACCCGCTGGGGCTATGTAATACGGAGTACCTGAAACTCATCATAGTACTGCATTTCCCATCCAGCCCTAATCATGGATTATAAGGCCTAGTATACCGTAGTAGACTTGTAGCCATCTTTTCTGCTTCTATCAGAATAGACAGGTGCAACAAATTCAAAGGTAAAATGGTATGGTATTCGCTAGTTTTGCTTTAGAACAGGTAAAATAGTAGGCCGCAGCGTTTGACTCTTGTTCCTGTTCTCTTTAGCCTGCCAACCCATAACGTATCCATATTATCAACTAGGCTTAGTAGCAGGTCAGAAGCTATTCGCCAGCTGTCATATCCGTCCATACCAGTACGAGTCTGGTAAATCGACGGGAGTCAAAAACTTGGCCGAAGCCTCTTCGCTTGGATCAGGCACCCCGGACGGAGCCGATCGACCTTGGTTATTACTCCACTGTAGATCCGGCAGTGGGCCAGCCGCTGGTCTTTCCTTTCGCTCATCTTTCCTTGTGCCTGTGATCTCCCTACGGTCATTGGCAAATTACCAAAAATCCACCATGATTCAGCTGGTGATTCCGGTGTTGGCGTTTCTCGCCCTGACGAGCGCCTCACCTGCACCTCTTCCGGCCGTGACACCTTCGCCGACCGACAACAATCCTACGCAGACGTACCAGCGCCGCGGCATCATCAGCAACGTTGAAAGCGACATCAACTCGGTGCTCAGCAGCCTGGGCTCAAATATCCCCTCCTACGTCGCCGATGGCGTTGCCAATTTCTTTCAGGATTTCCCGTCGGGCTCCGCTGTTCAGAGCTCTCTGGGCCTGAATGACCAGCAAGTGGCAGCGCTTCCCACAAATGTTTTGAACCTCCCGTAAGCAATAGACCTGAAAACCCTCCTTCGTTTGCATTGCTCTTGTAGTAGGATCGATTTCAATCAGCTAACTTGCTCTATTTCTAGTCCGTATGGTAATTGGACGGACCAAGGCTGGAACGTCCGGTTTCATGGCAATGTCTACAAACAACCTAATACGAGCGAAGCCGAGTTGAATAAGCTGGCCAATGTCTTTCTGATCGGCACCTCGGTGGAAGACCTTCCCCCGTCGCAAGCTGACCAGGCGCGCAACTTGACGGCAGAGATCTTTGTTGTTCAACAAGGAAACCAGAGCGTGTCGATGCATCTCGAGCCCGCGCCATCGGCGGGGTCGAGCGGTCAAGAAGGCGGCGGAGGCGCCGTGACGCCCAGCGGTGGTGATCAGAATGTGACCCTCCCGTATCGCACGACGGGCGAAGGAGACTTTGACGCGTTTGTCCCGATCAAGAATGTAACTGGAGGCGGAGTTGCGGCTGGCAACGAGACAAATGACATTCAGCGGATGAATGTGTATGCCACGGGATCCGAGATTGGCAACGCAACTGCATACCTCGTTCCGCCAGAGGGGCTCACAATCGTCAGCGATATTGATGATATCCTTCGGATAACCAAAATCTACGAGCCCAAGGAGGGCTTGCTCAATTCGTTTGCGCGGCCCTACACGCCGTGGCTCAACATGCCTGACATTTATGCCAATTGGTCTCGCAGCATCCCCAACTTTCATTTCCACTACCTCACCACGACCCCAGAACAGGTCACGCGCAACTACATGGACTTTATCTACAAGACCTATCCTGGCGGATCCTTTGACACTCGGCCTCTCAACTTTAGTGATGTCAGCGCCACCTTGTCCATTCGAAAATACCTCCTCATCAAAATCTTTGAGACTTTTCCTCAGCGAAAATTCATTTTGATAGCGGATACAAGCAACAGCGATGTCATGACGGATTATCCAGAGATGGCCACCCTTTTCCCTAACCAGCTCCAATGCATCTTTCTCCGCAACACATCGTCAACTGACTCGGGTGACCGCTTCCCATACAACACCAAGGGGTTCAAGGATCTCAATCAAGAACGATACATGTTCTTTAACGTTCCGGTACGTACAGTTCATCATCTCTTCATTCATATATGATCTTTGTTGTTTCTTTATTCCAGATACGATCTCTGTTGCATTCGTTGCTGACCCCTCTAGGACGACCTGACAAACCTCGACATTGTAAACGGCCAATGCTACAACCAAAGCATCCGGCAAAACCTCACCTTTGGCGACCAGGGTCTGCCTTTTGGAATCAACTTGGGCAAAGGAAACAAGACCAGTGCCGCCTCCTCCTTTTTCTCCAAACATTCGACTCTTCACCACAAGTCGCACGGCCCGCTGAGTGTGGCCAAATGCATCTTGCGCGATCACTGGCATCTCGGCGTCGGCATTGGCGCCATGCTCGCATTATAATGCATTTGATTTTCTGCACCGCATGCAAGATCAGGTCATGACATGTCGTCTAGGCGTTGGAATGGCCGTGACCTCCCCCGCTTTTGTTTCACGTAGATGCTTCTCTCCATTAGGCTTCTCTGCATTAGGCTTCTCTGCATTAGGCTTCTCTTCATTAGGCTTCTCTGCATTAGAATACATGAACACACTCCTTTGTATATACCCTAGACAATTAAAATCTATAATTCACCAGACCCTATGAACGTGGCTTATACTGTCGAGATTTTGGTATCTCCTGAGTCTCTATCTTTTGTCCTGTAGTGTTTATCGTATCTCCTAGAATCTTTATCGTATCTCCTGAGTCTTTATCACATGATGTCCTATGGTCTGACTCCATACTCTACAGACTTCATTTATACTCTTCTATACTCTTCTATAGTCCGACTGTGTAGTTTGACTGTATACTCTGACTGACTGTATATCTGGCTGTATCCTGTATATCTGACTCTATAGTCGCGCCCGCTCCTCAAGTTCGCCGACTTTTAATCGCTCGCCGTATCGCTGCAGCACGGTCTCGTTGTGGAACTGTCGTTGTCATTTGTTAGCTTTCTTTCTTTTGTTTTGTCTTTTCTGTGATTTTGTCTCGTTTCGCAGGCTCTTTTTCTCTTTAACTCTTCTCTTTCATCCACTCATCCCGAACATCTTCTTCTCTCCTTTTCTCTCCTCTTTTTTTTCTTTCTTTCTTTTTTCTTGTTTCTCCCCTTTACCATTTTTATTCTCTTTTCTTTTGGGTGAGCGTGTTGGGGGGAGTTCGTCCATCCAGATCATGCCATGTACACAAGTAACATGTCAAGTCGAACCACCGCCTCTTCTCCGTTGCGCGTCCTCTGCGCCTTTCAGTGTTCCTTGCTCCCCCCGCCCCCCACCCACGCCTCCGTGTTTTTTTTTTTTAATGCCAGAGAGTCTAGCCAGCACAGGGCATGGCATGTCGAAACGCGAGGCTTCTCCGTTGCGTGTTCCACCGCGGGAGATCAAATAAGAGATAAAGACAGGTGAAGAAAGGTAGAGATAAAGATGAACACCAACTAGAGAGAAAAATGTACCGAAGAAAAACAGAAAAAAAGGGACACCAAATAAGAGATAATGCAAAGAAAGGTAGATATAAAGTTGAACATCAAATACAGAGATAAATGACAAAAGATACCGAAGAAAGGCAGAGACAAATAAAGGCAGGTATAGGCGCAGATAAAATGCAAGTAAACTCACCCTCCAAAACATCTTGGTTGCGTCCTTGCCGCCGAATTTTTTCAATATCACGGACCCACCGGGATGTTCGTTCAGGAAGCCTAGCCGTCGGTCATGGTCAACATAGGGTTGGTTGTGTCGTAGCATGGCATTGTAGCATGTATCGTTGTCTTGTTTCCAGCCCACTGCCCCCTCCCCTTCTCCCTCTTCTTCTTCTTCTCTTCCTTTTTTGCGTAAAGGGAGGGTGGAAAGTAAATAAAACAAAAACAAAACAGCAACAACGACGACGACGACGACGACGACGACGACGACGACGACACATGGGTCAAGTGACGAAAGCAAAAATGAATGGGGCGAGGTCTTTGGTCCAAAAGAAAAAAAAAAAAAAAGAGGGGAAGGAAAGAAAAAGACAAACGTACTAGACATTTCATATACATTATTATCGATGATAATCAGACATCCCTTTTCCACAGAGCCACGGGCTTTGACATCTGCGCGGGAGAACAGCCGGGACATTTCTTTGTCTTTTTTCGTTTTGTTTCGTTTTGTTTCGTTTCGTTTGACTGAAGAGAAAATACAAAGGCGGGCGATGATGGCTCAAGAGTCGATAGTCGATAGTCAAGGTATCTATACTCTCAACAAACAGACTGCCGGCAACGACGCTCGAATGCAGAGACGTAATATCAATGTAGTTGGAGATGCGTATACGAGAGACAGTAATGATAAACAACAAAGTACGAATGCAAAGAAAACACGACGATATACAGACGAAAAGTCACCAGCGAGGCATGAAAAGAAAGAAAGAAAGTCGGAGACTCGGATGATTAAAGGACTAAAGAATGAATACGAAGTGCGAGAGGACCTGGGGTGTTGGTTGCTGGTCGCTGGGATTATCGTGCGATATTCGGGCGATATGCAAGTGTGATATGCAAGTGCAATGTGCAGTGCGTAATAGCTAACGGGTCAACGGTAAATGGTCAACGGTCAAGGAGCGAGGGTCCAGGGAGCAAGGTCCAGGTGCAGATATAGGATATAGTACGGTGTAAATCCCAGTGCGTCCAGCGGGTTGGCGCACAGCAGCAACGCAGCCGAACTCCGCCCGAGCAAGGGAACAAGGAACGAGGGAACAAGGAAGGAAAGCGAATGTGAATGCGAAAGCGAATGACCGAATGACCGACGAACAAACGACGAATGAACAAACGAGGGAAAACAAGCAGACTGGCAGCCCGAGGCGGCGCCGTGCGCCGTTGTAGCGTCATTGTGGGGTGGAGTGGAGCGGAATGCACAAGTGGGGTGATTTTCTTTTCGCTCCCCTCGTTCAATGTCGGGATAATGACGAGCTAGGTTGGGAACAGACTCATTATATTCTTCCCCGCAATTGCAATTTGTAGTTTGCAGTTTGTAGGCTCGCGATACTAGTATAATCGCTAGGGCGAATTTAATGCGCAGAAGAGAGTTGCATATTGAGTAAGTGATGTTGAGATGAGATAGGTAGGAACATAATGTCAGGGTGTTATATACTGTATAAGTACGGGAATGGAAAAAAAGGCAAAAAGCAAAAGGCAAAAGACAACAGAACAAGGACTTGACTGGAGCAGAGATATATACTCCGATAATAAAGAGTGGTTCTGCATGGACACATCTAGATTATCGTCCTGGCGCATGTAGATCACAGGGCAACTAACGCGAATAGGACGTGAGAAGAATACAAAGTACTAAAAAGACAATGGACCGAGGGGACGATGGGCAATTGATAATATGCCGGGGTTGAGATCCATGTCTGGTATTCTACGGAGTATATACCTGGGGAGGAAGAGTAAGGGAGTATACATTGCGCATTATTGGCCCGGCGATCAACGGAAAAAAGCTCTACGATATTCGGACGAAGTCACCATGTCCAGCGAAAGAGATTTGATTCATGACATTTCATGGGATTTGTGCCTATCAATTACCTATCCAATATGTTTAACAGCCATCACGTACCAGGCAAACAAGGCCTGCTCGCTCCCCCAAGTCAAAAGCAAACGCCTGCCCCGAGCCTCAAAACAAAGGAACATGGGCGGTGCCACTCCAACCACACGACCCGCGAAATAGGTACATACAGGCTAAAGAATACAACATACGCGAAAAAGCAATGTTTGGGTGATTGCTTTTGTTTTCTGGAGAAAGGCGAGAATCTTCGCTGTGACGGTCGAAGGTGGTGGTCGACGAGAGAACCGACTCTGGCCAGAAAGAGGAGACGGTAAAGGCATTCATATACCCTATTGTCTGTCTTGTCTTGACCAAACTGCTGAAGACTAATTATTGCCCTTGCCCCTACAAGAACAGGGTAATTTTCAAAGTGACAAAGTTCTGGTGGTAATTTCTAAAGAAATAGTTGGCCCATGCCGGCTACTCCACACAAGTTCTCGCCAATCCGGATTGATTACTGGGACTTGATCCTTGGTCATCGTCCGAGGAAAGGCAACATGAAGGATTGCGCTACAGCGCTCCACTGTATATGGCTTGGCGAAGAGCTACAGCAGAAATACCATTCAGTCCCTTCACCTCTAAAAAGAAGTTGGGGAGCATTGGAAGCTCCTCCTCAGGAGTTGGTCGGATGAGCGTACTCAATTGAGTACGGACTCCACTGTCCAACTGCAGTGGCCTCGCCCCATAGGAAAAGTCAGGGTTCTCCGGAACAAGGGTCCCATCTGTCAGGGCTGCAAGGTGTCTAAAGAGTATCCCACACCCCTGGCACTTCTCGTCCAGCAGGCCACTCTCGATGATCGCGATGACCCTTTCTGAGATCCGTTTCTCCTTGGGTGCATTGCTATCTGCACGGCGAAACTTGCGGAAGTCTTCCTTTCGAAATCCTGTCGGTGAAAGGGAGGCGCGCGACGGGTTGCAAGTCGGCGCCTGATTTCTTCCCCATTCTCTGGCTCTTGTCCCTCAAGACTTTCGTCGTCAAAGCGATCAGTGAAGTATATCCCTGCAGTCTCCCAATTTTAGCTCAGAATTTGGATCATAGACACTGGTTGCCTTTGTCTGCCTTGTTTTCTTGGTTCTGGATGGCCTTCCTGTCTTGTTTGTCGTCGACTTTGCTGTGGTTTTCGTCCTTGTTGACCTCAGAGTCTTTGACGACCGTGGTGTCAAACAGCTCTCGAGGGAAGCACCTCGCTTTGTCCCTCTGGGAATCGTTGACTCGCTTTGATCCTCCGAGGGATAAGAAAACTAGAGATAGATCTTTAGTATCGATATAAGAAAATATTTAGTTATACATCCTCCTCTGAGGTCTGTCAGATCCGGACCGCCCTGGCTTATCTCTTTCAGATCGCAGCGCGAAAAGTCAGCTAAGGCTCAAGAGACCCGCCACTGAAGCACCTGGAGCAACTTCCGAGGGCCAGTGCTGAGATCGCGTGTTGTCTCGTCGTTCAAATCCTTCTACGGCGCGCTTGGTGAGGAAAAGAGCGGAGAGTTGTCGTAGAAAGCTGAGCACATTTGCGGTTGTCTTGCACGATACTCTCTAGAAGAGCTTTCTGAGATGACTGTGGAATCAGACAAGGATGCCATGTTATAAAAAGGCCATAACCAGATCCACCATTGGACGAGCGCCATTAGGAATCGAGCCCAATATCAGTTATATAAACAGCTCTTGGAACAATAGTGGCCGAGATGGCATGTTTATGTTTGTTTTCTGAGTGGCGAAAACGGAAGTCGTAGATGAGTCGCTGCGACTTCTGCGGTTTCCTCGGTTGAGACAGTTTCTTTAAAATTGTTATGCCCAAGAGCTAGCTGCCCTTCCATTTGATAATGCAGGTACGATACACAGATCTAGCGCAGCGGATCCGAACGGGGAAGGACACACTTCAAGAGAGCCCTTTCATTCTCCAAGGCTTTGTTGGCAGAGATACTATGCCAATACTGTCTGGTAAACGGATTGAACGTGGATTTTTTCCCCATTTCCAAAGGGCTTTCCATGCAGGACGAATGGAGGCTATTTAAAAGAATTTTGTGCTCAGCGCGGCTGCCAAGGGAATAAAAGAGTCACTTTAGACTCCACCTTCACTGTGAGAAGGTCTTTGATGAATCTTCAAGATAAAGCCCACCGAAGATAACTGAATTCATTGGTTAGCAAAGATATCATGAGAAGAATAGCAAGTGAATTGGGTTTCTGGGGTTTTGTCAGATTGAATATTCTTTTTTCCGGAATAGCCCTTGATCAGGAATCCGAATCCCATTTGTTGGATGTGATGGTCTGGCTGTATGTAGATCCTTTACGTCTGTCTGTTCGTTCCACTGTTCTTCCAAGGGCTTCGCTCCCGAGGCTAGTGGCGGGTATCTCTCACCAAACCAGGGTTTGGCTTTCCATCAGAGTGACCTTCTGGCCTCTGCTTCCCCTATCTCGTTTTGCAGAAGTCATGCATCCACTCAATTTACTTCACCAGTATTGTTCGAAGAATTGTTTTATGACAAGATTGCACATGGGTTTGGCTGTATACAGCCTCGGGCTATGTAATGCTCATGGCCAGTTATACTTGACTACGTCCTTAATATGATAGAATATAATAATTTTAGTCTTAAATAAACAAAACATATAAATTCAACACTCTAAAAATGTTTCAATTTGCTTGTAGGATATATATACCCCTAGAAATTATGTATGTTGAATTTCAAGATAAATTGCCTCGTATATGTTGAGATATAAATACTATAAAAAAAAATTAAAATCCATTGGATTCATACTTTTGTATGGGATTTCTACCTGTTCGGGTTGGCTGATTACGTCAAGTTAGCTCATCTCGCTAGCTGTGTCCCCGGCAGCTCCCAAACTCGGATCGTTGCCCGAGTACGCGATCAAAAAGTGTTGCACCTCCATTCTTGTCCGAAATATAAACAACCAACAATTAGCTACCTAGTCAACTGTTACAACACCTACAGCCACTAGACTTGTCAGTCATGACGGCGGCACCGCCGTTTTCACAGACGGGTTCACAGCCTGACCAAGGACTCGGATACGCTACCTATCCTGACTTGAATGGCCAGCCTCAAACAACGCTCTCTCCTGATACTACATCATCACAACCACAACAGCCCCAGTCAAACTCGCAGACAGAAACACAAACACAGACGCAAGCTGCGAGACGACAGCAGCAACAATCGAAACAAAAGCAAAATCAGAAACAACAGCCAAAGGCAGCGCCATCGACGCAACGCCTCGCGTCACTTATCGCTGCGCAAAGTGTCCGAAAGACTTTCCGTCGAGAACTCACGCCCTTTGAGCGCGGTCAAATTGTAGGCGCCGCATGTATTGGCAATGCCTCCATACGCGACATTGCTCGCGTCTTTGGGATAAACACGAGCACCGTGCAGCGCACCCTGAAAGCCTGGCGTCTTACACAGGAGCAGGAGCAGGAGCAAGCACAACCCGCAGGATCTGCCCAGCCCGCTGATGGCGCAGAGGGCGCAAATCCCACCACGGATAGCGATATCCTTGATGCCGACGGCCATCATAATAACAACATCAATGCCAATGACGGGCACGACGCGCAGGTCAACGGAACCGGGATCGGGAGTGGACTAGATACATTAGTACCTGCCCACACAATATCTGGCGCTGAGCAGCCCGGTACAGCGTCTCCAACTACAACTAGAACTAGTCCTACAAACGATACAAGCACAAAAGCACTGACGTCGACATCTACAGCTGCACCTACAACAGCACCTACAGCATCAACCCCGCAGAAACTCTACGACGGGACATCCAAGCCGCGAACAGGCCGGCATCGCAAGACGACCCTCGAGCAGGACGAAGCGATATGGCGCGCTGTCACGGACCATCCCGGCATGGGCGTCAAGACGCTGCACGCGACTGTGCTGCAGGGCATGGGCATTAGTTTGTCCACGGTCAAAGGACGCATGAAGGAGGTGCAACAGCAACAGCAACAACAACAACAGCAGCAGCGACGGTCGAAAGCGCGAGGCGCGGCAGGAGGAGCGAGCGTTACAGGCGCTGGGGTAAGTAAAGGGAAAGGCAAGGGCAAAGGTACGGGGACAAGGACGAGTACAGGTACATTTACGGCACCAACAACAGATGGAGCTGCAGGAACGGAAAGGCAGAATCCGTCGGCTGCTACTGCTGCGGGAGTAGATGAGAATGGAATAGGCCTCGCGTTCGCAGCGCACCAGTCTCATGCGCCTTCTCTCGACCCTGTTCCTGGTCCTGGTCACGCTCCTGGAAGCGTGCAAAGCACTGGGACTATGCAGGACCACGTTCCAGAAATTCATCTCCATTCTCGAATGTATCCCGATCAGAGCCTTCTGCCGTGTGGAATCATGACACTCAAAGGGTATGGCGGCGGGTCGGAAAAGTAGAATTTGGTTCCTGCGCAGAATATGATTTATACCCCTGTAGTATTTGTCGAGGAGTTCCGAGGAATTTTTTTTTTTAAAAAAAAATTGAAGGTAGATGGAGAAATCGAATATCTCATATTCAAGTTCATGTTCGTATGGCACGTTCACAAGAAAAGTTCGTTTGGAGAAATAGACAAGAAAAAAAGTATCGTCACATCGTGGGAACCCGGTCAACTTTGTTCGACGCTATGCACAGATGATATAGCTAAGTGACCGCGAGCGGTCTTCTCATTTGAAAAAGAAAGAGCCCACATGGAACCCGCCAGTCCAAGTTTTTCCTTTCCCACATATGCATGATCCGCAAGAGCAAAGCTGCCGAGAAAGAAGATGAAACAATAGAGAAAGCGTTTAGAAAACGAGAGCAGCACCCTTGGTCTTCTTGTCACCACTGTTGAAATCAATTAGCATTCGTTTCCAAAAGAATATCCAGAAGATGGGAAAGGAGTTATGATTGCATACCCAAGCTCGAAGTGCTTGCATCTCTTCAGGGCAAGCTGGGCCTTGGTCTTGCACTGGGTGCACTCCAGTCTCAACACGACCTTCTTGGTGGTCTTGGCCTTCTTGTGGAAGACAGGCTTGGTCTGACCACCATAACCGGACTGCTTGCGGTCATAACGACGCTTACCCTGCGCAAAAAGGGAGGCCTATTGTGAAAATAATATGTATAAGCTTCCGTTCGTTTGTACATATCTTCAATACCAATTCGTTTGGCAGACGAGCCCTTTCCCCAAGAAAAAGCTGGTTGGAGGCCCTTCGCCGCGGAAAAGGTATTGGTGGGATGATGGTGTCTCTCGTACCTTTCCAGCCTTGTACTGGGTGACCTTGTGCTGGGTGTGCTTCTTGCAGTCCTTACCCTTGCAGTAGGTGCGACGGGTCTTGGGAACGTTGACCTGTGAAAAAATGGCCATGTCAGCGACTGATTTCCTTGGCAGACTGAAACACAGCTCGAGTAGCGAAGGAAGCGCCCAATTTGCGATCCATTTCCATCAGATTTCAAATATTCAGCGCTTGGCAAATCGGTGACGGCTCGGAGGTATGTGACGACCGGCTCGGAGGGAAAGTCTTCTTGAGGCTTCCTTGAGATTTTCATAACTGGGTGCACGATCGCGACATGACGGCTCCGTATAGTTGCAATCCGACCGTATCCCTCACACAAACTGACGGTTTCAAAGTTCGTTTCCCCGCTCGCGATTTGACAAGGGATGGAGTTGACCGTGTAGGGGTTTTTTTTTTTGGAATTCCAAACTTTGATATCGTCGTCTTCCGTTTGCCGTTTATTCTCTCAAGGGGAAAATATCGAATATGCCGTCACCGTTTTGCCAATAACCTCCTGGAAAAAGTCCCGAAATAATACCCAAAATCCCGACTCTTGCGATCGCATCTCCTTCCGCAGACTCGAAATAACATCTCAAAACCACAAAAGCGCTTACCATCTTGGCTGATTTTTGAAGGTCGCTGGAGAGGTGCTGGAGGATTGTTTGCCGTCGACGGTGAGCAAAGGTGACAGGTTCGAAATTGGATGTGTGCGGCTTTCCTCGCTAAAGCCCTATCCGATATGTTTTGTGCTCACTGATTGGCTAGACGAGGGACATGAGCAATGAGAGTCTCTCATAGGAATTGCTGAGTCATGCATCAGTTACTTAATTTGGAAAGGCCAGAATTTGCGAAAGAACGACCATTTCAGGCTTAGCTTGCTGGGTGCTCCATCCTCATTCTGGGGTTTGTGTACACTTGCTTAGCCCGCAAGTGGATAAATTTCGAGGTTACGGAATATCCAGAAGCAATCTGTTTCGTGGACATGGAATTGTGAAGCTTTCCCATTTTTGATTCACTATATAACTCAGGTTAAGACCAAACCAGAATTGTCCACTTTGCTTGTAACTATCCTAGCGGACCAACGCCTGTCAAGTCGGGACTTTACTTGAGTGGGTACAGGAATTTTGAACAGACGTGTTATATCTGAACCTCCTTTTTTATTGTCAAATTCGGTGAAGTATGTTGGATTCCTACAGGACTAAACTTCATAAACTTCTGCCAGCGATACGCTGGGGTTTTGCTCCTTTAAAAGGGTAGTTAAAAGTGGACTTCTTGTAGACTCCAATCCGTGGTTTAGTGAATATCCTCAAATCATGAATGTTAGGCCTAGCGGTGATTCTTTAAGATATGGTCTCCTCCAAGCCCGTTTGAAAAATTCTTTATCATACTCATATCGTTCCGCGAAAATATTACGGATCCTATAAAGAAACACCCGTATAATCATAACTTTCAAATCATGAGATGCTCTTTCCCTGAACTAGTCCAGTCTCGAATTCAATCACGATGAAAGTCACCTTGACGGCGCAAGAACAAGCCATATGGTCTGTAGCATGGCCACTTGCCTATATCGAGCGTTCTGTAACAAGGTTGAACTAAACGATTTTCCAAACTTTACCTGATGCTTACAGCTTCAAAAATCCTCGAAAGAGAACGACCAATATGGACTGGCAATAGAAAACCATACCTGAGAAGGAATCTGCTCGCGTTAGAAACAATCTGGACAGCTATGCAACATCTTCCATATTTATTGGCAGCGTTCCCCCGACCTTCCCAACTTATTTCTGCTTTTCCTAATTCCTTGTTAGCATCCTCAATTGATTATACCTCGTTGAACATTCTCTTCGCCGCTTGTCTTTGCATTATCAATTGTCATACAGAACATCATAACCGAAATCACACATAGAAATATGAGCATCCAAGCCCGAGGTTTCCAGAAGCGTGCTGAGCTTTCGCAATTTACAAGCGCACTGTGGTTCGTACTTCTCATTGCTGACCATGTAAGTAAGCTGTTCTTTGGCCTGTGTAAAGGCCGTCTGCTCACAGTAAGTAGATTGAAGATGATGCCGACTTACTCAACTTGGCACTGGCTTCGAAACGTTATTTTCACGCAGTCATCACAAAGGCATTCCGCAAAATCGACGTGAAATGGTCCAACGGTGACGGCAAAAGACGAAGGTATAGACGCGAGGACATAGCCAAAGAGGACGAGAGCGAGTTTGAGCAGCAGCCAATGTGCAACCAATCCTGGATCCTAGATCAGCTGTCCGGCTACGCAAAGCTGGAAGCGTGTCTGGCAATGGGCCACGGCGAAGCAGTTAGAAGCGTGGAACTCTCTGGCTATTGTTACCCACCCTACCATATGATGACGGACGAGGAACAACGACAAGGGGTTTGCGTTGCGCCATATTTTCAGTCGCTTAAACGACTTACCCGCCTCTGCGAATTCAAGTAAGTCAGCCTCCGTTTTGGGGAAAAGCAGACAAGGAAGAATTCTAACAGCGAATCTAGATTTGCAATGACTTGGGACCAGTTCGATGCCAGATTTCTCGAGCTCCTGAACCCCGAATGCATGACATCCCTAGATGTCCCTGTTCGGCTATCATCGGATGTCGTGGCGCTTGCAGAAGCACTGGGAAAGTTTTCAAAAATGAAAACTCTCAAGCTCAGACATGTTCCGGCATATGCGACTTTCTCCGCCGGTTTTTCAGCTTTGGGAAGCGCTATTAAAGGCGTTGCCAGAACTCTGCGGCATCTGACCATAGAATTGACCAGCCGCAACCGGCCATCAACATGGGATGTAGATGATTTTGTTCTTGTTGAATCGGCGTTGGAGTCTTTTAGACTCTTCTTTCCTGCATCCCGACGCCCCCGACATGAAGCTCATCTTCCAAGTTTGGCAACCTTTAACTTAGAAACTCTTCGGCTGAAGAATTTCGTTTCAGTGTCCAAAGACAGTTTCGCCAAAGGAGGCTTGTTCGAGCCAAGTTGCCTCCGATCCCTAGAGCTTCCACGATGCACAGTTGAGCCTGGTTTCTGGGACGCAATGTCTCGAAACACAAACAGTCTTGTCTCTATCGGGGACGTTGATTACAACGTCCTCGATGAGGAGATGGCTGAATTTCTGGCCGGCTGTCATTCGCTTAAGGCTCTTTCGTTGTCGCGACCGCGGCCCGTGGTGGAGATAATTGCTAATGTTGAGGGATGGTTGATAACGAGCCCGCTTCCCAGATCCCAGCAACCAAAGCTGAGCCACGAGGGCTTGATTAGGTTCATTGACATTGCTTTGGAAAGGCCAGTAAGCTTGACGAGTTTGAGGCTTCCGTGGCCTTTGGAAGATCTCAGCACACACGAGCGTATCTGGATGATTGACCATCTGCATCTCATCTTCAAGGTGGACTTCGAACCAAAGGAGAATTTTTGAAACTATGATGGAGGATGCTCGAAAAGCAGAGCCTGGAAGAGCTCAGCGGAGCCCCACTAAATTGTATTCAGCGTTTGTTCCAAGAGGCAAAGGAAATGGACTCAGTATATATAAAAGCGACTCATAGCATCTTATATAGGCACAATTGGTAAAGGCCTATCGGAAGATCTTTGACTAAAGAAGGAGAGCTCGGCGATAGTGTACCATTGCTGGCGAAAGGAATTGTAATATAGAATAAAAATCAACTATAAGTTTCAATCAGTAGTTGTCTTAAAATCAAACGTGTATCCTGTATAAAATCAAGCACGAATAAATTCATGTCATCTGAAGCTCACGGGAGGGCTGAGCGAATGAATGTAAGTCCTGGCTCATTTGAAACAAAGATATCATTTTTTGTAGGGCCTCCTTGAGCCGTATAAGATCAACATCAACAAATATTTATTTATAGCAGATATTAATGGGAAGAAAATTTAAGTGTCAATAGAGCGAAGAACAAGATCATGAAAGTATGACGCCAGAACGTCGGCCCCTGTGTTTGCACTGAGGTACAGAAACCCGCATCGCGTGGAGCGATACAGAGTTGTTCCCAAAGCGGAAAAGGCGGACGGACCGGCGAGATCGCATAACTACGGAGAATAATACTCAATGTTTGCGACCTTTGGCCGGCACGCAGGTGAAACAGCGAGAGGATAATTACCGATAACAATGGATCAACGATTATGGGTATCTGATAATTTAATAAAGGTGAGTTGTATATTTTGCCAGGATATAATAATTGATGCTAACGCTGTTCAGCTCTCCGGCGCCTCGGATCCCACGGTCGTCGATTTCGTCCTCGCCACTGCGAGCTCCGCAAAATCATCCTCAGCCTTGCACGAGAAGCTCCAGGGCTTCTTAGACGGGGCAGAGGCAGATATTTATAAGTTTAGTCATGATCTTTACCATCGATTACCGAAGAAGCATGGATCAACGAGCGCGGACACCAGCAGGAGGAAGGAGAAGGAGGCCGAAACAAGGGAAGTGAAAAAGCGGTACAAGCTTCTCGATATGGAGGATGATGAGGCTAGTTTGGGCCCGGCGAGGGTTGAGAAGGCCGAATACAGTGAGCGTCGAGCACGAAAGCAGAAAGACGGCGCGGAGAAGAACGGCGATTCAAGGCGAGATAGAAGCAGAGATCGGGAAAGGAGACGCGATCGTGACGCGCCTCGATCAAAGAAGCTTCGTCGACGAGGGAATGATGACTTTGAGGACCGATGGGGCGATGAAGAATACTTTGAGGAAGAGGAGGGAGCGGAAGATTTCGAAGAGTCGCCGGCGAAGCGTGTCCGGCTCGACGAGGACCCCGAGGACTTGCGTTCGGAGGAATCTGATCTGGACGAGGAGACAAGGGCAGAACGAGAGCGCGAAAAGGACTTGGAAGAAAGGCGAGAGTTTGAGGAACGCCTGAAACACAAAGATGACGAGAAGACTAAGAAATTTGTGGAGGATCGTTCGTCGAACAATGAAGGCAGTGCTTTGGCTCAGCGAAGAGCCCTGGCAGAAGATGCTGCCGCAAGAAGCGCTGCGCTGCCTGACTTGCGAGAGAGGTCACGGCAAGAATATCTCAAAAAGCGTGAAATGGAGCGACTAGCTTTACTCAGAAAGCAAGTTGCCGAGGAGACCGAGGAGCTGAGAAGCAACCCGGAAGGACTCAGTCGACGGGAGAAGGAAGAATTTGCCAAGAATCGGGAAGTTCTCCGACTCGCGGAGGAGAGACTTCGGGTGGACGATCATCTGGATGGCTATATGCTCCCAGAAGATTATATCACCGAAAAGGGCAAGATAGATCGGAAACGAAAGGAGGACGCCCTCTATAAACGTTACGTCGATAGGGATGAATATGGGCAAGAAAAGTTTGTCACTGAACAGGAAGAATGGGAAAACGAACAGACGGCCAAAGCCAAAGCTCAGATATCACGTCCTGAGCGGGTTAATGAGGGTGACTACGAATATGTTTTCGATGATGCCCAGAAGATTAGCTTCGTTATGGATTCAAGGATGGAAGGCACTCAAAAGCCTATGACCCAAGAGCAAAGAATGATGGAACTGAAACTCAAAGCCGCTGAGCAAAAGGCTGCCACTATTGAAGAGACAAGAAAAAGTCTGCCAATGTATACTTACAGAGACGAATTGTTGGCAGCAATTGCTCAACATCAGGTTCTCATCATTGTTGGTGAAACTGGTAGTGGCAAGACCACACAGATTCCACAGTATCTGCACGAGGCAGGTTATACTAAGGGCGGCCAGAAGGTTGGATGCACTCAGCCTCGGCGAGTCGCAGCTATGAGTGTTGCAGCGCGTGTTGCGGAAGAAATGGGGGTGAAACTGGGCAACGAGGTTGGATACTCGATTCGATTCGAAGATGCTACGAGCGACAAGACGATTCTCAAGTACATGACCGATGGCATGCTGCTTCGAGAATTTTTAACGGAACCTGATTTAGGTGGATACTCGGCCTTGATGATTGACGAAGCCCACGAGCGGACCTTGCACACAGACATTCTCTTTGGTCTTGTCAAAGACATTGCAAGATTCAGACCCGAACTCAGGCTGCTTATTTCGTCGGCAACAATGGATGCACAAAAGTTTGCCAAATTTTTCGACGATGCCCCTATTTTCAATATTCCTGGACGCAGGTATCCAGTAGATATTCATTACACGCCCCAGCCGGAAGCAAATTATCTGGCAGCTGCGGTAACCACCATCTTCCAGATTCATGTGACACAACCCAGAGGCGACATCCTCGTGTTCCTCACTGGGCAGGAAGAGATTGAAGCTGCCGAACAGAATTTGCAAGAGACGGCTCGCAAGCTAGGGAGCAAGATCAAGGAACTCATCGTTTGCCCAATTTATGCCAACCTTCCAACCGAGCTACAAAGCAAAATTTTCGAGCCCACGCCTGAAAATGCACGAAAAGTGGTATTGGCCACGAACATTGCCGAGACGAGTCTGACGATTGATGGGATAGTATACGTTATCGATCCTGGTTTTGTCAAGGAAAACGTGTACAACCCGCGAACCGGAATGGAAAGTTTGGTCGTTACTCCGTGTTCTCGAGCATCTGCAAATCAACGCAGCGGCCGAGCTGGCCGTGTCGGTCCCGGAAAATGTTTCCGTCTATATACCAAATGGGCATTCTACAATGAGCTTGAGGAAAGCACAACTCCCGAAATCCAGCGTACGAATCTCAATAGTGTCGTTCTTCTTCTCAAGTCTCTTGGGATCAACGATCTCATCGACTTTGATTTTATGGATCCTCCGCCGGCGGAGACCCTCATTCGTGCTCTCGAGCAGCTTTATGCACTTGGCGCGTTAAATGACAGAGGAGAACTCACTAAGATCGGTCGACAGATGGCTGAATTCCCCACTGATCCCATGTTGGCCAAAGCTATCTTGGCTGCCGACAAGTACGGCTGCGTGGAAGAAGTGCTCTCCATTATCGCCATGCTCGGAGAAGCTTCTGCGCTCTTTTACCGACCAAAGGACAAGAAGATTCATGCCGACAGTGCGCGAGCACGCTTCACGATCAAGGACGGAGGGGATCATCTCACCTTGTTAAACATCTGGAACCAGTGGGTCGATTCCGACTTCAGCTTCGTGTGGGCTCGGGAAAACTTTCTCCAGCAAAGAAGCTTGACGCGTGCCAGAGACGTACGGGATCAGCTTGCTAAGCTTTGCGATCGTGTCGAAGTCACCGTTTCGACATGTGGAGCGAACGACCTTGTGCCTATCCAGAAGGCAATCACCGCCGGTTTCTTCCCCAACGCAGCTCGATTGCAGCGAGGCGGAGACAGTTACCGAACTGTCAAGAACAGTATGACTGTCTATCTGCATCCCAGCAGTACTCTTTTCGAAGTCAACCCCAAATGGGCCATCTTTTATGAACTGGTCCTCACAAGCAAGGAATACATGCGAAGCAACATGCCCTTGCAGCCAGAATGGCTCGTTGAAGTTGCCCCGCATTATCACAAGAAGAAGGATCTCGACACTCTTGGTGTCGACAAAAAGATGCCGAAAGGGCAAGGCGCTTCTGGCGAGCGGGGTAGACTCTAAAGTGGACATATTCATCATTTATACTGAATGGCTCGGCGTCTGTTACATTGCCTGGAGTATTTATTTGACACAATGGGATATCTTGTATCGTACAGTATGGAGTAAAAGCATTCATGTTGTCCATAATTCTGTTTTCTTTACATTTTTTCTTCTTCTACATATAATCTATGTTTGTCTTGTCAGAAGCGGAATATGCCAAAATGTTATGCTCGATACTAAATGTTCAGTCGAGTGTTCGAGGGTTGTGATAATCCAGGAGACCATCATCGTGATGTCATGTCCCGCTTCGGTCCGAGCCGTCTTATCGCGAAGAGAATTACATTAGCGAGGATTCCCTTGAAGCATGAATAGAGTGTAGATATCTTCGGACTTCGACTTGATAATTATCAAGGCGCGGGGGGCCGAGGACGGTGATGATCGTGATTCAGCTGCGCTATCTCAGGCTGTTCCCGTTTATCGCGGGCACGGCCTGGATAGGAACGCTGCTGACCTTGCTCATCTACTGGCTGGCTCACGATCGGCCTCGATATCCGGGGCAGACAAACCCATATGTTGCGTAAGTCAAAAGATCCCACAAACCTTCATCCGATCCGATGAGCTGACAATGGTCTCGTTGGTTTCAAAAGATTCATTTCTGACATTGGCGCGTCGTCGTTGAAACCGTTGTTTATAACTGGCGCTGCATTTACTGCTGTTTCCGTCATTGGCACCGCATTTTCAGTCTCATTTGTTCGACACGATAGAAAAATATATGGAGTTGGCGATATCAGTCCCTCTCTGCATAATAAAGTGCTCTCGGCGCTCTCTGTGCTGTTTGCCATTGGCGCCGGCATCTGCTATGTTTTGCTTGCCGTCTACGACAGTCATCGGCATACGACCGTCCATCGTCGGTACTTGTCGGCATCCCTGATCCAGACTGCCCTTAGTTCCATTTGCATTGCAATAGGATATGTTGCGCCAGCAAGAAAGACGTCGAAATACCGTTCCCTCAGACAATGGTGTCGCCTGAGCAATGCGCTTGTGGTTATAGAGTGCTGCCTTGGCGTGCCCTTTTTTGTTCTGCAGTGGATATCATATTACCGTGTGGCCGGCATCCTCGAATGGATCATGGGCTTCGTTTTCGGATTATATCTGTGGGCATTTGTCGGGTTCCTTGCGTAAGGCTTACTTGTGTTACCCAAATTATAAAACCTCTTTGCTCCTTTTGCTGACTTTGATATAATAGCCTCCCTGACGAGACGTATGCACATGCTCGGCTTGAAGAAACAGCACCTCTCTTGCGTTAGAATATTTGGAAAAGGATAGATCCGATCCTCTCCTGATTTGCATTTGATTATAGATTTATACCCTAGATATATGCGCTTCCTCACACGATATGGCTTTAGTTGAGTGTTATTCCCGGACATACACGACTCTGTTTACGAATTTATGCACCACGTGGGATGATTTGCTGGCAAGTATTAGATTGGCTTTATAGTAGACGATCAGGAGCTTTGGTTTTAGAGTATTTTCGCATATGTCACACTAGATTCGCTATTTAATTTACGGGTTTGCCTAGACATGGGCTTTTATGTCGGGCTTGGACGATGAGGATTGAAAGAGAAAAGGTGCTATAATTGTGGAAAAAGGCGTCATTGATCAAAGTCTATTTCCTTTACGCTTTGCTAGTCGCAAGGAAAGATTAGTGGGGATAATACCAATGAAACCGATCAGCATCACTGAAATGGATCGGTCAGGTATTGTGCAAATGTACCTTTGTATACTCTGACATGGCGGAAAGCTGCATGATGGTGGCCTGTTAAATTACTGTTGGGAGAAACCTACCTTACCTATAGGTAGGTATGAGGTATAATAGTTACATATGTGCTGGCCATGCGGGACGCCGTCGGACACTTGCATGACTTTGGTTGGGATGCTGATGTTTCACCCTGACCTGCCCATGCGAGATTGTGCATGACACTTGTCGCGGATTAAATTATGCCATGGTCACAGTAAACTGTGGTGACGATTACAGAGTACATCCTCATGTTACTGATTTAGCTACTCTGTACAAAGGTGTGAGTTGAAGGTTCCAATCTCTGCTCATTGGCATTGTAAACAGAAGGTTTAACTTTCGGTTTAGTTTGGACCAAGGGAGGCTAGTTTACTGATAAAGTGCCGCCCATGGTCACAACTTAGTTGAACTTCCCCCGCCCCAGCTATAATCGATAAGCGATTGACGTCGACCAAAGATGCGGGTTGAAGCCAAAAGGGACGAGGGGAGGGGTTGAGGGATCACGGTGCAGCCACATTTCCATCAGAGGCGCCCCCTTTTTGCTTTCCCAGCGATTGATGGTGGCTAGTTGTGAGGGATCTTACCTTGTCACCGGACAAGAACCTGCTCATCATTGTATTTTTTTTCCCGGGTTCCTTTATTCCTGGGATACCTTGATCTGGTGCCTGCGTCAGCTATTGGGCTGCGACCGTGCCAGCTGCCACACCTTCCCCCAGTTGGTCTGTCAGTTGCCCTATTCCGAGCCCAATACAAAGACCTCAATCTGAGAGGACTTTCCACAGGAGTTTCACGACAACTGTTTAGGGGATTCGTTCCAGGCTACACTATTACGTTTTGCATTCTCTAGAGTATTTTGCCTGGGCCAGGCCATACTCTTGTAGTCCAACAATGGCTCTTCGCCAACCAACCCGCGCTCCTCTTCGCCATGTCCCGGTCAGTACTGCTCCGCAGCCGACAGAGTCTGCGGCCATCGCGCCCGATCCTCAGCAGCAGAGGCTTCTCGATACGCAAGAATGGGTCGTGTTTTCTCCATCTCTTGCACCGTCAGAGCGAACCGCCACCGTCTTATCGGATCAGACCCACCCGACTGGTGTTCATTCGCGCTTGAGTGATTTTGGCTCTCTAGGAGCAACAGCCCAGTCGGAAGAAGGAATTGAGAACGATATCTCTTCCGTGGCTGTTGAATCCGAAGTGGGAGGCGCTATAGGAGAGCTAGAAGATGAACAAGATGCCGACGACCTCGATAGCTTGGACGATGGACTGCATGACTTTCGGGAGCCATCCGTGTATCGCTCGCCGTCACACAGGCTGGGAGATGGCGGCGATACTGTACTACCCACTCATGATGGTTTGGGAATGTTTCCCGCCAGTGGGCCCGCGGTTCAAGCACAGCTTTGGCGGTTTGAGCAATCGAATACAAACGCGCCCTTTGCCCGCCAAAGGCGAGCGTCTAGTGTACAGCGACGGTTGGATGCGGCTGAGGAAGAATCAGAGGCAGCTGCGCGGATCAAGGAAAAGACGGAGCGCATTGAACGGTGGCGATTAGAACAGAGCATGGCGCTGCTCGAGGAGATTGAAAAGGAAACCAGACGAAGACGGAGAAGAAGGCTGAGCAGGGCAAGCGAAGGACAACAAAGGGTGCCAAGTGCAAGTCTGGCCGCCGAAGAGAGCGACATGCTCGAAACTGATGATTTGCACGCTGACCTGGGTGATGCTCGGGACGACTCGGAGGACTCCTCTGAAGAGGAATCGCTATGGCAACGCATTACTCGGCATTTCCTTCGTGATCTCATGAGAATTGACGAGAATATACTGAGCGTGATTTTCGGCGAAGAGCTGCCAGCAGAAGCTAGAGAATCAGACTCTTCATCAGCGGACATTCATACGGAAATGCAAAAGATATTACAAGAAGAAGGGCCAGCCTCGGAGTCATCAGCTCTCTGGGAAGAGCGATTACTTGCCCGTATTGCTCGGGAACTGGGGCTGCTTGTTCACCAGCTCTCGGATCACCCAGGTGCATTTTCAACCTATCTGCGAACACACCAGGCTCCATCGTATGCTGGTCTCACGCAGGACGCTGAATATCAAGACCAACATCAGGAATCATCCATTCCAGCGAGCCAGGCGTCAGTGGCTACTCTGGAACCCGCAGCCTCCTCTACCAAAGACCCCCAATTCACTCCAACACTCCAGCAGCAGCCGCAGCCGCCACATACATCTTACGCCTCACGATGGGGAATTGACGATGACGACTACGAGTCCCTACTCGACCACCGTTCCACCTCGGAGCTCATGGTTGACGAGAATGAAAACGAAGCGCATCAGCTCCAGCAGGAGCGCGAATACTGGGAGCGTGACCTCGATATCAAAATGGTCTTTTCCTTTCTCCGGAACCGCTTCTCCAAATCTCCTCGCCCAGCATCAGCCGCCGGAGAACAACCCCCTCTAGACTCTTCTGTACCGACTGCCCGCCGATCTGGCCGACCTACATTTACGTCCCCTCCTATGAACCCCTCTGCCACTGCTTCCAACCCTAGGTCTCGTCCTCCTTTCCGCGGAGCAGCGTCTTCCTCTTCTCCTCCTAATGCCCATGTTTCCTCAGCGGCTGCTCGTCGAGCCGCCATGATCCGACAGCAGCACCCGCTCGTCTCGTTACGCAACGCCCAACACCATCACCATCATCATCACCATCTTCACCACTCTGAAGCCAGTCTTGCCGGCTTACGACGATCGGTCGCCACTTCACGCCTCCCGCTCTCTCACCACCAGCTCAAGCGTCGCGGGAGCGGCAGCTGCGCGAGCCAAAGTACCAAAGCCTCGCGTACGGCTAAGAGCGGCAGTAGTCGCAATTACTGGGACCTCGGAGGCAGCGTCGGCAGCGGCAGCCTCACCACTGGCGGACTCGGTGCCTGGGGGGAGGTCTAATCCGTCGTCCGGTTCGTCGTCCGGTCTAGCCCTCTCGGATCAGTTCACTGTGATTCAGTGCTTTCTTCGAGGTGTGAACACATGGTTCATGGTCCATGGTAATGGTATAACATTCGGCATGGGAATGTGACGACCTGGCGTTGGTGATTTTTTTTTTTTTCCGGTGGTATAACGCATGTAGGGATAATTGCCACTTATGACTGTATTGTACGAGGTATGACGATTCGTTACGGTATTTGGGTATGGGTATAGCTTGAGCATGTCCATGACTTTCTTTCTTTCTTTCTTTCTTTTCCATCTCCACATCTTTTTTACTTTTATTTTTTATTGTCATTTTACTCTTTTCTTTGGTCATTTTTTTATTACCATTTTACTCTTTCTTCGGTCATCTTTCATTACCATGTTACTCTTTCTTCGGTCATTTTTTTACCATTACTCGTACCGCTCTGGTACTTTCTCCACATTTACAGAGTACTCCGTACTTCTCTTGGTCAATGTTTATACTATCGGAGTATACTCCGTATCTTGATCACTAATATCTCCGCTTCCCGCTTCCCGCTTCCCGCTCTCCGCTTTCCGCTTGTCGTCCATTTCCTGGAATCGTCTAGAATAATATACATTGTTTATAGTCATCTATTTATCCTTTCGTCTTTAACTCGTGCTATTTTTATTATTCGTCTTATCGTCTCCAATTCATTTTACTTCATCTCTATTCATCTCTATTATCCTGACACTGTCCCCACTCTTACAATCTACTATCTACTATCTAATATCTACTACCTATGTACCATCTCAATCTACAACTCGCTGGGCGTCCCTGTTTTCGAGCTCCTTGTTTCGGGGCTTCCAAGATCCGTTCCAACTTCCAAGACTGGGGACTGGGATCGGGACTGGGTTTGGGACTGGGATCGCGATTCAAGACACGATGACTGATGCTAATGCTGAGTTGATACTGATACTGAGCTGATTACTCATTCAGATTATGATTACGGACATGATTACGGACATGATACGGATATGATACGGATATGATACGGATATGATTACTGAATGCCGTTGACTGATTATGAGTGCTGCTGACGGATATGATTACGGATCGTGGATCGTGAGTGATTATTGATAGTGTATTACGAGATGCTGTTATGGATTACGAGATGCTGTTATGGATTACGAGATGATGTTTATGGATTACGAGATGATGTTTATGGATACAGTACGGATTACTGATTGATTACAGATTACAAATATTGAGTAGTGATCGCGGATCGTGGACCACGGATTAGGATACAGCACAGATACAGACTACTCTGTATGGATACGGCATGGCTGCACGGATCTGGATACAGACTATGGATACTGATCAGTCATCATGCATCACGATACTGAGTATTGGAGTACGCACCATGATACGGAACGATACCGAGTACTACAGTCTACGATACAGCTTCCCTGCCTGTCCGCCAGCCACTCAGTTTATCATTTTTCGGTTCCTCTCAATTGTTTAGTTTAGTTTATTGAGTCGGTCCTACGGAGTATGCATCACGATTCATGATACTGAGTACTATGATACAGCTTCCCTTCCCTGGCTGTCCGCCATTCAGTTTAGTCTTTATCCCTTTTTGGTTCCTTTCAGTTTCTTTTTCTTTTTTTCCCTTTACAGAGCCTGATGCTGTACGACGTCGATAGTCAATAGTCGATAATCAATACGTCAAGACTGAATAGTAATCACACATCGTGATGACAGAGACCAGTACTAGTATGGAATACAGAATACAGTCCCACGGAATACTTTGTACGGTCCTACCGTCTACGAATACAGATGATTACTATCATCACTATGATTACTGTCGTGATTACAGATATGATTACTGATTACTGATTACTGAATAGCACTATGGATGATGTCTTGGATTACGATTACAGATTGGACAATGGATTACTGATTACTGATGAGTTATGATTACTGATTTGATTACACATCACGATTCATGAATACTGAATACTGATCAGGGATACAGGTACAGGCTATAGATACAGACTATAGTCATGGATACAGAGTACAGATACAGACTGGATATATCATACAGCATGGATCAAGAATACTGAGTATGGGCACTAAATACAAATACATATTACAGATCGCAGATCAAGATGACGGATCACAGATACAGATACAGATACAAAAGACTGAGAATAATATATTAATACTACGGTACTACAGACTACAGTACGACAGGACTATCCAAGGACCAACGAGGGCAAGTATTATCTGAATTACTGCACTCTGCACACTGCACACCGTACACAATATAGCATACAGCATACAGCGTACAACCGTACGCAGTATACAGTACACGGTACACCTCGGTCCTCGAATACGCATAATTTCTACTATGTAGGATCCAGAGCTACGAACACTTGCTGTACGGAGAGCATGCTGTACAGAGTGCACTACATAAAATAAAAACATGTACACCTGGGTAGCTCCAGCTCCTCATCGAGAGTGATTAAGTTGAGTATATGAAGGTACGCAGATACGAAGGTATGAAATGAGTGTATGAGATATGAATATATGAGTACGTGAGGACATGAGGAGTTGTGTACAGGAGTGAATCAGTAAAGGAGTAAAGGAGTATCGGTGATGCAGATATCTTAAGAGTAGTCGTGTACCTTCTCAATAACAAAGAAAAATCAAGAAAAAAGAGAGGAAAAGAAAACAAAGAACAGAGAGGAAATAGTAGTCTCAGTGTGGATCGTAGTGTCATTGCCAGTGTACGATTGCTCAAAGTGTCCATGCTGGGTCTCATCGACCATACAAGATTACTGAGAGGTAGGACTGGCTACCAGTATTGAGCAGGAGGGATTCTTTTCACTTCACTACAAGTGGCATGAACGACACGAGCGTATGATCATCACATCAATCGAAATGAGAAACTTAAAACCGAGTACTGATACCGAGTACTGAGTGCATTGATATCTACTCGTACTGCCAAAGCCCTGTTTTACCCCAGAAAGAAAAAGAGATGACGTCAACGAGATGCAAAGGGAGAACAAGCATGCGCGCGCAGACGAAAGAAGGATATATTCCATCATCTAAGCAGCGGTCTCGAAAGCGTCAGGGAATCTCTCCAGGTTGTAGGCAATGGGGCCGTGGCTGGAAAGGAACTGCACGTAGGCACCGTCCACACGGACCTTGCCCTCCTGGCGCTTCTGGACGTACTCCTCCCGGCGGAGGGGAGTGAAACCCCAGTTCTTGGAGACAATGATCTTCTGGCGACCAGGGAACTTGTACTGAGAGCGACGGAGAGCCTCAATAGCGATGGCAAGGTCTACAATATGCGTTAGTCATACAACTCCAATCATGATATCTTGGCTGAACATACTAGAGTCTCTGGTGCGGACAGACAGGAGGATCTGGCCAATGTTGACACGGGCGACAAGACCGTTGGGCTTGCCGAAAGCACCACGCATACCGGTCTGAAGACGATCGGCACCAGCGCACGACAACATCTTGTTGATACGGACGACGTGGTAGGGGTGGGCACGGACACGAAGGTGGAAACCTTCCTTACCGGCCATCTTGACGAGGTACCTGGAGGTTTGAATGTCAGAACCTTTGTTCCTTTCATATCCCGCAGAGCTCAAAACGAAAGAATCCTAGATGGAAAAGTAGAGAAACACTCCCAGATGGTGTTGAATGGTCTCGTTTTTCCCAACCCAGAAATCCTCGCTATTCCTCGACGCTCGGCGGTCTGATTTCTTCCAGAAAGACTCACTTGTTGGCGCTGATACGGGCAGCCTCAAGAGCCTCAGAGGTCAACTGCTCATACTCGTTGGAGACGAGGTGGACGCAAGCAGGGAACTCGTCAACGTTGGCACGCTTACGGCCCAAGTCGAAGATACGAATCTTAGGGTCCGGTACACCACGGTTGTACCGGGACTTGGGGTAAGGCTATATAAAAACCAAAAGAATCAGCCATTTTGTCCCAAAAGCTCCAAAGATCACTGAAAATATCAAAGACGGGTTTTCGGGCGCCGAGCGACAGCAGAGATTTCCCTCGTTGAGTCGACAGCAAGCTCGAAACGTCCCCGAATCCCCTCTTTCAAACGCGGAGCATAAATGACCCCGCGATAATCGTTTCGTGATGCCGGAAATTTGCTGAAATCGCACGAACCTTGTTCTTGCAGTAGCGGTAACATCTCGCGGGGCGGCGGGCCATCTTGTCGACTTGTCTCCTTGACGGATACTCTTCCAAGTTGTCGAAGGGAAGGGGAGATGGGTATCGCTTTTCTCTCAACGATGCCGTCAGGTCTGTTACGCTTACCAAGCGGGCTAGTGGCGAGATTAGAAATCGCAGTCCGGATTAAGCGAGCCCTACCCACAAATGATTACATGCTCAGGGCCGACAATTCCGAGCTGCGGTACGTAGCGAGTACCTACCCAAAGCAGTAACTTTTCACTTGACCAAGGAGAAGTACCAGAAGTTATGATACAAAGTATGATTCTGCATTTCTCTAATTTGAGTGATCAAAGCAGTTTCGATATTTTGGTAGTTCGATAATTTGCGCTAGAACGGTAATACAGTCACAGAAAATCGCAATATGCATGTTCCAATTTAGAGAATCGACTTCATTTCTAGATTACATGTTTTAAACTATAACCTAGCAGAGCCAGAACTCATCTAAGAGCTGCTGGAGAGGATGTCCGAGTCACCAGCGTCGAGGACAGCCATGGTGGAGCAGCGGAAGAGCTTACCGCAGGCTGTACCAAGCTCAATCTATCATGAATTGTCAGCCAAATCTGTTGTACCCTCCAAAGTCTTACATGAAGACCTTTTCGCTGGGTACGGCCCTATAGGCCGTGAAGCCTGGTCGTTGGGCCGGGGGTAAAGAGTGAGGAATATGAAAAAAGCACAGCGGCACTTACGTTGTTTCCGGAGAAGTGGTGGACGTTGGTCTTGGAGAGCATCGAGTAGTCTGCATGGATTATTAGAAAATTGTCCGAAAAATATCAAATTCGACAGTTTCGGATTGGCAACTTACACTCGAGCTCGCTCTTCCGGAGGGGAGGAGTGTTACCAGCAATGATGACCAGCTTGGCCTTGCCAGAGCGGAGGGTCTTCAGGGTGGACTTGTAACCAAGGGTGACTGTGAAAAAACTGCAGTCAGTAAAACTTCTTCCAAGCCATGCGCTGAGACGTGTATTGCAGGCATACCCTTTCCGGACTTCATCACAAGCGCAAGGCGCGAGTTGATGGAGTCGGCGGTCTTCTTCGACTTCTTGGTGGTAGGGGCCATCGCTGCGCGTCGGGAATCTGTAGTAATTCCTGAAGAGATGTTGAGCGCTCCGGACTGCTGGTGATGGAGACAAGAAATTCAAATTTCAAGGTGGATGGATTTGTGGGCTACTGGTTATGTAATCCGCTAAGCTGCCGGATATTCGCTTTGGCCAATGAGAACGTCCAAAATTACTGAATTGTGATTGGGCAGTCATCATTTAATTTATTTCTCTGGAGTCGCCGCAGCCTCAACTTTAGAATCTCAAAAAATTATTGCTTTCCCATATGACGGTCGTCAGCTAGATTGTCTCTAATGATTAACCGTTCAATTTGTTTAAGATACGATTATCATGGCATGGTGCAGCAATTTGCAGTCTATATTCACATGCTCTCGGCCATGCGTTGGAATGCGAGCGATGGTATCCTGTACAACCATTTGTTTTCCATGTCCCGCAAACTGACGCAACCGTCGGATGACTAAAGTGCAAGTATCTAAAATATAGTCTCCAACCCTGAAGGAAATGATCATGCATTGAAAGACTTCAAAATCTATTCCTTCCTTGTTCCTTCCACGATCTTCGGTCCTGCAATCAAAAGACAATAAAGAACACAAAGGGCGGTGGAAGGAGATTGTGGAACCCCCTGTCCCCTATTTTCCCCTCCGCCCCACGCATTTGGTCCACGTATCTTAGCGAGAAAGCAAGCCTTCCAGCTAACTTTCTTGACATTAAACTGTCTCCCGCGCCGCGCTTATCAAAAGAGAGTTGTGAGCGAGCCCTGGTCCGTTCGTCAACAATTGACCCTTTTTCTCGAAAACGCGTACCCAACTCCTACGTCTGTTTTTCTTGACGGCAACAAGAGAAGAAACGTCAAAAACATGTCCACTCCAAGCAAGCGGCCTCAGAGCAGTACCAATCGACGAACTCCGGGTTCCTCCGCCGCAGCAACTGCATCGCCCTCTGCGCGGTCGCCAACGCCGTCAACCGCATCCTCGGGGGCTAACCTGAGTAGGACCCGTTCAACCCGGGCATCAACAAACGCACCTGTCTCAGCTCGTGCAGCGGTAAAGCGTCCAGGTACGACAGGAAACAGACCAAACTCAATTTCTGTATCCTCTACCTCTGCACAAGCACCGTCTTCCTTGTCCGGAAGCCATGGAGAGGAAGCCGAGGCTGCCAGAGCAGAAACGGCCGCCGTTATGGAGGACCTGAAGACGCGGTTACAGAAAGCGGAAGAAGCCTCGGAAGAATACCAACGTCAGGTAGCAGTGCTTCAGGCAAAGCTGGATGATGCACTCCAAGAGCAGGCCAAATTAGAAGAGCGTGTTCACGAGGGCGAGGAGCGGATAGAAGGATTGGAGAACGAAAAGAGAGAATTCATTCGGCAGAAGCGAGAATTGGAAGTAATTTACGAGGCAGAGAGAGTGGCGGTGATGAGAGAGAAAGAAGATCATGCCGGTCGTGAAGAGGATCTGCACGAAGTGATCCAGCGGTTGAAAGACTCGCTAGCACAAAAGGACAGTCTGAGTGGTTCAATTGACGACGGCAGATTATCGAGAGGAGGTATACATTTCCCAAGCCTCTACAGCGTTCCATCCCAAGACCATATCGTTAACAAGATTACAGCCAGTTATCGAAGCAATTCATCGCCCACTCTCGACCACGGCCAATTTGCACCTCCGGCATCGCTCGAGCGAAGCAGTTCAAAGAATAGTTCCAAGCTCATACTTCAAAAGGACAAAGTCATTGAGTCGCTCCGCTTGGAGCTGGCAGAGGCCCAGATCAAACTCGTCGAAGTGGAGAACATGGGAGGAAACCACTTGCAAGAGGTCGAGAAGATGCTACTGGAAACCCGCATGACAAACGCTCGGCTCATGGAAGACAATGAAAGCTTCCAGCTCCTTCTCAGCGAGCGCACGCTCAATGGCGATTTCTCCAAAGCAGAATTTCTGCAGAACATTGGAGGCGGAGGCAGCAGCTCTGACGGCGCGGATGACGACACTCAAACCTTGCACAAGCGGCGACACAATTCCAGCCTGGCAGACGAGCTCTACTCCATCAATCTCGAGGGCGAACATGAAGAGGACGACGAAAAGAACATTTGCCGCCGGCTTGAAAGCGAAGCCAAATCCCTACGCGACCAGAACAAAGCCCTGACGCTGTACATTAACAACATCATCGAGCGGCTCCTGTCGCACAAGGATTTTGAAAAGATTCTTGACCGGACACCAAATACTGCGCCGGCACCACCTGCCCCAACACATGCCTTTCCAAAGAACCAACAACAACTGCAACCGCCGCAACAGCAGCCGCATTCGCAATCGCAGCCAGAACCACAACCCTCCTTATCCACAATAAACGGTACTTCAGCCGTAAATGTCGACAAAGACCTCCCGCCTCCTCCGCCCGTCAAAACGACTGGCGGCGATCCCTTCGACTCCTCCCCCTCCTCCTCCTCCATGGACCCCCTTCCTCCCCATACTACTACCGGTCCCCCGCCTCCCGCTGCCATCCAATCCCTACAACAAAAGCGTCAATCACTCGGTAACCAAATCCCTCCTCCTCCGCCGTTCTCCTCCTCATCCTCCAATTCCACATTCTCCAACATCGAAAACCCCGCCACCGCGCCCCGCGTTCCTCTTGCCCGATCCCAATCTCTCCGCTCCGACGGGCGCCAGCACAAGCGCGCCTCCTCCGAATGGTCACCGAGCCTATCTTCCATAGGAGGCGGCAGCAATCGCACCCACACCGGCCCCGGCGGGTCCGGAGGGGACGCAATAGGAGTAGGAGGAGTAGGAGGAAGGTCATCTTCATCCCGACCACAATCCGTCTTCTTCTCCCCGCCCCTCGGCGGCACCAGCTCTTCTTCATCTTCTTACGGCTTCCCCTCCGGCTCTGCCGTCGTCGTCGGCCGACCCGCCAAAGACCGACTCAGCAGCTCAAACAGCACCGTGAGCGACGATACCACTGGCGACGGCAGCGCACCCAGTCCGCCGCGCAGCGTCAGCGGAAGCTTTGGCAGCACCGGTACTTCTTCCGTTGGCGGCGCCGGCAACAATGCAGCCAACGGAGCAAATGGAGCTATAGTGTCTGGAAATAGACTCCGTCCGCTCCGACTCGTGGAAGAAAGTACTACGGTCAAAGACGACGACAAGAGAGCCAAGCGTGGAAGTTGGATGGGGTGGCTTAGTCGCGCTTCGACGGCGCAGGAGGGTTCGTAGGTCGTAGAGTTCGATTCGGTTCGATTCGATTCGAGATCTCTCTTTTGCGGCGTTTTTTGTCGATAATAGGGCCCTTTTTTTTCACGGATGTATTTGCATGGAGAGAGGGGAAAAAAGGCCCGGGAGCCCCGGATAATGAATTGAATGATATGGATGCATACATGCATGGGATCAGACCATGGTTGATAATACTCTGCCAGCGGGGTACAATTTTCTTTTTTCTTTTTCGCCGTCTCTCTTTTTTACTCGCGATACTATACCACCCCCCTGTTTAATCTGTTTCCAACCTAGTTCTGGTCGATTTTATGAAAACTTGGCATTGTCAGATATCAAATGAGATATAATACGTAGGTAGACTGCATTACAAAGAGAATCACTGAATTCAAGCTGGGAAAAACTACCATGTATATCGATACAGTGATGCTCGTAAATACGCCATGGAAGTAGAGAAAGATCTGTGGAATGATAAATGATACGATCTGGCAAATAAAAGGGCATAAAGTCTAATTGAGAGATGCTGTAGTACAGGAAAACGGTCCAGACTTGTGGAAATCAAAGCTCAGAGTTCTCCGTCTGTTCTCAGCTTCTCGGTACCCCAAGGCTCGCTCGTTAAGCTTGTCAAGCCGGCTCTGGGCTCGCACGAGCTTCGACCACTTCCTTGAGGACCTGGCGCGGGAAGATTGACTCCATGGGCGGTATATTCTGGGTGTTTTGAACCCTCGCGGTCCCATGTACTTTGCGGCTGTTCATCGCCCTGAGTCAGGCCCGACGCGCCGGCGCTAGTGCCAGTGGCTTCAGCGGAGGCTTGTAATGCTTTGAGGAGCGAGATCATGGATTCGGGTGTCAAGTCCTCGTAGTAATCGTCATTGATCTGAACCATTGGCGCGTTGACGCAGGCACCGAGACACTCGACTTCGGAAAATGTAAAGAGACCGTCTGCTGTGGTTTGGCCAGGGTGGATGCCCAAGTGTGTTTCGATTGCTTGCATGATTGCATCAGAGTTGCACAGCTGGCATGGCGTCTGTTGTTAATTTTTGTTGTCAGTGAGCTGGAATATGCAACGGTCAAATTCACGTGGAGTTACAGAAAAAGGCTGGCTTACTGTTGTGCAGACTTGCAGATGAAACTTGCCCACCGGCTCACGGTTGTACATGGTATAAAACGTCACGACCTCGTATACTCTCATTGGCGGCATCTCCAGCAGCCGTGCGACCTCATTCATGACGCTAATGCTCGTGAATCCGTGCTGACGCTGGCCCAAGTCAAGCAGTGGCATGACTGCCGCTTTCTTGTATTGTGGCGGGTATCGTTTGAGGATCTCGTCAATGAGCTTCATGTTCAGGCTGGAGAATTTGAACGGAATAGAGGGATTGTTGTATGACGTGTCCCGGTGCTATAGTTTTCGAATTGTCAGTTGATCGTGCCTTTTCCCCTGAGAAATACTGCTTCATTCTTCATGGAAGGTCACGTAGTGACATACCACAGGCGGCGGACCAGCAGATGCAAGTCTCGCTGAAGCACTCAAGTACCGGCGAGACTCCTGTTGTCCATGATATCGAACGTGGAACGCGGCTTTTCTCAACGCGGCGCGCGAGATAGCTGGGGGTATAGCTGAGACCATTGTATATGAGGAGGCCGTTGATGGGAATTTTGTTCTCTTGGGATCTCGTCGGTGTTGCTGGTCGAGTGGACGCACACTAGACGTTTCGTCACAACTTAGGGGGGAAAGGAAAAGGAAGTAATATCTGTTGTAATGGCGTAATGTCTATTCGAGCACACAGGGTGTTTCGCTCTGGGAGTCAATGGATAGTTAGGCGTTTAAGAGGAGCCTTTAGCACTGAAGCGCAAGTGGAACTCTACGGATCTGGGGTCGGCAGAAGTGGAGTTGGAGTGGCGTGGGATAGCTAGTTGACCTTTAGGTCGTTGAGCTCACCTGCTATTCCCGCCTAATAACCGGACCCCTGGACAAAACAAGCGTAGGACGTCCTACTCCGTATGTGGTCACCCAGTCACAAAGTTCCCATTGGTTATACAGAGGTCCTGCCCAGAGATATACTTCACCACTAACTGCATATGCCATTATGCAGCAGTATAAATATTAGATTGAACATCTGCCTATATTACAGTGGGAATAAAAAAAAAGGCTTGAGAGTAAAACTGGCAAAGCAAGGCAGCGTGCCTTAGACAAGAGTGTGGGGATCAAGAGACGAGTACACTATGGTACTTGTCCCGCAATTCACTAGCGATAGATACCCGCTGGCACCAACCCGCACAATGTGGAGGTGGAGCGACGAGAGAGAGAGAGAGAGAGAGAGAGAGAGACGGACAAAAAGGGTCATGAAAATCTCCGAGTCGCTGATTGGTTAAATGAAAGTCCCACCTCCGTCAGCCAACCACTGCCTGCATACAACTACTCTTAATTAACCCTGGGAAACATCGTGAAAGTGATGATATATCATCTTTTCGTTGATCACTCGAAGCATTGTGCGATCCCTGACGATGATTGTCAATAATTAATTTCACCCCTATTTTTTGCCAGCGTCAAATCAATTCAATTGACTTGCTGAATTCGGCCTCAAATTACTCATCAAAAACTTTTGCCTCGTGGGCGACACGCCACATGTTTCCCGGGTTGGTTACCAATGTGCCCATTGTCCCGACCCTTATGGCGTCCTTGTAGGTTGATTTGATATGGATTGCTCCTGGTCAGAACTGTCACCTGCCTTCCTAAGCCCATGTAAGTATTTGAGAATACCGATTGTTCGAAGGTCCCAACCTGTCGCTGAGGATCAATTTGCAGAGGCCGCCAACAAGGACGAGAGTCAGATGATAGAGGAGGTCGTATTGTCCAATTGATTCCGGAAAGGGAAAAGGGTTATCTGTGCGAAATTTGCCATATGCTGACTCTGGATCTTTCAACTGTTCCATGCTTCAGGGAGAATGCTGAGCGGAAACTGAATCTGTCCAGCACTGTTGACTTTGAAGTATTTCAATCCAGACAAGGAAGACCCGAAGCTGCTATTTGTACTTTTGTGGTAGAAACTGATGCCGAAAGATGAGAATAATTGCAAAAGGAAAGAAGGTTTATCCTCTTCAATTGAGAGAGCGGTTTCCTTGGCTACGCGTCAGGCCTGACTACGCGAGAGCAATATCAGTCACTCATTCACTGAATCGCCTCAAGGCCGTGGTTTCTGTTTTTGCTTGGACCCCGAACTTTTTTTTCACCTTGTTCTTCATGTCAGCCTCTTGTTTTCTTCTCTCAATCAACTTTCGCTTTACATCCATTGTCCGCAAAGGCGTCGCCTTCGCAGTCACCACCTGGCGGCAAAACAGTCTGAAGACACATAATATTTCAGCCCCCCTATTCTAAGTCACGTCTTTCATTTGCACAAGAAGGATGGGTACTGCGCCACAAAGTCTACTAGAGGACTTTCTAGGAAGTGTCAATACTCAGAGCAATGGTGTGTTCTATTGCCATTCTACCATAGGTAAGTCTAACTCATTCATTCAACAAAACTTTTCCCCATGCACTCTCACGAGATTCGAAAGCAGTCTGCTGTCCTATTTCGCATGAATCCCTTCCTAGTTCCCAGCAACACTTTCTCCTGCGGCAGGAGTCTATAATTGAGAGTAGATCATTGACTTAACAGTAGGAGATGACGAGGATCTTATGGGGTTTAGCTCAGAGGAGGAAGACGATAGACAGAGCAATACCGAAAATGAGGATAATGATGCACAAGACTCGCAGGCTAGGGGCTCTGAGTCGAGTTCCACGGTGGTGGATCCCGCGCAAGAGCTCAATGAACAGCAGCAATCAACTGAATGCAAGCTTACCGTAGAGAGTCATGCGGACATTGCCGGTCCAGTGGTTGCTGCTCCGGCTACCCAGGACGACCGTACTGTGCCTCAATATCGCCACTTTTTTCAAAACTCAAAGTCGTCTGACATGGTATCGAAAGATTCGCCGTTGGCAACGGAAATCCATTTGAAAGCATCACAGCCCGACACCAAAACAGCCGACATCCCCAGCCCAATGGAAGCAGAGAACCAAGAACAAGATGCTGATGCAGATACCAAAACCGCTTCAGTGAAAGTCGACAAGTCGCCTGAATGCAGCGAACCAGAAATTATTGTTTTACGAAAGGGTTCTCATGAGTTTCCACCAGGTATTACTTTTCGCGATGTTCCAAAATATGCCAAAATTCGAGATGTCCTGACCATGGTTCGCGTTCTGCATGCTCGAATTCGCTCGATTCTTTTCTCACCAGGCCCAGCTGCCACAATCAAATTATACTTTGCTGATCAAGCGGCTCACGACCTCTTCCTCGACCAAGCAAGAAAAGGTCGAGTTAATTCTCCGTGGAAGAGAGACTTGAGTATTGTAATTGACAAAGAGGATCAGCTCGTTCCAAGTGACGAAGAGTTGGCGCCGATGCACGCAACTCGGATTCTTCAAATCACTAATATTCCCACGAAGAAGTTGAAGTTTGATACTGTCCTTCAAAGCTTACAGTGCTCCAACCCTGGTCACGCCTTCCAGTTGGAAAGAGCTTTGATATTCAAACGCGGCAACACTGGCGACGCTTCAATTATGCAACTCAACTTTTTGAGCATCCGTGATTCGGTCAAAGCGAAGATAAGCTTTGAGAGGGGAGACTTGTGCATTCGTTTCCCATTGATCAAGGTGGACTTTGCAGAGGATGAGTGTTCTAGCACTGCCAAAGTCGTTCCGCCCAAGCTCATCTTGCAGTCTCGTGGCTCTGACGTTCCGGAGACGAGTCCAGATAATCGACTATCAGCTATCGGCCTTTTAATACTCCCTGCCGTTTCAGTCGCTCAGCCCGCTCCTGCCAAAATACTGGTTGCCAAGCCTATCCCGGTTGCGGCGCCAGCTCAGGCCCGTAAGAAAGGCCCATTGCCAGGACCAGTCAATGGCATCTACATCAGATCATTGCCAGACCTGACAACTCCAGGCCAGCTGCTCTCATCCTTTAGAGGAGGAGCTGTGTTGTGTGTAGAAATGTTTAAATACGGCGACCGTCAAGCCATCATTTATTTAAAGGATCCAAACAACCACAGCGCATCAGTGACGCGTATGAAGAACAATAAAGGATTTTTGCTTTTGAAGGATCATGGACAAGCCGGAAAACGCTATGCAGTGTGCGGGACAGCGCATCAATGCCCGATAGGACGAATCAACGACCCTTTATCCACGCGCCGAGTCTCTTTCGTGTTTGACAACATCGTTGCCAATAATGTATTTGGAACAAAGTATCTTGAGCAATATACTCAAAAACACGGCGCCATCAAAATGGAGAGCGCTGAAGCTCCGGAGCGCCGTTTGATTGCGAAGCCGACGTCTCGGCAGGAAGTGATTTTGAGCTACTCGAACATTGCCATGGCAGTTGAGGCCAAGCGCGTCCTCGAAACGCTAAAGGTTGTCGGAGCTACGCCCGTCATCAAGTTTGCGCCAGATCCTTGTGCCGGTCCTTGCCGCTAGAGGCGCTCATAGCGTCGATCGTTCTGATATCTTTGCAGATATTTTGAATGTATGCTATCTTGGCCATTCTTGCTGATTTCTCAAAAATGTATATGCGACATGGGTTGTTCTATTATTTGCATCGATTGTATTTTAGAAAATCTCTGATATTCGTCCAACACATTCAAATTTAAACCGGTTCTGCAGAGCATTACCAATTAGATAGTAATGAAATTCCTATGTGCGCCTACAGTAGAGAACTACATTTCAGACCAAGTTTGTTATTCGACCTTCCAGTCCCTCCTCTTCGAAGGATGAAAGCTCCTTGACATGCTTTCATTTGCGTATAAAACGAGGGAATTGGGTCTAGCTGACCATTTAACGGATTGAGTCCCCCCTCACTCCCGCATGGCGTGAGACGCTATAGTTGAAGACCCCTGACGGGAAAGTACCTCTACCTCTTGCACACGTCATCATAGCCTCGAAAAATGGTACAGTTACTTTTACGGCTGCATCAGCCATGGTTCAGTGTGGAAACGGCTTCTTTTCCCCGGGCGGTAGTGGTTGCGTCCCACTGTCTCAGTGAAGGCGCTTCACCAATCACGCGCCCTCGAGATTGTTGATCAACTTGATCCTTTCTGCACTTTCGTTGCCGGTGCATCTTCAACATCCCTGAAGTCCCAGGGAAAATGGTCCAAATCGGAAAAGAATGGGTTAATAAACTTTAGGCGGTCAAGTTTCCACGCCTGCAGCACCACCCGCCCGCGCACTCTGCTTTTGAGTCTCGCTCTCCAGCACCGGTCTAACTAACGTTTACCCGTTCCCCTATCGATCATACTATTATCGATGCCCGATCTCTGTGTTGTGGTCCTTGACCTTCACAACCTTTTCCCCTCCCACGCGAGCATCTCGTCGCGATTTCTTGCTCTCTGGAAATACTGTCTGATTGAACGTGCGATTTGTCCAGCTTCTTACTGACATCGGATCGAGAAAAGCATCATTTAGCACTCATTGCGATCGATCATTGTCGAGAGCTAGAGCATGCTTGCGATCTAAACGATTTTCGTCGCTCCATTGGCATCCGTGGCCGAGGGCCAATGGCCACCGTTGCCCAGTATCCGCTGCCTGCAACTACTCCTCGAGAGTCTCTGACCAGGCGCGATCGAATATCCCCAGAGGGGCCATGCAACTTTCGTCACCTCACGTCTGGATCTAATGCCCCTCTGTGCGGCTGTAGGCGATTTTGGGACTCGAGCTTGGACCCGCACACAAATCGGAATGATCAGAGTATCAGTGCGGCGCAAAATGGCTGGTGCATGTGTGGACATCATGCCTGCTTTCATGATATGGATTCCGGGGTGCAACATTATTCGGTGACTGGCTTCCCCTCGAAGACGAGCACAAGCGGGATTCGCTCTGATCTCCAAGAGCTTGCGGATTCTAACCAGAAACATGGCCGAAATCCATCAGCGGAAGGCGACAAGGTTAGTAAGGAGGATGCTTTCAGGCCGTATTTTAAACCTCCATCGGTCGGCAGGAGCAATTCGGACTGGGCACACGAAGCAAATGAGAAAGATGCTGGGGACTTGAAGAGCAGTCCTTTCCAGAAGCGGCATAATACTCAAGAAAACCCGAGCGCGGACCCTTTTGCGCTGGATGGTCTTTCAGCTCTTCAGACTAGACGCGGAATGAGAAGCGTGTCTTCGCCATCCGTGGGCGCATCCCACCTTCCTCCCATACCATCGCAATGCCTTCTTCGACCTGGAGAGCTCGAACCGCTCAACATCCATCTCAATTCTCGGTATAATGGTGCAAAGAACTTAAACGAGAGCCATTCTACAGCTCTAAACTCTTATAATCCTCATGAAAGAGACCTGGCGACGCCAACACAAAGGATTGAAGATGATACTCTGCGGCTGTTCTTGGCAGCACATACAGCCAAGGGAGACTCACACCGGGAAGCTCAGGTTGAGAGATCCAATGGACTCGAGGAGAGACAGCATCTGCTTCCTCGTCCACACGAACTCTCGGCCTTGCCCACCAGTCAACGATATGACTGGGCTGCTAAAGGTGGCAATAGCCAACACTCCCAGCATGGGTCGAAAAGGGCAATTAATGATGTCTTCAGCTCTGGGAGAGCGTCTATTAGGCCTGGGCTTAATTCCACAACCATCAGGCAAAACCCACGATGTGGGAGTCGTGAAACGCCTAAGCCCATGGATGAGTTTAATCAAAGTGCTACTGAAATTGCCACTCCAACTCGGCTCGAGTTCTCAAATTTGCCCCCCTTCACAAAGGCGTTGGACCATGTCAAGGCATGGGTAGATGCTCACAGTGAGGAAGCAAAAGGGTCTCATATAGAAATAGGGAAATCCGAGGCTCAAGTACTTCCAATAATATCAGCCCCGCTGGTCAACGATAAATGTGGAACCCATACCGAGCCCACTGTAAATCAGAAGGGAGCAACTCATGCCGACGATACGTGGAAATTGGATCCTAATGTGGCTTCCCTTTCCAGTCTTTTACCTCATTTACAGCTGCTGGTTAGCAGGCTGACAGAATACCCAGCTCTGTGGTCGGCTCTGGAAGCCTACAAACATCGTCTGGATGCCCTAGAATGCGCTTCCTACTCTCATGGAGTGTCTGAGGAGCTTCAGGAAAAGTTTGATATGCTTGACGGGCGGCTTACTGAACTGGAAGGGAAAGTTGAGGAGCACGAAAAGCTGCATGCAGATTTTGACTTTCTGGAGGCGAGCCGGCCGAGTCGGACCTCGGTACGAAAGCGAGTTCATGGTGGAGTTGCTGGAACCGAGTGCTCCGTCAGTTCGGATGGCTCTTCTGATGCTCACTCGGAGCTATTATCTTCGGCGAGGGTCTCTGCTGCCTTAGACCGGAGCGGGCTCCCTGATCGCCTTGAAGACATGGGATCCCGAATACAAGCATTAGAGACGTCTGCGCCTCCCTCATACGACAATCCTTATGAACTCGAAGTGATCTTCTTGCCCTGGGGTCCGGGTTTAAAAGGCATCTGGTACCCCCCGGAAGAATTATCCAATGGTGAACTGAGTAGCACAGCGATCACAGAAGAATGGGCTGATCCGCAATTTCGTGATTCCCTGAGCAGCTCTCTCAGTAGATCGCGCTCAAGCGGATATGACGGATGGGACGGTGATCCGATCCGGAGTTGGGCAGATGGCCCAGATGAATGGCTAGTGCCGCGCGCCAGCGCTCAAAACAGTACGATCTATCGCCGGTTGCAAAGTAGAGGGTTCGTTCGAAACGTGCAGATTCTAGGATCAACGGCCAAGGAAGTCATTAGTGCTGTGAGCAGTGCTTTTGGCGACATTCTGGATGATCGGACTTTTGAGAACCAGTCAAACAAAGAAGATATCGGCGAGCTCAAGAAGCCTAAAAGCTGTGATTCAGATTGCATGGTTGAAATTGAGAGAACTGATGCATATGAAAGACAAGGTACCTGCCAAGGGATGAGGAAACAGTCATCGAAGAACAAGATTCCACTTCTCGGGCTCCGGGCGCCTTTTATACCTCTCCGAAAAATTCATAAGGATTCGCGACTTCGTTTCTTAGATCCGGATGAGCTTGTTACTCCAGCTGTTTGGACAAGTGATTTTCTAAGCCGAACCGTTGTGATGCGGGCCGCCGGTGGAGCACGAAGGCTGTTTATAACTAATCGGCATGGGTACCTGCAGCCTCGCCCTCGCGACTGCTTGGCTTGGACGTGGCAAATGCTTAGAGAGCTCCCGCGAGTTCATCTGGACGAAAATGGTGAGCAACGAGAAGAGGCGGTCCCCGAAGCGGACGCCAAAGAAGCTTGTTGGCAGTGGGATCCTCGTTTGGACCCTCCAACGAGCGCAGCCTCTTCATTTGCATCTGATTCATCTTTGTACTCAACGTTAAGTATTCGTCCTTCGCGATTGGCCCAGTCTGTACGCTCAAAAAATTCCCTTTCGCCGTCACCGAAGCTTCGGGAGCCTACTCCGTGTGGGGATGGTCATGCTATGCCCATCTCTCCTCTCTCAGAATTTCCTGTTGATCGTTTGGGTTACCTTCGACGAACAAATTCTCTCAGTCTGGGCGATTCTGGAAGCGCGCTCAGTCCATCGTTCAAACGACGCTTGGTCGCTTCGCAGGTGGAAAGTGCCCCTTCCAAAACATTGTCAAAGCGGAGGCGCGTATCATATTCACCAACATTTATCCCATCACGAGATCAGAATATCACCGAACCCTGGCGGCAGCGATGCAAGTCTCCTAGCCCATTCTTCTCCGAGGTCGCGGATGGGCGAAGCCAACTGGCAATGGCAGGCGTCAAACGGGGCACAACACCTTTTGCGTACGCAACACCTCATAGTGGACCGGTGGCAATGATATCCGAGCCTTCTTCAGGAAAACCTGCATCTGCTGTCGCCAGCGACAACAACACAGAAATTCTCATTGACAACTTTTGCCACAAGACTGAGCCGGAAGAGGAGGTGTGGGAAGGAGTAGCCGACGAGGATGCTAGCCAGCATTTGGCATCGCCAGAGGCTGCTCACAGTGATGACGACAATATGCTGACATATTCACCCTCTTTGTCGGAGCAATCATACAGCGCTTATGAGAGCGACTACGACAGTAGCGATGATAGTGAAGCCGAATGAGGGTTTACTTCTGTGATATATCCACTTGTCATGAGGGATATGTTTGCACATTCTATCACCTCGACTCTTCAACTTTTTCAGCTCTCTCATCTTTTCTTATATATATCACTACGCATCTTTGGCCATCACCTGTATATGAAATCCTGCGATACGTTGACTCCACTCAAGCATCTCCTATCATCAACATTTTCTTCTTTCTCTCATCTACTCTTTTTCAATTTCATCTCTACTTATTGTACTTCACCTCCCAAAACGCGCGTTATCTTTTTAGTTCGCATTCTCTGTGCTGTCAACCCAGCATCCATCTCAGCTCTTCTGGGCCTTTCATTGAGGCGGGTTGGCGTTGGAAGCATTGTCATTTTATGCATTATCAGTTTTGTCACAGCGTTTCAGCCACTATTGGATTTAGTAACAGTGGTATTTTGTCAGCCGGATCAGGATAGCATTTTTTAGGGTTTAAAAAGATGGTTTGTGGTTTTATTTTTGAGGATGTAGATGCCTCAGATGCAGTTGCTTGTATTTACTAGGTAGTTAGAAATCAAGTTCAATCTTTTATTTATCCTCGGTCTTCCCCTATTTAATCGACCTGGAACTTGAATCGGAACCGGGCAGCAGCTGTCAGCTGTCAGTTGGATAAGCGATTTGGGAAGCAGAGGTGGGTTCTGCTAATGAAAGACCTAAAATGCTTTGAACCATGGTTTTGATGATGCTTCCGGAAGTGGTATAGAACTACTTGGTTTCTTAACGTCAAGTCACTTAATGTTTGTCTCAGATAATTTTATCATTTTTGTTTTTAATAATAAAGACGGATATTAGTGAAGGAATGACAATTTTTCTCTTTGGCCCTTTCTTGGAGCTTCGTGGATGTGATGTGCCACGGGATGGAAACTTGGCCTCCATAGGATGAAAAGGATACGATGAAACAAGATATGGTACGACCTATGCTGCCTTAATGCTCGATTATGGATCGCCCATTGTTATGCTCTGCACTCTCTCCTTTTTGAGAGGTTTGATACAGAGATTACCGTTGACGTGCTCCTATCAGCATCCTGTTTCTTCTTCTTGATCATGTCGGGCAAATTTTTGTCTTAGATGTCGTATTGGAATTGCCAAGGATACAAAGCGTGGGAGTGGGATGAACCTGAAACATTCCCCCCTATCCTTGCTTCTGCCAGGTGCGGGACATGTGGTAACTGACCCTTCGTGAAAGGCGCAGTAACGTGCAAGAACTTACCGCATGTGTGTCATCTACGCTGATTGAAATCCTCCGTCATCATCGTCATCCCTACTTGGCAGGCTCGGCCACGAGGTTTCTATCACACTCAGCCCCGAATCTCGTCCAAGATCCATCGGAAAATTAGGTATATTCGTTTCCCGCAGCCTAGCCGTCCCTTGTCTTGTTCCAATCACCGAAGCAGGGACGAGGTGATGGGACCGAACTGACATGCTGAAGGGAACGCTGGGCAATTTGTGAGCAACAGCAGCCGCGTTGGATTTGACGCAGGCAATTACGTACGTCATCCGCTCATTGGGGGCGCTACGACTACTGGGGGGCTGACACAACCCTCCAGGGATGCACGCGAGACTCAAGAATACTCTGTACCGGCATCGACATCGACCAGTCAAAAGTTGCGGTTTGGCTTCCCCGACTGGCTAAAGCACTGATTGCCCGCATCACTCTCCCGCCCTGCTGCATTGTGTTCGCTCGTCTTTGTGCCCATTGGAAGCGTTCTCAACTTTGGATCAAAAGCGGTATGCGAGTCACAGTCTGGTTTCCTAGGCTCCTTTTCTTCAGCTACTCGTTGTGATCCAACAGAGTACTCGGTAATACTCGACTTTACTACACATCATCCCGCATCCTGATATTCAGCGCCACTTGACGGGAGACTCGGGCAACTGGCCGCAGTCTATCATCTAAGGGTACTTGATCTAAGGGCACTTGGCCATTATAGCTCAGCTTTCATCCGCCAATTTTTGGAATTTTCCCTGCATTGTTGCTGCGCCTTTCTGCTTATTGACGGAGCTTCATTCAACTGTTCCGCGGGTTCAATAATACGGCCTCTCGACAGGGTCCGACTCGGAGGGTCTTTGAGTCTTTGTCCAGCCTGCAGCCGAGCCGAACCAGCCCCACCTAGTCAAGCAACGGCTGTTATTGTTGGCTGCCAGCCGTCGCCGCCCAGAGGGTTCCAGCGACAGCGGTACATTATTATCCTCCTGCTGCTCCACTCCATCCCGCCCCCCCGTCTGACTTGCATCACTCGCTCGTTTCTTGGCTTCGTCATTATCCAGAGAAGAACATCGAATTCGCCTTTTGTTCATCACCTCAACACAGAACTGAGCTTTGAATATCCTCATTATCAGTGTCCGATATTTATAACGACAACGTTACAGAAACATTCAATAAATTCTTATCAGTCCGACGCAATCGTGTCAGCGGTCATACGCCGACGTCATGTCCGTTGTCGTGCGAGAGCGCGAGCGCGACTGGGAGGAAGACGTCTATGAGAGTCCGAGGAGATCTTACACTACAGTTCGCCGTTATCGAGTCACACCTCGGCCATATGAAGAGGAGGATCTTGCCGTAGAGAAGGTTCGCTACGATTTACCAGTTCGTCGAGAGCCATCCGAAGTTCGAGAGTATCGCATTTCCCGTGAGTATGAGCGGGAACCGAGGCGAAGCCCCTATGAGCTAGAGAGGTATTCGCGCTCTACAGAATACTTTTCGCGGCCAGAGCCAGCGCCACAGCCGCAGCAAATCATAATCCGAAACGAGCCTCAGCCGATCATCATTCACGAAGCACCGCGTGAACCCATTATCATTCAGCGGGAGGAGCCCCGCTATATTGAAGAAAGGCAAGTCGTTCGTCGTGAAGAACCTAGGGAAGATGATTATATATACCAACGTCGGACAAGGGAAATCGAGGAAAACGGTCGCCGTGAACAAGACTACTACGATGAGCGTGAGTGGCGTCGCGAGCGAGGTAGAAGCGCCGAGCGTGGAGACTATAGTGAAGATGATATGAAGATTGTACGAAAGGAGACGAGGGATTACGACCATGAAAGTAGCCCTCATCACCGCAGACATTTGGCAGAGGGCATCATCGCCGGCGTTGGAGCCGCAGAGCTTATCCGCCATCACAAGAAGAAACAGGGCGAGAACCCTGGCCACCGTGGTCGACAGCTGATTGGGTCAGCCGCCTTGGGAGCAGTAGGAGCTGAGGTACTGTCGCGTGCAAGAAGCCGAATGGGCTCCCGTTCGCGCTCGAGATCTGTTTCTGTGGATCGATACGGTCGACGAAGACGCAGGCACCGAAGTCATTCCCGTGTCAAAGAGCTCGCAGGGCTAGGCCTAGGTGCAGCAGCCATTGCAGCGGCTGTCAGCTTCGCCAATAAAAACAATAAAAAGAAGAACGACGATCGTGGTGATCGCGGTGAACGCCGAAGCCGGTCGAGGAGACGACGCCATTCCGTGACTGGGGTCGATCGCGAAAGTCGAGCCGAAAGCAAACATCGAGACCCGAAACACAGGAAGCATCGAATCGCCGAAGCTGGTGCGGCGTCCGCTGCGGCCGCTGCATTGATTGAGCATGCACGCAGTCGCAGCAGGTCGCGCCATGGCGGACGCTCACGCTCACGAAGCCGTCTTCGCAAGGGATTGCCAATTGCTGCCGCCGGGCTAGGAGGGGCTGCCGTCGCTGGCCTGTATGAGCGTAATCAGAAAGAAAAGGAGGAGGCTGAAGATAGTAGGAGACGCCATGACCATCGCAGAGGGTCAAGGTCGCGCTCGAGATCTGCGTCTGCGCCATACTCCGAAGCAGGAAGAAGTCGAGGCACGGCGAGCGACCCCGGGTTGATCGAATACGGAGACCAGCCCGTGTATACAGCAGACTACTATGGCGTACCTACCGGTCGGCGTGATAGTTACTACGATGGTGCTGCAGTCCCAATCGCTGCTGGGGCCGGTTATGGAGCTGCGAGATCTCAAACCTTTCCGCAGGAGCGGCAACTTAGTCGAATGAGCAGTCCCAGCTCCGATGAAGAGCGTAGAAGGCATCGAAGCAGCCGCGACCGTGGCCGCAGCGGCAGTCGCAGTCGAAGCCGTAGCCGAAGCAGACACTTGGCTGAGGCCGCAGCCGTTGCTGGAGCCGCGGGCCTTGCGGCAAATGAGATTGGCAAACGACGCGAGAGGAAGAAGCAAGATAAGGAGCGGCGACGTAAGTTTGATCATTCCACACGTGCGTGTCTCTTCCCATAACTTACCAGAGATTAATTTGTTTCACAGGTCGCGCAGAATCAGATCCGTATAGTGACGGGTATGGCGGATCCTACCACCCAGAACCATATGGCCCGCCTCCCACGGCTCCTTCAATGGCAGATTATGCCCCTTCGGATTACTACCCCAACACGAACAATTTCCCTCCTCCGCCAACTGGCAATAATCCATACCCGCCGACTCCAGTCTACAATCCTGCAGACTATCTTCCACCAGCGCCAGGTGCGGCGGCTCCCCGGCAACTGCCCGAACACAGCGCGCACGACTACGGGCCGCCCCCAGTGACGGCACGTATGCCGGAACCTTATGCTGAGCCTTATGGAGATCCATATGGCGTGCCGCCTCCTCCCACAGGAGCTTATCGAGGTGCTGACAGTGTAAGTCCTGGTGTTGTTGCTGCTGCTGCTCCCACTGTTTTCGCTACCGATGAACCTACAACTACCCGTGCTACTACTACCGATCACATAGTAGAGGGTGGGTGTGGCGTTGAGCTCCCTCTTAATCTTGCCGGAGAACCATGTCTAGGCTAACTTTTCCTCTTTTTTTTTGTCTGCAGATGGTTTAGCGACCCCTCGCGCGTCGTCTCACGTCTCGCTGTCTCCAGTGCAGCCTCAACCTGCTAAAACTGTTCAATTCGATTTGACCGAACACGGCTCGGAGGCTGGATATCATGAGCCTCCCGAGTATGCTGCCGGTCCTTTTACTTCTTCTGATCCACGTAATAATATTCAAAATGATCTTTACACGAACGATTACAATAATGACGAACACGACTACGATTCCCGACACGATGATGATGCACGTCGTCACAGCCACAAAAGTCGGGAAGGCCGCGAACGTCGACGAAGACGATACCGTCCACGCGTTGATGGGTCTGAAGCTGATCCTGATGGTACTGCACCTGCTGCTGCTGCTGCTTCTCCTGGCTCGTCCAAGAATAGCCGTCATCATCGCCACCACCACCACCGTGATCGTGATGGTGATCGTGGTCATCGCGGACACCACAGCGACGATGACTATACGTCTCGAAGAAAGAAAAAACACAGCAGTCGTCCACATGCGCATGGACGCACGTCCCGCACACATTCTGACACAGACTCCATTTCATCAAATGACACGATCGAAATGCCTGATCGCTTTGACAAGGACGGGCACAAGGTGCACGAAACGGGAGATGATCCGCTCGCCGATCGATTACAAGACTTGCTCAGTGGCCACGGCGGCAGTGGCGGTGGTGGGTTCGGCGGCCTTTTGAAGAGTCTTGCTGGGGAATTTATCGGTTGATTTGACACGGTGTTTGGGTGGTGGAGTGGAGGTAGGGGGGAAGGGTTTAGTGAAAGGGGTAAAGGGTGGCGGTGTTAGTGGAGAGGTGGGACGATGGGACGAAAGCCAATGGTTCTTTAATGATGATATGACTTATGCCTTTTGATGATTTGTCTGTTTGTATGTGTTTTCCATTTCTTCTCTGTTTCTTTCTTTCGTCTTTTCTTTCTCCCTTTTTCATTTCCCCTTCTAATTGTGTGCTTCGTTCTTTTCCCCTACACCTTTTCAACTATTTGTCCCCACCCCCCTTTTTTGTTTTAGTTCAATACCGTAGTTACCCCCCGCTTGAGTTTTGAGGTTTAAGTTTTGATTTTGATTCGGGATATAATGGACTGAGCTATCGAATAATGATATGATCTTTTTCTACTTCATATTCTTCTGCCTTTTCCCTTCCTTTAACCTCTTCTTACCCTTATTAGCCATATCCACATAAGGACATCTACTTGTTTACTGTTCACCAACATGATGTGACATGACATGACAAACTCAAAGTACCTTGGTACTGTATTGTATTACCTTTCCCATCTGTTCTTCTTTCCTTCTTTCCTTCTTTCCTTCTTTCCTTCTTTCCTTCTTTCCTTCTTTCCTTCTTTCCTTCTTTCCTTCTTTCCTTCTTTCCTTCCTTTCTTCCTGTCTATTTTCCTTCTTTTCTTTTTTTCCCTCCTTTCATGCATGATCTATACATGATGGATACATGATAGACACATGATCAAAAATGTATTAGAAAATGCATCAGAGCATGACATTTGTGTCAAGCATGAAAGGTGTGAAGTGTGAAGTGTAAGCAGTACGAGAAGCCAGAAGTGAAGCCAGAAGCACGACATGTGTTAGTAGTGCGACATGTGCAGGTAGTGCGAGAAGTGAGAAGCGGGAAGTGAGAAGCGTGAGTGCGACATATCAAGCATGATAAGTTCCATGATGACACGCCTTACACGCCGACTACACAAACGGCTTGGATGATATCCTGCTCTCGTATCTTGCGTCTCATATCTACTGTCTAGTGTCTACTGTATCATGTCTAATGTCTACGGTCCAGTGTACAGTGACTGATTGGTAATACAGTGCATATTGTCATTGTCGTTGGAGATTGAAAAGAGCATTCAACGTCGCGGGTTTCAATGGGTGATATATTTGCCCTTTTATTGGGAAAAACAAACGTACAGGGGGGAGGAAAAAAAGTATAGAAAATACCTGTATGAACCTGGCAAATGCAGAATATCCAAGTGTATTGCCATTGTACCCTGACAAGCTAATCGACATGCGCGCTTTTTGTTGATGCGCCGTATACGCCTTTTGAACTCCCTGAGAGGACGGAAATGGGGAAAAGATATAAGAGACTGTCATAGGAAAAAAGAAAGGGGCAGAAATGAAGAGACTATTTATAAAAAGAAAAGGGATAGAAAGAAAGAAAGAGAAAATATGATGACAAGGCCAAAATTACAGCAGGTCAAAGTCATCCAATTGGTCGCGGTAGCGCAGAATGTTGCGCTTAATCTTGGATGAGTCGGTCCATGTGACAAAGTCTTCCATGTTCCTGCGTAAGTGAAATGTGTTAGTGAAGCTGGGTCGTACAACGCCGTGGATGATTTTGAGTACGGATATTGTACGAGAAACACAATAAGAGCAAATGGGGGGAAATGATTAAGAAGATGAGGAAGGAACGCACCGAGTGACGAGGTATGCTGGGTCCGTAATAACTTCTGTACCGACGCGGACATGTCCTTGTTCGATAAATTTGATGGCCTGTGAGATAACCTGAGTCAACACTTGCTCAATTGTTGCAGTAAGGAAAGAACGGCATTTGTCTCCGTAGAAGCAATATCCACTGATGCTAGATTTCGACAATTGCAAATAGTGCAACGCATCCACTGGACAGACAAAACGTCCTCCAAAAAAAACCCAAGGATCAAATCCATCACGAACAGACAAAACCTACCCCCATAACATGGTCTGCCATTCTCAATCGAGTCATGATGACAGGCAGGCGTCTCCGCGCAAACGCACTGACAGTAACCTTGTGCTCGACATCGCTCAGTTTGCCTTTCCCTCCGCCACCAGTGCCCAGGATGCCCATGTCAAACAGCTTGGCCAATAGCAGTTCCTCGTGCCGTGTGCGCACTGGGTCGGCAGGATCGAGCTGTGAGATGCGGTGGGCTAGTTGTCGTAGAGAGCCACAGAGCCGGTTATATGTAGTGTAGTCGGAGGGTTTCTGGATCGCATATCTATGAGTTATTAGTTGAGATGATACCGAGCAGAATCACCGGCCGCGAAAAGTCGATGATTGCGAGGGCGGAGGACGGGTTGAATTAAGCGTAACAAAAAAAAAAGCATACCGTCGGATTACAGCTGCATCGCGATGTCCATTGTCCTGGGCATATGTCGTAAAGTCGACTTTTCGCAGCAGTCGCTGTTCGTGATGCTTGAGTTTGCGGACCATGGTGTAGTCCTTGTCTCGGAGGTTTTATGCAGAAACAAATTCGAATTTTGGAGTTTTGCTTGGCTTTTACTCCGACAAGGAAGCCCTATCTAGCCTCAGTAGAACCAGTTGCGTAGAAAATGGATTTTTGGATTGTAGTGGAATCTCTCCAACTTCTTGCCCGTCAACTGCGGTAACTGGATTCTGGGTGAACTTTTTGAGCGGCTTAGTCATCCAGATCGAGCAAACTCTCGGGCGCCGCTAAACCAATATGGGCTCACCGCCTTCGGCGAATGGAGGTCAACTATTCCAACGGACGTCTTGGTCAACGGCGAGAGAATTAAAGGTTCATGATGATAGGGAAGGAAAAGGGCGAATATTTTTACGGGAATCGGCTGAGCAACTGAGACAGCGCATGAAGTAGTGATGTGATTAGAAGGCTTTTTACGTGTGCATTATTGTGGCTCTGAAGAGAATAGCATGGCCGTGACGATGATAATGATGGTACGGTCTATTTATTTAATCCATCCGAGGCGGTCGACTTTTGTCTTATCTAGCGTTATAATCTGCTGTCTAAAATTCACACTATACACTGAAATCAAAGCCCGTAGTTTCCCAGCCAGGAATGCTGTTATCGTAACAATCGTATCATCTATGGATATATCACATATAAAAAAATCTCGGTTGGCGATGGACCAGACCAAGAGATAAGCCGGGAACAAGTCCCAGAGCCCCAAAATCCAAGCATATGTTCAATAAAAATAACAACCCAGTCGCTATGGAACCACATCCTGATCGATCTTGAATAAACGAATATCATATCTTCCTCGCTTCTTTCCGAGGTTGACCAAATCCTGCCACGCCTCGGGATAGTTCTCCAGTCCCCAGGCTTGTACTTTGGCCCTGTTGGCGTCACCAGGGATAGCGTTATAGAAGGAACCGAGCCTATGGTCTGTTAGCATGGTCTCAAGGTCCTCGACAGAGAGTCCACTCACGTCAAGGCATCTGGCTTGGACCCTGTCTCTGTTTCCATGTCGTCAATCATCGTTACCACTTCGTCAAATAAGCCTTGCTTGGCCAAGGCGGCTAGGTACGCCGAATATATCTCCGGCGGAATGGCAACATCCAGCTTTTTGAGAAACTGCCAGATAGATTGTGCGCGCTTTTCCCCAAGTGGTGACTCTGCACAAGCAAGGAATGCCAGCCGGATGCTACTGTAGGTCGGTCCCTCGCGTGAATTAGCAATATCTTCCCAGTATTCCAGGCTTTGATGAGGCATATCGCAGGCCGTGTAAGCAAGCATCAAGGCATTAAGCATGCGCGTGTTGGGTTCAATCTCCATGTCCATTTTGAGCATATTATGCACCATTGTCAGTGACTCCGCATCCTTTGCTCTGGCGATACCACGGAAACACTCCACATAGGTGTCGAGGGTGGGTCTTCGGTCTGCCCGTACATGTTGGCGCATATGTCCAAAGACATGACATGCCATGTCGGATCGACGACGGTCAAAAAACTCTTGCATGATCCTGGTCCGTGGCTCGATTGGTAATTCATTGAGAATGATACGTGCAACAGAGTATGCCTCCCAGATTCTCGTGATACTGTTGCGGCGATCGAGGCAAAAATCAATGAGCATGTTCGCGATGCTCATCCGCTCAGCCTCCGAATAGAAGAAAGAATGCGTTTGGAGTAGATCAACAACATCATTGACTTCATCGCGATCCAGATGCAACTTGCACAGCGCAGACGCCGTCTCCGGCTCAAGACGAGCCTTTCGATCGTTGAGATCTTCCACAAGGTCTACAATTGCGTTAAAGTCCACTGTCTTGGTAGCGCATAACGCACGAATCAGCTGGTTGATCGTAGGAAGGTCCTCGCCCTGCGCGATTTCTTCTCCTTGAAGTTTCCGATATGCAGCCCGAGCTCCACTCAAATCTCCCGCTGCTATGCGATAATCAGTCTGAAGTATGTAGCTCTTCGCATTTGGAGCAATGCCCCATCGATCGCCTAGTGCAAAATATCGTTCTGCATTGTAGGGATCATTGCGCGAACTCGCAAATTCGACAAGGCCGTTGATGGTTTCAACGTCTGGACGAATACTTGGATCCTCAACATTTCTCTTCAGCATGACTTCCATCATCCGCTCCACCTCATCGACGCCCTTTCCCATGGCCGCAGCCCATTGGAAAATGATGTCCCATGTCCGCTTAGAGGGATTGCCTTCCAAGATCGAGAAAAACAAATTTCTGCCCCATTCAATCTCATTGTTTCGTAAACAAAACTTTAGTATTATAGAATTGGTGTGATAGGTCGGCAATTCGTCGGCAGCAATCTTCCGCTCGTACCATTTCTTGGTTTGCTCGATGTTGTCCTTCAATGCGTAGTATTTCGTTGTAGTTTGGTGAATTTGAGCATTAAACGGAACTCCCAGCGCAAGCATCTGGTCCAATGTTTGTAACAGCTCTTTCTCATTATCTTCCCGTGCGAACCCTCGCAGCACATACGACCATAGTCGCCATGTCTCCTGCCCCTGTTGGTCCAGAACGTAGTCATTGACAAAAGCTCGCGCGTCAAAGGAGTCACCTGTATGACATAGCACCTTGACATAGGCAACTGCATCTTTAAGCCCAATCTTGGGACTCACTGAAGGGTCGCTTTGCTTTCGCCGCTTAATCTCTTCGAAGAGCAGTCGAGCCAATTCATTATGGGCACTTGTGTCTTCATTCTTACTGGGCATGAGCGTAAGAGCATCTCTCGCTAATACCAAGTCTTCTAATGACAACCCGAAACCCTCCTCTTCCATATTTGTATCCCGCAAATGCTTGAAGAGGCGGCAAGCATTGGTCGCTTGCATATTAGGGAGTGGTTCGCGTGTGCGTTGCTTATTTCTAAAAAAATCTTTGAAAGCCTTGACAAGATCTGGTGTCGGAGGTGGCCTATGTTGCCTCTTTTTCGCATTGGAAAGCTCAAACATGGTGACCATTCCCGGATCCGTATCTGGGTCCGTCTTCACATCGTCATATTTGTTGCGCGAAAACCACCAGATTGTCCGCCTTGAACTGGGAGGCGGCGAGGCAAGGACGGCATAATTAGAAGGTCGTCGTCCAGAATGGAGCATGCGACAGGGACAGTTGTAGTGGCTGATGGCTCTGTTGGTCAATAGTCTTCGAAAGACCTGCCGGGTGAGTTGGGACCGCATGACGGCAACAGCATAAACACTGCTCGAGCGTATCTCCGCAGCTCAGTCAATGAGCTAATTCAGCTGCCAAAGCCGCGAAAAATGACAATGTTCATGAGGAATCCACAGTCAAAACATATGAGAGGAGAAAGTTAACAGCTGTAAAACTTCATCACAGAACAAGCGGGACATTGCAAGAGTGCAATTGAAGAGCAGCACGACAGGTGGTTGACATTGACCTACCTGGGGTATCGGTCCCTGGTCGGCTCTCCGCCTCTCAACTCAACCAACCCCATGATTTGGCTTGACACAGCTCCATCTAACTCCTCGGGTACTTCGTTCACCACAAACTTGCTGGTGCATTGATATGTACCGATACCCGTCTACCCCATGTTCTTCCAACTTAACGCGACTCTTCGGCATTTCCCACTCGGACACATCTACGCTATTCCTCTTTTGGTCTTTTCGAGATGTACTACCGATTATCATCATCTTCATTAGACAGCGTTATACTGTGAGAATCTCCAGCAGCAAGGTCGCAGCCTGATGGCCTCCCGCATATTATCATCCCTACCGGCACGGCCACAATCGGGCCTGTTGCCTAGATTGCGCAATGCATTCTCCACTTCTGCCAAGGCATCGCAGGATCCTCTGACCGGTAGGCCTTTTAATTGGTTTCACTTTCTCTATGGATTTCAAGAAGCTGATATCTCTACAGAAATCATTTCTTCAGCTGGAAATACTGCGAAACAAGCCTCAGCGGCAACGTCGACAAGGACTCAAACGGCGCAATCTCAGCCATCTCCTGAAGCCACCGAAGGCCTTCGTTCCTTGACGCGACGACTCGTGCGTGATCGAGGAGATATTTCCAGAAGGAATACGGCGTCGCGGCGGGGGCTTAAGGACTCAATTGCTCAATTTGCCCGGGCACAGGATCTCGAGAGACAACAGACCAGAAGGTGGAAACAAGGCGACGTCTATGCCCCGCATGATCTGACACCCGCCGAGATGCAAAAGTGGAGGAAACGGACAAGGCCGACGATGGATGCATTTGACGCTCTCGGAATGAATCCACTTGACCATTACAAGGTGTGTACTACTGATAAGCCAGAGGGTAAAGAAATTTGCTTGCTAATAGAGCCATTCTCGACGCAGAACTTTGCCATCATGTCCGAATATATGACAGAAATGGGCCGCATCCGAAATTCGTATGATACGGGCTTACGTCCCGTTAACCAGAGGCGCATTGCAAAAGCTATTCGGAGATCTATCGGCATGGGTCTAATGCCCAGTGTGCATAAGCACCCTGAAATCCTTGAGCAGACGTGGAAGGAAGGTCGCATGAGGAACCGGCCGATCGGATAGAGAATATCGGACAATTAAGACAGGAATACTCCATTAATTTGTAAAATTATCGTTTGAATCTTGTAAATTACCATGCTGGCATATAGACAGCGAAACCTCGCTAATCGGCGAATATTATCCTTTCTCGTCCCGCTCTCGTCTCTGACTGTTCTCCCTATCCGTGATTGCTCAAAGCAGAGGTATTATCTCACGATATAAAGTCAAGGCGCCGTGCCCTAGACTTTATTGACAGGGTAAAGGCTTAACCTCAAGAGCAACAGCTGAACAAAATAGTTGAATACATAGTTGGATGCATTCACAGCATGTAGTAATTATTCAGTTTGAATATTTGATATTGTTGGCGTCAAAGGGGTTTTCAATATGGACAAACTCAGGAAGTGTTTTGCAGTCATGTACTGACTTGCCGTATATCCTTGTTTCACGGCGTGCTTTCATATTCAGTGAACACGGCAATATATTCCTCTATGCCAAGCATGAGTAGTCATTTCTTATGGAAATGAAAAAGAACAAAGCAAAATAATAAATCAGAAATTTGATTATCGATTTGTTGTGCCATGTTCTAGGAACTATTTCGCTCTCCTACCATGAGTTCTTTGGTCGTTCAGAGGTTTAGGCGAGAAAGTTGGTTGGCTTGCTTACGGCATCTCGTCATCAGCATCGGCATCTTCAAACCAACAGTATTATCGCGATTGGCCCTGTTATTATTAACAATTCTCGTATCTTCGTTATCGCCGGTCTTTTTCTTCTTCCCTGAATTCTCATTCTGACATATAGCACCTCATCGCCTGGTGCAATTTCCGTTACCTCTCGCTTCTTCGTTCGTTACATCAATCCGTACCCATTCCAAGGTTGGAATTCAAAGTGGTCGCTCCTCTCAGCTCTTCTCGAAATCCACTACAAAAACCCGGCCCAATAGGGTCAGGGCGGAAATATTTTCTTCCTTTTGAGAGGATTACATGATATGTCATTCTTCAGAACACAGTCTTTTTTTATTTCAACCGATTTTGAGGATCGGTTCTTGACGTTTAGTCGGTAACGTGCTTCCGGCCGCTGGGGTAACATTGATTGCCTCCTAATCCCGAATATCATATCCATCGACCATGGATCCTACAAATGGTGCCGATACAGGGTCCGGAGCTGGTAGAGGGGGAAGGAACTCTTCAACGAATCTATTGCCACAGGCCGAGCAGAATAAGAATGGTGGTCTTATGGGTCCTCCGCCGCCCAAGGTGCACAAAGAGAGCATTAAAGCGCCATCCCAAAGCTCCGTCTCTGCTCCCCAACGTTCAAGCAACACGGGCATCGATTCGGCTGCCCCGACACCAAAGCAATCCCGAGAGTCTTCTCCATCTCGTCATGCCAATGCGCAAAGATTTCCGCCGGATATTCGTTCACGGAGAAACAGCCAAGAGCTTAGCCCCAATCGAACGCCTGAGGGCGCAAGTTCCATGAGTGCAGGAATGCCCTCTGCGGCAGCAGTACAGAGAGCTCTTTCGGTTTCAGGGATACCTACGCTGCAGCCTTCTGGGTATTCTGAGTCTTCGAGGAATGGTCGCGCGCAGAAGTCAGGCGGCTCTTCCGCTGAAGGTACTCCGCGGTGGCCTCTGTCTCCTCGAATCACCTCCCCTCCACCCGTATCCACACGAACGTCTCTTCAGCAGACGAGGAGGCCTGAGCCTACTCAGAATGGTCCAAGCATCGCTGTGCAACGGCCAACACCGCCCTCAAATCCCCAACAATTTCCCGGGAAGATGGATGTTCCAGAACCAGACTCCGATACGCTGCTGACGAATTCTTCGTCCACACCAACGCCTGGTACTAGAACACCACGAACCTTGAGTGGCGCAGGGACGAGTTTAGCTACCGTCGAAGAACGCAGCCCGCCAACTTCATCAGGTGACAAAGAGACAGGAAGTAGGAGCACAGAGTCTGGCTGGCCGGCGAAGATAGAGGAGCATCCGTTGGAAGATGCTTCCAATAAAAGCATGAGGGAAAGTGAAAGCGAAAGCGGCGAAAACAAGAGCGATGATAAACGAGGGAGAAAATCGCGGATATCCCCAAGTTCCACACGCCCGAACACCGTACCGCCCCGGAAGTCCTACTCGACCCTAAATCCAGTAAGGGGCAAGGGACTCGCGGAGGGAGCCGCGAAAAACATGACGGTCGAGACGGAAACCGTCAGCTCCATCCCACAAGTGGCGCTGGGTGGTGGTGCTGGAGACCGCGGCTTGGCTAGCCATGCAGGTTCAAGCTTGAGGCTCAAGCCTAGTAATGAGACCATTCGACCAAAGAAGGAAAAGAAGAAGACTGTTCGCAAAACTCCGTCGATAAACACAGGGACAGGTGCGAGCATGAAAATCCAGACAATGCGACGAAATCTGCTAACATTTTCGGCTTAGTCTCTTCGAAGGCAGACATTTTCGAGGCTAAGGTTGCCAGTGCCGTGGACGAGGCCGATTCTTCTGATTCAGAAGAGACTTTTGTGTACGAATCTAATCCTCCTGACCAGCAACCAAGGCCGCGATACCACTCACGCACACCGAGCGCGACTTCAGTACAGAGCCAACTAGATTTACGTTCTGGCAAGCGTTCGTTTCAAAGCCTTGGTGATGGGGGGCACAGCGTTGTTGGCAAGAAGAGCATGAAATTTGCGAATAACACTTTTAGCGGGATCAACGAGAACGAAGACGTACCCACCAGTGCAGAGCCAGCTGGCCGAGGAGCAGCTACAGTACGTGCACGAGGAAATGATGGGGTTTCGCTCCATCGCCATCACCATCACATCGGACGGTTTGGTCGCGGCGGTGGCGGCCACACGTCTCTGTTCGACAACGAGTCCCCCTTCCCGCCCGTTCAAAAGCCCCTTCGGACCACTGCAAGCGGCGCTTTTCGTCAATCGCCACGGCCATCAAGCCCTCGTACCACACATAGAGGACAGGGCTTTGGTAGTAGAAAAGGGCTGAACTCTCCGGTATTTGACATAGATGGAGAAGGCGCGGATGATGAACGGCTACCATTGATGGGGACTACTCGTGTCAAGCGCTCGCGTCACCCACGCGCACGGCCAGCCAACTCTAGTCTGAGGCAAATGGAACAATATCAGCGATCGCAGCGTGGTTGGATGACACGGTTTGCAGGTTGCATCGTTCTGAGCGTAATGGTAATCTTGGTGATATCTGGCGCAGTTGGATTCCTGTTTGCTACTACAAAGCCATTGTTAAATGTGGAGGTTCGGGAGATTCAGAATGTCCTTGCCAGCGAGGAAGAGCTCATGCTGGACCTCCTTGTGCAAGCAAGCAACCCCAACGTCATTGCTGTTACAGTGGCCGATATGGACGTCAATGTCTTCGCCAAAAGTAGACATGTCAATCCCAGTCACGATTGGGACCGAGATCCTTGGCAAGGGACATTACGTGATTCTCGACGCCGGAGAAGACGCACTCCTCCTAGATTGCCTGGGGCACCACTCTCTTCGCATCACCGCCACTCAGATAATAGCCCCGATTTCCTTCAGCGAGAGGCTCACGACAACGACAACGAATGGTTGTCCATTATGGACTCGGTAGACGATGGCACCGACCCGATTCCAGACGAAGGAGACCCGCAGACGATGCTTCTTGGCCGTATTTTTGAGTTTGACTCGGCCCTTGTTTTCGATGCATCGCCATTCAAAAGGCATCTCTCCAGTTCCGTTGGCGAAGTTCGGCTTGCACATCCGGGCAACAAAACTGAGGCTGGCGGCACCGAAAGGTGGGAAAGGGTTATTGAGTATCCCTTTGAGCTCATCGTCCGAGGCGTATTGAAATACCAATTGCCTCTGGGCTCACATATGCGAACTACTCCGATTCGATCCAGCGTCATCGTTCAGCCGGAAAAGAGTGGCGTCGGCAGCTCGTGGCCTGATCATCTAAGCTGAAGGCTTAACGTCTGGAACCTGATGGCTTGTTGAAACGAATTCAGATCCCGCCTAGGTTATGTGCCGTGCCTTCTTGGGAAGGCGATCCGTTCAAACTAGGATCAAGGGACTAGGAAACATCAAAGGAAGAGAACAATCTGTGGTTTATTTGGTCATATTATCGATCTCATATTGATCATATTTTCCTACATTTATCTTTGTTAGCTGGGTCATCGAACGCGCCCGAATTTTACGGGACTAGTATCAGGGATCTCGTTGATTGCTATTTCAGCACGGAGTCTTGTCATATTATTTGCACTTGAGCATTTATAGCGAGCATGGCGCAGAACGCGGGACACATACATGCAGAATCATTTGAACATATACAGGAATTCGACACACGTATATACAATGCATAAAATTTTTTTATATTGTACCATTTTATTTTGTTTTCTTATTTTTTATTCTTACGAATTACAGCCGGGTGGCGACAGGATCGTAAATTGTTTTTTCTGCGATGAATAAAAAGGAAAAGGAGACTAAAATAAAAACAGAATTAAAAATAAAGGGAAGTATGGATTCTGGTCTGGATTCTATAATAATCTAATATTGCCGATATATATAGCTGATTTAATATGAGCGCCAAAGTAGCATAAGGCACTTCAAAGCTTTGCTACAAAAGTAAATTCTTCGGAATTCTATCGGGTTTACACAATTAATTCTGGCTAGTTCCCGTGGGTTCGGTATATCATCATCGCGGCGCAAGATCAAAAGCACCTGCCATTTTAGCGGAGTACGAGTTCTTACAAGATAATTTGGAGACAAGGTGATGTTCACATGTCAATAGACAGTAGCGTTATGTCATACACTTTCATCATTTAGTTACAGGCCAAGGTACTAGCACTGCAGTCGAATGACGTGGAGTCAATCAGCGGTTGAGCTGATCCGCGATGGGAACGTATCGATATGACTGATTACGGTGATTAGGCATCGATAAGACTGATGAAAAGGTACGACAGAAGTTTCGTCATCATTTGAAATAGCTGCCTAACCCAGACAATTGATTACTAGTAGAAGCTTGGCTTTATTGGTAATAATCAGAAATGAAGCCTGATACAAGCAACGATTCTAGACAGGCCGACCATGCGAAGAATACAGCAATAGTGAGCGTGATGAAGTCAGTTGTCACGAACGAGATTGTGTCGGACCCCTGCTGACAGCACAGTGACCGCACTCGATAGACTAAAAATCACTTAGGCACGCAGATCACGGGGTCGGTGGACAACAATAATGGACAGGGGAATCGCGAGGCCAAAAAGGACGCGTTCTTTCATTTGTTTTTTTGCTTTTGTAGGTTAGAGTGGGATGGCGGTTGGTCAGTGCCGCATTAGCCGATTGAACGGAGGATTCGAGTGGCGAATGGAAAGGCTTTGTCACTCGCTAAGATGTCAAAGTTGCCTATTCTAGTTAATTGTAAACCGTCAATCGCGCCTTCCGTGTTAGAAAACCCAAACAATAGGACAACAACAAAAACGCGTGTCTAGAGTTCCTGCCCACACGGGAACATCCCCCCTCTCCCGTCTCGCTCTTTCCCTCCTCGTCCTCGGGGTCCCCTCGTCCCACGTCGCCAGATCATAGTGAGGAGACTGATATAGCGCGTGGGACAAAAGTAACTAACCCGGTACCTGACCGCCTGCCCGCCTGCCCGCCTGCCCTCCCTCCCTCCTCGACCGATTCCCTACCCTCTCAAGCCTGCAGGCGCGCACCCACCACACCTTAACGTCCTCTTTCCCTTTTTTTTCATCTCATTTTTCTCCTTGCGTCCCGTTTTCATCTATCGTGTGATTTTTTACCATTGTATTTTGATGGTTGATTTCCATCGACCTATTGCCACCTGGAAAGTGACGTGTTGTTCACTGGTCTGAATCACTATCGCATACTAGTTGCCACTGGCGCGCGCGTCACGCTTCGCCTGCATCCACGACACCTGGTCTGGCTCTGACTGTCTCTGCCTTACCCTGACTTTTCACGCCAGCAAAGCCTCTGTTTCGTCTGGTCGACGCCCTATTAAAACCAAGAGAATTCGTTTTGGGCGCGATCCGAAACCTCGTTGATGACGAGAAGAGAAATAAATGGGCATCGAAGCGCGCGGAACTGTCGCGAATGAAACATGACCGCTTCTCCTTGAGGATTGAATACATTTGAAACTTCAGCTGCAGACAGGCATTCTTTCAGCATTCCATAGACTTTAAGCGACGCCACACCTACGCGTCGCGACAACTCTTGTTTACTACTGCCTACGGCCAACGTCAACCTCATTGTCTTCACGTCCCTTCTTCACCCTACCGTGTGTCAAAACATTCATTTACAACTTCTCTTACACCAAGTCTCTACTCTGTACTATCACCAAATTCGATCGAATTTAACGACCAACTCGCAACAAAGGTATGGTCAACAGTTACCATTCGAATTCGTGGCAGGCTTCAGCCAGATCAAAACCCAGCTCGGCTCTGACGTCCGTCTCATAGGTAACTGCCAGCATTCCTCATGGTTGTTTCGTACTCTCCGCACCGCGATGCGGGCGGTACTCTTCACTTTCCGTCACCTACGCACATTCACCACGTCGATACTTCGTCTGCGCTTCGAAAGCTCCGCCGATCGCTTTCCCGATCTCCTTCCAAAGGTCCTACCTTCCGACTCGTCTCGGCCAAATCGCCAAGCCCGTCTCCAAAATCTCACCTTTCCTCATCGCCTCTCTCACCAACACCGCGATCTGCTGTTGTCAATCTCAGCGCGCCTTCCTTCAACTGCTCGTCCCCTCTTGCTGTTCCCTTCCCGCCTAGTGCGAGGATACATCGACCGGGAGCTCGACGGGCAACCCCAATGCGGCCGTCTTCGATGAGGACGTCTCCTCGAAGCCCAATGAAGCGCGCTCTGAGCGACTCGACTGATCACGGCAATGCAGCGCCGACTCCATCAGCAAGCTTCGCCCTGGGTGGGGAGAATCGACAGATGCGAAGTATTAGCTCTCCAGACAACCTCGAAGGCAAAGAATATTCGCTCGACGAGGAAGATCAAGATGATGTCATCGTGGAAGATGACAGTGCTCCCGAGGACGAATCCATGAAGCTTGAGAAGACCAGCATCAACCACTTAAATCTGTTTTCAACCATTGCAAGCCCTTTGAAAAGAGGCGATGGAATCATGGACATGGACCGACCGAATCTGGGTAGCCCAGTTGCAAAGCGACGCAGCGTGCACGGCGCTAGTTTTATTTCCGACTTCAACGTCTTTGAACCCTCATCACCATCGACCGAGCTACGTGATGAGGCGGCCCCTGGTATAGAGATGGGCCAGCCGACCAGCCCTGCACCAGGAGCAGCATCGCCCTTCTTCTCTTCTTTGCCCAAGAGATCAACGTCTTTGCGCAAATCCACACTCCAGCAGCGTCACTTTGAGAAGCCCCTTTTTGCTCGGTCACGTCCCAACCCGGATTTGGCGCTTGACTTCCCTTCGGTGCCGCATTCTGGACCCAGAAATCGTCTCCCCGTCATGGCGGATTCGTCTTTTCCACCAATGTCTCGCGACAGTCCATTCTATCCGCACGGAAATCTCCCAAGCGCCTCAGTACACGCAATGCCACAGACAAACTCAAGCCGATTCATCGACCAGCCAAGTCATCAGCCACATCCTCTCTCAAAGGAGATGACAGCCTCTTCAGCAAGTCCAAGCCTCGAAGAGGACTCACCGACTCACGTTCCAGTCTCCAACCATGATCGAGCGAAGAAGCTCGATTTCTCAAGATCACTGCCGGTTGGAATTCCGCGCCCTTTCCCTAGGGAGCCAGCGCAAAATGAATATTCACAAGCTCCTTCAGATACTTCTTTTGCAACCCCACAAAATTACAAACTCGTGAAACCTCTGCCAGCGGCGTTCATGTCCACAGGTTTAATCTCAAAGAGAAATCGGAATCTGGATGACCAGCAAGCAGGCGGAAACGCAGGAAAGGCACAAATGCCAGACACACCATGCAAAAGACCGATTAACTTCTTCGCCGCTGCTCCCGTTCCGATGCCAGGAAGTGCCTTGGGAAAGTCTCGCCAATCCCGTCCTGAATTTGGTACCCCATCTACTCCATTCAATTTGCATGCGTCAAGGCAGTCGGGCAGCCGATACGGTGCTGGGGTGAGCATCTTTGGCAGTAACCTTTCCAAAGGACCCCTCGCAAGACGAGACAGTTTTGCCAGCATAGACGGTGAAGAATTCTCGCAGTCACCCGCAGGCAAGGATGGCCAGTCCAACGGCGATTACGATCTTCCTCCTACGCCGACGAAGCAAGTGTCTGGCCCGGCTAGCGCTCAACAGCAAAGCGTTTTCAGGCCATCAAGTTTTACCTTTGGAGAACCTACTCGTCCGGACAGTGCCGGCTCAACACCCGGCAGTCTGGGACAATACTCCCTGAACTGTAAGTCATCTTCAATTTCAAACTTACATGGCAGTGCTATGGAGCACATTCAGTGTGGTCGTCAAAATTCGGCACTGTCAACTCCCAAATCCGGCACACTGCAATATTCAACTTCCTCTTTTGCACGCTCTCGTTCATTGCGAAACTCGCAGTTTCGAGGCACTCCATCGCCTCTTTCTCTGAGATCTTTCGGTGGATCGATTATTCTCAGTCCGAAGCAGTCCAGATTTACTAAGACAATTTCTCTTTCTCCAGCGAGTCCACTCAGCGGTCGACACATGCAGGCGCGTCCTTCGCCCTGTACGCCTCACGAGAACGTTTTGCCCCCCGACCCGAGCAGCCTGTCCATCTCCGCGCGAAACGACGCGCAGAAGAGAATTCTACACGCTGGAAGCAGTAGTGTTGATTCAATCTTCACCCCAGCGACGCCGACGGCTCCGAAAGAACAGTTTCCGAATTTCCGAAACCGACGATCTAGCATTACACCGATTAATGGATTTGCCGGCAATGATGTCGACCCTAGCTTGACATCCAGATTTACGGATGTTGAACTCATCGGCACCGGAGAGTTTTCCCAAGTTTACCGCGTGACGCAACCTCCGCCTGCGACCGGATCGCCTTCTTACTTTTCATTGCCAACGACGACTAGTTCAGCTGCTCAAACTCCATTGCCATCTCAAGTGTGGGCCGTGAAGAAAGCCCGGCAGCCATACGCTGGCCCCAAGGACCGCCAGCGGAAGCTTAAAGAAGTCAATGTGCTGAGAGCCTTGGGTAAAGGTGATCATATCGTGCAGCTGATTGATAGCTGGGAGGAGAAGAATCATCTTTATATCCAAACAGAATTCTGTGAGGAGGGCAGCCTTGATCTTTTTCTCTCTCAAGTGGGCAGAAAAGCGAGGCTGGACGATTTCAGGATTTGGAAGATTCTCCTCGAGCTCAGTTTAGGATTAAAGCACGTTCACGACTCCGGATTCATCCACCTCGACTTGAAGCCGGCGAATGTTCTCATCACATTTGAGGGTGTGCTCAAGATTGGAGATTTTGGCATGGCCACTGCTTGGCCGGCCGCTCCTGGCATTGAAGGAGAGGGCGATAGAGAATATATCGGTCCCGAGATTCTCATGGGTCAATACGACAAGCCAGCCGATGTATTCGCTCTTGGGCTGATCATGTTGGAGATTGCTGGCAACGTTGAGCTTCCTGACAATGGCATCTCCTGGCAAAAATTGAGATCTGGGGATATGAGTGACGTTCCTAGCTTGACTTGGAGCTCAGGTAGCCAAATTTTTCGTGATTCATCTGGAAATCCCTTGTCGAGCGAGGAGTCGTTTGAGGACTTTTACGTTTCCGACTCTGGAGAAGACGATGACCCACCGGCGTTTCTTCGTCACGGGAAGTTGTCTTCATCTTCATCATCATCCAAGAAGACTAAATCTTCCTTGGGCCCTCCTCGGAGCGAGTTGCTTCAACCTCCTATGTTCATGGTTGATCCGAACAACGAAGGTGCACTTGACCGCGTGGTGCGGTGGATGATTTCGCCGCAACCCGGCGACCGCCCTGTGGTTGATCAGATTCTCTCTACAGTCGGCGTACAGTGGACCGAAGCACGACGAAGAGCAGGAGCCACTGTCTTTGAAGGAAACTGGGGACCCGCGGATGATGTTCTTACCGACGACGCCGAAATGATTGATGTTTAAGAGATTTCATTTGTCCAGGCCGGATGGCTCAAAAGATACCATTTCGCCTTGGAAATCTTGTCTTTCCCACAGAACACAGGATAATACCATTACTTTCGACGCTTTTATTCCGACGTGTGTTTCTCTTTCAACCTCTGATATTGACAAATTGGCGTTCGGTCCGCCCCTCCGTCTTTCTTTTGGCTACGCGGCAGTATTTCCCTGTTGTAATCGCCTTTGCCTTTCGCTTTGAGAAGTTCCTCTCTTCTCTCTTCTCCTTTTTTTCTTTGTTTCTTTACATATCCTCTCATTTTTGTCTCGCTTGGCACGGTGTTGTTGGCTTGGGGTTGATGACACGGCATGGCATGGCATCGCTTGCAGCATTATTATCGTCATCATTGGCATTACATTATCACATCGTCACATTATTACACCATCATATGAGGAGCAGGGCGTTTGGTTGCGTTCTCTTCATCAGCCTACCTTTTGCGCAACTTGCAATGCTCTAAATTTTGCCTTTTTTGCTCCCGGATTTTTCTTTTTTCCACTGCTTTCGTTGCACACAATCTCCGGTTAATAACTGCAATGCAGAACCGTCGCTTTTCTCCACTTGCTCTGCTTTTTTTCCCCTGCTTTTCCTGGATCATGATCTTAGGACCTTGGGGGCGTCTCTGGTTCGAGGAAGAGAAACATTTTTATTTTCTTTCAAAAGACTCTAGTCGGCATGATTACCTGATTATCTTTGTATTTTAATTTCTCATTTTTTCTCTCTCGTTATGGCGGTCTCTTTTTTCCCGTCTCGTTGTGGGCCAGTTTCCGTCCCTTTTTTATGTCGGACCTGGGAGCATCATATCCATATCTTAATTACTTGCCCTGATATCTCCCTCTCTCTCTTTTTTTTTCTTTTTCTTTTTTTTCCTAGCATCTTTCTTTTCCGCTGGGGGGGAGCTCTTAACGACATTGTTTATTAGACTATTATCAATCATTTCCCTTTTTCTTTTCTTTTCTTTTCTTCTCTTTTTTTTCTTCTTTTTTTCTTGTTAACAGAAACCTCGAGTTTCTAATTCTGGCGAAAAGGATATCATAGTCTAAAAGGTATCTTGTCATCTTCGCATAATAATAGATTTTAGTTGAATCTATTTGGGGTTTCTTTTTAACCCTATTTTACAGATTTGCTCAGATTATCCACGTTAACTTACCTTAGTCTTTGATCGCATCTACTCTGATCGTCGTGTGTCTCTTGTTAACCCGTGCTTTTTATGATTTGTGTTTTGACTCTTATTGCTCTACTCTTATTGCTTTACTCTTATTGCACATTGCCATTCGTCGTAAAGGTATACTGACTTGCGGAAAGACGATCGACCGTGCAGACGTGCAGACGTGCAGACGTGCAGCACTGCTCAGGACGTATGGATGTGTGAACTCGTGATTTAATTGATTGATTGATTGATTGATTGATGTAGATTCTAGTAGAGATATATGATAGATGACTCAAGTCGAGGTATCGAAAGACGTCTACAGACTTGGATGACGCGGAAGTGATACTACCTATAGATACTGACACTGATACTGACACTGACACCACCACTAAGACAAAAACTGACACCGACACCGACACTGATACAAATACTATAATAGTTACCTAACACCCTCGACCTTCCAGACCTTGACGGCGGCATCGGCGCCCGCGCTAATAACTTTATCCTTTGCGACCCAGGCCACGCCACTGACGCCGTCCTTGTGCGCGTTCGCGGCCTTGACTCTGCCTTCGGGGCTCGCGACACTCCACACAAAGACGTTAGTATCGAGACTGCCGCTGACGGCGCAGGTGCTGTCCGGGTTCCACGCAATGGACGTGATGCGCGCGGTATGCGTGGACCATCGGTTGGTAGCGACGGACCAGTCGGCGGTCTTGTAGACGACGATTTTGCCAGATGCGTTTCCGGCAGCAAGGAGGGATCCGTCGGGCGAGAAGGTGAGGGCGCTGATCCAGGAGGAGGAAGAGGAGGAAGAGGGGTTTGTGAGTGTGGTTTTGGGCTCGAGGGTCTTGGAGAGGGCAAAGATGTGGACGACCCCGTCGTCGCCTCCGACTGCGACGGTGTCGTTGCTGGCTGATATGCTTCTGGGCTCGAATTTCGTGAGGGCTTCGCCGAGCTTGGCGCCGCTCTTGTCGTAGATTTCGACACCGGTGGATGTGGCTACGAGCACCTTGGATGACGCGCCGTTGGCGGTGGTTGTCGCAACGCCCTTGGGTTGTCCGACGAGTTTGATCGCCTCGTTGGTGAAGCTTCCAGAAGATGCATCGAGACTGCGTAACGTGTCGTCCCACCCGACACTGTATATGTCTTTGCCTGCGGTCGCGGCCAGGCCGGAGACTTGGTTCGTATGCGTCTCGCCATTGGCCTTGGTTCCGAGACCCGTGGAAAGGTCCCAGCTGCAGATACGCCCTTCGTAGCTCCCTGTCCACAAGGTCTGTCCTGCGTCGAGATTGTACCCTGCGGCTGTAATGGCCTTTTGGTGGCCCTGGACGACCTTGACGGGTTGTGGGTTGCCCTCGGTCAAGTAGTTCAAGTCGCCGTCGAGGTTCAAGCTGATGATCAGGCCGTCAGTTCTGCCAGATGGCCAGACGACGCCGACTTGGTGGTCAGGCACGCTCACGGTGCCTTCTGGGCCAAATCTCCAGCTTTGTGTCACCTTTCCGGCCTCGGCGTCCCAGATTTTGACCGTCTGGTCGGCACTCGCGGTGACGAAGCGTTTGGAGTCGGGGGCCCAGGACACGCCAAAGATGCTTCCCTTGTGCTCGCCTTCGCCGATCTGCGCTTTGACTTCTCCCGTCTTTCCGTCGTATAGCCAAATCTTCCTGTCGGCGCCAACGGTAACCAGGCTCGATCCGTCCGGACTGAAAGCCACGCCGTACAAAAAGTTGGAGTGTTTTCCCTTTTGTGTGCTGTTGAATTTGAATGGCGCACCGTGGTAAAATACCATGTTCTTGTCGTCACTGCCCGTTGCTGCCCGGAATGGTCGCTGGCTGCGCATAGCAACGCAGTTGATTTGCGCGCTGTGGCCGGAGATTTCTCCAACTGTGTTTCCGCTGTCTGCTGAGATGAAGTGCCCGAACCGACCCTTGCCGTGACCTACAGCAACTATACGCTGAGAATCGCCATCCCAGGCAATGTCGTTGATACGTCCGCCAGTTATTTGGTACTCGCCTGAAGAACACACTTGTCAGATCCAAATCGCATTCAGAGTCTGGGAGTGCTGCTTGGCTAACCTTTGGTTGCGCCCTCTCCTACACAATCCCACACTCTTACTGTACCGTTCACGTCTCCGCTTGCAACGTAGAAGCCCGAGGGCGAGAACCTTGCGACGGTCGTCTGCGCGGTGTGGCCAGTGTACTGTCTACTCACTGCCGGATTGTCAATGGAGCGAATGAAGACGGATTTATTAGACTAATTGACAAAACGCATCATAGTCAGTATCACGACAATTGCAGAGTCACCAAGAAAGCTGGTCCAGAGGGACAGAAGAAGCTGATGCGTTAGGAGGAGGAGCAAGAGCTCCTCTCCAACCCCGCCTAGGCTCGTCACACACCACACGCCTAAAGCCAGAGCCTCTTGCCCGTTGTCTGCCAACTCTCAATATCAGGGATTGGTTTAGCTTACAGCATAAGCAATCCGCTCGCCTTTAGGATCAGTAGATAGTGGCGTGGGAAAGCCGCGACTCGTCGAGGGCGAGGAAGCCCATATAGTTTCTATTAAGGAGTAACGGCATTAGTCTACTGCATTTTGCGCCGGCGTCGAAGCCAGAGGAATTCAGATCCAAACAGCAATACCAATCCCTTGACCACATACCTGAGGTGATAGACATGTTGTGTTTGCTGAAATGAGAGAGGATGATGGCTCATTCAGGCTGCGTACACAATGAGCGGGGTGACGTACTCGGTAGCATTTAAATGGAACCAAAACACGCCAACCAACTAGCGAGCTTTACGGGCTGGACTCTGAACTCTGTTTACAACTAATTTAGAGGATCATGACTATCAACGGCGCAAGATAACCTCAGATTTGCTGCGTGATCTATTTGTTAGTCTGCTTCTCTCACCTTGACTGTTGACTTCTTCAGTTTTTTCTTGTCAAACACTTACAATAACCTCTGGGTACCAACGGTACACAAGTTCTGAGCTCAACTAACGGCCGCGAATAGATAAGGCGGGCGATTTGTAGGTTATGGGATGACGACCGCACAATGTCCGACGACTCGTCGGATCACATTCCCCCGGCGACGAACGTCGGGCGGCTGCTTAAAAGAAATGTAAGCTTTGACACCGGCGACTCGGATATATCATGTCCTGCCTTGATCCGCCTTGTACGCCGCCAAAGCTGACCGTCGCTACTTTTCCCTGAGCTAGGCTACCTTGATCCTCCCACAAACTGGAGAACGCGTTCGAAGGTCCTTTACTCTCCGCATCCCGAGACATGTTGCGAATGAAGACGGTGCCACTACCCCCCTCCTGCGGCGTCGGAGGTCCACCGGGGAGAGATGTGGCGCTGCAAGAGCTGCATGGAAGTCTGTCAAAGCAGGCATAAGACTCTTTACCGGGGTTGTTATGTCGAAGACGAGCCAGAGCGTTTTGAAATGTAGCTTTGCATATCTTTTGGGAAGCATGGCGACATTCGTCCCACAAATTGCTGCCTTCCTGGGTAAGCAAGATGGAAAGCATATGGTCGCTACTGTGACAGTCTACTTTCATCCTGCGCGCTCCCAGGGAAGCATGCACGAAGCCACACTGTTGGCGCTGCTTGCCTTTCTGTACGCCGCCTTTATTTCGGTCACCAGCATGGGCGTCTCTATATTTTTCGATGATCGTGGCCTCCAAGCTTTGGGCCATGCTATCGTCTTAATAGTCTTCTGCGGAGGTGGGCTTGGGCTTGTTGGATGGGTCAAACTGAAGCTTGGGAATCCCCTCGTGAACGTTGCTTGCTCATTGACGTCTCTGGCGATTATAACTATCCTTACGAAAGAAGGTGCTGTGCAAACATCTACCTTCTCCGACGATAAGATCACACAAGTCTTAAAAATGGTAGTGATGGGCATGTTCGCTACCACTGCAGTATGCCTCATTTTCAATCCTATTTCTGCGAGAAAAGGGCTTCGAGAAAACATGATCAAAGCGACTGATTCCCTCGGCGATATGCTTTCGATGATTGCACGCAGCTTCCTTGTGGGTTTGGAACAAGAGCTCCGACAACCCGCTTTCATTGCGGCCTCTAGCCAATACAACTCGGTTTTTACCTCCATGAAAAAGAATCTTAGAGAAGCAAAATTTGAACATTATGCCTTGGGCACCGAAGCCCAGTATCACATCGAAGCCAGGCTTGTCAATTGTATGCAACGTCTCGCACAAAACATTGGTGGTCTTCGAAGCGCAGCTACCATGCAATTTACGTTGCTCGCTCAATCATGGTCAGGCGGAACGACGAACCCTACCTATGCCTCGTCGATGCTTTCTGGATTCCATGACCAGCGAGAGGAAAGTGCTGGAACCTTGAGCGTGATTGAAGAAGCACCCGAAGACGGTGATCTTTTCAATATGACTCAACCTAGCTCTATGGGACAATCAGTCGCTAGTTTACCACCAATAACACCGGCGGATATTTTCTCTAGGTTTATTTTACATCTTGGCCCATCAATGGTAGGCATCATCTGTCAAGATGGCTTTTCCGTTTCTCCCAACTCCTCTCGACTAATATTCGCAGAAATCTTTGACATATACGCTAAAGCAAATCCTTGATGAACTCCCCTACGGACCTGGACCAACTTATGCGATTGCCATCAATCCCAATTTTCGATCAAGTTTATCCGAGGCTATGGAATTATATGCGACAGCCAGAAATGAAGCGCTTGCATTGCTATATGGCCACAATGACCTTAGCAAACATCGGCCTGCCGAGATCGAGGCGGACTTTGAAGAAGTTGCTGCTAGCTGTGGACATTTCAGCTCCTGCCTGCAAGATTTTGCTGAAGATATGAAAGTCTTCTTGGAGATCTTGGAAGAACTCAAACTCAATCTTGATCGTCGGCCCAGGCGTCGGTCGTGGAGATGGCTTTTGTTTTGGCGGAGCCGCTCATGGAGGCACCTTGGTAACGAAGAAGATCCGGGTAAGAATCTTGATAATGAGATGTTCGAGTAATCTACTGATTCTCCTTAAGAACGCGACATCTCGATACATTCAAGCATTGACAGAGACGTGTTGCATTCAAATGCTGAAGGGTTACGACAACGTGTAAGTCTTGACAATAACAACCAACTGGGGAGATATAAATACCGATACACGTTATGGAAATTGCTTCGCGGTTTCCGCAGGGAGGATGTCAAATTTGCCATCAAGGTCGGAGTCGGCGCCGCTTTGTATGCTCTTCCTTCATTTCTCCCCTCAACCAGGCCATTTTATTCTCACTGGCGTGGAGAATGGGGACTGTTATCTTACATGCTTGTATGCTCTATGACCATAGGCGCGTCCAACACCACAGGTTTTCAACGGTTTTTGGGCACGTGCTTAGGTGCGATTGGAGCCATTTCCGCTTGGTACATTTCTCAAGGGAACCCCATTGCGCTCGCAGCGCTAGGCTGGCTCATGTCGCTTGCCTGTTTCTACATCATTATCGGCAAAGGGAAAGGGCCCATGGGCAGATTTATCCTTTTAACCTATAATCTTTCAGCCTTGTATGCCTACTCGCTTTCAGTCAAGGACGACGAAGATGATGAGGACGAGGGAGGCACTCACCCTTGGATAGCCGAAATCGCGCTCCATCGTGTTGTCGCTGTCATGTCAGGTTGTCTCTGGGGCATGATTGTCACTCGACTCATTTGGCCGATTAGTGCTCGAAAGAAACTCAAAGACGGACTAAGTGTGTTGTGGCTTCGTATGGGGCTACTCTGGAAGCGCGACCCATTTTCAATGCTGCTTGAAAGAGGTTCCCTTACCCCTTATATGAATGCATGGGAAGAATTGCAAATGCAACAATCCATTTCGCGCCTAGATGGGCTTCGGCAGGCAGCCTGTCACGAGTATGGGCTCAAGAGACCTTTTCCAAACACCATATACGATTCAATTATTAAGAGCACAGGTCGCATGCTCGATGCTTTCCATGCCATTAACGTCGTCATCATGAAAGATCTTAAAGCGTCTGAAGGTGAAGTTGCCATTTTACGGCACACGTCACGGGAGCGAGCACAACTTTGCGCTCGAATCACTCATCTGTTTCAAGGTATGTTTGTCGGTTCTGAACATCCTTCACTTGTATTAATAGTATTCTTCTAGTTTTGGCCTCATCCGTGAAACTCGAGTACCCCATCAATGACGCGCTGCCGAATACTGAAAACGCCAGAGACCGGCTTCTTACGAAGATCTTTGACTATCGGCGCACGTCTGCTGAAGCGCCAGGCGTCAGTGACGAAGATTTCGCGCTTCTTTACGCTTACGGTACGTAAAAACTCTTTGCAGTCATTGATTGGGAACGAATAGGGTGATTGACAGGAGACACAGCCCTCGTTACTGGACAGATCTCTCATGAAATAGCCTCAGTGAGCAAGGACATTGAGAAATTGTTCGGTGTCCTCAATGAAGACGCATTGAAACTGGCATAAGTTCTGGCTGGAGGTTCATCTAATAGACAAGGTAGATTAAATGTACATACGAACAAGATCATTTTAAGATTCTGTTCTCCATGTAGAGTGGTTCACGTCGTAACGTAGTGGATGAATTAATGGTTCGTAGACTTGGGATCAGCCACATGTGGCGGTGCAAGTCGCATTTCGATGACGGGAGATGCCGCAATCGCGATAGGATGCAATGGGAAACTTACCAGCCTCTCTTCCCATCAGAATGGGCTTGATGATATTGCTTCGCCATTAATATTTTGTCCCGATTATCATCATACTTACAAGCAGAGCTCCGTATCCAGTCAAGCAGTGGCTGGATCGGACCTCCTGCCCGAAAGGCGCTCGGAAGAGGCCCGAGACTACGACATTGGACAAGCTGCATTAGCAGTATCGGCTGCCATTGCTCCTCCGCCCGCGACACGGCGCGCAACGTCACGATTGGCCCATAATAGAAAATCAACACGGGCTCAATAATCATTCAGTGGGTGAATCAGCTACATTTTCTTTTCTTAAAGAGAGAAGGTGACTAACTGGGAGAAGCAAAATAAATTAATTGACGAATACCTTCATTTGTGTGTCTGGCGCGCTTTCCTTTCCCTCGTCGCACACTGGCGTACCAACGGAATCCTACCTCTGTTCCTTTCAGCTCCCTTTCCTAAGGGTCTCATCATCATAAGATCCCGTTCGACCAGGTGTTTTATACGTACATATTTGCTTTACTATCGCTCCTCCACCAAACAAGCTTCTCGACGTTAAGCTGCATTTCATAACTTCGCCGCTGTACGAGCACCAACGTTCTTCTCACGACACTTGCACCATAGCTTGCCCCAGATACAATTTTAGATATGCCGGACATAGATCCAACGACACTGAGCCGGCCCGGCCCCCTTTCACAATCAGGCGCAACGCCGACCTTGTCTACCAAGTCTCTATCAGGAACCAATCTGGCCGGGTCAGCTTCAGGTTCATCACAAAAGCAGGGAAAGGGTCAAATGGCTACGAATGCGGGTACTGGCGCCCCGGGAGCGCCAAGGATAGAGCTAGAGCCGCTCTATACCGGACTTAAAGCAGCGGTAGGGGATCACTGGGCGGACTATAAAGAGGCTATTGGCCTCTTCATGTTAGGTGAGCTTTGGTCATATAAAGGCTTTGTGGCCCACTGAGAGAATCTTGGGGTTTTCCCCTGGTTGACCTTAGAAACCACATGGTTTATACCCGTGATGGAAACCTCTACGATTCAAGCGGGCCTTTTACAACGGCCCGAGGAGTATTAGCACGTTGGCTGGCTGTCACCATACTTGTTGATCTCCTTTCATTTTATCCTCATACCTTGCAATCGATCTCGCATCAAGGCTGATGGATATTTCTAGGTCAACTCAACCAGGCCGAACTGTCAACCCGCATAGACTACTACATCACCACAGACCCATTAAAGGAACATTTACACAACCAATTGCTCAACGCCATCTATGGAAACATATCACGAGAACCACCTGATACTACTGTTGCGGGTTGGGTATCAGCAAATGACAAACCGTCAAACGTGTCGAAGCCATTAACTGGAGATGGGGCTGAACATCGTCTCAAGACGGAGATTATGCAGCTGCCACCGAGAGATCGAAGAAGATTGAAGCTTATTCCGGAGGTGAGTAGTAATACGAGCCACAGAAAAACAGTCTATGCTGGTCAAATCGGCCAATGCAACAGACTTTGAAATCTGCCGTTTAGGAAGTGAACCTACTAACTCTTTTACCTCTATGACAGTCTGATAATTATATTTCAAATTCGAACATGCTCGCGGAATATCACCAAGCGAAACAGATTAAGCTTCCCGAGATTGTACCTACGAGCGCGGGAGGTCTAAACACAACTAGTCAGTCTACCTTGCCGTGGCAGATTCGAGCCGATTTATTCCTTGGGTTCACGGCATACGGTCACTGCCGTAGCTGATTTTAAAAGATTGTCGAGATCGCTAACATGACTTCTTTTTAGACTGGGACCTCGAAATCCACAAACGGTACTCACAACCACTTGCCAGCGAAACGTTTGAATTTCCGGAACCATCTTCAATCGCTCTGCGCATGACGCCCATTTGCTACGAAGAAGGCCTTTCGAATGGCGCATCTAACACGCAAGAATGCGCAAGCTACCTTTCAATCGCAACAGAGGTATTTGTAAAAGAAATCCTTAACAGCATATTCGGGCGCACGCGCTGCAACGGTCCCCAGTACATCATGACCGCACGATATAAGCGACAGCTCGAACGCGAAGAGGAACTCTGGCTGCGTGGAGACATTAAGCGCGACGCGAATGGACTCTTGCCAGTTGAAAGAGACAATGCAGGCAGCGGGGGTGGCGTCAGCATGGGCGATCTACAGCTCGCCTTGGAAATGGGCGGGTTTGGAATGGGTATGATGCCTCTCGTCGTCGAGAAGATTGTAGCAGGATACATGGACGGCGAGCTAGAAGAAGAAGAGGACCGAAGAACCAGAGCCAAGACGGCAAGGACTCTGGCAGCAAAAAAGCGTGCCCCTCGCGTTGGTCCTCCTGGTGGCCCTGGCGTACCTCCCGCCACCGCAAGGCCGCCAAATGGAGATGGAGTAGACGCCAAGCCTGCCACAAGAGCAGAAAATATCCGCCAAGAATATGATCTCATGGAAATTGACGACGATGATCCATGGTGGCGCACATCCAATGGCGTTCCTAATACCACCACCTTGGGAACAACAACTGCCGCAAATAGCGAAGACATCCTGCCCGGGCCTGTTGACGAATGGATTCCACCCGCAATTGCAGAAGACGCTGCAGATGACGACTGGGGATGGGAAGGTGGTGGTGCGGGAGACAGACTTACGTTAGGCAACCTGCTCGATGATTGCCTGGCCGTAGGGCAATGACCTTTGCACACTCCTCCCACTTGAAGCCATGCCAGAGCTCCCATTCTCAGCGCCGCAACTCGCCCCTTGCCATCTCGTCTTTTCTTCTCTGCAGCTCAAATTTTTTCTGCACATTCTCGATACCCTCTTTGCATCTCGCATCTCGCGTCTCGCGTCTCGCGTCTCGCGTCTCTGCACTTTTCGTCTCCATTTTTTCCCCCACTTCCTCTTCTTCGGATGGCGCCTCAATTCTTCTCCCCAACAATCTCCCTGCATGAACCTCAGCGCTTGCCACGGGCAATGTCTACCACACCCGCCTATTTCTCATTGTCCGAATCACGACACTCTCCATCCACTCACGCGAAGGGTTCCTTACCCATTACCTTTCCCTCTACAGTTGGTCGCAGACCTTGACCCCTTTCCCTCCCTCCCTCCCTCCCTCCTCCCCCCAACCTATCATGGCTTCTCAATCTCATATCACCCACCAAAAGAAAAAGAAAATAAAAAATGTATTCAACGGCGCATCGTCTAACAGGGGAGCCGGAACACATTTTTCAATTCGACGTTTTACTTCTTCCTTCTTCCCCTGCTCCCAATTTCGTTTTCCATTGTTTTCTAAGTAGCATCATTCGGCGTCTTGGTTGGAAGGAGAAGAGAGTGAAGAAGGAAAAGGGTTTTTTTCCTCTTTAAATACCCCCCCGCCTTTTCTTTTTCGGGTCTCTTAATCTGTGTTTGGACTTCATCTGCGTTTGGGTATTTAGTATAAGGTACCGGTTACAGGGTGCTGGATACAACCTACAGGGTAACTGGATTTATTTCTTTTTACTGTTCTTGTACATTATCCCGCGCAACGTAATGTGTATGTATGTATTTATGTATTTATGTGTATAGTCACCCAAAAAGTATGAACCAGAAATTATGAGACAAGATCCCATCGATGGAGAAATGCGAGACTGAAATCGTGCATTCGTGAAAGACAGCCCGTTCTCTCTTTCGGAAGTATTTGAAGAATTGATACTATTGCTGATAGCAATCTATATTATCTGGCCAAACATCTACCTACATCTCCCAAAATGAAAGAAAAAGAATCAGAAAGAAGTGCTCCAACGCCATACCGACCCGTGCCCTGAATAAATCGCCTGCCCTTCTTTAAAAAAAGCCTAGCATTGTTGCGCCGATAAGATGAGTTCTTAAGATGAGCTATTTAAATAGATTGAAGAAGAGAGAGAGAATGCGTGAAGTAATAAAGGGGCCTATTGAAATAGATTGAAGAAAAGGGAGGGATAGAGATAGATGGAGAAAGAGAGAGGGAGAAGAGAGGGGGAAAGAGAAGAAGGGGGGGGGGGGAAAAAAGAAAAGGCCCGGCTGGAGATGAGGATATTTACAGATCAACGATCATGAATCACTCAAGCTCTTTGACGACCAATTGCAGAATCTCGTCGACGAGTTTGAATGCGTTGCGAGGATCTTTGGCGACGCGCTGCCAGACTTCGCCGTGTTTGGGTTCGCTGAGGATACATTTGGAAATGACGTCTTCTTTTTTCTCCTGTAATCGGGAGCAAAACGCGTCAGCTGGGAGAGTCACCTAAAAGAGGAAAATGGGAAAGGAAAGGGAAATAAAGGAAAGGGGACTTGAAAAAAGAAATACGCAAAAGAATACGTGAAAGGGGATGAAAACAAACGGAAAGAGACTAAAAGAAAAACAAAACCCCCCAAAAAGGAAAGGGAAAGAAACTCACCTCAGTACCATGCTGCAACAAAAACTTGTAATACCACGCCCAGGTATCACCGAGATCGGCATCGAGCAGGATGGCCTTTTCAAACCAACTTGAGGCTTTTTCGAGTCTGCGCTCACCCCAGAAGATTCTGGCCACAGTCACGAAGAGGAGGGGATCATTGTCGACCTTCTTGATTGCTTCGAGACTGCGAGGCTTGCGATGCGTGCGGGGTTCGAGATGCCAGATGCTCTCGCTCCAGAGTAAGCCCGAGGCGGGCACTTCCTGGAGGGCTCTGGCCATGACGATTTTCGCTTGGGTGTTGTATCCTCCACGGCGCTCAATGCGGACGCTTTCAGTCCAGAGTTCTGCATTCTTGGGCACAGCGAGTCGAGCACGGTCAAGTACAGACCGCGCCTTGACGACCACGCCGGCCTTTTCCTCGAGCCGGGACGCAAGTAGCCAGAGTGGGACAGACTTGGGGCAGGCGCGAGTGCCAGTACCATATGCTTCTCGCGCCTGAGGGAGTTTGTTTTCTGCTTCGTAGATCTGGCCTTTCATCATCCAGAGCTTGGCCGCGTTGGGGAAGATCTGGAGGCCCTGGTTGACGAGGTCAAGCGCGGCGTCTGTGTTGCCGAGTTGCCGCTCATATGCGACGCTCTTGATCCAGACGCGGTCGGTGCCGGCTTCGCGGCGGGCGGTGGAGAGTAGCTCGCGCGCTTGTTCAATCTGCTTGTTGTCCGCTTCGAGCTTGACGGCTGCAAGCCAAATGTCTTCGTTGTTGGGATTTTGGTTAAATGCTTTTCCGAGCACACGTCGGGCATCATCGATGCGGCCGGCTTGCCAGTTTTCCTTGGCGAGTTGCATCCAGAGCACTTCGCTCTGAGGGCAAGCCTCGACGGCTTTTTCGAGCACGGCAAGGACAGATTCTTTGGTGCCATGATTGCGCTCGAGGTCGGCAGCGGCATGCCAGATGGATTTCCTGTTGACAAACACCCGCAAGGCATAAGCGTAGATGGCGCGTGCGGTTTCGTACTTGGCGCGGCCGATACTGGATTTGGCGTCGTCCATCCAGATTTCCTTGCGGTCGTCATCTTCGTCGAGACCCCATCCGAGAGTTTCCCGGATGATGGCTTGGCATGTAAGAACGGCGCCTTCGTCTTCGCATTTTTCAGCTTCGGTGATCCATTCTTCGCGCTTCAGCATGGCGGATTCCTTGACGAGCGATTGCACAGCACGTTTCATGACATTGACCTTGTCGGCGGCGCCCATTTGCTCTTGCAGTCGAGCAGCAGCAATCCAGATTTCGTAGCTGGTTGGAACGGCTTTTCGCGCCTTGTTTAGAATGACCTGCGCATTCTGAGGACTCTCAAGACGAGCTAGGGCAAGCCAGAGTTCGACTGAGAGGGGAATTATTTCGGTTGCTTTGGCAAGAAGTAATCGTGCATCAGCCGGGTCTTCTTCGAGATTTACTGCCTCCTTCCAGAGCGCTACCGACTGGGGGATAGAGTCGAGCGCATGTCGCAGCACTCGCTTCTTGGCACGAGGATCATGTTCCAGATTCATGGCCTCAATCCATAGCCGAACAGATCTGTCATTGTTCTTGATGGCATTGGCAGCGATAATCTTGGCGTTTTGGTTGTCGTTTAGCCGGATGTTTTCTAACCACGCGTCCTCGCTCTTTGGGCAATGCTCGCAACCACGAGCAATGACGTTCCTTGCTGCGACGATTTTCCCGGCTACCTCCTCCAGACGCGCAGCAGCGATCCAACCCGGTGCGTGCTTTGGATTTGTCTTGATGACGGACTCTAAGAGAACTCGAACACGCTTGACGTCGCCAACTTGTACGTCTCCAGATTTCATCTCTGACTTTGTCAAACTCGTCAAGTAGCCCTTTGGGTCAATGTTGGTAGCGCTACCAGCGACCGAGTCTGTCCCTGACCCATGCGCGGTCTGGTCAAGACGAACTTGGAGCACCTTGTTTCTCGCCGCACCAATATCCGCAAAATTGGTCATGGTTCCGTCCGCAGTGTCCGCTCCCGCAGAACTACTCTGTGTCCCGTCCTCGCTCACGGTCGAATCAAATTGTGCAGAGTCTCTGGCCCCGGCAATGACGCTGTCTGGAACTGCATAGAAGCGTTGGCGGATGTTCTGTTTTGCGCGTCGGTTCTTTCCCGTGAGGTCTCCCACTTCAGGAATACTCGCCCATTCTTCGTCGGTCACGCTGCCTAGTGCGCGCTTTAGATCGGAAAATTGTTGCTGAATCTTCGGGTTGTTGCGTTCATATTCCTCTCTTTCCTTTTCTTCTCGCGCTTCCCTGTAAATTGAGAGAGAGATTATATTAGCAACGAACTCTTGTAACCAAGCATGGAAACCTTGAAGTGTGTTCCAGAGAAGACGCTCACCTTTTAGCCCTGCGCCGCTTGTCCATTTTCTCATCAACCTCCTGGTATATTCTATCTGCCTCGTCATCATCACGATCGTAAACCCCTCCTGCGAAAAGCCCAACTTCATTCTCCGGATCCTGATATCGTTCATCGTCCTCCTCGTCCTCCTTCTGGGCAGGGGCTCCATAGGCAGTAGGCGGTGCTTGTCCTAATGCAGCTGCTCTTCGCGCGAGCGCTTCCTTAATCTGCTCCTCACTTGGGCCATCCCGCGCCGGACCAAGATCAGATCGTGTAGTGAAGCCCGTGGCACCACGGCCAAGACCCGCTACATAATTCTCGGGAGCCGGTTGGCTCAAGAAATCTTTTCGGCCGGACATGACAAAGACGAGCTCGTAGTGATGCCTCCTGGATCAAACAGCGAGTTCAGTCAGTGAAAAGGCAGGGTGCCACTGCAATGACGCAGGTGCAGGAGGAAAGCAATGGACCTTGACGGTATTGCATTGTCCAGTTACTCCCTCGTCCGTAGACCTATAGAGTTACTGGGCGGCGAACGATTAAAGATGCTTCTAACCGTATAAGGTTACCTAAGCGAGAACTCAAGCATCAATTCGGAGATAAGATAAAAATTGATCGAAGATTTACTGCAACGGACATTCAACAAGTGGACGCTCTCGATTTATTCAAGTGCTGTAGAGCATTGTCTCAGTCTTTTGTTCTCCAGCACTTCGTTCTCGTCGAGACGAACTTCCGCGGCCATGCCTAAGGCTGCTCCCAAGAAGCGCAATGCGGCCCCGCAAAGCGGCCCATATGCGGGCGCTGCGCCAGCCAAGACCAGTATTTTCAAGATGAACACAGACCTTGGTCAGCACATATTGAAGAACCCCGGTGTTGCACAGGCTATTGTGGACAAGGCGGATCTCAAGCAGAGTGATGTGAGACAGACAACAATCTAATTTCGAAGCCACCATTTGAACAGGTGCTAATATGTGTTTCTGTGGAACAGACCGTCCTTGAAGTTGGTCCGGGAACGGGTAACTTGACCGTGAAAATCCTGGAAAAAGCGAAGAAGGTCATTGCCGTGGAAATGGACCCTCGAATGGCGGCAGAAGTTACAAAGCGTGTGCAAGGAACTCCTTCCCAGAAGCGGTTGGATGTCATGCTCGGAGACGTTATCAAGACAGAGTTGCCTTACTTTGACGTCTGCATCAGCAATACCCCATACCAGGTGCGTAGAACGAATAGAACAGTTTGCTCTTTTCTCTAGAGAAGATCTCTCTCTAATGTGTCACAGATTTCGTCCCCCCTGACCTTCAAGCTTCTTGCGACCTCGCCTGCGCCAAGAGTCTGCATTCTCATGTTCCAGCGTGAGTTCGCGATGCGTCTGTTTGCAAAGCCCGGCGACAAGCTCTACAGCCGACTTTCCGTCAATGCCCAAATGTGGGCCAAGATCGACCATATTATGAAAGTGGGCAAGAACAACTTCAAGCCGCCCCCAGCCGTCGAATCGAGCGTGATCCGCATGGCCCCGAAGAACCCGCGCCCGCAAATTAGCTATGACGAGTGGGATGGTCTGTTACGTATTGCATTTGTGCGAAAGAACAAGACACTCCGCTCTAGCTTCTTCACAACGAGCATTCTCGACATGATTGAGAGCAATTACAAGACATTCTGCGCACAAAACGATATCCCATTGGACGATAGCCCCCTGGACAACGCTCACGGCGAAGACACAGCCATGGATGCTATCGAAGATGAAAACATGGACGAGGATATGGAAGTCGATGACGACGAGGACTTGCCTGCTTTCTTCAAGGAGGAGGCGGACCGAAAGGCCAAGCTTAAGAATGGGAAGCAGTCCAGGAAGAAGAAGGGTAAAGTGGCGGAATTAGTGAGAGAGAAAGTGCGCAGGGTGCTCGAGGATGAAACGGAATTGGCGGATAAGCGTGCCCGTATGTGTGACGAAGGTGATTTCTTGAAGCTTCTGTGGGCATTCAATCAGGAGGGAATCCATTTTACCTGATCTTCTTGGACCAGTTATATATCCTTGCTTCTTTGGCGCGCATTTTAGTAACGGCGTTGGTTTCGTATTGGGATATTAGCTGGATGGATCGATTTTTGCTAGGCGCACATGAAATTCTCCGCGGCCCTCGCGGTGAAAAAAGTTAGGCTTGTTTCATGTTACGAAGATTTGAAGACTTTTAGAGAAATATAGTCTCGGTGTCTCCAAGAATTTGAGTTGATGCTGCTGGATGTCGTTGAATTGCTTATATGATCTTAAAAGAAATTGTAATAACTGCATTGTGCCCCACTGTCTCTTAGACAGTCCTCTAATCGCCTATGTTATCCGACTCGGAGAACAATGGTATACTCAATGCGTCGAAGAGAGGCAACGCTGCTCGGAGAAAGGACACCAGCTTAGAAATGAGAACATGAGGTAGGCCTGTCGATATCACTCTCCGCCTGTTCCCGCGTGATCTTAATATTTGTTTTATCTATTATATATATTGATATTATGTATTAACGTGCCTCTTACTGCCAGCAGTGTTCCAAGAAGCATCATGAGTAGGTAGAAGCTCATGGTATTACAGGCGCTGTCGTGCCACTCGTGCTTTTCAAATGCGCGCTCGATCCACGAAATAGACTTTGCCATATAAACGCCTCGCTCAACAAAAGTTCAATGTCCTTCTCGGTCCAATCACGAGTAGGCAGCGCTTGCAAAAACATCATAATTTCCTGAAAGTCCATTTTTAAAAGCTGTTCGGACCATTTGACCAGAAACGCCGCACACACGTAAATATGAAACTCTGAGAAACCTTGGTCTTCAGCCTGTACTCGAAGAGTTGTTAGAAATCCTTCTAAAAAGACAATGTTGGTCACGAGACATAAGCACAAAGGACGTACCAAATAAGTGTCCCACATTCTAATGGTATTCTTGACGCTGACTTCTCGCATTAGTAGGCAATTCATCCAGCGAAAGCTGAACTGGATGAACTCCACTCCTTCTCGTTCGAGGTGTTTGGCCAAAGCTGCGTCTATTCGAATTGTGAGATCACGAAGAGCGCCCACCTGTCGTTGAATACCTGGTTGGGCAAATATATAATTGTCTTGGATACCATCAAGCAGTTTTGTCAGACACCAGAAGGAATCTGCCTCAACAGCATCTAAGACAGACCGAGGCAATTGGCCAGGATCCATTCCAGATTCAATGTCCCCCTCGGTGATGTAACTGCCAAGAAAGACTTGCCAGAATGGGGTTACAAGATCGTTGATACCTTGTACATAACCACTGGCTGGATGCCTTATTGCCCAGACATAAAGAATCCGCTCAAGAGAGCGCTGGGTAGCTTCGTAGCCGTATAGCGGTAAGTGAGGGTTTGTACGTGGCACATCAATACTGATTTGGTGCCATACAGCCTCGTCTAGGCCCCTGCCTCTGCCGGATCGGAGTGAACCCCCTGTCGATCCGCCACTTGAAGCCGCTGCCGCTGCCGCTGCTAAAGGTCCCCGTTCAAATGCCTGTTTAACTCCGTCAAGATATTCTTTCCGTTTGCGTTCCAATGTTGCCACTCGTCGGTCGCTATTGGTAGGAAGATACCCCAGAAGAAGTTGCCACGACATTGCCCGTACTTCAGTTGGAATTCCGGACCATGAAGAGTCCCGCAGCTCGGAGAGAGAAATGTTTGTTGCTTGTAGGATCCGCTTGAATTTGTTGATTCTCGAAATTCGCGAAGAGTGAGCTTCGGCTTCCTTAGGAGACGCATTTTCCGGTAGAGGAGGGTGTTTTATTAGGTGAAGGGAATTTGCTGGGTCTGTAGAACAAGATTAGATGGAGCCAGAAAAAAAGGTTGAAGCAGAAGGAGAATGCATGCCGACCTTTAAGAACATCTTTATATTGTGGTCGTAGGATCTTCCCTTCCGGGTGTTTCCCCGAGGGATAAGACGGTCCTCCACCGCGTTCCTCAGCGATATCTGAACTATTGGCTCTTCTTCGTGTTGGGCTTTGCAAGCGGTATGTAGTGGAGGCCCCATTCTGATATCCAAGTTGCGAAGCCTCACCGGGTCCTTTGGGTCGTGACTCGAGGACTCTTTTATTCTTCATTGTCATGCTAGTAATGCTAGGCAACCCAAACTCGTCTTCCTCATCATAGTATGCATAGCTCCTATCTTCGTCTTCATCATCAACATCCCAGTCATCATTCGTGCTTAATATGAACTCATTGTAGTTCTGGCGTGGGGGCGAAGCGAGGTTGGAAGCTTGCTTTGCTAAAGAAGAAGAACTCGAGTTGCGAGCTGCGTTATAGGAAAGGGACGGCGGAGTGCGAGGTCGGGACGTGCGAGGAGACAGTGACCTAGTGGTTTACATCAGCTTGAAAGCAATTTATCGGCTCGATCCTATCCTGGACACATACAGTGTGTCAAATCGGAGCTTGTCGGCATGAGAGTATGATGCGCCCACTACTGTTGAGGCATCAATAGCCTTGGATGGCTCCTTGCGGGGGGAAGACCGAGCACGCCAGAAAGGCGATGAAGATCTGATTTCAAGTCAGTACGAGTCTCTCTCGGGATTTCTCCTAGGTGCCCAGGTGCAATCAAGGTTTAGGGCCCATGGTGTTGGGGGAAATGGATCATACTCGGATCGTTCTGTAGAACATCGATGCACATTAGCAGCAGTTTGAAAATTATCATATTAGATCCCGTTTGCTTTCTTCAATTCTTCTTCGTGGGCTCAAGAAAGGGAAAATGTGTTACGGACCAACCTGGACCATTTCCTTGAAACGCGCCGCCAAGTTAGTTTCTGATCGGACTATCTGCGAGCGGTTGAAGTAAAAGCTTACCTGCTGAGGAGGTTTCTTTGAACCCATTGTGAAGTCTGCTCCCTTCTGTCTCATTCATTGATCACCCCATTTGCATATCATCAAGTAGCTGTTCTTCTATCAGCCCCACTGCAATGTCAATACAAGGTGGTTCCATGTCATTGTCTTCCTTTGTGATTATGTAATCCGGAGGTTGGAACCGCCGGAGGCGCTGGCAGAAGAGCTTCGGCTCGAGACCACAACTGAGAATCGTCTTTGGAATTTCCTTCAGCGATCGTCAAATACGTCCACGTTTTATCTAATTCTTGAGACATTATCTTAGAAATAACTTGAGCGCCTGCTAATAGTGGCATTGAAGTCCTGATATTTCACACCGGACTTACTGCCTACCGCTTACTTACAGAATGACTGAGCCGGAAGATCTCGATGAGGATCTCTTTGCCGATCTGTAAGTCTTCGTGACCCTTTCCATATCGAATTTTTGGATTGGAGGATTCGTATTGACTGTGGCATTTTCCAAACAAGGTATGACGGGGAAGATGTGCCTTCTAAACCAACCCAACAGGCTCCTCGTCCTATTGAGCCCGAGCCCGAACTCCCTAGTACCGGGCCTCTACCTGTTAATCTAGCGCATGAATCTAAACAAGAACCAGTTCAGCCAGAGCAATTTGGGAGGCCGGACGACAGCGAGCCTTCGCATAGTGGGCAATTCGAGGGAAGTGGAGAACTTGGACAGGCTGAAGCCAGTAGAGCTCCTGCTGCTGAGCATCCGCCATCCCATGGACCGGGAATTAAGGAAGACGGGTAAGTTTTGTACAGTTTGTTTGTTTCGTTTTATCCTCTCGCATTTCGTTGTATGAAATGGATTCAGTGAAATCTTGGAGGGCTGGAGATCCGAAATGGAGGCATTTCGATGGCTATTCTACCACATATGCTGGGCTCGGAAGGACGCGCAATTGGGTTCGAGAATAAAGGCCTCCAATAGTTCGCCACATAGTTTCAAACTGGCCATTAAGCCTGCGGAGCAAGCTGGAAAAGGCGTGACAGAAACAGGTACATGCTTCGTTTGGAAGAATTACCGCTGGGCAGGCGCACACAGAAGCATAGTCTATTTTCTATCGTTACGCCCTCTTCATCAAGAAGCAAACAACAAAATATACGGGTTGATTGGATAATTGAAAGAGCTTCCTGTGGTCATGATCTGTTGGCTTAGGCTTTCAAAGGATGACGGGGGTGGCCGAGCTGTGCAAGCAGCTGCAGTAAGGCTGCCATAGGAACTGTTAGGGCTCTTCAAGATGAGAATAGTTTGTTAGGCGGCCGAAACTTATCAGTGGTATAACTCCTCATGCGCGAATCAGAATTACGATGGCATTTGCTACAACTACATAGCTTATTGTCGATATAATCTTCATATAGCAGACAGAACCTGCAGATCTGGACGGAACTAGTCGCTTCCGTCATGGCAGGATGCATGGTCATCGGTGCTTAGCACCAGTACCTAGAAGTCGGCTTGATAGCAAGAACAGACGATTATACCGGACGTTTAGTTGTGCCTCATTCTTGTTAAAACGGCATACCGAAAATCATTTTGGTCGACGCAATCGACAAGAGAACGTGCACTTCAATGTGCCAAATGTCATCATGATTCTGTCCGCTTGGCGCCAGGCCAACCATCCCATCAAGACGGATTTTCAAACTTCTGCTCCAACCGAATTCAGATGCCAGCTGGGCCAGTACTTTGATCTCCGAGCCTCTAGAAAGAAATCAATATGCTGGAAGAGTTCTAGTCGCCATCCCGGGCAAGATAATGCCAGAGTAGACGCCGTCTATACTTTGTTGTTGAAATCAATTAACGATGTATAGTCGGAGTCATTGTATTTGGCTGCATTGCTCTAGATGATTCTTCTGCGCCTTATTTTTCCTTCTTTTTACTCTTCTTTTTTAGCACGTCGTTAATCTGATTTTTGGCTTTTGGGGTTTAGCTGACATGAATGGGTTGTAATTTAGCAAAATGTTCATCGGAGGATTGAATTGGGAAACCACGGATCGTAAGTAGCGACATCTTGGCAGATGATGTTTGTGAATGGACACGGAGCTCACCGAGGAAATGTTTTGTCCTGTAGAATCACTCAAAGAATATTTTTCGCAGTTCGGCGAGGTTACAGAATGCACAGTAATGCGAGACGGTGCCACGGGGCGTTCACGTGGATTTGGCTTTCTTACCTTCAGGGACCCTAAGACTGTCAATATTGTCATGGTAAAGGAGCATTACTTGGATGGTAAAATTGTAGGTTTTTTCTTAACGTGTCACGGAAAATTTAGCACAACTTTTGCTGATGCAATTGCCCCCCTTTTTAGATTGACCCCAAGCGTGCCATTCCTCGCGATGAGCAAGAGCGCACGAGCAAAATCTTTGTCGGTGGTGTCAGCCAGGAAGCAACGGAGCAAGATTTTAAAGAGTTCTTCATGCAGTTCGGAAGAGTTGTCGATGCTACCCTGATGATGGACAAAGATACTGGCCGTCCAAGAGGTTTCGGATTCGTGACCTTTGATAGTGAAGCGGCTGTAGAAGCGACTCTCTCACAGCCACTCGATATCTTGGGGAAACCGATTGAGGTCAAGAGAGCCCAACCTCGAGGCAACCTTCGTGATGACGATGACCGCGCCGGAAGATTCCGACGTGGTAAAGACGGGCGGGATGCTTCAAGTGCAGCTGGCGGTGATGTCAGCGGTCAGGGACAAAACCAACAAGGCATGCAGGGAGCGTACGGAGGAATGACTCCGCAAATGATGGCTCAGTATTGGCAACGCATGCAGCAGTATTTTGCTATGATGCAGCAGCAGATGGCTGCCTCGATGGGTCAGGGCCGCAGCAACGTGGCGAATCCCATGGCCATGGCTGGAATGAATCCCGCCATGATGCAGCAAATTCAGGCGATGCAGAACATGCAGAATATGAACCGTGGGCAAGGCATGCCCGGCTCTCCCAGTCCTCATCCACAAAGCCCAGGACCTCAGGCCATGCAAGGAATGCCCGGCATGCAGGGTATGAATCCTGCCATGATGCAGCAGATGCAGCAAATGCAAGGTCAACCTGGACAGCAGGGAAACTTTGGCGGAAATGTCGGAGGCTTTGGCGGCCCTACTAATGGCGGGGCCATGGGCAATTTCAGCGGCGGACCCAACGCACCCGGCTACAATGCGCAAGAGCAACTGGCTTTCGAACAACAAAAGTACGAACAGCAGCAAGCTCGACGAGTGGTTCCGCAGGCACAGCCACAGCCATATCAGTTCCAACCAGGCGGTCCTACATCGTGGGAGGGCATGTATGACGAAGTGCCTCAGCCCAACATGAATGCTCAAGGCGGACCTGGCGCAGGACGAGGTATGCAGCAAGGCGGATTCGGTCGCCAGATGTCTCCAGCTCAGGCTGGAAGAGGGGTACCGCTCAATAGAGGACCGCAGGCTCCTGCCGGCCCGCAGAGCGCACCGCCTGCGAACGCTCCGACTGGACCAAAGAATGCTGGCAAACCTGGCGCAAACTATCGTGGTGGTGGCCGTGGTGGCGGTCACAAGGGCTTCCACCCATATGCGCGGTGATTTATCATCTTTTTTCTTAACATCGCAGACTCCTGGCGAAGGGATTGTGGACTGTAGGATATTTGATTCCTTTTTTTTGTCTGTTTGCACAATTTTTCCTTTTTTCCATTTATCGCAAATGGCTTCCCTTGGTTGGGATGCGGGTGAACACTAGCATCCGACTGCGGCTTCACCGGCACCTCTTCCATTAGGGTCTAGCCGTATGGCATGGATTAGTTTTTGTTTTTGATTCTCTTCAATGGCTGTATTTCAAAGAAGGGTTTTTTTCTATTCGTGGTGAAAAGGGTGCGGCATGCGTGTCTATATTGAAAATCAAAGGAGTCACGTTTTGACATGACAGTGATCAAGTGACATGTTCCACTTTAATGTCTACATGCTGCAAACTACATTTCATTGCTAGAGATGTGTTTCCGCGACAGTCGTTGAGGACAAAGGACAAGAAGCACAAAGTCATTGATGCCATTGGTCATGATCGTGCTGTAATTTAGTCCGAAGACTGTCAAAACATGTGAGTCTCTACAACCGTAGGAGCCCATTGGTGGTAGATCGGGTAGATATCAAACACAAGCGCCGACCAAGGACCAGGCGACATTCTCCGGTAGGCAACGTAGGCGCGAGTGAGTGGACCCTGTACGGGGGTAGCTCCCGAGGGTCGATCGGGTCGATAAGCATTGAGCCGAAGCGTCCCTCGACCCCTCCGTCTTGATATCTTCCGAAACTCCCAGGACTCGGAGCACGAAATGAAGACATGTGCGGGGATGTATCGCCGAACTGTTTTGTCTCCCCCTTGACTGTCACAAAATATTATGTGAAATACAGCTAACACTAGTAAAATACCTAGGTACTCATATCGTTGGCTCACCGTTTCTTACGTGATGATACCCTAATTAAATACCACTTCTGGCCCCTCCTACTTTGAACATTTTGAACATTTCATACTTCTCTGCTACTTCTTTTATTCATATTTTTGTATTCTCCTGGTTTCATCTGATCTTCTACTATATATCACTACGCACACTGATCGGCACAACTTCATCAAGAAAGCCCGTATATCTACGACTCCAAGTCTACCACCGCCAAAATGACCCAACAACCCCACGTCCCCGCCCCCGGCGTCTGGGTCCCCGCCGTGACCTTCTTTGACCCGGCCACCGACCGTCTCGACCTGGCCGCTCAAAAGTCATACTTCAAATACCTGTCCACCACGGGACTCACGGGGCTCTTGATCCTGGGCACCAACGCCGAGGCGCTCCTCCTCACGCGCGACGAGCGGTTCGAGCTGATCAAAGCCGCGCGGGACGCCGTGGGGCCTTCTTTCCCCCTGATGGCCGGCGTGAGCGGCCACTCTACGCGGCAAGTGCTCGAATACTGCGAGGACGCCAAAGCCGCGGGGGCCAACTACGTCCTGGCCCTGCCGGCCGCGTACTTTGGCAAAGCGACCACGCCCGGGGTCGTGCAGCGCTTCTTTGACGACGTCGCGACCGGCTCGCCCCTGCCTGTCTTGATCTACAATTTCCCTGCAGTGTGCAACGGTGTCGACTTGGACTCGAGTGCCATTGCGGCCATTGCGAAGAAGAATTCAAATATTGTCGGCGTCAAGTTGACGTGCGGTAGTGTCGCAAAGATTACCCGGCTGGCGGATACGTTTGCGCCGGACCAGTTCGCCGTGTTTGGCGGCCAGAGCGATTTCCTGTTTGCGGGCCTCACGGTGGGCTCGGCGGGCTGTATTGCGGCGTTTGCAAATGTGTTTCCCAAGTCGCTGGCCAGAATCTATAAGCTGTACAAGGAGGGAAAACTGGCGGAGGCGTTGGAGCTTCAGCGCAAAGCGGCGCATGCGGAGGTCCCGATTAAATTGGGCAGCGCGGCGACAAAGTACGCTGCGGCGATTTACAGCGCAAAGGCGGCGGGTATTGAAGGCGCAGTGGAGAAATTGAAGCCCCGCAGACCGTACGAGGGACCGTCGGAGGCGGTCATGCAGAGCGTGAGAGATACCATGGCGGGGTTGGCCGAGGTTGAGGCTGCGTTGTGAATGATGTTTGTGTTCTTTCTTTCAATTTTTTCCCCCCCATTCTTTCTTTCATCTTTTTCTTCTGTTTTTTGAGTTTTCATCTTTTCATGATTCCTACATTTGCCTCTTTTTTTCTAGTTTTATGTTATTTTCTCCCCCCCCCTTTTTAGACCTTTTTATTCTTCTTCCATTTCCCCATTGTCTTTTCTACACAACTCGACTGCAAAAACATGCATCGCGGCCAGCATTTGACAGCTCTACATAAAAGCACCAATAGACATCGTCACATACCTGAGATATCTACTTATTTATTTACTCTCCTACTTACCTACTTATTTAAAATGTGGCATTGTAGTACAGCTGATGTCGTAGTTCCATTGAAGTCGTATTACAGTCAAACAGTCAAACTCATAATTAGACTTACAGTACGGACTACCTGTACCGATAGACCTGCCTGTCTGTCTGTAGCTCCTCTCTCTCTCTCTCTCTCTCTCTCTCTCTCTCTCTCTCTCTCTCTCTCTCTCTGCCTGCAAGATATGGACGGTATGACCGGTCGCAGGACAACAAGACCCAAGACCCAGGACCATAGGGAGTGTCCTCGGTCCTCGGTCAGCTCATGCAAGTTGTTTATATATCATATAGTGCGAGAAAGGGAGCCCCCTCGGAGAGTCTACTGTCTGAGAGAAATAGGCCTGGCCTGCACCTGCTGCAGTGCTGCCGCCCGGAGCTGTCTATAGGTACTTTAGGTAAACTTAGGTAAGGTAAGGTACAATACCCAAACGTCGGTCTACAACCCGCAGCCCGCAGCCCGCTTTTCGGCTCGGGTGCCCGAGAGCACCGTAGTAAGCTGAACGTCTACGTAGTACGGAGACAGTAAACAGCATAACAGAATAACGGCATAACCGCATAGCAGTATAACAACATAACAGCAGAATCGTGCAAAAATATGAATGAGGACTACTTAGCAAAAAACATTACAAAGAATACGGATAAATTTAGATCAAATGGAATAAAATAAAATAAATTGAAAAAATGAAATGAAAGATGGAAATAAACGAAATGAAAACAGGTCTATCGATTCATAAATAGGACCGCATATAGCGCAACATGCCCAGCGGGGACGGGATACTGATATACTAACTGGCAGTCACAGGGAAACGGTTTTCATGGTAGTCAAGAATGGGCAAACCCAAGGGAAAAAAAGGGGAAAAGCCCAGATTAAATATAAAGATTCTCATCATAAAGGTTCTGACAGGTCTGACTGGATCTAAAGATTCATACCGAAAGGAATCAACTTAACGAAATTGGAAAAAAAAAAAAAAAAAATTATAATAATAATAAATATCATGCCCGGAGATTAAAGATTCGCCTGGTTACCGTTTCTCCTGGAAACAACGCCGAATTATTCCTTCCTTCCAACCATCGGACTTCACAAGAGTCGTCAATTTCCCAAACGCCAAAGAGTTTCTTCCCATCATAATCACACCGCCCCGTAAGACGGGTTATTGAAAAATCCACGGTTCGCTGGGATCGGCTATGCCCACCAGCGGATCCATTGCCCACTGCCAATCCGACTGCATCAAAAAGTTTCGCATAAAGGGATCATCGAGGGCGGCCATTGTGGCCGCAGGGTCAAGAGGCACGGTAGTGGCCTCATCGAGTCGAGGGTGGTGCTGTTCCAAGCCGACTGCCGGGATGGCCGAGTCATTTCCGGCACCGGCAGCAGCAGGAGCAGCGACGGGAATATTGTTACTCACTGCCGAGGGAGTTGCTGCAGTCGCTGCAGCGGCGGCAGGAGCAGTGGCAGCAGGAACAGCAGAAGATGAAGATGAAGATGTAGATGAAGAGTTATGGTTCGTATTGTTCAGAGTTGGGGGTGCATTCGCCTGAATCCTATCGAGCGAGGCTTTCAAACTCTCCATTTGCTCATAATGCTCTGTTGCAGGGAGGTTGCCGTCATCGCGCATGGATCTGAGCAGACTGAATGCGGTATCGACTGCATTAACATCAAGCGGATTGGGTTTCAACAGCGTCGAAACCATGAGGACAATCGTCGATGAAAAGATGTAGTGGGCATCGAAAAACCCAAATGTCGCAATGGAGCCATCCACCCAAACTTGTGCCAATAGGTTATTCGAGTTGCGCGCAGCATGGATACAGGCATCTGCGAGAGCAGTTGCCATGGGAGAAGGTGGTGGCATCGTGGCCTCGTTTTCCTGCTTTGGCTGGAAATGAAGTTTGAAAAGATAAAACAAGACGGGTCGAGTCGTAAGTATAATGCACTATCAACCGTGGTCAGTTGTCATATATTTATGAGTGATTAGATGGGAGGACGAATGGTTGCTTACATGGTTAAAGTGGAGATGTAACGAAGCTGCCGGCCGGTAGCCGTTGAAGATCGGTTGACCGTTCTGATCTACTCTCCAGTTTGGGGACAGAGAATCACTCCACGACCTCAAGCTGGTCAAGATCTTATGCACACTTTGGATAAAGTTATGCTGCTGACCTGGTCTCCGAATCCGGTAGATGTCGGTCAGAATATTGCCGGTTATTCTCGACAGCGTCACTTTGGCGGCCAGATGGGTCGGGTCGGCAAACTCTTCCTGCTCTGCCTCTGTGAGGAAGTCCATCGAAGGTATCTCGGCGTCAATGTCCTCATCCCGAATGGTTATAGGATGCCCCATCTTTAGGCTACACATGCGGTCGAAGTTGTATACAGTCCACCATACCCGCAGGCGATGCTCGCGCTCAACGGGCCCAATCATTCTATCTTCACCGACATTGCGGTGCAGGCCAAGTGATAAACTTAGTCGGAGTGCCACTCCCATGTAACTGAATGCAGTGTTTTGTCTGTTCAACGCCAACGAGTAATAGGCCTAAATGAATTGTCAGTATCTAGAAGTACGTAAAACAGATAAAACTGTGGGAAGACGACATACAACAAGAACAACGGTTTCAATGTAAGAAACAGTAGCCTCTTCATGCAAGTCTTGAAAAATACTCATGGCTTGCAAGAAGAATCCGGTCCCGGGTACTTCTGGGCCGTTCCGCGATGGCCTTGTTGGCCTGCACGAGTACATTTCGCCAAGCGCAAAGATGATAAACATGCGACAGAGAAAAACCGGATCTCGAAGCGTGCCCTTGTATGTCTCATCGAGCTGCTCCATGAATGTCTTCTTGAGCATCAAATGATAGTCAGAGCCGATGAAGCGCAAAACCACTCTCACTAGTAGATTTGCGTAGTTGCGATTGGGTAAAGAATATTCCGTCTTGCAAATGCGCTGGAGCACGCGATGCCTGTAATACATGCCCGGTTTATTGGGAAGCACCGACTGGTCGCCATCGAGGACTTGACGCACACGTGCGCCAAAGGCCGAGCAAGCTGAATCTCCCATGTACACTGGCGGCCTCGCATCGTCGAGATTATGGAGAAGTCGTGCCCTCTCCGGCACGAGAGGATTGTGCACATTTCTTTCAACAGTATTGTCAACCACTTCTGGTTCTTCTGTCGCGGATCCGGGCGTCGAAATGGTCCTTTCTGAAGGGATTGAGATGCGGCCGTCAATACGCTGCTCTTCGCGAAGAGACTTATTCTCCGCTTCAATCTGTTTGAGATAGCTGTACAACGGTCAGCATCAGTGGCTTGCATTAAGCACGGGGGAAAATAGAAGAATCATTCGTTAGACTAGAGATACTCACCGCTCTGATACAATTATCTTGCGGTCACGGACGGGATATACACATTCTTCCGCGCGGTTTGATTGCTTGCAGTTCCGGCAGGGTTCCCCGCCCGAACATTTGACTTTGCGTGAGTGGCATGGCCGGCAACTACAATAATCCCTCGTAATTAGATTTGGTAATTTTCAGATCACAATGATACAAAGAGGTAGAATGGATGTGCCATGGCTTTAGGGAATGAATGAAGCCTTACGCGACATAACTCCTCTTCAGCCGTTTTGAGGCTGGCGGGCTCATTGAATCGTCTGCCATTGGTGTTGAAGCATCAGGGTCGTCGGCAGCACGGCACATATTCGATCAAACCATGGAAAATGAGAGAGACGTGAATCATCAACAGACGTCGCAAGGCACAAGCTGGGTGCGGTTATGGCATCCGTCGAAGCCGCAGCAGCAGCAGCAGTGCTGTACTGACTGCACGCCTCCCCAGGGACGGGGTGCCTCGAGCAACCTAATCGCTGGTCGTTGGTCGTTCGGGTTTAGGTCCTCTGGTTCAACTTCTCGTTCGTCCGTTTAGACCCTTATGGAACGGTCGGGGGATGGAGAGTGAAGGCGGTTTCCCTGGTTCCGCTAGATTCAACGCGGGTTGGGGCGAGGCTTATCAGTAACAATAGTGTAGCTATTGGTCGAGCAGTGGAGATGGTGGATGCACTACGGCTGAAGGGGAAATGTCTCTATCAGTCTATCTATTCCTACCTACCTACCTACCTCACCATACTGTGTATACTGCACACGACTCTTTTCCATTTCTTCCTCTGTTGTCTTCTGCTGAATTCAATATCAGACTCTGGGCCAATCGAGAGTACAGTGTACAGTTGAACAAGGTGAATTTGTGTCAAGTAGCAACTTATATAACTATTGTATGTGTGCAGAGTAGCAGACAAGCTGATATGAATCTCCCCAAGGATATACCCTATTGGCCGAGCAATCCAGTGCACAATACCGTGATGAACAGTTAGAGTCATTTTACATCTTCAGCCATAGCCTGCTATATGGTCTTCTCTAGAGGACACATGCTTAAAGCGATTGCTTCACCTCGTTGTACCCCACAGAGAGCCGTGCAGGCATCCAGACCACGTGGTCATGTCAAGAGCTTAATGATAGAATGACGGCGTATGATGCATGCAGATCAGTTAAATACTCGATTGTCATCAGACATCTCCACAGGATTGATGACAAGGGCAATCCTCTGCCCCTCTTACTATTCGTTGATACAGCTGATAATTGTGGCGTGCTGACGTGAATCGGCTCATCCCCAAAAGTTCCGAGAATTTTTCGGGTATATCAGGGAGATCCGAGCAACAATCGCCTAACATCCAACCCTTTCTGCGAGTATGGAAACGACAATATGGGACAGAAGACTAACTCAATCCTGCCCTATCTAAACTATTCTTGCGCAGGGTCCGGTGCGCAAGGTGATCGACACCTTCTCCCCATCATGGGGCATACCAACTTTACGAGCTCTTATCGGTCGAGATAGGCACGCCTTTCTCGACGGCGTGAGCCTATTACCCATGGGACTGCTTTTGGAGACGCCTATAGGTGCGTTGGCCTTGAGCCTGCGACCTCAATAAGACTGCATTTCTGTCTAATAAAGCATCTGCTGCTCTTTTCTTCAAAGTGATACATCAACTACAGACCTTCCCTTTACTTTATCTGTTAGAATTATACCCTTGTGTTTGGACCCATCATTTTATAACAATCGTTGATTTTTTTTTGTACTTGTTATCATTATGCCTTCTGCAACTAGCAACGGCATTCGAATTGCTATTGATCGTGGCGGTACTTTCTGTGATTTGTATGCCAGCTCTCCCTTGTTTAGGGTTCGTCTTTCTGTGGTTTGGAACGTCCGTGACTAACGTCAAGAAGCTGGGCCCGTATCGCTGGCCGTGAGGACGATGTTATATTCAAGTTACTCTCAGTATCTCCAGATGAATACCCCGATGCGCCTAGTGAGGGCATCCGCCGAATATTAGAGATTGCCAGTGGCAAGCCCGTTCCTCGTGGCCAGAAACTCGACTTGTCGACCGTCGAGTCCATTCGCATGGGCACAACAGTGGCCACAAAGTACGTATTCCTTGATGCTATACTAATTATATTCCACAATCATCAGGGCTAACCTAACTTTTATCAAAGTGCTCTTCTAGAAAGAAAAGGCGAACGGGTAGCCCTTCTCATCAGCAAAGGATTTCGTGACTTGCTCATAATTGGCAACCAAGCACGCCCGCACATCTTCGACCTTTCCGTGCGCAAGCTGGACCGACTGTACGAAAAAGTCATTGAGATTGACGAGCGAGTGACTATTGAAGGATTCGCCGAAGATCCGGAGCCCAAGCCCATCGACACTTCAACCGACCCTGATTTGGTGGAGGGTCTGACTGGAGAGGCAGTCCGCATCCTGAAAAGGCCCGACTATGACCTTGTTCGTAAGCAACTCGAGGAGCTTTGGAGCCAGGGGTTCCGCAGCTTGGCGATTGCCTTGATGCATTCCTATGCCTTCAATGATCACGAAACGGCCATTGCCGAATTGGCTCAGGAGATGGGTTTCAAAGTGGCAGTGTCTTCTCTGCTGCAGCCCCAAATTAAAATCGTACCACGAGCCCAGTCGGCCACCGCTGACGCCTACTTGTCTCCAATCATCCAAGACTACCTTGACGGATTCCGCGATTGCTTCAAGGAAGGATTCAGTGGCTCTGATGCAAACAAATTGCTCCTCTCACAGTCAGACGGCGGACTGACATCCTCCAATAAGTTTACAGGCCTCCGAGCCATTCTCTCCGGCCCCGCTGGCGGTGTCGTGGGATGTGCTCGGACTTGCTATGATGAGGCAGAAGGTACCCCCGTTCTGGGCTTTGATATGGGGGGTACCAGTACTGATGTGTCGCGATATGGTGGTGTTTTTGAACATGTGTTTGAGAGCACTACCGCCGAAGTCACCATTCAAAGCCCTCAGCTTGATATCAATACCGTTGCAGCAGGAGGCGGCTCCATGCTGTTCTGGAAGAATGGGCTGTTTGTTGTCGGGCCAGAGTCGGCGGGAGCTCACCCTGGGCCAGCATGTTATGGCAAAGGTGGACCTTTGACGATTACTGACGCAAACTTCTTCCTTGGACGTATTCTGCAAGACTACTTTCCTCGTCCTCTAGACTACGACTCTGTGCAAAAACAGATGCTGCATCTGACCGATCAAGTAAATGCCGAGAAGGTGGGCGGGGCAAAGCTAACCCCAGAGGAGGTGGCCATGGGATTTCTCCAAGTCGCCAATGCTGCCATGACACGGCCCATCCGGACCTTGAGCGAGGGACGCGGATTTGAGACTTCTTCGCATAACCTGGCTTGCTTTGGAGGAGCAGGTGGTCAGCATGCTACTGCAGTGGCTCGGGATCTTGGAATTCGTCGCGTGTTGATTCATCGGCTTTCGAGTATTCTCTCTGCCTATGGCATGGCTCTTGCCGACGTTGTTGTCGAGGTCCGAGAGCCAGAGGCAGTGGCGTATGATGAGTCGACGATACAGAGAATTCGCACACGTCTTGATGGTCTCTGTGCCAAGGCAACAGAGGGCCTTGTTAGCCAAGGCTTTCAGCCTCATCAGGTATCGCATGAGTGCTTCTTGAACATGCGTTACCGTGGAAGCGACACCGCTCTTATGATTCCTGAGCCCGAAGACGGGACAAAATTTGACGAAGCGTTTGTGGCCCGGCATCAGCGAGAATTCGGTTTTACCCAGCCGCGAGAAATCCTTGTGGATGATCTTCGGGTGCGAGGTATCGGAAAGGGAGTAGAAGTGGAACAGTCTAGTCCGTTTGAACAGCTTCGGGGTCTAAAGCCAATTTACATCGACGCTGCTGAGGCCTCAAGTGTCCAAAAGGTCTATTTTGAGAATGAAGGGTGGATGGAGACTCCCATCTTTCATCTTGCCAAACTGACGAGAGATCGCAAAATCCGTGGACCGGCCATGATCATCGACGAAACACAGACAATCGTGCTGGATCCTGCTAGTGAAGCCACCATACTACAGGCGCATGTTATCATTGAGCTCCTCGACACGAGCAAGTCTAAACTTGGCACTAAGAACGTTGACCCTATTGCACTTTCCGTCTTTGGCCACAGATTTATGAACGTAGCTGAGCAGGTGAGTATCAAAAAGAGAAAAGCAGCATTGAAGAATTGATTCGCTAATGTGACCCAATTCAAATTAGATGGGCCAGACATTCCAAAAGACATCAATCTCGACTAATATCAAAGAGCGTCTGGATTACAGCTGTGCCGTCTTCTCCAAGGAGGGCGGGCTGGTCGCCAACGCGCCGCATATTCCAGGACATCTTGGTTCGATGAGTTATGCAATTGCCTACCAAGCACGTAAATATCCCAAGGGCCAGCTGAAGCCAGGCGATGTGCTTCTCTCGAACCACCCTTCTTCTGGCGGCACGCATCTGCCGGACCTGACCGTTACCACACCGGTCTTTGACCCTGACGACCCAGAAACCATTCTGTTCTTTGTTGCCAACCGTGGACACCACGCCGACATTGGCGGCATCACTGCAGGCTCCATGCCACCAAACTCGACTGAGCTGTGGCAAGAAGGAGCTGCAGTGGACTCATTCAAGCTGGTCAAGGAAGGGGTCTTTGACGAAGAAGGCGTGACCAAGATCCTGTACCACGACCCAGCACAGTACCCTGGATGCAGTGGTACCCGCACTCTCAAGGACAACATTGCCGACCTCAAGGCGGCGATTGCGTCTAACCACCGTGGCATCCATCTGATCACCGCGTTAGTCCGCGAGTACACCTGGCCGGTCGTGCAATTCTACATGGACGCCATCCAGAAGAATGCCGAAGCCAGCGTGCGCGATCTCCTGCGTAAATTCAGCAAGCGCTTCCAAGGCCAGCCTCTTGAAGCAGTCGACTACCTCGACGACGGCACGCCACTTGCGCTCAAAATCACCATTGACGGCGAGACCGGCTCGGCCAAGTTTGACTTTACCGGCACGGGGCCGGAAGCGTACAATAACCTCAACACCCCACCGGCCGTCATGTACAGCGGTATCATCTACTGTCTGAGATCCATGATTTCGTCCGACATTCCGCTGAACCAGGGCTGCTTGAGCCCCATTGACATTTACTGTCCGCCCAACACGATTCTCTCTCCGAGCCTCAAAGCCGCGACGGTGGGATCCAACGTCGAGTCATCCCAGCGCATCGTCGACCTGGTATTCAAAGCCTTTCGCGCAGCCGGCGCCAGCCAGGGGACATGCAACAATCTCACCTTTGGCTACGGCGGGAATACCTCCTCCTCCCCCTCCTCTTCATCATCCAAAGATAACAGCAGCGACCGCAAAGGATTCGGCTACTACGAGACCATTGCAGGCGGTGCTGGCGCGGGCGCCAACTGGGACGGCCAAAGCGGCGTCCACACGCACATTACCAACACGCGCATGACCGACCCAGAGACGTTTGAGAAGCGGTATCCGGTCCTCCTGCGCGAATTCTCCATCCGGCACGGCAGCGGTGGCAAGGGCCGCCACCCGGGCGGCGACGGCTGCATTCGCGACATTGAACTGCGCTTGCCCATGCAAGTCAGCATCCTGTCTGAGCGGCGCGTTATTGCTCCCTACGGCATGGCTGGCGGCGAGGAAGGCCAGCGAGGCAGGAACTTGTGGATCCGCAAAGATCCGTTTGACGCAACGACACGGACGATTAGCCTCGGCGGAAAAGCGACTGTCATGATGAACAAGGGTGATCGGATCATCGTACAGACTCCTGGCGGTGGTGGATACGGCAGGCCTCTTGGGTCGCAGTCCATTGTTCCAGGTGATGTTGAGGAAGTGATGGATGATGAGAAGGTTGAAGCGTATATTCGACCCCCGCATCTGTTTCATGCGCGTGCGTCGGGGAGTGTGGTGGAGCGGCAGTTGCAGGCCACGAGTAATTAATCTTGTCGTTTTTACTTGTCGGTTTTATCGTCTTATATCTTTACTTGTCGTTTATTGTCTTTATTGTCTTATATCTTTTGTCGTCTTTATACTCTCTTATATCTTTTTCTTCTCATTTGTCGTCTCTTTTCTTCTTACTGTATATATCTAGATTAGGTATCACATCTCCATCTCTCTGTTTGTGCATGTACATGTATATGTGCAACAGTGTATGTTCCTACTGCCTGCCTGCCTGCCTGTCTCCTTGTTCGCTGGGTCAGACCAATGCCATTGCTTATCCAATCTATATCTGTATCTGACCTGTATCCAATCTATATCTGTATCCAACCTGTATCCAATCAATGTGCAATCCATGTACAATCTGTGTGCAATCTGTGTACAATCCTTCTCCAGTCTATCTGTAATCCATCTACAATCTATACCTAACCCATACTCAATCTATCTACAATGCAATTACTATTCCTGTTGTCACTTATACATTGCTTTAGTTCAAACTGTTCTGTAGTCTATACAGTCTAGTACCAGAATCAAATCAAGTTAAAGCATGAAGCAAGTAGCAAGTAGCAAGCTACAAGTAGCAACTGAAAGGATGAATAGCACATATCACAAATGAGAGTGACATTCAATTTCATTTCAATTTCAACATGACATGACATACTCTTTCTCGCTGGAGACGTGGCAAATTAGACAGACGGACAGACGGACAGACAACAGATGGACAGAAGACAGACAGACAACAAATGGGACAGACAGATCATTTGATAGGATATGAAACCAATAGATAGATCAATAAAGACATGACAAAATAGTCACACAATGGACACAGGCGAAACAGTCGGACAAGGGATACGGCATGAAATGACAGATAGATATATACGAAACAGATGGATAATGGATACACATGAAACAGTCGGAATGGATGTTCGATATATAGACAGTCGGGATGGATACTCGATATATACAGACAGTCAAAACAGTCAAACGTCAAACGAATATTAATAATAATACCGGCAGTACAGACTGACAACTTTTCAAGTTCTGGTATTGAAAATAAATGCTCAAATGCTCAAATGCCAGCAGAAAAAAAAAGATGGCAGCAAGAGAACAAATGTGATATATATGACATGTAAGACCTGTATGAACCGACGATGCCAGGATAGTATAATGACCAATGATGATGCCAGAATAAGTATAATGACAACCAATGAAAAGATGACGATGCCGGAATACGTATATGACCGGGAAACGATGACAACGACAATGACAACGACAATAACGATGCGTTCGAGGGAATATGTCGCACGGGTTGAATCTAAGATGAAAGCGGAGAGAATGAGCAAACGACAAAGGAAAAGGAAGAGGAAAAAAACTTAAAATGAAACGACTCCGTGAAATGCATCGAGTTAAAAAGTGTATATAAATGTAAAACACAGAATCAATGCACGAGTCATGCTGATGAAGAGGAAAATGTTGAACAGGAAGATGGAGATGTTGGACAGGAAATGACATGATGGAGATGAGATAACACGAACATGAATATGAAAATGTCATGGACGAGAGAGTGTCATGTGATGGCGTAAAAGGAAATAAAAACACATAGCAAACAAAAAAAAAAAAAAAAAAAAAAAAAAAAAAAAAAAAAAAAAAAAACATGACGCTCAAATTATGCCAGGCCCCATGTGATGGCGGCCAGAATGACAAAGACCCAACGAGCCGAGACGGAAAGCGACGCGGCGGCGCCCTTGGGCCGGTGGCCAGTGGAACCATGACCGAGGTACCACGAGCCAATGTCCGTGAGCTGACCGTTCTGGGTCAGCATGGCCGAGTAGGGGCCAACATTGGACGCATCACTTCGGAACGCGCCAAAGTAAGAATAGTGCGTAATGTAGCTACAGAATTATACAGTTAAGCCAGGTCCAGGCATAGTAAATAAGGCTTATTGCCGTATTAGGAGAAGAAACTTACTCGATGCTGTCAAAGTACTTTGTGGACTGATTAAAGAAGCTCTGGCTGTCGTTAAGATTTTGGTCCGGGTCGGCAAACTCAGTCACCCAAATGGTCATGTTGTGATAGGTACCCTGGACTTGTCCAATGTGCGAGGCAAGCCCAATGTAATCGCCGTACCAGTGCACGGGGATGAAGTCAGCATGGCAGTTGCCATTGCATGCGGTAAAAAAGTTTTGCAGCCACGTGAAGCCACTCGGCGCGCCGGTGACGGCGGGCGCTCCGAGAGAGACATTGTACTTGCGCAGCGGTTCAAGCTCACGAATCCAAGTCTCGGCGGCTAGATCCGCTGGCACGTTGCTGCCGCCATTGCCCTGTCCGTCGGGCTCGTTATATGACAAGACATAAGGAAACTTGGCACCGCTATTGATCTGGGAGACGATACTGTCGTGAAAGGTCATGTCGCTGGTATCTGTGGGTGCGCCCCAGAGCATAGGCACAAACTGCAGTTTGGAGGCCTTGGCATACGCCGGCGACGGCGTGTCGCCATAGTTGTAATACCAGGTCAAGTCGGAAGAGGACGTATCCCAAATCTGGTCATCTTGGGGATGCTTCTCCGAAGGGGTGTAAACGAGACCGCGCTTCTTCGTAGTAGAGGCGCAGAGAGCCGTCTGCGCGGCGGTAGCAGCGAGAAGGAGAGCCGTCTGCGATAGATGCATGGTGCCGTGTGTGCAACGTAAAATGGCAATTGGCAGCAAAAACGAATCGACTCGGGGTTATAGGAACGTCGTCTCTTAATGGAATTGATTCAAAAATCACGGTGCGAAACAGTCGTCGTCAACAATCAATTTCAGAGGGAACGATTCAAACGACAGTGCTGATTTCGACTGGTAGCGACAGGCGCAACGACGAGTAATATGCGGCAAAAGCGACAAAAGACGCGAAGTGATTGCAAATTGGAGCCCCAGAAAGCTAACAACGCTCGCAAACAGGCCCTACTTTGCTCTTTTCCCGTAAAAAGAGATTGTTCTCGAGATTGGCAGCGAACGATAGACCACGACGAGTGGTGGACACACGACAGCTACAACAAGCCACGACGATAGGGAAGAGCGAAAGGGCAGGAGGTTGACACAGAGAGAGTGAGTGTGTGTGTGTGTGAAAGGGTAAATTTAAAAAAGAAGAGACGCGAAGACGACAGAGTTCTTCTGAAGAAGGGAAAGCAGGAGAATGGGAAATTAAGGCTGCCAAGAGGGGAGAGAACCACGGCGAAGGCCAGCCATGCACAAGTAGTGTGAGCAAAAGAGTTAGTAGTTAGTGTTTGTAGTGCCATGGCCATGGCTCAGCATGCATACGATGATGAGTAGTACCCTGTTCTCTGCCCTCAACGACACCCACACTGACTTCGCCGAAGGTGGGCTCTTTGGGCCGCGTTCCGCCTGGACCGACCATGGACGATGGGACCATGGTGAACATGAGGGCTAGGCTGGGTAGGTGGGCGGTCAATGCTGCGGGATCCCATCATTCGGGTGCTATTGTCAAATGTCCACCAATCTCACTCGCCTCGGGTGGCTGAGCATTATTACCGGGCAGAAGGGGGGCCACAGATTATTGCTAATGGATAGTGTCATGGCAAAGTACGAAGGTATGTACCTCTGTAAAGGAAAAGAGAGAGAAAGAGTACAGTGCTGAGAATCCACTCTTCAGCCCAGGCACAAGCGCAATAAACAAGGCCATCCATCTCTCGTGCCGGGGGTCGGAGAGAAGACCTGCAGTTCCGTTAGCGTTGTGGGGGAGAGACCGAAGGCTGTGAAAAGAAAAAAAAAAAAAAAAAAAAATGCGACAAGTTCTGGGTACAGCAACTACTGTACTGTACAGACCTATCTCGTTGGTTCTCTCTCTCGGTCCCCCAGTCTACTCTAGTTTCGATAATGGACCGGGACTGGACGGGCGAGCAAATGGGGCCAAAAGAGAAAATAATCGACCAAGATGGGAGCATGATGGCCCTTTCGCTCCAGTTACCCGTAATAATAGTGGAGCATTATAGTGTGTGCCTGTGCTAGCCGCCCATCGCCAATAAGCTAGTTGGACTCGTGCCATCTAGATTACTTTTTCTTCCCTTTGACAGCAACCTGTCGGTAGCACGAGTCGCCTCTTACGGAGTAGTTAGTCGCTGGAGATTCTGAACCGACTCAGCCAGAGCCATAGTTATCACTCTTACTTCTATCATAACGGGTAGTAGTTATACTGTGCTGGGTTGTACACGTGGTGATAGCATCCTTACAGTATACCTCAGGTCTGTATTCTTTGTGCGGTGCGGGCGCCTCAGACACCCCTATCCGCCTCGCTTGCTAAAAATACGAGCCCCGAGGGAAAAGATGAGAAACCCGGGGGAGATCCAAGAGTTGCGGGACTACATTACGTGAGAACAGAGTATAACTCGGTTAGGAAACACTGCCGCCTTGCTTTTGTTATTAAGACTCTGCACGCGCCGTGGCTCTACAGCACAAAACACAGGAGAGGAGTTGATATGCTGCTGCTGCTGCTGCTGCTGCTGTTGATGGTGATGGTCTGTTCGCGCAGAGAAACGGGTGATGAGCCCGTAGGGGCCCCACTCTCTTCGGGCTTTATCTGTATCAGTACTTCGGCTGCCATACAGCGCGACCTCTGATCAGACGTACTGTCACTTAGGCAGGTGACGCACCGTTCTTTTTTTCTCTACTACCTACTTGCGTGACTTTTGCGCAACCTGAGTGAAACAAGAAGAGGTAAAAGAGATCGCCATGAGAGCCAAGTGTGAGATAAAGTTACGGCATGGGCACTTGCAAGCAAGAAAGAGAGGAATGAACGAACGAACGAGCGGTGGAAAAGTACCAGTATCAAAGAAAGGAAAATGGTGCCAACTCCACGCGCCAGTTAGGTAGTTTCAACAACGAAACCACTAGCTGGAGCAAGATTACTCCTTTGAGCGAATCGAACGTTCATCCCTACCCGAAGCGAAGAGCTGATGGAGGGGCGTTGACCAAAAAGAGTAACGGCTAAACCACTTTTGGCACGATTGACGGTTCCCACGTTCCTGGGCGTCTTTCAACCCACAAAATCAACTTTCGGAGAAAAAAGGGCCAATTTGTTTCTCTTCGCCTCGTTCCCTCTCTTGTCGCTCTCTCGCCGCTCTTATTCGAGGATTTCCTGTTTCCCAAGCGAATTGCTCCCACTAACCTCCCTTATTTGTCTGATAGTTTACTGGACATGTCTATCACTAACCTATTATCATAACAATCTGCAGTACTCCATACCTTCGTCCTACGACAATCGTCTTATAAAACATGGAGGGTTACTATTACTGTTATCATTCCAGGACAAGCGGACCCAGATGAATCAGGGTCCTCCCCGGTACAGTATATTCTTCTTTACACCCGTTTATTATCTTCTTGAAACTAGGGGTCTGAGTCGCTTCTCGCTTCAAAAAATCAGTCTGCTAACTGCTGCGGATGCTCTGATATACGTCGAAGCTCTCAAACGAAACAAGGTTGTCGTGTACTGCAGCAACCTCCAGGGAACAAGGTCCCTCGGGCCTCATGCACATCCTAACCATTTTTATATTTTTTGTATCCCTCCCAGTCAACATTCATCGTTACCGATCTTCGCCTCTGTAATTTCCCTACACACAACCTCGTCTCGGAAACGTGCAGTGGTTCTTCATGGACGAGATCCTACATCTTTGTCCCCAAATCTGCGCACCTACGCCGCACAGGCCGTTTAACCCTCCTTGAGAAGGTAGGTAACTTTTGAGACAATGAGAAGCTCCACCCCGACCTCTTCCAATAAACAGGTGATGGCGATGAGATCATGGTCGATTGGGCGGGGGACGGTCAATGGTGAAAACCCCATATCGCTTCTCCCGCTCTCAACATAACGTCAACATGCAGATACCCTTGAGATCTATGCTGCATGACGAGGACGGACGCGTCCCCCATGATTGCTGCGCGTCTAATCCTGCAAGTTTATGCTGGGATTTTGTGATTAGAAAGCCATGACCAGGCCGGCAGGGCATCTCTGTTTCCCTGCCGACTCTGTGGTTGTGTTCTCAACGGACCAGGCGCGTTGTTATCGGATCTCGATCAACTCTGTCCTCTTCTACGAATTGATCACAGTACACAGTGCACAGTACGGAGTATGCAGCTCCACCACGGAGTACTTCCATACACCATACAGAAGAACAAGACATTATCCGCATTCAAACTTTACTTGACCCGCCATCCCAATTTTTTATTCGTTGTCATCGCATCGCACCAGAGCTTGAGCAATGTGGAACTTATCTCAACTATGGGACGATACTCTTGCTCCCATGGAAATTTATATTACATCCTGGCTTATCGGTTATTTTTCCCCGATGCCTCGGTGGGATCCATCATTGCCCAATCGACAGGAAGGTAATTCCTCCGAGGTTCCCTCGCTCGGCTTGTACTGGACGAAGTACCTCCGTACTTACTCCCCTAATCCATACCTGTAGGTACCTTACCTTAGGTACCTTTCTTCCGTCGGACCGTCCCACACACAACTCGCCCCCTTCCCTGCCTCCCTCATCCCCTTCTCCTGCTTCCTCCCCACTACAGATTCACCATCTAACGGAACCCATCTGCGATCCCCCTTGCCAAATCATCCATGGGTAACCCTTCTGCACGCCGACGTCGGCGGCTGCACGGGATAGCGTTCGGGTGGCTTCCACGTTTTTTCCCTCCCCCTTCTTCTCGGTCTTTTGTTTCTCTTTTCCCCATTTCAATGCTTGACTTCCCGAGAGCATCAACCATGTTACTGCGTACCTAGTAACCTTTTTTTTTTCTCTACATACACGCACAACCTTACTACGTGTAAGCAGGGATGACCATTATTATCCCACTATTATCCCACATAAGGAGTATACACGTTCTTTACTAGAGCACGTACGTCGTTACGCCAAGAAAATAAAATTATGAAATCCCGTTGCCAAGGTTTGCCGACGTTTTGCCTAACGTCCTGCCAAGAACCCAGGGGAAATTTACTCCGTACTTTGTACATTATGCAGAAATCATTCCACTCCGTTCTACCAAAGGTACGGTACCGAAAGAAAGCTGTTACTATTCATAGGTATCTACCTTGTACCCTGTATTTTGTACTGTAAGGTAGCCAGATTCGCCAGATTTGCCAGTCGTTGTGATGACGGGGGACGGATGACGGGGAGACGGGAGAATGGCAGGGAACGGGCCAACGGGCCAACGGGGAAGAAAAGGAAGAAAAGAAGCTGCGTGCTGCGTGCTGCATGCTGCAAGGTCCAAAGTGCATGGTGCAACGTGCAGGGCCAACAGTGATCCTTAAATTCCTTGAAGTCTTAATCCTTGAGTCCTTAATCCTTGAGTCCTTGAGTCCTTAGTCCATTAAGTCCTCATGTCCCTTAAGCCTCGAATCTTTGAATCCTTCAATACCTTAGTCTTTCCCACGGGACAGGCAGGCAGACGGACAGGCAGGCAGGCGGACGGACGGAGGGACCACATAGAAACCCGTTTATGAGAACGGACAATTAATGTGAACCATGAATCATGCAGAAAGTGAGCATCAGGAGTGAGCACCAGGAGTGAACAGACAAAAGAAAGAAAGAGAAAAAGAAAAAAGGAAAAAGAAAGGTGTTGTAGACTACCGTGTGCCGCATACCGAATACCATATACCGAATACCATATACCAAGAATCGCATACCAAAAAAAAGAAAAGAGAAAAAAGGAAAGGAAAGAAAAAAGAGCAAAAAAGAAAAGAAAAGAAAAGAGAAAAGAGAAAAGAGAAACAGAACGCCAGTATGATACCGTAATGATCATGATGATCTGATACCATACATATCTAAACATCAACCCATTTTACTTTTTCGCCTTCTTGGAAGCACTCCCGCTTTCTACTTCTTCTTCTCCTTGAGCCCCGTGGCCGTTCTCCCCGCCGCTGCCGCCCTCTACTTGACCTTCAGGAGCAGAAGAGGAAGACGAAGGGAGAGACCGCTTCTTTTTCCGTACCATGCCGGTGAGATCCCGCGCGGAGGCGGAGGCGGCGGTGACGCGGGCGTGTTGCTCGGCGGCAGACTCGCCCAGGACGGCGCCAAGGATGCCGGTCAGCGGGTCGGCGTCTGTGGGATCGGGTGCGCCGGCGGGGCCAGAGCCGCCAGAGCGGAGTAAGTCTCCAGAGGAAGAGAGAGAAATGGGTGGTTGGCGGAGGTCTTGGAGCTGTATTGAGCGGGATGGAAGTGTTAGTGACTTGGCGTTTATGTACGAGGTACCTTACCCAAATACTAAGGTAGGTGGTAGATAGATAGGAGGTAGGTCGAGTAGAACAATATAGGGATCGACAGACTCTGGATTGGAAAGAAAAAGAAAAGAAAAAGGAAAGAAAAAGGAAAGAAAAGAAAGAAAAGAAAGAAAAGAAAGAAACAAAAAACCCCCCAAAACGAAAAATGGCAAAGAAAAGAAGAAAGAAAAGAATAAAAGAAATAACAAATAACAAGGGGGATATAAAGCAGTGAGATAACCTTGTAATAGAATACAGGATACGTACACGTTGCTCCATTTCTTGAATCATGTCCTTGACATCGGCAATGCCGCGTTTCAGCTTCTCCTTTTCCGCGGGCGAGGTGTCGTCCGACCTGAGAGAGGCTTCCTCCTTTTTGACGCGCAGACGGCAGCTCTCAATGGCGGCTTCCATCTCTTTGGCGGCGTCCTCGCGCATTGCCATGTCGACTTGCTGCGCCTCTTCGCCCGTCGAATGGGCAGCGTGATTATTGTCGTCATCAGCCGCAGGAGCAGGGGCAGTCACAGACGCAAATTCCAGTGCGAGGGCAAGTTTGAAATGCGCTTCGGCCAAGAGACTTGACTCTGGCGGAAACAGTTCCCGTTTCAGATCCAGCGCTGCGCGGGAATCTGTCACGGCGTCTGTAAACCGTTCGTTTTCGAGCGAGATCTCGGCCTGTAGATCATGTGTATCTGCCAGTCTTTCTTTGATTTGCTTGACTTCCTCGGACTCTGGCTCTTGCTCTCCTATATCTTTGCCCTTGCCCTTGCCCTTGTCTTTGCTTTCGTCTGTTTGATCCGCTGCTGCTGCTGCACCGCCGTCTTCTTTTATTGCTTCGATTTTCCGTAGTAAAAGGACACGCGCAAGGTCAAGGATCTCGTACGCAGTAGCGAAATCGTCGTCCTCTGCGTCAGCTTCGGCGTCGGCCTCGCCATCGGCGTCTTCGTCCTCTTCGCCATCTTCCGCATCGCTCTCGTCGCTGTCCCAGTTTTCGTCACCGGTAAATTGAAAGTATGGCTTGTTTGCTGTTGTAGACGACGCGGAATCCCGCTGGGGTGGTTGCTCTTGATGCAGTCCGTCCTTTTCTTCAACAACCTTTGTCACGATTTCCTCTGCAACTTTTTGGGCCTCGGAGGATGGCGCAACCGCATCTTGTGCTGCCGCAGATGCGGCTGCGCTGCTCTTCTTCTTCTTTGGCTTCGCGCTCTCGTTTGAGGGCTTTTCTCCGGCTACTTTGCCGCCCAAGACGTTGCTGTTTGCTACTCCGACGTGATAGAGACATCGTCCGTAAGCGTATAGCAGGTCAGCATTCTCTGGCGCCATCTCGCCATTCAGCTCGGCTTGGAGCGCTGTCGCTTCAGAGTACAACTCCGCCGCTGCATCGTAATTTTTTAATGAGTATTGTAAGCTGGCTTGTGCGATGAGCTCTGCAAGCTGGCCTTGTTCGGCAGCTTCGGCCATGGTGAATCTAATAGATGCGAAAGACGTAGGATCTGAGGATATGGTGAAGAGAGTATTTAGTAGAAGGTCAGATCAAAAGGTTCAGGGAAGAACAAGAGTTTCTGATGTAGACCTGGAAAGGATTTCTGGTTTGTTTTGTGGCTGTCTTGATTGCTGGTAGAAATTCATTATTGAGCCGCAAGCGTCATGAACATCAATCTACGCGAGACGCGTTCGCGAAATCTGGTCGGCAACCACTTTACGCGTCTTCCCAGCGCAACTATTATTGACGCACGTCGCATGGTCAACAACAGGCCAAAGGAGCATAGAATCTACCTACAATTCGATCAAGGCCCCAATTATATGCCGGTGAACACTTGAAAGCTTGAGGGCAAAATGAGGCCGCATCAGACTCCAAGTCGTCGCACTGCGCCTTTGTTTCGACCGCCGCATACTCCGGCCTCACATAACCCGATTCCATCTTCTTCACCAGCTTTTGGAACCCCGGTCCACCCGCCGAAACCGTATGCGCCAAAAGATGCGACATCTACAAAGCAGACAATTCTACCTATCCTACTTCCACCGCCAACGCTTCGACCGCTGGCATTTCGCACATTTACCAAAAAGCACAATCTCACCTTGAGCTCCTCGGCATTGCAGGCACTCGCGTCCTTTATTGGCACTCATTGCGGCGCAGGATGGCGGGAGCAAGGCTTGGCCGAGAAGGTCTTGGAAGAAGTCGCAAAGAGCTGGAAGAAGCTTGGCGGGCCTGTCATTGTCGATGGCGAGAGTGCCGAGCTTCAAACGATACTGAAAAATATCGAGGGAGCTATGAGCGGGGGCAGAATACAACAAGGCAAATCGCTGAGTCGACAAAATAGTTTCGCTTTTGGGGACGGTCTTGAGAAGCTCGCTGCGGATGCTGTAGGAGGTGGCAGTCCAGGCAGTCTAGAACGGGAGGATAGCCAAGCAAGTTTTGGTCTCTCGGCTTTGGGCATGGACGAAGAGGAAGAAGAGTTAGCCAGTGATCCCCGGAAATGGCTCAAGGTTATTTCAGCATTTGAACAACCTAGACTATTCTACAACGTTGCCAAGAAGCATTTCGAAAGGTTAGACTCTGCTGTCACAATTTGGCCGTGGGAATGAATGCTAATACATGTCAATCAGAGCAAACGCACCCCCCTCCCTCCTAGCTTCGGCGTCGCAAAAGACGCAACTTTTCCGACATCGCTATGATATGGTCTATCAAAGGCTTCTACGAAACGAATCCTTCCAAGTGCCATCTCTTACACCGGCTCGCTCTAGCTTACTACGCTCTACGTCAAACATGGCTACAATACAACAGGCATACAAACTTACCGCAATAACAAATCTGCTAGGTCGCAGTGGTACTAGTCATCTACTACTTGGGCTGCTGACCATAGCTCCTACTGGAAACCTGGCTATAAATGACCTTACGGGGAGCATTGCTCTTGACCTGACGCATGCGCGGCCAGTACCCGAGGACGGAGCTTGGTTTGCGCCTGGGATGATCGTGTTAGTTGACGGTATCTACGAAGAGGATTCGAATCCCGCAGCAGAAGTCCTGGGAGGCGGCGGTGGCATTGGGGGTACGATTGGAGGAAAATTCGTCGGATTCTCCGTCGGGGGCCCTCCGTGCGAGAGACGTGAGACTAGCCTAGGGATCAGCCTTTCAGGCAAAGACGGAGACGTGGTTGCAAGCGGTGGGTTCGGCTGGATCGATTTCCTTGGTGTAGGGAGCGAGCGCGCCGTGGGCTCAAGGATGCGCCGAATCGAGGATCGCGTGCTACGCCTTTCAGAAACAGGGCAGGAAGACGGAGATGACGAAGAGGCAAATAGCAACCATGGGCGAGAAAGGATGATTATCCTGGGAGAAGTCAACCTCGATCAAATGCGCACTCTGGATGCTTTGCGAAAAGTCTTTGAACACTATTCTAGCGAGAGTTCCGACAATGTCCCAATGACGGTAGTGCTGATGGGTAATTTTGTTCAACATGCCGTAATGGCTGGCGGTGGGAGCGGCGGAAGCATCGAGTACAAGGAGTATTTCGATGCCCTCGCGTCGACGTTATCAGATTTCCCTACGTTGCTTCAACACTCAACTTTCATCTTTGTCCCAGGAGACAATGACCCTTGGGCATCCGCGCTGTCAGCCGGTGCTGCCACGGCAATTCCCCGCAAGAATTTACCTGAGCTTTTCACTTCGCGCATCAAACGAGCCTTCGCATCCGCGGCGGCCGATGCCGAGCGTGCAACGGGTAGAAAGCCTGACGCAGAAGTTATCTGGACCAGCAACCCCTCGCGCCTTTCTCTGTTCGGACCTACCCAAGAGATTGTTCTCTTTAGAGACGACATTTCTGCCCGCTTCCGCCGTAATGCAATCACGTTTCGTCCCGTTCCACAGCAAACTCTAGAACCGGACCCCGATGCTCCCGCTGGTGACATTGTCATGGCCGATGGAGCTGCACCCGCACCATCTCAGACCGAGGCAACTCCTGGCGTGGATGACACTGAAGCCGGGCAGGAAGCACAAAATTCGAATCCGGCTCAGGGCATGGATGTCGACCATGCAGTTGAAGCAGCCGAGTCACATACCCCAGCCCCTGCTGGCAGGCCCAATGAGCTTTCTGATGGAGTTGGTGTTGACACGACAACGGCGTCTAACCAAGTCTCACTAGATACTCAGACTGCCCGAAAACTTGTCAAAACTATCCTCGACCAAGGTTATCTCTCGCCGTTTCCATTGTCTATACGGCCGGTCATTTGGGACTTTGCTACAGCTTTAGAGCTTTATCCGCTTCCTACCGCTCTGGTACTAGCTGATCAGGACGCTCCTCCGTTTACAGTAACGTACGAGGGCTGTCACGTCATGAACCCGGGCAAGCTTGTGGCGCCAGATCGCAAAGGCATTGCTCGCTGGATAGAGTACGATGCACGAACGCGTCGTGGGCAGGTCAAGGAAGTGTCTTTCTAGATTTTTTTTTTTTTCCCCCTCTTTCCATTCTCATACATTTATATTTTATTTCCTGTCTTTCGCGCGGATGCTTTATCTGGCTTCATGAACGGCACGATCGTTGCAGGCATTGTTTACGGCGTATGAGCATATACTACGGGTGGCATTTCTTACGTGATAAAGAGCTAGGTATCTGATTTAAAATTGCAATTGTTCTGCTACACTTATGTGGCAAACTCCGCTACTCTACATACATGTTCATCAACACAAGAAGAAAGAACCATCATGGCACACCGTCAGAACAAGATGACAAACTCCAGGATTTGCTACTACCAACACTGAGAGACAAACGCAGTATAAACCCAATAGCATCTTCTTTATGCCAACTCGCACCCGCCTCATCACTGCGCACTATGGCTTTATCGGCTCATCATTCATCAACTTGAGCATCAATTCGGTGAATGACCCATTCGGGTTCATCAGCTGAGCTTGCGGGCTGACAAAGTTATCCGCGACATGCTCCATGCATCCGAAAAAGCCATACTCAAACACCCACGGCGTCTTGTCCATCCAGTTTGCCAGCTGGGCAGTGAAGTGGTACACTTCATTCTTATTTCTCGAGATGCTCGCGATTTCGGATACGATGATCGGTTGGTGGGGATGCTTGTGGTGCATTTCTTCAATGTACTTGATCGCATCGTCGCCGTTGGTGCCATAATAATGGAGACCAAGATAATCTGGCGGGTGCGCCTGCACGCGATTCATAAAGTCCTCGATCCATGCCCGGCCAGCTCCGTCATCTGCGCAGGACGGACTCACGAGCTTTTTGCCCTTTTGCTGGCGCAAGGGCAGCATCTGCTTCACCCAAGCATCTGCTGCCTGCTCGGGGCTGACACCGGCACGTTCAGGCTCGTTGAAGAAATGGATGATATGTTCGGTTGTCTTTTCAATGTTCTCCCAGTCTTGGCCACCGAGTTGACCCGTGGTGCGCACCATGGGCCTGAAGGGCAACCGGCCTTTGAGCTCGGGAGGTACCCATGTGTTCCAATTACTGCAGGAATGAATGGGCCCATGGAAATTGACCTTATCCATTGCCCAAGGGCAATTCTGGGTGTTTGTCCAATCCCACAAGAGGCACCGCTTGTGGACGTTGACTTGTTTGTCTGCAGCATTTGCGGGGCTTGCCTCGTTCGCATGCTCGACATGGTTGACTGGGTTTGATGCCATCGTGGACGAATAAGCAAAAAGAAGAATGAGATCACCTTTTGGACAAGTTTTTAGATATGTTTAAAAGGCAGCGAATTTAGCATAAATATTCCAAGAGATGCTGTGATAGATAAAGGGGGCAATTGGCAAAGGGCGCAGTAGAAGTGCTGCATCTTTTTAAATTTATATACTTCTCTGTTATAGCATTGCGAGGCTGAGAGACTATCACGAGAAGAGATTCTTGCGGTCAGTCTTGGACACACTTGTCTTGCTCTCCTGTCCCATATGCCGGAGTGAGATCCGAACATTGCATCTCTTTTCCGCCCCCGCAAATGTCATGGCTTCAGCCGCGCAGATCGACTTCCCCTCCCATCATGTTTTCTCTGCTGCCTTGGGAGGTTCGTCTAATCATAGTATCTACCACATCTGTGTGGCACAGGCTCCGCATAGTGACCATTTACAGGCCTTGAGTATTTGGCATGCCTATCTGCGGCTATTCCATTTGATGCGAACTTCCCTCTTCAGCGGCTGTGCTAGTGCTGATGTGTGAAGATACAAATACAGGAGTGTAACGGTTTGACGAAACGTGCTGCCCCACCGTCATTAGAAATCACGGGAATCAATACCTACGAGGGGCCCCCAAGACATGTAAGAGTCCAAAATTATATCCGGACTTATTCTCTTGGTGTGATATTACAAGGCTGAATCGAGTCTGGCAGCTGATAATTTGGATTACCTTCTGGAGTAATCCCCTGTCATCTCTAAGTCACCGGCTGTACCTGAATCTCCGATGCCTGATGACGCTGAAGACGCGGAAAAGAATCCGACAAGGGAACAGCTGAAGAATTATTTTCAGATCCAACATCTAATGCTTACTGTTACGGTCGACCGTCAGCCTCGTTTCAGAAGGCGGATGCAACGGATGCCTCGCGTGTCAGCTGTCTTGCTACAATGAGGAACAAGATTGATGATCATCCGCATTTCCTGGGGTGTTCGCGATGACGATCAAGACTGCTCCTTTGCGTCTAAAACGGTCAACTTGGAGCGAATGAAAGGTGCAGAATCGGCTCAATTGAGCCTCATCATAGGCTCTGGCGGCGGGGAAACCATGCGCTGAGCTTCCGTCTGCTTATCTGACCCCTTTAGAGCGCCAAGCCAACATGACGGGGGCCGCTAGATGTTGATCTTTCCCCGCAAAAGCAACAGCTGAACCCCAAGGCCGAAGAATGGGGGGCCGTCAAAAAAGAACAACAGCAATCACGATGCGTTTCTTCTTCACCTAACTGGACGGCTGCCATATGCCGGACTAATGTACTAATCCTTGCTCACCTTGTGCAGGGTCACGGTTGACGTGCAGAATTGGGGTCCACGGCTTGGCATCATGCTTCTACTGCTGAAAATGTACCTGAACGCAATAGCTCAGCGTCATCAGCATGCTCGTTCGTCAACTTGAGGGTTACAATGAGCAGACAGCAGTTGGAAAGAGGCAAAATGAAGGCACAGAGGCGGGAATTGTATAATTATTTTGTCCGCAACATCAAAAGAGAGACGAATATAAATATGTCTTCTCCTCAGCACAGGTCGTTTTGTCCAGGAATTATCAGAACAAACGAGCATCTCAAGATATTTGACTCTTTCGACTCTATCATAGCAAGAAAAATTTATTGATTCATATTGAACAATTATCAAAATGCACAACATCAACGTCTTCAACAAGTCTCACCACGAGCAGAGCTTCGAAGTCCACGGCTGGAACAATAATCATAACATTACTGTCAAGCCTGGCGAAACTCATGCCATTGCAGCACCGGATCACACCTCTGGCGCCATTATTGCCCTGCATGACGGTCACGAGTGTGAGCAGGCAGAAATCACAAAGGACGGATACATGGGTGAGTTGGCATCTGATAACCTTTTGCCTCCTCGTTATGTTGTTTCTATCTGATATACCCTATTCCGTGCTTTTCATCGTCTTATAACGTAACACTGACTGACTGTTATAGGAAACGACTTTATCGATCTCAGCAATATCATGGGTGCAGGCGGAAACATGATTGTGCAACAGGCCGGAGATCCTTCGACTCGCAAGGGTGACCCCCTCTTCATGCAGCATATGAACAAGGCATGGCACGACGCCGATGCTGCGACCAAGAAGTCTCTGCATGATTGTGTGTTTACCAATCAAGAGGGCACAGTTACCCGCATTGGCCCCATCAAAGATAATCCTGGGTTGGAAAAGCTTGTTCGTACTTTTGCCAATGGCAAAACGTACATTGGTGTTGGTGCCTGGGGTGGAAGTCCTGGAAACAAGTCGGACAACGATCAGGTATGCATTTATACCATTCCTTTTATTTCTATCGAAGAATTATCCAGCAATTCCATCGTGAAATCAAGATGCTCACATTTGTCCGTTAGAGCTCCGCCGCGCATGGCGACAAGAATATTCTGGTTGTATACAATGACGGCGATGCCACGCCCACCCAACCGCCACACCTGGCGCACCGTCCTCAGGAAAAGCTGGTTGAGCATGAGGAAGGCCCGCAGCCATTTGAAGCTCCAGGATCCTCTGGTCCTGGAACGGGCTTCCAAGCGCAAGATCTGGCGATCCCTCACGGCGCTTCTACAAATGGCAATGTAAACGCGTCTGCCAATGGCAGCGCTGGGGGCCATCCTCAGCAATCAGGAGATCACCAAGAACAACAGCAGTCCAATCAGCAAGGAGAGCCAATGCAGCTATTCGACCAGCACGGACAACCTGTGCATCTCCAGCAATTTAACCAACAGCAACCTGCAAACCACCAGGAACAGCACGGAGATAAGCAGGAACAGCACCAGCAAGAGCCACACAAGCAGGGCGATGAACAACCCGATGATAAGACCGACCATACATCCGATGCTTCCCAGCAACGCACGGCCATCCACGCCGCCATTAGCGGGCCCGGCGTGATGCTGCACAACCGCTCCTCCAAGCCCGAAACGTACTTTTTCTTCGACAATTACTGGAACGGCAACGGGACTGCCGGGGCCAACTTTGACCATCCCATGAAATCCGTGCATCTCGCTCCGCGCATGTGCAAATTCGTCAGTCTGCCCGAGAGCTTCAAGGGCCGTGTCCAGCGCGGCAACATCCAACCCGCCACGTGGGTTGAATTCCAGGTCAAAGCGAGCAACGACGGCGCCGCGCACGGCGACATCTCGCTCGAGCAAGGCTGCGATGGAGCTGCAACCATCAGCTCGACGGATGGGACGAATCGCTCGAATGGCTTCACTCAGGACATTATCAAGAACGCGCCTCCCGCGGCGGTCGTAGAAAGGACCGAACATAACGGGTCGAGTATGTTCTCTTTTCGTTTACGTACCCTCTTTTTGCTTTCTCTGATACTCTTTATTATTATCATTTCACTTCCCTGTATCACTTTTGTCGTCATCGTTTTGTTTCTCTTTTTGCCGTTTCTTATCCTCCCCTTGCTCTTGCTCCTTTATGGGTGAGCTTCCCTCTCTCCCCTTTGCACTACATCCATATCCTCTCACCCTTTCCTTTTCGCTTTTCCCCCTTGTCCATCCATCTTCCTCCTCCTCCTCCTCCTCCTCCTTCTTCTCTACTTCTCAGCATGTTGGCGGAGGTATTTGGAGACCACAACTACCCAGATCTCAACCTCCTTAAAACGAGTTCAAATTAGCTAACTCTCATACGCTCCAGAAACAAAATGCATCGCCTCCACAATGGGCAACTGGTCCGCCGGCCCGAACCACGCCGCGGCAGAGTACGAGAAGCGCGTCGTCGGCCAGAAGAAGGCCTACATTGCCGGCGGAACGGGCACGGATGATGTGGCCAGTCACAATATGTGTCTGCGAGTGGACTTTTACTAAGTCTAGCACCACCGTATCATCCCACTCCGTCTCGTCTAGTCTTGAGCTGATGCTGATCCTGGGCTGATCCCTGCTTTAACTTTATTTATCTTTGCTGGAACCCGCGTCACTTGGGTGAAGGGGTTTGGTTGTCAGAATGTACTGTACTGTACTTTAGTAGTGTTCAATTTGAAACTATTCACAATTGAGTCTCCTTCTTTACGCGAGCTCACTTTAGGCATTTTTGGCAAGAGGCACGGCCGCGCGATTTGATGGGATTCCGTTTGATATCAATGATTCAATTGAATCAAAGCCAAAGTGATATGTAACTATCGATTCAGAGTCAAGTTGATGGACTATAATCCATTGTCCGCTGCCCGCTATCTGCAGTATGCTGCATAGTTGTCGCATAGCCAGCGCATAGCCAGCGCATAATCGGTGCACAGTGTGCATATATCTTGTATATGTACGGCCAAAGAACGGTCAAAGATGTAATGAAAAAAAAAAAAAAAAAAAGAAAGAAAGAAAGAAAGAAAGAAAGAAAACGAAAAGAGAAATGAGAAATGAGAAAGAGAGAAGGGGAAATAAAATGCAGACCACGTTTTGTCACTCGATTCCATGAAGCTTTCAGGGACATTTTCATATTATCTCAGGATATCAGGTATCGTCTTCAGTATTGACAGTAAATAGTTAAAAAAAAAAAAAAAAAAAAAAAGTACAGGTAATAACCCTAGCTACAGTAGGTTTTGGGGGAATGAATCTATATGACACAAAGAAGTGACGGGGGAAAAATTGAAGATATCAAGCCATAGAGAATAAAACCGTTGGAAAAGATAAGAGCCTCCAGACTATTCTATTGATGGGAAAAGATGAAAACACTCGCTCAAAGAAGCAGCAAAAGTGAAGAAGAATGCCGAGTGTGGGCGCAAATCGAAAAGAGCAAATTAGAAAGGGAGAAGAAAAGGGAGAAAAGAAAAAATGACAAAAATCAAAGAGCTACTCCACGGTACTGAGTATCTTGATAATGAGATGGATATTGTCCTAGAGGAGCACCTCTACTCTGGGGGACTCCATCCGAGGTATCACTTTGATGACTTTCGACTTTGCCAAAGGCTGCAGCGGACGCGGCCAGGTGCTCAGAAGAAGGCGTTTTATCGCGACCGGCAAGCGGGGTATAACCTGAGCGGCGCTTGCTGGAGAGAGGATAGGACGAAACCATGGGCGCTTTGAGCTGCGAAGAGTCCGTGTACGAGTTGGGGTCAATGAGCAACGAGTTGCGGGCATCAAGGGGTGTGAGGTCGTCAAGGTCACGATTGAGTTTTTCTGCAAGAGATTATTGTTAGCATGGTGGAACATTAAACAATGGATGATGGGGGCATATGCAACATACCAGCAGCCTTGCGACGCTTGCGGTGGGGATTCTCGCGACAGCAGTTGATAATGGCATTGACTGCAATCAAGATTGCTAGCGTGCCTGTCAACACTGACTGGACAGCAATGAGCACAACTCCCGTAATCGTCTTTGTCGATTGCGAAAAGCCCAGTTCCTCAACAAATAACAAAATGCAGGCTACCGAGAGAACTCGCACAATCTGGATGAAAATGTTGATCCAGTTGCCAGATGCGCGCTGGTAAGGGCGACACCAGATAAGCAATCCCAACATGAGGGACTCAATAATGAGCTGCGCCACCGTTTGACTCAAGCCATGACCATCACCGGCAGCAAGCACGCATCCCTTGGCAAACATGTAAAGGATACTCGGGATAAAAAGCCACCAGAGACCCTTTCGATACTGGTCGTAAAACAAGCTGTACTTGCGCCAGGTTTCCTTGTCTTCAAACAATTTGCCTGCGTCGCCTTGGGCTTTTCTGTATCGGCGTGCCAAGATCCAGATGCGAGAGGTGAAGAAGCCCAAAACGGCGGTAAAAATCAAGAGGGTCACGGCTGCCAGCAGTTTAGCAGCCCACGAATCGCCGTGCGTGAACTGGTAGATGCAATAGAGCACCCACATGCCATAAAGCAAGAGGATCAAATTGGTAATGGTCTTGGCAAGCAGCCACCAGTAACGTTTGCGAAAGCTTGTCAGCTTCTTCGGAAAGGTCCCAAAGAGTGCCCAGGCTTCCAGAATGACCTTTAAGAGGAGAATGCCAACAGTGATCGCAGCTATGATAATGCAGAAGACCAGGAGAACAGTCATAAAGGTGTTCGCTTGCGGGATTGTCAGCTGCTCAACGTAGCCTTGGACTCCGTGCACAAGGTGCATTGGGGAGTTGTCTGAATCGCTGCTGTTGCTGGTCCCTCCATTCGCAGAAGTCTGAGTGCCATTGACATTTGTCGTGACACCACGCGCAGCAAGAGAGATGCCGTCCCGAAGAAGCTCCAGGCCACGACGGGTTTTGCTTGATGATGAAGAAGAAGAACTCGAATCCGAGAAAATGAGTGTGGCATTCTTCAGGTATGACACGTTATCTTCTGTCAAATTGCCGCCGGTTCTCTGACGGAACGTATCGATGGAGACTTGCATAGAGTTCCATGAAATCAATCCACCGCTGAAGCCAAAATTGCTTGCAAAGCTGCGATACACCGAGGGATAGTTAACACTGTGCATGCCATTCATGGCCATTGACTGGAACCATCCCATGACTTCGACAAAGCTAGGACTCATTGTGGGCGCGCCAACGCCTGCTCCACCAGCCGCTGCGCCGGCAGCCGAGAGGCCGGAAAGAACGAATGCAGCGCCAGCAACGCCGGCGGCAATATACGGTACGGCCGGTACCTGCGCAGATTTGCCATTGGTTACAGTTGATTGAATACAGGCAAGATCGTTTCCACCATCAACGGGGCTCAACTGCAATTTTGCGGCACCGTCAAGGTCAGGTATCTGAAAGGCAATTGCAGGGATCATATCCGCATATTGAGATGGAATATCTTGTGAACCGGAAGCTGCAAAGTTGCCGACCGGTACTGGAAAAAGTCTGGTATCAGCAACACTTTCTTTTTTGGATGACAGGTAACTTGGTGCTTGTTAAGATGAAGCATCATACTAACCTGGACATAGCTGTTCCACGTGGGTATTCGCATCGCAAGGATTAAATTCTTTTTGATAGACTTGCTTTCCGTAGGCGGAGATGCTCAGGGAAGCGGTGACGTTCTGGGTCTTGGCGCTGGAGCCAGCCACATCGAAGGTGACCACATTGGCTGAACGATCATACTGTACGTTCATCTTCTCCACGGTGATGTCAGAGTCGGAGAGACAAGAAGTGAAACCAGATGTCTTGAGCACATCGCCCGCTAGAACCCTGACCGGCAGGATTCCTACAGCGAGGAGTGAAAGAACGGGGGTATTAAAGAGTCTCATTGCAAGATATTACGCTTCAGTATCTGAAGCGTTTTCTGTCAATAAAGACGGTTGGAATAGGTGGTGATATGTTTGACAATGATTCTGTGCCACAGGTCGCGGCTTGATGAAGTTTCGTCGGTCGGGTTGGAAGCTCCAGAAACGAAATGGCGATGAATGACGGAATAAGAATTAAACCAACGACCACAACGTCCAGCGAGTGGTCGACGGCGAGAGAAGGCAAATAGTCGTCGAAGTGTGAACGTGTCGCTCAGGAAATGATGGCGTGAAGGCAGGACGTCGCCTGCAACCTGGATTTGTGGTTGTCCTTCACTTGTAGCGGAGACACATATGACTGGAGTGAATGTGGTACCGAAGAAACCAAGCAAAATCAGATGAAGTTGAGACGACTGACGATTTTAATGAGTGGATTATCGACGAGGGATGAGGAAGAGAGAGAATCTGTCGAAAAGGTGGATGAATGTGGTCGGGAGAGGGCTGTAGGTGGAGATGGAGGTGAGGTGAATGAGAAGAGAGTTTCCGGGGGCGGGAAAATTATGCAAAGTAACGGCTGAGACGACGAGACAATATGCAAGTACAGCAGCCACAAGGAAGCTGAGACGCGATGCGATCTAGGCCAGTGAAAGACGGGGCTGATATAGGACAGGGAACACCGATGAAAGAAACAGCATCTTTTGCTATTAAAAGATGGGATCGAACGGCCGCCAAAAAAGAAAACGTAACTACAACAATCTCTACCGAGCCTTCCATCTTCTAAATTTTACTATCCCATCTCCTACGTCTTGATGTGTTATTGTTTCCCTCATGGCACATTGTGCCTCTTTTCGAGGTTGCTTGTCTTGTGGCATCCATGGTTCCCACTCTTTCAGGGACAATTGGGGTGGATCAACACCTGAGACAAGTCTATACGCTAGCAGGCCCCAGTGCCGAGCCCAGAACAGAAGACGAACCAACCACGTTCAAGGCGGTAAGGATTCCCAGGTCAAGCCCGTGGCACCCCATGCACTGCCATCTCAGTTGATTGGTTGATGAACACGTGACCTGGCACTCTCGTGCCTCGATTGGGAACAAGTGCGACAACGATCCGACCAAGCTGGACAGCAAATGACCAGGGGTAGCTGAAAAAGATAGGGGGAAGAAATCCGCAGCAACTCGTGCTTTCCAAATTAAATCCTAGCCAGCGCCTGCCTTTTTTGGGTGGAGCTATTGTACCGTAGGATTGATTGTGATCCTCGCTATTCCTGGGAAAAAGCTACCTAGGTAGTGAAGCGTTCTGCCCGAAGTACATGGATAGTACGCGGGGAGGGAAAAGGGTCACACTGGAAATGAGATGACATTGCGTAGGATTTGAGAGGCCATAGGCAGTTATCCAGTTCACCTGTGATCTACTCCGTATATCCTTTCATGCCTGAAATACACACAGCAAATGCTGAGGTCCTTGCAGAGCCGTGGTTATTCGTTCATTCTGAAAGCACCTGGTGGTTGTGAATTTCCCAAGATATCTAGCTAAGGGCGATCAAGTATTCATCGAGAGAAGAAAAGCTTCTCTCAAAGGATGAAATTGAGCACAACCCAAAATACGACCTGTACCTACGTAGAGGATACACCATTCAAAATAAACCGTCCAAAATAGTAACACAAAAAGGGGAAGGCCGCACCAACCAACGGCCCCTCAAAACCGGCGTGGCGGGACGAGCAACCAGGAACCGTGGAAAGAGCCGTTCGCTTCGAAGACCGATTCTGCAGGTACCGATTGTCAAATGCGACATGGGTCTACGTGGCTTCGGCATCGTTATTACTCCTTACAGAGGTACCCTTGCCAATGAATCACGCAGAAACTGTCTGTTTGCCCCTCAAAAGAGGAAATAGACTAACATGTTGTTTTTCGGCTCAAAAAATCTCAAAGGCGACCATCATTTGATGGAACTAATTTTCGCCTCCGCATTTTCGACAGCCCTGTTATACAGAGTAAGGGCTTATGCTTGCGCTTGCCCGTTCAATCAAAATAACAAGAATAAATATATGCTATTTGAGTCAGTATAAGCACAAAGGCTAATGAATGCCGCATCGACCAAGAGGGGAAAAGAGGATCAAAGAAAAAAGAATTAAAAAAAAATAAATAAATAATAATTTTGAAAACAAGTTACGCAAAAACATACAACAGCAGGGATTCGCTGGTCGTCACCGACCCAACTACTAATCTGCCGATCTGAGGCTTATGTATGGCAGAGCGGACGGGATGCCCAGTTCTCCTCAGTCTATGGTCGTATGTACCAGTCAGATGTTCAACAAGGATTGATATTTGGCCGATTCTCATAGACGTAAGTTATGCTGCCAGTCATCACCCCAATTTCTAACCAAGAAGTCGCATGGAGAAGTGTGAGCTTACAACTTTAATTCAATATATTTTTCTGTTATTGTGCTACAATGCTCATTCTTATGCGCTGTCAAGTTCTTCCGCCCTGCAAGCAGGCAAATAACCGGGCTACTGCAGTCAATCCTGACGTAAATTGGCACAAGTCTTTTGCTATGGAGCCCCCATCAATTCGCTAAATGATGCACTTTGTCATGAATATATGCTAGATAAATGGATGCTACTGTGATAAAGTATATAAATTATACCAATACAAGCTTGTCATAGTGTTTGATAAAAGATTCGACTGTTCCAACGAAGCTATCCAGCTCTTCCTCAGTAGTACCCAGAGTCAAAGCTACCATCCCTCTGCGCACAAACCAAAAGCCTTTCTCAACGCACCAAAACCAGAACAAGTCCCGTAGTTCTATAATGCTTTCTTCTTCCAGCTGAATGCCAGTTTTCTTTGCCGCTTCGCCAGACGGTATGAAATGAATTGTCATGACGGCTCCAATTCCTGTCACAACCATTTTCGTCCCACGCATCGCATGGTTCAGGCGCTCGCGAAACCCATCTCCCATGGCATTGAGCTTGACATTCACGTCGGGCGTGTAAACATGAGCAAGTCCCGCGTATCCAGCAGCCAGCGTCAGCGTATTATTGTTGAAGGTACCCGAATGACTAGGGTTAGAGCCAATGCGTGGGTCGTAGGTTGACATCAACTCCTCTTTGCCTCCAAACGCGCCAAATGGTAAGCCACCGCCTATGTATTTTCCCATGGTGGTGAGGTCCGGGGATAAAGAAAGGCTGGACTGGAGCCCGCCCGGGGAAAGACGCGATGTCATCACCTCGTCTAAAATGAAAACAACTCCTTTCTAAGATGCACAGAAAAAAATGTCAAGGATTAGCTTATAATTTCTGACAACACTGAGCATTTGGAGTTGACAAGACCCACCTCTTTCGCACAAGTTTGAATAGTTTGGAGAAATTGAAGCTCTCCTGGTATGCAACCTCCAGCACCCTGCATTGCTTCTACAAGAACTGCAGCAAGGTCGGGAGTGTTTTCGATGAGGGCCTTGACTCCCTGGGCATCGTTGTATCTTCCAACGATCCAATCCTGGGGGTCAACGGTATTTGTCGCAACTCCATGTGCAAAAGACAATACCCCACCGTGATATCCTCCTTCAAAAACGAGGACCTTTCTTTTCCGTGTGAAGTATCGGGCAACACTAAGCGCATACAGATTCGCTTCCGTGCCCGAATTACAGAAACGTATTCTTTCCACGGACGGGAATCTTTCTATTATTAACTTTGCAAGCTGAGTCTCTAGTAAATTCGAGGCGCCTAGTGAGAGACCAACATTTTCTAACGTCGAGGTAATCGCTTCACGAATAACTGAGTGGGAGTGTCCGTAGAGACCCGCTGTGAGCTCCCCAGCTAGATCAAGATACCTGTCAATTTTAGATGATATCTCAAAGATATTAAGTATTGATTTCCCACTTACTCGTTTTCATCGATATCAAAGAGTCGATTTCCCACTCCTCTCTTCATGCAGATAGGAAATGGCTCCGTGTAAAGTACAGAGCGTGTGTTTCCACCGGGCAGAACTGTGGCCGCGTTTTCATGCTGCTGTCTTGATTTTGGTAATCTCTCGGAGAATTGCTCTCGCGCAGCGCCTAAAATCTCATCTAATGCTTGAACATTTTTGTTGGCCATGATTGGCAGAGAAATAACAACAACAAGAATTCCAGTCGCGAACCACAGGAGTTTTTTGGCCTTTGGGGTTCCAATTAGAATTGTCAAATAACAATGAGGGGGCTATGAATGCAGCAGATAGGCAGGACTACATCAATCAAACTTTTAAATTTCACAAATTTTGTTGTCGTAATCATATTGATTGGTAACATTTCAATGTCCTGATAAGAACGGAGACGGACACCCACATCAATCTAGTATTGGAGTCATATGTAGATGGTCCAGGTCATCGTCTTATCAGATGGTGGAGACTTTGAAGCAAGTCTCGGGGACTTTGCCTACTTCGGAGAGCGTACCGAGCGTGTAGAGCTCTATCTTTCTTTTGTGGAGCGAAAGATTATCAGCGTATCGAGATAATCTGGCCAAGAAGGCAATGAAGCCAAGCGAAGTCAGTTCCTTCATGCCCACAAGGCAATCAATCAAAAGGTTTACAAGAAAATTGTGTGTCAGAACATGTAAAACACACCGCCGCCAATCAAGATTTTGGGTGTAGTCGACCACTTGGACAATTTTTTGTGGGCGCCACCAGTGGGCACGTGGTTCAGAATCAATCCATTAAGAGTTCTAATTGGACGCCATGCCCGGTTAATATAGCTCTTTGATTATGTAAGCCAACGGCAGCGGAGAATCCGAACTTCCTCAGCGGGTTATTGCCTCTCCATCTGCTGCCATCTCCGTTCACTTCGATCACCACAAGCACAACGATCACAATATCAGCTCAATCTAGCGACCCGGTCGACATTCTCCTCCGCGAAAAGCTCGTTCTGACTCTTGAACTCTCGCAAACCCCTCACATCAACACATAAACCTATCACCGAGATAGCAACCGTGGCATCCGGACGATCATGGCGAAAATGACCATAAGTAAACCTAAAAGTAGTAGTAGTAGTAGTAGTCCTTACGCCCTCATGAAGGACTCTGCTGCGCGTCCCAACATCCTCGCTAGCTGCTACCGCGTCGATGTCTCCTCCGCCGTGATCTGCGGCTTTCACTACTCCTCTACCGGGGCTGGAGGTAAGTTGTTTACAGCGCTTCAACGATAGTCGTTGTGGTTACTTGAGCAAGTTCTGACATTATCATACAGGGGCAGAGTGGTGTTCCTGAGGTCAGCTCGGGTATACCATCTCCTCCAGCAAGTCCCCCACTTGCCGCATGCAATGCCAGCTACGAACAGGCTGGCATTAAAGGCCACGCGCGCAAAGTGGGGGCTGCGCACACTATCACGGAAGAGAGTGAGAGACTCTTCTGCGGGACTCTGCAGGCTGTTTTTCTTGGTGAGAGGGAACAGTCTGCCGACTCGCTGGTGGTAGGTGCGCATACAAATGTGGCCAAGACCAATCGCCATGAGAGAAGCATAACAAGTTGGGTCGAAGTCTGGGATTATGCTGGGGGGACCCGGTTCCGAGGCTTTGTCGCCGGCGAGATCCATAGAAGCCTTTTTGTCTTCTTCGATGCTGATGCCATTGGTAAAGACCTGAAACAGGGGTATGTACTCGTTCTTTTACCATTTTGCAAAGTAATCTCCTCTAACCATTACTCAGTATGATGGCTCTCATTGAGCTTGCAGCAACGCCATCCTTTGATTGCTCTAATTTGATAATTTGCCTGGATCGGCAAATTGATCGAACGGAATTGCAGGCGCTGATAAGAGATCTTGGTTGGGTGGGATTCGAGTTGACCACCCTCGATCGTTGGGCAGGGTGTCCTGACGTAACAAGTCAGCGATGGCTATTGCTTGAGATGGAAGTATGAGAAATCTGCTTTTGATGGCTCGGGAAGATCTCCTAATCGAATATTAATTCGTTCTGTTCACCTTACGGCTCTTCAAATGTTTTATTCGATTCTTCGCCATTAATTCAGCTGCGGCTGTCATTATTACACATGATAATTTTTTCATCTGTTCGCTGCACAAATAATTTACCTAGCTTTCCATACAAAGTGTATATCAAAAAGCGAGCAAATACAATCGGAAATATTTTGAATGCAGGAAGGCTCGGACTCTGGTATGAATATCTGTGAGATTGTTTCGCTCTTCAATGGTTCCTACAATGAGGCTGCCTATGGGCAAAGGGCAGATCGATGCCCATGGTTCACTTTTAACTCTCCAAGTACATTTTGATAATGACTACCCTTATGGTTCCTTTCTTGACTAGAGTACTTGATAGCATCGCTGGATGCACCAGAGGATGAGAACATCTTCCGCCACTCCATGGGCTTCAATAAAAAAAAAGAAATAAAATCCACAAATTGTTCAGCATATTGCTTTTTGTCCCACACAATAAATATTTCTTCCCTTGTTCTGAATATTTTCTACTGGGACGGTCCAGACCCAAAAGGCAAGGGAGGGAAGTGGGGTCTTCTAACCAGGATTATACTCCGGGACCTTTCCTAATCCGGAGCGCACCCGCTCTAATCGATAAGGGCGGGCAACGCGAAAGGCACGTCACATGCAGTCCCAAAAGCAGTCCAAGTGCTCTCTGAGGTGAGCTGGACCTCCTTTGCATATTGCCCCCGCCTTTGCAACCCAAGCTTAGGGCCCCCCCGGTTCTTTTGCCTAATGCTTCCTATCTGGCCCGAAGTTATGCATCATCACATCTCCACAGCTCGGGCGGGCCCTCTGAGGTTTTCTGATTCGTGCTTGGACGGCAGTTCTAATAATCATTGTCATCCCTTAGCAAATAGCAAAAGAGCAAGGAGTTCCAAGGGTCGCGTCACCGTATTATCATACGACAGCAGTCTATCGAGGACTGGGTTTATTGTTTTATAGTGAAACAGAATTGCGCCATCTTATTTATACGCCTTTATCTTTAGTCTTCAAGTCCACCTTTCCTATAACTTTTATACCCTATCCTGACCCACCTTGACATCGTTTGGCAACTGCTCTTGATCTTGCAATAATTACTCCCTTGACATATATTTCTATTTCTTTCAGCTAAAGTAGCACGAACACTTGCGCATACTTTCAAAGTGGCCGCATACTACTTCGAAGCTTTATACACCATTATTTGGAATCGCCTTTGGCCACGCGACACTGCGACACACTGCAGCTTTGACGCAAGGGAGCGAACAGACGCTTTCAACTGCTGGCATACCGCACATTAATCTACCAGTCGAGAAGCACACCGTCTTGATTTTGCTTTCTATTCGGCACAAGCCAACACTTTTTACTCATACGAAGTGGCCTGAAAAGGAAACACTTTCCTTCGCGAGCATATCACAGCCCTAATACAAAACACAATCGCACAGATGCCTTTCCACAAGGTCACTCTCCCGCCGTCCGTTTTCCCAATCTACTTGCTCCCGCCACTCCCTTTCCGACGACGGCGCAAGACTTCTACCGACTCAAACGCATCTACCGACTCTACCGTATCCTCTGTAATCGACGGCACCTCATCCTCCACGAGTGGCGGCGATGCCGCTTCCCCCGAGAATTTCTTGTCGGGACATACTTCGCGCCTTCGGTGCGCCAGATGCGCCACAGATCTGTGCCTGACCTCGCAGATTATTAGCAAGGGCTTTACCGGGCGACACGGACGCGCATATCTCGTCAGCGGGTCTACCAGCCGGACAGACATGGCCATCTCGCTGACCAGTAGCGTTGGAGGCAGCAGCAACACGACCGTTTCGCTGCCCAACACTACCACCCACAAGCCCACGCCGCGACAACTGGTCACGGGCGCGCACACAGTCAGCGACATTAGCTGCGCGTTTTGCGGCGCCGTGCTTGGCTGGAAATATGTCGCCGCAGAGGACGAGAGCCAGCGGTACAAAGTGGGGAAATTCATCCTTGAAACACGCAGAGTGTGTACTGCGTCGTGTTGGGAAGAGGAGTACGATTATCAGACCGCAGATGACGGGGCCCTTGCAGTTGCAGCAAACGCCGCAGGGGCTGTGCCACCCATGAAGAAAGATGAGGAGATTGAATTCGACAGTCAAGACGAGGATGAATGTGAAGATCTGTTTGCAGGCGTTTGGTCCTCGGCGCTGGCAGCGAGACGGAGGAAGGGCAAGAAGTTTGAAAGATGATGAGTTCCAAACGTGCCTTTTTATTTTGTTCTCTCAAGCAGAGAGCTCTATTCATCTTCCAGTCGGGTCGGCCCTTTCTTGAAGCATGTGATTCCACATGCCCACTCAATCTCCTCTCACATTGGATCTTCTATCAGAATGCATCGTGAAAGTCTAAAAGATGGAATCCATGGAGAAGTTTGGCCCGCAATCTCGCCACTATCGAAACATCGATACTTTCTGCACAGGCACGATGAGCCTGTGCATTAATGTCAGGGCCATGGCTCATGGGGTCAGGTAATGAAAGTATTGCCTTTGCAGTATCTATCGCCCCCGGGAAGACGGTCCTTTGTCAATGTACAGACTGCCACCTACAAAATTGCCGACGGTAGTGCCAGGAAGGAGGAAATATCACACATATGGCCGAGGCGAATCGTGCTAGCGAGGTTCATGTCGTGTCATTATACGGAGGGAGAGAGAAAGAGGACGGTTAGAATTAGGAGTGCCTTGCGATGTTAGGAGACGATCGATTCCTATTCCTTTGGGGGATTTTCGGAGAGAATTATTATAACGATCTCAGAACAATTAATAGCTTTCTAATAAAGTCTTTTGGTCAACATTTAGACTATCCTCTTTCTGTTGTGATCGTTACTCTTTTCGTTATTATTATTGTTATCACTATTGATGATGATGTTGTTGTCGAATCACTCCGGTTGTTTAAATCCTACATGCCCACAACTCATCCATTCTCAATCTTCTTACGGAATCGAGCACTCCAAGACCACTTGACATCCTAACAAAACAATCTTTAACTAATAATTTTTAAAGATGTCGAGCTTGCAAGCTTTAAACTCGTAGGCGATTTCTAGGCGAAGAGGGTGCTTGGTGTGGCTGAATTTAGCCTGCCAGGCTGTCACTACTATTGCGGGGCTTAGTGGGAAACTTTAACCTCCAACCACTCCATCCCAAACTCCAAAGAATTTATCAATGGAAGTTATGCCCCCTTTTTAATATCGTCTCCTTTGTGCCAAGCCTTGTCTGACAAATTGATAGCTGGAACTAACCCGCGCAATATGACGGTGCAATGATCGGAAACTAATTCTATAGCTTCAAGCTTCAAGCTTCGAATTCAGTCATGTGACAACCAACAATCAACAATCCACAGTTCTCCACCTACGTTACGTTACGTTACCTATAGCTATGATATCGTGTCTGCATCAACCTGGTGTCCCTCTTTCTACCAGATTAATGTGCTGCATCCACGGCCTAACCACGAAGTTTTACAAATAAGCTCAAAATCATTCCAGAATAAGGAATAAATTAAAATAAGCTCAACGACATGCCCGCCTTCCACGACCGGTTCCTTCTCAACACCGTCGCGCCACCAATCGCGGTGCGCGAAGAATACATCGCCCCCAGCAAGACGACAATCACAGTCAAGCAAAACGACAAGGCCTGGCTCGGACGAGATTTCACCATCCGCAACCCTTCCTCGGGTGATTATGATTATGACAATAATGATGACGACGACAACGGGCCTGTTTTGTTCACCGTCGAGTGCAAAGCCATGAGTAATAGCCAACGTCGCGAATTCAGGGATGCCTCGGGCCTTCCGCTCTTTGAACTCCGTCGCAAATGGCTTGCTCTCAGCGACGCTTGGACTCTTCGGTTGCCTGGCAGCAGAGACAGCATCATCAGCAATAGCAGCTGCAGTAACAGCAGCGGCAATGGCAGTAACAGCAATGGATCAAGGGATGCAAATGATGCAAATATTCTAACCGGCTCGTTGAAATGGTCGTTAGGGCGGCCAAAGTTTGACGTGAAATTGCGCAATGCGGCTGTGCCTGACGCAGCAAAGGAGAGTGACAAATACGTCACGCTGGAGGTCCGGGGCCAGGATAGCAATCGGATTACAACCCATGTCTCGCTGCCTGAAGGAGTGGGAGGGCAAGGGGAAGGAAAAAAGGTCATGCAAATCCGCAGGAGTCCAGACGAGATGAAGAGCAATTTTCGGACAGGGAGACATGGGTATCTCTGGGAAGTCGGCGTAGCAGAAGGAGTGGACCTGGCATTGGTGAGTTTTAGATTCCCAGGCAAAAAGACCCTCTCTCCCTCTCCCTCGCGCACTCTCACAGCCATTAAAGTTTGTTGTCACAATACATACTGGCAGTATCACTGAAACTACTCGTCATCGTGTCTAGGCCGCAGTCATTGTAGTCATGTTGGCTGAGCTTGTCCCAAGGAGCGTTGCTACAGGCGTCTAAGTCTCTCCCATAGCAATTGCTCCTCCTCCTCCTCCTCCTCCTCCTCCTCCTCCTCCCCGTTCAGTGTCCATTCTCGCAAATCCTAAAACTGCAGTAGATATAGAGGACATATGTATAGCCTTTTTGGGACTCGATGAAATAGGGACATGTCAACATATAGCCAGCGCTGAGGAAGGTCATATATATAACTTTTTATGCATTGTTCTCTATATGGCTTCTAATAGAAACCCCCTTTTTTTTTGGTCTGCGAGCAGCAGGCATACTGAATATGCGTAGAAAGTTCCCGTGCGTAGCGGGTTCAATCGCCCTGACTAGGTGATGAGCAGGCTTACATGAAGACTACTCCCGTTACATGCTCCATTGAGACGTTGAAATGGCCATATGTGGCAGCATTGAGCCAAGTTACTTGCGTATCACCAATGTAGAAGTCCGAGACCGTGAGATTGGAAACCGTGGTAGCGCGGCCCTTCTTATCCGTGAGAAAAGGAAGCTGATTGAACGGAACGCCTGAGCTGTCGATGAATGGTGTTTCCAGCCAGACATTGCTGATGGCAATGTTCCTAAGGTTAGACGTTGGGTAGATGGCGAACAGAGGGCCTGTGATTCCTTCAGCGCGGATATCTGAAAACGAAACGATGTATATGTTAATGGCACCAATGATGCCAGGTTGGCTATTGATCGACTCCGAGTGCGAATGAATGACATCGATATGCCGGACGGTAATGTTGCGCCAATAAGAAGAGCGATGCGTCTTCTCTACATATGTTGTCTGGCATCAGTGTGCCGGACAAGCATCAAACCTTCTAGAAGCCCGTGACCCAGAAGGCTCAAAGGCGAATAGACAGTAAAAGAAAATCAAGTTTTACTCGGGATCAAATTGAATTGTGTAAATGCTTTTCCATTTCACTATGATATGTACCTACATACTATAAGCTAAAAATATACAACACGGCGATTGTGAATAGCTCGGATAACACAAGAACGTTTCTTCTCCCTCTCTTCTCTCTTCCCTTCGCACGCCAACAGAGCAAAAGCAGAGTAGTAAAAAAGGATGAAAGATAATTCAGAATAGCATCTCGGTTCCATGAAAAATGAAATCTGATTGTAGCGACGCCGATATGATGCTAACATTGCTGCTGCTTGTGCGCCTGCAGCGGTACCACTGCTAAATATACAAGTGCTAGAAAAGAGATACATCTGCTAGAGGGAAAATATAAAAGAATAGAAAGCAAAGAAGAAGACGGGTATCTCTGACTGATGCCAGGCTAAAAATCGAAATCAACCAATACAAACAGAATTCAAAGCGCAACGCATGAAGCGGGATACGGGAGCTATCAAAGTACAGCAAGCAAGTGGGGAATACGGTAGGCCGCTGTGCGGCTCCCACCAAACCCAATTCCAGTATAGCACATCATAACTCCCGATAATCGCTGGGTCTGATTCTTCTCTGTCTCGACTGATGGCGATGTGGGTTGACGGGTTTTCTAAAATACGCATCATCCTCTTCGTTAGGAAACGGTTCGCTGAATATAGTTCGCTGCTGATTCGGGAAGCCCGAGCCCATTGGGCCAGCACTAGGAGGAGCACCAAATTGTTTACCAAGTCCTCCTCCTGCTCCTGCTCCTCCAGTATGCATCATCTGTGGCGCGGCCCCACCGCCATTGGGCATGCCGTTCATATGAGGCATACCCATTGGATTCATTCCTCCCATGGGATTCATCGGGCCTGGACCCAGACCTCCCATGCCATTGGGCATATTCATGTTCATGGGCTGGTTGTATCCGTTTGGCGCCCCCATCATGTTATTGGGGAAATGGGGACCGCCACCAGATCCGCCGTTGGGATGGCCATAGACGCCGCCACCATATGATCCTCCCATACCATTCATGTTCATATTGCCCCAGCCATTGGGGTTGTTGTTGTTCATGTTGTTCATGAATCCCATTCCCATCCCGGGCATCATGCCAGAGGGATCCATCATGCCATTCATATTCATGTTCATGTTCATCATGGGCGGCATATTTGGTGGCATACCCATAAAGTTGTTTCCTCCACTGGTGGGGAAACCCATGGGGTTTACGCCATTCATTCCATGTTGCTGCGGAAAGAACCCTCCGACTCCGTTGTTGGGGAACTGCTGGTCTTGATTATTGCCAAATGGAAGATTCTGTGGCATGATATGGTTCATTTGTTGAAAGGCGGCAGCTGAAGCGGGGTCGAGATTTTGCGGGGACTTTGGGGTTTGTGTTGGCGGACGAGGGGTGTGCGACGAACTCAGCCTCCGCATGGCTTCGGGACCGTTTGGTACCCTGTCATTCTCAAGCTCCTCCTCTGCTGCGCGCTTTTTAGACGTAGCGCCATCTGTTGCATTCGAAGCGGCGGCGTTAGGAAGGCCATTTGTTGTCGTTTTCGCTGCCGCTGGGGAAGGCGATTTCACTTTGCTTTCTCCGGTTGCTGTAGGGGTCGCCGCCTGCTTGGCCGGAGGACTCTTAGAAGCTTCGGTTTCCTTCTCTTTCTCTTTCTTCGCCGCAGCTTTCTCCTCCTCAAATTCCTTTATTTTTTGCGCGGCTTCGGCATCAGGTTCCAGGTTATCGATCAAGACACCCTCTGAGGAGCATCCAGGGCAGACAAAGTCGCTCTCAATGAGTGCATTACTGATGCATTCTGCGCAGTATGTACGGCCACAGCATGGCGACTTTGTTGGTTCAACAAACATTCGCTTGTCTATCGGACATTCTAAACCACGCTCGCGAACCTCCTTGCTTCCAGTAGCCGCAGCCTCTTGAGCAGCAGCCGACACCTTTGCTTTAGCTTGATACTGTTCCCAGGAAGCCTTATCTGGTTCCGCAATAACAAACTCGCCCTCTGCATTGACCATGACACCCGAAACTTGTCGAGCATCCTCTGTTAGTCCGTCTCCTCCAAGAGCGGCGGGTTTCTCTATCGTTTTTAGAAAAGATCTAGGGATGCCAGTTGTACGCTTGACCCGCGGCCTCCCATCAAAATTTGGATCATTATTCGTTGGACAAGCCTGTATCCAGTGTCCTGATATCCACACGTTAGTATATTCCATATGATCAGAGATTTCAACCAAAACTTACCCTTTTCGCCACATCGATAACAGATATACCCTTGCGGTGGCTTATGGTCAGGGACATTCATAGGTTTTCCTTTGAACGGGCCACCTCGATAAACTGGTGTGGCACTAAAGTAGTGTTAGTAACTGTTTCTATCGGTTATACATAGAATATCATCGACCAGGTTTGTAAGTAGATCGTGATATGATAAACATGGTCCTTGAACTTACTTTGCCATCTCTTGTTGTTGCTGCTCCCACTGGTCTGCGCCAGCCTTAAACATGGCTGCAATCCTCTCTTCTTCTGTCTGAGCATTGTCCATCTCAGCAGCAGCAGAAGATGCAGCGGGTGCTTGTGACGTCGGCTTCGTTGCTTGCGCTTCGACTCGGCCAGCATTGCGCGCATGGACGGGCATCTTCCCCGAAACATATCGAGCGGCGCTTCCACGGCCCGCCTTTGCAGCAGGAAGCCGTCTTGCTATGATTGAGGTCGACCGAGGGATAATTGTCGTATCATCATCGTACTCTGAGGAAGAAAGGTTAATTATCTCGTCGTAAACAGTTACACATGATCATCTTACCTTCATTCGTATCTTCATTGTAAATAGCGAGGTCAAAGTCAGTGCCATCACCCAGTCGATTGATGCTAATTATTTCTCGTTTCAACTCAAACACAGATATTCCAGTACCATCGAATGTCACCCTTGATGGTTCCTTTTGAGACTTGAATTTGAAAAATACAGAGGACGACATTTTCAAGGGGGGAATATGTGGTAGGGAATGATAAAGCTTATAACGGGTAAATATTAACAATTAGCCCTAGCGGCCGAGAAGGTCTAACTGCCACTGCTCAGTAGACAATAACAGATGATCTACTTCAGCACACCAAGAAAATTATCGTCTCGATATTTCAGGATCACGTTTAGTGACCGTCACCTGTCAGAGCCCGATAGACCAGCTTGTTTTGACGGCTCAGTTCGAAAGGTTGGTTGAAGGACTGCTGTATTTGGAATCGTTCTCAAAAGAAGAAAAGAAAAAGACAAAGAAAGAGAGCAAGTTCAGTGAAATGCTGTGGATGGAGCGTCGATGGAGTCAACAGGAATCTCGTGAGAGAACCGTTCTCTTTTCCTTATTGTGACGAATCAAATTTAGATTCAAAGCAACAACTTTTTGAGACAAGATTGCGAGCACAATGAATCGCTGTATAAAGAAGCGACAATGGGTACAGAACAAATATTGAAGTGCGAAGTTGGATGGCAGATCAGCCTTTCTAATAACCTCCACCACAAAGAGAAAATCAGAACACAATGTATCAACCCGACAAGACCTCCTCGATTTCGTCGCGCAGTATGAACAGTTCCTTATCCACTTATATCCACCAGGCGCCCGGTACGAGTCAGCGACAAACTGAAGAATGACGTGTCAGGCAGAACGAAGCGACCGTGATGAATCAAAATGAAGTTAAGCAAAGGACAACGTCAACAATGAAGGGTATCCAGCTGCGCAAACTCAGATGCTGCTTTCGAAAAAAACTGCTGCAATTCAAAAGAATCGTCCGAAAGATGAAAGAAAGGTTGGCTGAAAGATGATTAGTTTGATGGGTGAGGATGAAGAAAGGTTGAGTGTAGAAAGATTGCAAGAGAGGAGGCGAAAGCATCGTCGGACTGCTTACATTAGCAAATTGCAGACTGGTCACGTGATGAGATGACTAATGTCTCTTTTCCTCCGGATACGACTCGAACCTTCCTTCCCAGAGAATGCATTGTTTTGGCTTCGAGGAGCAACGATTGTTAATATCATTTGAATGAGGTTGGGCCACATCTGATTTGAATGATGATCTGACGAGTGCAATCCAAAAGCTTTAAACTCTAGCCATGCTTCTTTTGCACTATCTACAGAGGGGAAACTAAGCTACAAATGATATCTTTAAAATACAGTGAAATCTACGCTCTTTGAATGTTTTCATAATTCTTCCTCGAATCTGCGGACCATCAATCCCTCACTCTCCAGGTAGTCTTTGACCTGCTTGACAGTGTATTCACCACGATGGAACTGCCAAATTAAGTCAGCTAAGGAACAAGCACTTGGTGCAAATGTAATAAACTTACCATGCCAGCTCCAAGAGCAGCATCCGTAGTTGTCTTCTCAAATACCTCGGCGAAGTGGGCCGGGTTGCCGGCACCACTTGAGGCAATCACCGGGATCTTGATCGTCTCTTTCACCGTGCTAATCAATTCGAGATCGAAGCCGCTATTACTGCCGTCTTTGTCGATGCAATTGAGCAAGATTTCACCAGCTCCCATTGCCTCAACGGCAGAAACGAGTTGGTGAACGTCAAAGTCTCGCCCTTCTCTTCCACCCTTAATGGTGCACTGATACCAACAGTATTCTTCGCCATTGGGTCCTGGGAATTTTGTCTTGATAGTGCGATGCGGTGTTTCCTCTGGGCTGCGTACATAAATCCTCTTCGGGTCAACACTGACAACGACTGCCTGCCTTCCATATGCGTTTGAGATAGTTTCAATGGCCGTCTGGCCCGACAACTTTTTGCCCGCAGCTTCATATTCCTCGGCAGCCGTCACGGCATCTGAGCCGATACTGACTTTGTCGGCACCAGATTTGAAGTACAGCTTTGCGACTTCCAAGGCGGATACCTTGGTCCCATCGGTATCGACACTATCTCGGATACCGCCACCGATGGTTAGAGGTACGAAGACTGTCTCAGCTGTTCGCCTCAAAATTTCGAGCATGGGCAAATCAGCTAGAGGGCAATTCCGGAAAGAAGTGATGTTGAGAAAAGTAACTTCGTCTGAGCCTTGCTCGTAGTATTTTCGCGCCATGTCCACAGGCTTTCCAAGGTTCCTAACCTGCCCCCCGGCGTCCACACCCTCCTTCTCACGCACGTCATATTGATCACCTTTGGTGACCACAAGGTCTCCGGCATCATTCGTTCGGACGTCGAGGCATGCAATAACCCGTCTTGTCAGACCTTCTTTTGAGGTAGCCAGGGAAGGCTGCTCCTTGAGAGTGTCTAAGCGCGTGCCATCCAAAAAGGCTTTCAAGACTCTCAATCCAGCTATACCGCTCTTCTCTGGGTGGAATTGTGTGGCAAATATATTGTCCTTTGCGATAGCTCCAACGAATTCTTCCTCTCCATATCTTGCCGTAGCCACAGACCAGCCATCCGCCTCATAGTAGCCCTTGCGGTAAGGCGCAGCATAGGAGTGGACATAGTAATATTTGCTTGATGGGTTGAGGCCGAACAAGCTTTCCCGAGTCACTTCGTTGCCCTTCGAAGTATTGGCCGAATTCCATCCGATATGGGGAACACTCTTTGTAGAATCATCAAACTTCACTAGCTGACCTGGGATAATCCCGAAACCCTTCACATTGGGGTCTTCTTCGGAGCTCTCAAAGAGAGCTTGCAAGCCGACACAGATTCCCATAAAAGGTTTTCCTGATTTGATGTGTTCTCGAATGGGTTCGACATATCCGCCCTGCTCGAACTGCGAGAGACAGTGGCCGAAATGGCCGACACCGGGGAGAATGAGTTTCTGGATCAAAGGTCAACTAGTGTGACTCGTATTTGGTATATAAGTATTCTTACATCTGCTTTGGCAACATCGGCAGGCTCTCTAATCCACTCCACGGTATAGCCTACTTTTTCAATGGCATTGACAAGCGACCGAACATTGCCGGCCACGTAGTCAAGGAGGTATACTTTGGGCATGACGACGAAATTTCTGGGCTGTATTATTTGGAGTGTTAGATTGAGTTGCGAGAAGGACCCCTATGAGGATGGTAAAGTACTCCAAACCACCCTAAAGTTGAGTCAAAAAGTCTCGTTCCTGCGTCATATCCTAGCGCACTCAAAAGGAATGACTGGCTTTGTTTGGTGGGGGTCTGCAGCGGAACACCCCACTACTAGGCCCGGATTAGTAGTTTTTCCCAATTCCGAAAAGCGTATTCTTCCAGCCACTAGTCAGGCCGTTGTTACTGGACTGTCAAGATGATTTGGCTCGTCACCATTTGCACAATTCATGCTTTAAATAATCGCAATATTTCAGAATATACATCCATCTCTATATTTTCTTCTTTTGAAATTTCTTCTAAATTTTGGAATAGAAAAGAATGGGAGAAAAGGTTTTCGAAACTGGCCCAGCACCACTACGACAGAACCTTGAAGCAACTGATATTCCAAAGAATGCTTCCTGGAATCCGGAAGAAATTTGCAAGTCCCAAATCAATGCAATTCCAGGGATCTTGATTATACTGCCAGTGCTCTGTAATATGCCCGAAGATAATCCCTTGAAGCTTCATTAGATATATGGATTGAACAAATCGACTACAGGATTGTTGACTCACGCAACCAGTACTTCAAATTTAATGGGAGGCGCCCGCAAGGAAAACAAGACCTTTTCGAGGCTATAGCTAAGATTTAGTAGAGATCAAATATTCTGGTCGGCTTTAGACACTCACAGGTGAATACTGCCTCAGGTGGACCCCTGCCTCTCGAAAGATGGTAGCTGCCTGCATTGGAATTACTCTCTGCTCTTGTCGCCGTCGCAAGTTGCCTTGAACATACCTCGGCATCCATACTGTAACTCTGACTATACACTACCTCGGAAATTCCGACTTGTACGATCTTAATGCTGCAAGTCAAACATGGGCATCTTTTGCAAGTTTGTAAGCTGCGCTGTCACGGTTTTGCTGGGCATCGGAAACATACGTGTCACAGTACAAGACGGATCCTTCCCGAATTCGCTCTCTTCCCGCTTCAAGAAGCGCGTTCTCTTCGGCGTGTATACACAAACAGGTGGCAAGCCCCATGCCGGCATTGTTGCCGTCGTTGCACCTAGGACCTGTCATAGAATTAGTCTCCGACAAAGTTTGGTCTCGAACATATGAAACTTACATCCCCCTTGATTGCAATTCTTCAAATGCCTAGGCGTGCCGTTGTAACCCGTGCTGATCACCCTCCGTTCCCTTACGAGGACGCTCCCAACTCTCCTCTTCATACAATTACTGCGCTGAGAAGCCAGGGATGCTAGTTCCATGAAATACTGATCCCAGCTTGGTCTCAGTCGTTCCTCGTTTGTCAAGTCTAGATTTTGAAGGGCAAGATGTAGATCACTCGGTGAAGATGTCGGGTTTATTAGACGCACTTGCGCGCGATCAATCAACTTTGCTAGTCCCAACACAGGATCAAAAAGATGTGCATCACTGCGAATCACGAAATCTTCCAGAGTTGGAGGGATTTCTGAGCGCTGAAGACACCTATTTTGTGGTCAATACAACCCTGTATGCGAAAGCAAAGCCGGCGATGGTTACAACATACCTCTCCTTGTATCTCTTCCATCTTACACTTACTGGAGCATCAACGCTGAGCAGGAAGAAAAAAGGTCGTCTGAGGAGCGAGTCTAGCACAGCTTCATTCCAGATATCTGTGATAAGCCATCGTTCTCGCCATCGCTTTGTGACAAAATTGATCAGGCTGTCAATGTCGCTGAATGCATATTCTTGACCAGTTGAGCCATTAGTGGCATGAAGGGGTTGTCTCGCTTCAAGTTTTTCTTCATTGAAAGCCAAGCTCTCAGCATTTCTGAGGCGCAGCCTCCGGAACCCGTACTCTTCTACGAGATACTCGGCCACAGAACTCTTGCCGGCGCAGATCCCTAATATTTGTGAGTGGCACTTCTGTTATACTGGAGCTATTGGGACTTGCCTCCACAAAGACCTATCAGCATCTTAATTTTTATAAAACAGAAAAAAGACTTTAAAAACAACTGGAATCTAATACATGTACAACAGAAATCATAGATCAGGTAGGTTGGAAATGTGTGATTCTGGCACAATAAACGTGACTCTGGAACTTTCGCAGAGACGCGACAGAATCAAATCCTCTGTAACGCGGTTTACCACTGAACGCGCCTTCACGTGTTGGGTCCCTTCAATCTATATTAGTAAGTCTTTGTACCGAGGCTCTCTGGTAATTTGAATCACAAAAAAGGTATAGAATACCTTTGCCTTAACTTTACCCATTCAAGCTATTCGTATCGATTTCCCCTCCATAAGCATCCGCCAGCTCCGCCCCTCCGTCCAGAACGCCCCTAGTAATCCTGTACGTCACATATTCTTGCCCCAAGATTTGCTGCTACTGTCCCTCATCTTGAACAGATATCGCAAGCTTGCTGAGTTGACTTGGTCTTCTCTTCTGGGAAAATCGAGGATACTTCCCTGTGAGCTCTCAAGATGCAGTACACTCCGTTTGCTTCCGACATCGAGCTACCTTTCTATACCTCGCTAGCTTCCCACAAGATCAACCATGATAAACTCGATGACTCGGCAAGGAAGCTACTGGGGCTTTATGAGATCAAGCCTACCGACGCACCTGAAGCATCTTGTCGCATGCAAATTCGTGGAAATGCTCTGACCAGTGATGAGTGCGTGCACTTTGTGTGCGATGAGCAAATCGCCTGAACTCTTTGCTAACTTTGTCAGAGTTCCGGCGGCTGCGTGTCGTGCGGAGGGCATTATTAAGAATGTGAATACGATCGAAGAATACAAGAATTTGGATAAGGCTACGGTTCTGCATCGTGCTGGTCGGATCGTAAGTTGGGGTTTAAGTGGTCTTTCATGACTGAGGGTTTCTTGCTGATATGCCTCCATCAGATCTGGGAGGCCATCAATGACGGAACCATTTACTCATGTCCATCCCTTCTAGCAGCTTTCTCGGTCATCTCATTTGCAGACCTTAAGCGATACAGATTCACGTATTGGTTTGCCTTCCCAGCTCTGCATTCTGACCCGCCCTGGAAGCTTGACGATTCGCGTCCAACCGTGTCCGGTCTGTCGAAGCAAGAAACGCAAGCGCTGGTTGAGAAGGTTCAAACGTGGAGATATAGCGTTGATACCCGCCAGCATGGATTTTTCCTCGCGAAAAAGGTGCGAGTCAGTTCTCAGGGTGAGTTAAATGAGAATGCGGAGGATGGAGAAGACAACCACGAGCATTTTCGTTCAAGCTCACCAGGGGCGTCAGGGGAGGAGGCGAACTATGTCTGGGCGGTAGCGCCCCTGGGAGGCTATGAAAGTGGCTTCTTCAAGGATGTCGAGCCCCACAACCGCTTCGTCTGCTTCGCGGATCCTTCCACATATGCAAAGAACCCGGGCTGGATGCTCCGCAACCTGCTGGTGCTCATCCAGAGACGATGGCAATGCGACCGCGTCCAGATACTCTGCTACAGAGATGTACAATCCCGTCGCGACGATCCAAAGAGCATAATTCTCAATCTCATGACCGAAGGGACGCCGGCGGCGTTGGGGGATTCTCACAAAATTCACAACAGATTACCGCCTATGCCAAAGGTCACAGGCTGGGAACGCAACAAAGAGGGGAAGCTACTGAGCAAGATTGTCCATTTGGCCGAATACATGGACCCGCAGCGGTACGCCCAGACTCAACTTACTACTCTTTCATCATTGTGAATGTCGTCTGACGGAATGCTCTTTAGGCTTGCGGACCAATCAGTAGACCTCAATCTGAAATTAATGAGGTGGAGAATAGCACCAAACTTGGATCTTGAGAAGATCAAGAACACGAAATGCCTGTTACTCGGCGCGGGTACTCTAGGAAGTTATGTATCGCGCAATCTCTTAGTATGTATTTTGGATATGACAATTCAGATGGAATAAGTCTAATGTATTATAGGGTTGGGGGGTACGCAAGGTTACATTTGTCGATAATGCAAATGTGTCGTTTTCAAATCCCGTCCGCCAGCCGTTATTTGATTTCAAGGACTGTCTGCAGGGTGGGGCCAAAAAGGCATACCGCGCTTCTGAAGCTCTTTTGGAGATTTATCCTGGCGTGGACTCATCTGGACACGTCTTTTCTGTGCCCATGGCGGGCCACCCTATCACTGATGACAAGAAGACACGTAACGATTTTGATTTGTTGCAGTATTTAATTGAGCATCACGATGTCATTTTCCTTCTTATGGACACGCGTGAGAGCCGATGGCTTCCAACGGTAATGGCAAAGGCGGCTGGAAAGATTGTCATGAATGCAGCATTGGGATTTGACACGTTTGTCGTCATGCGACATGGAATGAAGTTGGCACACAACAGAGACCAAGAGCTAGGTTGCTATTTTTGCAACGACGTGGTTGCACCTCAAGATGTATGGCATAAATCTCCCTATATCCTGGAGTTTCCGCGCTAACTTGCTTTGGCAGTCTATCAAGGATCAAACACTCGATCAACAGTGTACTGTCACTCGTCCGGGCATTGCTGCTATCGCCTCCGCCATGCTTGTCGAATTACTTGTTTCTATTCTCCAACATCCAGATGGCGGTGCTGCGCCCGCTCCCAACTCTACAGACCAAGACCGAGGGGAGCATCCTCTTGGCCTTGTTCCTCACCAGATTCGCGGATTCTTGTCCAATTTTCAAAATATGACGATCAAAGGTCGCAGCTACGACTGCTGCAGTGCTTGCTCTGATAGGGTGGTTGACGCCTACCGAAAAGGCGGCTTTGAATTTGTCCAGCGTGCGTTGAATGAGAAAGGTTACGTTGAGGAATTGAGCGGCCTAGCCGAGGTACGGTTTCTCTTTTTTCAGAAATATGTACAAACCTTCAATCTTCTAACGATTATTGATTTTTTAGGTCCAACGGGCGGCAGAAGCGGCGGCCGCAGAGATTGAATGGGACGAGAATGAAATCGGCGATGACGGAGACGAAGACGAAGGGGAGGGACAGCTCATCTAAATCGATGCCTTGATGAGGGCTTCTATTCTCTGCATTCCGAGCTTGGCTACGCATCTTCACGACCGCGAATATCAAAGCGGCGTCCGCCTTCGCACGTCTATCATCTTTTTTTTTTAAAAAAAAAAGTCGTCGGATTCGTCATGTAACGATGCCGTTTTCACCTTCGAATTCCAGCCGTTCCTTTCTTCACGACCGAATTCTTGTTTATGGGCATCGCACAAGCATATTTACAGCAATTTGGGTACCCGTACTGATGAGTTTAGGAAGTTGTTCCAAGGCGTCCAGGTGGCATACCATACACGTTGAGCCTCTGCATGTGGCTTTTCCTCCAGTCCATTGCGTTTCCCAAAATATGTCTGATCTGTTTACATTTCATTATATTTGTATTATGAACCAAGAGATACCGGTGTTTAGCTCATTACGTTTATTTCCTTGCTTTGTTTTCCACGCCTCTTTCACTCCATTGAGGTATAGCGTGCTTGATAGCAAGATATTCTAGTTGTACCAGTCTCGCCATTTGCGTTTAGCTATTATCCGTGATTTGATTTGATTTGATAAGTATATACACGTAACATCCAACTAAGGCCGAGAAAAACTACACCTGAAAATTTGGTCTACTTAGACATAGGCAGGCTATATACTATGCGTCTGAGGCCACATCTTCTCTTTTGACCCCATCCTTTCTTCGTAACGCGACAAAGTACGCTTCTTTCGATTCCTGTATGCGTTGCCGGCGGAAGGCGTATGAGTCAGCATTTCATGAAATTTCTCTTCGCATGCCCCTTGCAAAGAATGACGCAGAGAGTTTGGCAACGAAGTCTTAGAAAAAAAAAGGGGGGGGGGGGGGGAAAGAAAGGCTCCGACACTCATGGATGTGATGGGAGGGGACACATTAACATTGCAGTGGAAGTGGGGGAAATGCAGAACATACGCTTCTAGATGAATCTGGTTTATCTCTATGTACTGACGCGAATAACTTTTTGAGTCGCTTCTCCATCGCCTTGTCCTCGGCGCCTTGATAGAATTTGCACACAAAGTGTCCGCCAATGCGCAGTGTATCGTAGCAGAATTGGAGAGCGGCTGAACAGAGGTCCTAGATTGGTACTTTGTGTTAGGCCCAATATGTGAAGACAGTCAGAAGGACAGGGAGAGGGGGGAGAGATAATCCTAGAAGCTGAGAAGAAGAGAATGGGGAGGGGAAAGACTGCGGGCCAATGGGTAGGGGGAAAAGGAGAAAGAGAGAAAGCTAAAAGAGAAGGGGGAGGAGGGAAAGAATAAGAAAAAAGAGAGAAATGAACGTACCATACTACCGGCATGATCTCGAAAGGCGATGCCGCTCGTGTTCATCATCCTAAAATAAGGGTCACTCAAACTCCTCTTACTAAATCCAGTGGTCTGGGCCCAGGGCGCGGACATGTCGCTAAGAACTACATCTACCATTCTTCCTGCGGCCTCGTCGCGGGCTCGACGGGCCTGTTTGGTTTCTCGGCTCGGTGTTTTGTTGCTTGCTTCACCCGCCTGGGCGGTTGTTTCCGATTCCGTGGCGCTGAGGTTAACCGTATCGAGCATGCGCTCTTTGAGATCAACGTGTCTCTCGAAATCAATATATCCTCTCTCTCGCTCGGCAAGTTCTTCTTCAGTAAGCAATGGGCCCGTCGGGGTTGGAGTTGTAGTTGGTGTCCCGTCTTCAGAGTTCGGTGAAGGAGCGTTGGTTGAGCTTGCTGCCGGGCTGTCAAGATCACTCGACGGGTTGGGCGGTGTCGGTGAAGAAGATGAAGATGAAGATGTCGAAAAAATACTTTGTTGTCGAGGCCGGCCGCGGTCAGGGTCGAGTAGGAAGTGCTTGACCTCGGCCTGGACCTGGGGCGATAAAAAGTTGCCTTGGATCGTTGAAACGCCTCGGGGAGGTTGCGCGGGGATGATGTCGATACCGATAATTCGGCCATTAGGAGCGGTGCGGTCGACTGCGACCTGTGGAAGGCGGATATGTCAATGCTCACGCGCTTTAATCTTACACTTGAGGTAGATGACATTGCGATGATATATCATCGCGTCAAGTTCTCCGCCTGTGAGTCGTTGAGACGGTTGGTGAAAGCTATAAATCATGTGGAAACTTACTTGTGACCATGATCCTGGAGCGTAGCCCTGTAATAAATTGTAAGTAAATCAATGACCAAATTGAGAGATAAAATAATGATACGGTATCGGCTCCTTTGCGCGAATGCAGAGTTACAAAGCCGCAGCAAGATGATGGGGACCAACAAGGGGGAAATACCAGATCGACAACAGTTTGCCCTTTTTTAAATATCTTATATTTCTCATTCATCTGTGCGATAAATCAATGTCAGCCATATTTTCTTCCACGCGAAGACCTTGAAGATAACAAGCTAATAGTGATTCCGAATCGCATATAAAGAAACAGAACACAGTTTCAAAAAGGGTCAAACTCCACCAATTTCTCCGGAATTGAGTCTCGACATTAGCATGTGTGCATCCAATATATCATCAGATGTTAAAACAAGAAGAGGGGGGGGAAATAAATAATAACTGTCGAATAAATACATATACATACCTCCAGAAGCTTGAATGCAGCACGGCTCTTCAGACCCTGCACTTTGGCTTCTTTGGCAAATTTGTCCCGCCCTTGACGAGTCTGCCACCTCTTTGACGACGAGGAAGCGCATCGTCTCTGGACAGACGTGCATACAATAGGTACATGGTTGTTAGGTGAGCTTGACTTGATTGGGCGACTGCTACTGTGCAAGCAGCGGGTTGCAAATGTCTTGCTTTTCACTGCAGCTGTAGAGCATAAAGTGCCCTCGAGGAGCAATGCATCTGTTAGGCAGCGAAACACCTGACGTGATAACATCATACAAAAACCCCTCCTACTTCAAAGAAGCTGATGCCGGCAATAAGTCAGGGGATTGACACTCTTTTTCCCCTAAGACAGATATTGTTATCATCTGACGACAGCGTCCGCTGACTTTTGGTGTTCTGGGGTCCTCTAAATTTCAAACGTCGGATATCGGAGGCGGTGAGCCGACGCCTCTAAGAGGTCCCCCTAGCCTCCATTGCCCCACGGGGGACGCTTCAAATACTGAGAGCTCGAAACATATCTGCTAGCTAATCTAGTTATTTTATTTATAAATACTCTAAACCTTGTACCGTTTAACTATAGTGTGTACTAAAAATAATATAGTGTGTATGGAATAACTCCCTAAGAATAATGAAAAAGCTAATTATAATAGTCCTTCCTCAAATCTGACATGGAATGTCTGCACAAACATTGAAGCCGATGGTTACAACCGCACAATTTCTGTTCCTTAGAGTGGTAGATTACACATGTTGCAAATGCGCTCTGAGACTGCATCTTTCAGGTTTTGTCAAATGAAAAGGCAGATAATTGAAACTCACAATCATGGCTGTACATTTGAAAGGGGTAAGGAGGTATTGAAACTGCCTGCTGATGAAAATGAAAAGGAGAAAAAGAAAACGCAAGATAGAAACATGATAAATCAACCCAACGGCATTTACACAACCATGTGACCAATCAAAAACGCCCCTAAACCCAGCCGCACTGAAAACTCCCAAGTAAACATCCAGGACTGATAGCTTCAAAAGGCTGAATCAAACCAATCCAGATTTTCTGTCCTTTTTCAAGGGTGAAAAACCTCCAAAGCCTGCGGCACCTCCAAGACTACCCCGCAGCGCGCCCTTTGGTCCTGCTAATCCTCCTTTCCCGAGGCCGAGACCTTTGGGACCTCCCAATAACGACTTTTTATTTGCTCGCACAGCTTCTCCGTCGTCTTCGTCGAATAAGGTCTTCCCACCTCCGAGCATCTTTCGCTTCTTTTTCTTTGGTTCAACTTCACTGTTGACCGTGATATTCATTGAACTCATATCCGTCTTCACCAGCTTCGAATCCATGACTTCACCAACTCCAGCTGGAGGGATATTCTCCTCGTTGCCTTCGTTTTCCGGACCATCTTCCAGCTCTTCTTCTGCGACCCCGTCAAGAGCTGGAGGAGCGAGTGTTCGTTTGCGGATGCCAGCCTTTGAGGGCTTCGAATTATTCGTCGCGGATGGCTTCGCAGTTTTTGAAACTTTTGGCTTCGTGGTAGTTTGCTTGCTGGTTTTCTTTGCCTTGGAGATGACAATCGGTGAATTCTCCTGCTCCTTTTCCAGCTCGGCAACTCTCACACTCTCTTCCTGGTTTTCCTGGTCCTCGTCGGACCCATCTTCCTCGTTATGAACGGGTGTGTCGGGCAAAATGCTCGCTGTGCGATTGAGGAAGGGTGTGATGGAGAAAGTAGACTTCTCCCCTGGCATGGCGGAGACTCTCCTTTCAGGTTTGTTTCCCTGGGTTGGTCCTCCAGGAGTGCCAATCATGGCATCAGTTTCGAAGTGAGCAGTGGCAGCCTTTCTGCCAGGTTTTGACATCTTCCCGCTCTTTTCCTCTTTAGCAGGACGCGTCGTAGATTGGGCGACTGTCAGCTTTGTTTGCTGAAGATCAGCTTGAGCTTCCTTGAGCTGCTCTTTTGTAGACCGTAATTTGGTGCGAAATGCATCCAATTTTGTCTCAAGCATACCCTCTTTGACCTCCCACTCGTACCGAGCCTTCTGAGCTTCTCTTTCGGCTCTTTGCCGTTCACGTTTCTCCTTGGAAAGCTCTTCTCGAGCCTCGTTGATCTTCGCCTGCAAGGCGGTGTCTTGCGCATCGGCTTTATCCTTTTTGGATGCCGCCCGCTCGCCAGCCCGTCTTTCCATACGTAACTCCTCCCGCAAAGAGTCGACCTCTTTCTGCACTGTCTGCTTTTCTTGCTTTTCTTTTGCAAGCTCGTCGCGGAGAAGCTCCAATTGAGCATAAATATCTGCGTCCTTTGCCTTGAGCTTCTCCTCCCTTGCCGAGATCTTCTCTATGGCACGGCGCTCCGATTCTAAACTTTTCCGTGCTGCGCTCAGTTCTCGTTCCAGAGACAATCTTTCGCGCTCTTCCTTCGTCATGCTTTGTCGAAGTTGTTCAATCTCCTCTCGCAGTATCAATACCTCATCCTGCAACTTATCCTTCTTTTCTTGGGCCAGCGCACGCTGGGTTGCGTTCTTCTCCGCTTCCAGCTCAACTTTTACCGTGCTTAATTCTCTTTGCAGAGCCAGCTTTTCAGCAAGAGAGGATTGGTGGCTAGCTGCCTGGGATCGGAGATGGTCAATTTCAGGCTTTAATGTTTCGAGCTCCCTCTCTAGGGAAAGCTTTTCGGTCAGTAGCTTCGTAGACTTTTTGGATGCTCCATTTAAGGATTCCAGTTCTGCCTATTTTCTCATAAGCTATCATTCTCTTCGGTCTGGAAAATATGGTCCCACCATTAGATTTTCTCGCTCCTGGATTTTCCCACGCAACTCAGCTTCGCTTTGTCGCAGCTTTCCCGTGAGCTCTTGCAACTGCTGACGTAGCTCTTCTGCTTGTCCATCTAATTCCTTGAATCGTTCATCGTTCTGAGCAAGTTTGCCCTTCAAATCGTCATTCTGGTCTTCCAGCAGGTGAAAACTAAGTCGCAGTCTCCTCTGTTGTTCTTCTCTCTCAATCGCGTCGACGTCTTTCGCTCGTCGCTCATACTCAAGCTCAAGTGTCTGCGTCTTGACAGCTTGTTGTAGCTGCAAGAGGTCGGTCAGTCGCATGGGTCAAACAGGATCAAATAAGAGAAAAACTTACTTCTTGGAGTCCTTGCTGCTCCATTTCTAATATCGGGTATCGCTTTGCAAAGTTCAAAGAATGAGGGAAACAACTTTTAAAGGCGACGGCCAATTCGAGAACCCTTGCGCCTTCGTCCAAAAAGCCTCCTATCCGTAATGTGTCTTTCCTGGGAGATGGAAATGAATTCTCCGCAATCACTTACTCAGATCTCTGAGCAGTTGGTCTTCTGCGTAATTACACAGGTCACGTCGAGCATGAATGGTACCTGTCGAGACCGTGATCAGGCAGACGCGTGATGGGTCTATAACAATCGGAACGAGGGAAGTAAACAAACGACTCTAATCGTCAACTCTTAGCGAACACCGGGTAACACTGCGTCATCCAGAAGAAGCTCCCCAAGCTACTTACGTGTACTGTATGTCGTCCTTCCCAGCACCAAGGGATTCTGATGATACTAACGGTAGTATTTCCTCCTAATTCTCATTCAATATCGGCGCAATGAGGTTTCTTAGAAGCTTGGCATTATGCCTTTTGCCATTGACAGCTTTGGCGGCCAAGAAGTCGACGGGCGATACTTTCCACGATTTCCACGCCCGCTCGTTGTCCTCAGCACCCATCAAGCTTAATGATGCGCTCTTCGATGAGCTCACCTCGACGCCGCGGGACTATACTACTGCGGTCCTACTCACCGCAACTGAGGCTCGCTTTGGCTGCCAAATGTGCCGCGAATTCCAACCTGAATGGGACGTTCTTGCCAAAAGCTGGGTCAAGGGTGACAAAGCCGGTGAATCGCGGGTAATTTTTGGAACCTTGGATTTCATCGACGGCAGAAATTCCTTTGCGAAGGTTTGTATTTAAGGTCTTGTTTTAATCGGTCTGAAAGGATGCTAATTGGACGGTTAGCTGATGCTCCAAACTGCACCTGTTTTGATGCTCTTCCCGCCGACGACTGGTCCCGATGCCAAGCTTGATGGCCAGCCTCTCCGTTACGAGTTCACAAGCGGGTATGTTAATATAATGGCAGCATCTTTTCGCTCAAATGTTGCTGACTTTTGTGTCCATTAGCCCCCAGACGGCAGAGACAGTCCACCGCTGGCTATCTCGTCACCTATCCGAGGGTCCAAGACCTCCAATCATCCGGCCAATCAATTACATTCGGATTATCTCTTTGACAACAATTGTCCTTGGACTCATTACCCTCTTTAGTGTCGCTTCACCTTATGTCTTGCCCATTGTACAGAATAGAAACATCTGGGCGGCTATCAGCTTGATCATGGTTCTTTTGTTCACCAGTGGACACATGTTCAACCATATCCGTAAAGTTCCTTACATTGCAGGCGATGGTAAAGGTGGGATCAGTTATTTCGCCGGAGGATTCTCAAATCAATTCGGCCTTGAAACCCAGATTATTGCCGCCCTATGTAAGTCTCATAATCCATGCTAATTGTCAAATCTCTCCGCTCTACTAATCACTATCATATAGATGGCATACTCTCTTTTGCGGCCATCTCCCTCGCACTCAAAGCACCTCGCATCGCCAGCGCCAAGACCCAACAGGTCGCAGTGATTGTTTGGGCAATCATTATGCTGGGAGCATACAGCTTCCTCCTAAGCATTTTCAGGACGAAGAATGCAGGATACCCGTTTTGGTTGCCTCCCTTCTAAGGAAGCAAAAGTTAGATTTCGCTTTGCAAATAAATTGAACGGAGATTGGCATTGTCAGCTCTACTTATACACCAAGAATTCACTGAATATTGAAAAAGTATATTCTCTCGCCAATAGATAAAAAAAATAAAAACAAAACAGAATTGTGATTTTGCAAGAGATTGATGCTAAATTGAGTGATTGAGGATGAAATAGCTTCGTAGATGTGTAGCCATGAACATGAAATTTTGTTCCAATACAGTTCTGTAATGTGTAGAAACACCAAATTAGACAAGCACATTGCTGATTCCGCCTGATAACATTGATAATATATTCGATGAATGTTGGTTTCGCTGGGAGAGGGTAGGCCCGAGGCAAGTGGAATATCATTAGTCCAGTAGAGACATCGAACGTGTCGGGAACGTTGACGAGGCCACCTAAACAAACCCCGAAAGGAACCCGCCATGGGGAAATTGTCAAAAGAAACCGCTGAATCCAATGTGAGCCAAAATGGCGAGAATAAAAATTTACTTTGGCGATCCGTACAAGGAGCGACATTTTTGATCCTCTTGCAAGTGGCGTCTCGGGCCCTTACCTTCATCGTCAATCAGATCCTCATACGTTTCCTCTCACCAGAGCTGGTGGGAATATCTACCCAACTGGAGCTCTATTCAATTTCAGTCCTCTATTTTTCAAGAGAGAGTCTTAGGGTTGCTCTACAACGACAGACACCTGCTAATGAGCGGGCGAAAAATGGCGTCTCCAAAGAAGAACCCGCCACAGGGGATGAGCGATCACCATCGAAACAAGGCGGTTCAAGCGCAAATAAGAATTCATATTTAGATGCCTTTTCCCCTGCCGGAAAAGTTCAAACTCTGGTCAATACTTCATACCTAGCCGTTGCTTTAGGCATTCCTTTGGCATACATCATTGCTACATTCTACCTCCAATCGGATAGTGCAAAGGTAGCATACTTTTCCGAATCTTTATCGCTCTATGGCCTGGCTACCGTGATCGAGCTCCTTGCGGAGCCGGGCTTTGTGGTCGCCCAGGAAAAGATGGTCTTCAAAATCCGAGCATCTGCAGAAACAACAGCTACCATTGCGCGATGCTTTCTGGCCTGTGGACTTGTTGTTTGGGCCAGCACCAACAAGCACGACATTGGAGTTCTTCCGTTTGCTGCGGGTCAGCTGAGCTATGCTATGCTCCTTAATATCACTTACTATTCTAAGCTATATGAAGCATCTTCCAGAGAGGGTTTCTCATTTCTGCCCAAGCCTCTGGCTTCTAGGTAGGTGATCGTGGCCGTATTGAGAGTCATTCTCCAGGACCTACTGACAACCCATGCCTAGCGAGAAATCATACCTCATCATGTCGTACTTTTCTCGGCCATTGTGTCTTTTGACGGGTAGCCTTTTCATTCAGTCAGCTGTCAAATACGTTCTCACGCAAGGAGATGCGCTGTTGATGGTGAGCTTGAGCTCTCTGCAAGAGCAGGGCGCCTTTGCCCTCGCATCAAATTATGGCGGATTGGTTGCACGGATGCTCTTTCAGCCAATTGAGGAGAGCAGCAGGAACTTGTTCTCAAAGTTGCTGTCGTCGTCTTCTCCGGATTCGAGATCATCCACGACCAAACAGCCTTCCACTGGCGTCGCCGGTAATCAAGACGCATCGCCTAGTGAAACTCATAACCCGCTTCGATCAGCTCAATCTATCCTTAACGATATCCTGAAGCTTTATCTATTGCTTTCTCTGGTAGCGTGTGCTCTTGGGCCAACAATTGCGCCGCTGTTGCTACGTCTCGTTGCCGGATCACGGTGGTCTAGTACAAGCGCCAGCTCAGTCCTCGCTACATATTGTTACTACATTCCACTGCTCGCGCTCAATGGTATCACCGAAGCCTTCATCTCATCAGTAGCTACAAGCAAGCAACTGCACGCCCAGTCTATCTGGATGTGCGGCTTTTTTGTCATCTTCGCCGGTTCCAGCGTCTTCTTTATGCGATTTCTCCAATGGGGCGCCGAGGGTCTCGTGTGGGCTAATGCCATTAATATGGTCATGCGCATTGTCTGGAGTTGGACCTTTATTCAGCAATATTTTAGGCAGAATGGCGAGAGCCTGGATATCAAATCGGTCCTTCCAAATGGTGGATCACTCGCTGCAAGTGTTGGTGCCGCAGCGGAACTGAAAATGCTCCAGGAAAGATCATTCGGTGGCAGCTTGCTAGAAGACTTGATCAAAGCTGCAGGAGTGGCCGGAATAATGGCGTTGTCCCTGTAAGTTCTGTCCGCGCTTTCACCTGTGTTCGTTCTTTCATTCAATTGTTGGCCTGATTCTAGACTTGAATCTCGGAGGCTTTCAAAGTACCACATATTACTCCAAACTAAGATACTAACAATCTCAGGGCTTATTTCGAACGTCATTATCTCATTCATTGCTATACCTTGCTTCGGCCAAAATCATAAACCTCAAATCAGGAAAAAAAAGAAAAACATACTCGGCTCCGCTCAAAGTAGCCTCACACGGACCATTTGCTTACAATTCAGAGCTTTCAATCAAGTAGAAATCATCAACGTTGAATTATATATATATCCTAACCAATAGAAAGACTTTTCAAGACCATGCCTGTTCCCATCTGTCTTTAAACAAAAAATAACTACAATCCTAATCTCCCATCTTGCCCTCTATATGATATCCTCTAGAATGCACCTTATGTTTTTGTCTCAAAAAAGAGTAAGAGCGCTCGCGATACTCTAGATGCTCGCTGTTTTTAGGTGTCTGCCATCTAACTTCGCTCTAGCAAATATCTCGCTGAGATATAGATTTTGACCCAAATGCTTCATGAGATGCAATATCCTCTACTGGTCCCTTGCTGGCAACAAATAATGGATGTAAGGGATTGTCTAATCATCAAAAGTAATCTTCTTCGCGGGCTTCATGTCCTCTGTATCTTTGAAGAAGGCACCGTATGCGTCGTGCGACTTCTTCTTGACCGTGGTGCCGAACTTGAGAAGCTCTTGCGGGACAGGCTGGTTGGCGGCTTTGAGGACGTTGATCAAACTAGGAAACCCGTATCAGTATATATGTCTTGCATTACCCAGCAATACTGTAGAAAAGAAAGGAAGGAAGGAAGGAAGGAAGGAAGGAAGGAAGGAAGGAAGTGTGACGGGGGATGACGTACGCTCCAGACTGCGCTTTGTCGTGTTCCGTGAACAAGGTGATTGCCGCGCCGTCTTGGCCAGCTCGTCCGGTTCTACATGTGCAAGCAAAATCGTTAGCTACGCTTTCTTTGAGATTATACGCTCGAGATAGGACACTGCGCTCAATAACGCGGTTGCGATTGAGATTGATGTGCATAAGAGGCAAAAAACAAAGATTGAAGAGGATTGAAGAAAAAGAAAAAGAGGTCGACGTACCTTCCAATACGATGAACATAATCCTCCACAGTCAGGGGAAAGGTGACGTTAATCACCATTTTGACGGCAGGGATATCCAGACCTCTGGCTGCGACATCCGTGGCCACGAGAAGTGGGACTTTGCCCTGCTTGAAGGCATCCAAACTGGATGTGCGTTGTTGCTGGCTCAAATCGCCATGGATGCCAGCGACACGCAGGCCCTTGGCGCGAAGGAAGTTCTCGACGCGGGTAGCTTCCTTTTTGTACAGGCAGAATACAAGAATGCGGTCGTCGCGCTGAGCGCCGGACTGGTGTTGCTTGAGCAGTTGAAGCAGGCGCTGCTCTTTGCCGCGGGGGTCAACGACCTCGACGGTCTGCGTGATGCGCGTGTTGGCGCGCAATTCGCCCGTGGGGTTGTCGCCAATGGTGATCTTGACGGGGTCGTTCATGAATGTAGCGGCGAGTTCACGAACAGATGGGGGCCAAGTGGCGGTGAACATGAGTGTCTGGCGGGCATTTGAAGCAGAAGTGGTGGAGATGATTTTGCGGATTTCTTGCTCGAAACCTGGATAATGTGGAAAAAAAACAAATTGTCAGCAGGTGGATAAGATACGTTTGATGTAGCGAATGAAAGAGAATTAGGGATGTGGGTAGGTAGGAATGCGGGTGAAAGTTAACTGACCCTTGTCCAGCATCCGGTCAGCCTCGTCAAGGACGACATAATTGACCTGGCTGAGATTCGCGGCGCCCTCGTCGATCAAGTCGTTCAAGCGTCCAGGCGTGGCGACGACAATGGAAGCGGTCTTCAAAGCCCTGCGCTGCTCCTCCTTGGGCACACCACCGTAGACGCAGACCACAGAGAGCCCAGCTGGCGTGGCCAGCTTGACCATCTGGTCGTTGATTTGCTGAGCCAATTCTCGGGTCGGCGAGACAATGACTGCCCTAGGGCCCTTGGACTTCTTCGATAGAGATGACACTGCGCGTATGCAGGGAACGCCGAATGCCATGGTTTTTCCGGATCCGGTTTCAGCGACACCAATCATGTCCCGACCAGAAAGCAGGAATGGCCACGACGCGGCTTGAATGGGTGTAGGAGCGCTGAAGTTCTTGAATGGCTCCCGCTCCGATTCATTAGTGACAGGGAGGTATGCGAAAGATACAATGGGTCTGAGCGGGGCGGAGGCCTTAGGGTCCGTCACGGCAACAAAGTGTTTCGAGAGGAAGGAGTCAATCTCTGACTGCGGCAGAGCAGTCAAGGCTGGATCCTCGCGATAAGACTCGGACGAGGAACCGCTGGGCTTGGCAAGTTCGCTCGACGGGACTGCAGAAGTCTCCTTGGACGTTTTAGAAGACTCAACTTCCATTGGCGTGGTCGAGCCTGTTGCTACAGCGCTGGAATCGGTTGCACTCTCTTTCGCATCCTTCTTGGCGCGCTTGGAAGCCTTCCGGGCTTCCTTCTCTGCCTTGCGCTTCGCCTTTTCGGCCTTCTTCTCGCTCTCGGCGTCAGTAGATCCAGCTACTTCAGCACCGGCCTCCTCCTCATTTCCAACTTTGGGGGTGCTCTCTCCAGAGGCCGCGGCAGCTTCGGCCTTCTGAAGCTTTCTGAGGCGCTTCCGCTCCTTCTTGGCTTCCTTGTCCTCTTTCTCGGTCTTCTTGTCTTTCTTCTCGACCGCACTGGCGTCGGTCATTGAGACATCCTCAACAGTGTCCTCGGGTTCAGTTGACGCGCTCTTGCTCTTGCTCTTCTTGCTCTTCTTGTCCTTGTCCTTGCGGCTTTTCTTGCTAGCAGGAGCGTCGCCGTTCAGCATTTCCGCGGCATCGACGTTTCCCGCATCGGCGAGTTCTCTAACACGCTTAGCCATTTTGTTCAAAGGGCTGTTTGTGGAGGAAAAATGATAAATCCTTTGGCCGCTCTCGATCGGCACAATTTGTGGGATTGATTTTCTCCAGATTTGCCATTTTCTTTTTCCCCAAAGGCCCGATCACCGACGACCCTTAACCCATTTAGGATGGATGGGGTCTTTTCGGCTCAGGGTCTTTAGCGGAGATTTCCCTTCTTATCTTATCACTGATTTACTACTCTTTCACCACCATGAGGAACAACAATTGTAAGAAGCAAGGCAATTAATAGCCTTGTAAATATACAGCGAATTTCTCTATAAAGAAATTTTTTAAATGAACTCACGGAGAGCAATTTAAAAATAATCCAGTACGTTTCCATAGGTATCAGGGAAATGGCAATTTCGATGTTGAAAAAAACAATACAGATTAATATATTGCGTGACGAATAAAACATAACACGAAATATGGAATACTTTCATTTTATGTCAAGCACCTCAGTATCTTGACAAACATAAATATCATTTATAAGAACAACACCAAATCACACAGATTCAGTCAACAGTACATATGATTTTCCCCCTTGTCTGATTGCTTTCCATCAATTTATGCGCCTCGACAATCCTCTCAAAGGGGAGAACTTTCTCAATATAAACCTTGAAACTGCCATCAACAAATTTCGGCAACGCGTGGTCTTGCAACGTATCTCTGAGACGGCCCTGATAAGCTTCGTCGCGACTTCGAAGAGTACTACCTTCAAAACGCAGGCGTTTGGCGACAAAAAGTCCAATATCCACCGGTCCGTCTGTCCTGGTACCACTCATCATGCCCAAAGAAACGATGCGCCCATCCCTCGCACCGGCAATGAGATCTTGCTGGAAGTAGCTCTGTCCGACTGGATCGACGATAATATCTACCCCTTTTCCGTTGGTCGCCTGGAGAAGAGCCTGTGCCCAGTCTCCTGACCGATAATTAAATCCGCCGGTAGCGCCGAGCTCCTTCACACAGAAGTCAATCTTCTCCTGTGACGAAGCCGTCACGTAGATGGCAGACGCCCCGTCAGCCTTACTCAGTTGAATTCCTGCAATAGAGACGGCAGAGGCTCCAGCGTGCCAGAGGATGGACTTCCCTCGGCTGTATTCGCCCACGAGATACATGGCTTGCGAGGCTGTTATCCACGTCTTTAGATATTAAGACTGCTCGTTAGCTTTGTTGATGGGTTTGTCGAGGGCCACGCGTGCAATTTTCAGTAAATGGATGTTAAAACAACGTACCTCTGGGATGCCTGCAGCTTGCTCCCATGAGAGAGATTTCGGTTTGTGGAGTAACATATGTGTAGACACAGCAACGTACTCAGCATAGGCGCCTGTACATACAATAAATCAGTGTGATTGGTAAAATTGCGGGCACCTTCCAATATCATTTGAATAGACAAGGAAAGCAATGGGAAGGAAAAGCGATGAAATATGACATTACTAACCGCCATATGCTAGTCCAAAAACCTCGTCGCCCACTTTGAATGACCGTTCGGCATCCTCGTTTGTCCGACTCTCGATGATGCCGGAAAACTCGACGCCCATTGTAGCTGGTGCTTGTGATGGCACGGGGTATTTGCCTTCCCGCTGTAACAGGTCCATACGGTTCAATCCGAATGCTTTGACCTTTACAATTACCTCAGAACCTTTGGGAACAGGTTTGGGTATGGTGTCCACAAAGAGAGCATCGGCAGGGCCAGACCCATTCTTGATACCTGTAAAGTCAAGTAAGCATACTTACCACAGTGAACGAAAGTAGCAGACATTGAAGGCAAATCAATAATTTCACATTGACAAGCAAACTAGTCAATGAGCAAAATCATGACTGGAGTATTACCAATTGCACGCATCGTCTCTCCCATTTTTGTACTTTAGTTCCCAAAGCTTTCGAATATAGAAGGAAATGACAAAGCTGTCTATGTGACGAATTGTAACCTCTGCTGAAAGTGTAGTAGGACTATCGATTTTCACCCTCAAATTTTAGATCTCAGTAAGTATTACTAAAGATTGAACAAGGAGTCACAAAGAGATTTGTTGTATATTCCGGGCAAAGTCAAGATGCGATCAATTCATGTAAAATTTTTTTTTTGATTGGCCTTCCTCGGATTTAAATTTTGGCCTAATTCTAGGCAACTTTAGCGATGATCACATCCGCGTCATGAGGGGCAAGTCGTGACGTTGTCCCTCGGCTTTCATCTGTCATCTGTCTCAATTAAGTAGATTATTCATCTATGGCTACAGAGGCAAGGAGTTGGCTATCTAAGGTAGGTAGGTAGTACTGCAACCATCTACCCTATCCAATTGCAGGTAAATTATGAGCTGCAAAGCATCCGCCTCGATCTCCCCTAGCAGCCAGGGAGCAAAAGCTACCTAGCGGATTACCGAGGTTATTTCGGTGAACCATGTGTTAGCTAAACAAACGAAAACATCGGTCTCTGCATTCATGTAGTTTTTTTGATTAACTTACCATATTCCGAGAGTGTAAAGAGAGTAACCAGTAACCTCAAAAGCGATTCTCGATTCAATACCAGCTAAGATTATGGTCTGCAATGGCTTAGTAAAAGAGATACTGTTGTATTTGAAGTAATTAAATATTAAAACATTTTGAGAAGATTGACATGAGCTCAATATTGAGAAACAATTGCCGCCTTGTCATTGCTCTAGCTAAAGTGCTTCTTAAAAAATCTCAACAGGAAAGAGCAAAGCGAAACCAAATTGAGTACAACATTGCCTATGTTAAAACGTTATTCTACGAGATCCAAACGCCTACTCCCATTTACATCTAATGATGCTGCCCAAGAAATTTGTCGATTAGCCGTAGTATGCATAGTTATAGTCTTCCGTGTCGTAGAGTTGAATGATGCTGTTCAGCCTTTCGGATTCAGCAGCGAGATTCAACGGATTGGCAAAGGAGACTTGATATCGAACCCTGAAAAGTAGGAGAAACGTTGAATTAGTATTACAAGCTCACAAATTTGAATCCTGATACGCAGGCCTGCATTGACGTACCTCTGTTGATCCTGGAAATTGTCCATTTTCGCTCTGCACTTGAACACCCATGTACGACAATTGGCTTCCTGAAACACTTCTTCGGCAGCCTTCTCGTCACTTTCCCGCAGCGCCATCAGCTGATCCGCACTCATTCCAATTATCATCCGTCCAACATCGTCAAAACAATTGAGCCAAATCTGACCCGTGTGATCGCTGACGTTCAAACTCAGAATATATCGATACTCGGGCCGTGGGTACGATTTGTCGCATCGCTCACAACGCCATTCATCGGGCGAGACCTCGAAGACCTTCTTGTTGCATCCTTCTGAGAGGCAGGCGGGGTATGCTATGTTGTCCTGCTTGACATATATGACAGTAGCCTTGGTAGTGAAATAATCCACGCTCTCAGAGTAACCAAGCTGCTCGTCTCGAATCTGAGCGATGCTTTTGTATACTTCATTGCGGGAACCTGCGCCCCCTGTTGCGGCAGCTAGCGAAGCATGCGACATGAAAGAGTCGGCGTGTCCTTGAGCATCGTACCATCCCTTCAGTCGATGCGCTTCGTCAATGTCAGGATCCACGGTCATGGAGCCGGAGCTTAACAAGCTCAGACTTCGGCCACCAAAATCAGAAACTTTGACACCTTTGAAAGCAATTACAGAGTCAGGTTGCACATCGAAATTTGTCGCGGTTCTACCCCAAATGGTCAAGCGGACAGAGAAATTAGTGTTGTCAACCAAGGTAAGGTCGCGTTTATCATAAGGTTTGCTCGTGGTCTTGGACACAATCTGAGAAACCTCGCCAACTTCTTTCAATACGCCAATGGTATCAATGGTGGTATCCTTTTCGACCGATTGGAGGTCTCCGATGTTGGTGAAGTTGAACCGTACTTGTGGAATGCTGTCTTGGTCTTCAGACTTCTCGACGACAGTCTCTCGCTCGAAAGTCAGTTCATAGTCGTTGTTCAGATTGGTAAATTGCTTCTTGGCCAAGTTAACGCGGCACGGACTGCTAATGTAATAAACGCAGCCTTCCTGAAACAAATCGTAAAACATGTCACACTGGTCATTAAAACCAGTCGCCTTGATCTCACCACTGTCGTCGAGTAGGTTGACGCTGAATAGCTTGCCTTCACCATTCTTGTTGTGCCATGTTTTAATGTCGGACTTGTGAGTGACACGAGCTTTGATGGTCCACTTGTGTCCGTATGGAGAAAGTGCCTCGATGGGATAAACATTTCCGTGGGAGAAAGAGGGACCACTCGAGGCGTGAGATTGTTGGACGCGGCTGGGGGCTTGATTGTAAGGGGCCGACACGTTTCCGTAGAAGCCATTGCTTGATATCACGGTTGGCTGCGGTGCGGCCTGTTCCGTTGGAGCAGGCTCCAGAGGTCTTGGCTCCCCCATCTTCTCGCACTCCCCATACTGCTCCAATACGTCCAAGTCTAACACGATAATAATCCTGTCTGGGTTAGCTTCTGCGGAAGGATACTCGTAAAGTGCCGTACTTTTTTCCTTTCACTTGGTTGGCTTGAAATGACTTCAGCCGACAGATTACACCCTTTCTGAGCTTTCCTTCATGAACGACATAATTCGCCTCTTGGAAATAGTCAATCAATCAACGTTATATGATCAATGTGGTCATGGAACCGAACGTACGAGTAGCAAGCATGCTTTGCACAAAATTCTGAATATCACTGAAGACTACCCGGTACCGCTCCGGAGAGCCCGGTTGCCCGGCAAGCGGCTTTATCTGCACACATTGAAGAATAGGATTCGCAACCGCATATTCAGGATTGTTCCCGCCGTCGAAGATTGCGCTAGACGCAGGAATAGTCAGTGCCCGCAGCCAAAAGTGTTACTCCACCGAGAGAAGAACCTACTTTAGGGATCCTTGATCGATAATCGACGCTGCATCGGCAGCCATTTTGTACCAAGAACGATTGTTGCTGATTGCAAGTCGAGAGGAGTGCAGTGTCTGGTCCTGTGGCAAGTCTGCTGAGGACGTGTTTTTGATTTGGGAGACGCGAAGGGTTCGCGTTAAGTGCTCTCGTGCCGCGCTAGGCCCAACGCGGTAATAAGATAGGCTGCCTCACAACGCGGGGGCCCGGAAGCTTACCAAGCTTCATAAAAAAAAATCAATAATTCTTCACTAATAATTATGGAGGATCTATTTTGCATTGTCAGCCATTCTATATTTTGAAGGGAAATCAGAGCGAGGCTCTCAGCAACTTTGTTTTGGTAAAATATTAGAAGCAGCACCATAGCATGGATAAAATGCTAAAAAGTACTTTAGATACTTCGGTGCAAACAAACCCCCACACCTCGCACGAATCCGGTGTTTTGCGGAACATTTTACTTCAGGCACCAAACCTCGCTAAGTGGGGGAGCTCATTTGTGACGTCTGTTCAACCCGTTCCTTTGCGTATCGTATTTTGTACCTTCCTGGACCATCTTGCGATATTGTGCCTTGAAGCATGAGTTGTACGCACGTTAACGCTGCAGGTTTGTGCGCTCTTCCTTATCGTATTTGTGATAGAAGCTCATTATTATTCAGAACTTAGGCCTCCAGGGCCTAACCAGGCAGTGTACCGCGAGGACTGTACGCAGTGTTTTGATTCGATTGTGAGCTGCTTTCATGAAGTTGCCAAGTACTACACAGAGATACTGACATGTTCTTCAAGGACGATCCTACAGGTCTTAATGTATGTCTCTACTGTTTCAACGGTGGGTGCACGGCAGAACGGCGCCACGCCTTATTACATTATGAAACAATCAAACACCCTCTCGTGCTCAATGTCAAGAGGACGCGAAAACATGTCAAGGTAAGTCTTGAAGCCTTGCTTTAGCCGGTTATGTCTTTGCTTGGGATTTATCGAGCTCAAGCTGATCCGCGTACTTGCAAACCTAGCGTGATGAACCTCCACAGAAGATAACAAAGCTCGCTATCGCCGCGGAAACAGAAGCCGATCGCTACGATACTCAGCTGCAAGTGAACTGCTACGAGTGCGGCGTGAGTGACATAGATCAAGCTCAGGGCAGACTTCCTGCAGTGGTAGATGGTGTTATGAAAGCCATGACCTTTTCGCGTCAGGAAGAGGTCAAAGCGTGGGAGCAGGAAATCACACCGTGCGAGCATACTCTATGCCTGCAGCAGGAGCAGTCTAGGCAAATCGCTTCTCAAGGTCTGAAAGTCATTGCATTATCTTGCTAAAGAGGGGATGCTGACATTCTTTGTTTCAAGATTTGGGTCATTGTTCGATGTGTGATCTCAAGGAGAATCTTTGGCTTTGCTTGCAGTGCGGCAAGCTTGGATGCGGACGGGCTCAATTTGGTGGCGTTGGCGGCAATTCGCATGGCCTTGCTCATGCAGATGCCACAAATCATCCGGTCGCAGTAAAATTAGGGTCCATCACGCCAGAAGGGACTGCCGACATTTACTGTTACGCCTGCAATGATGAACGAACGGATCCAGAGCTCGCTGCACATCTGGCCCACTGGGGCATCAATATTGCTGAACGAGAAAAAACTGAGAAGAGTCTGACGGAAATGCAAATAGAGCAGAACCTGCGATGGGAGTTCTCCATGACAACAGAGGATGGGAAGGAATTGAAGCCGGTATTTGGGCCAGGCTTGACGGGCTTGAAGAATCTTGGAAACAGCTGCTATCTTGCCAGCATTCTTCAATGTCTATTCGCATTGCCGGTATTCAGGGAAAGATACTTTTCCCATGTCGATCTCGCTCCGGCCGCGTCTAAGCCCGCTGAAGACCTGGAAACTCAATTGCGTAAATTGGCCGACGGTCTCTTGTCTGGACGCTATTCTCGCCCCGATTCGGATGTGATTGCATCAGAACACTCTGCTGAGGTTCCCTATCAAAAAGGATTGGCTCCGGCCATGCTCAAGCACTTGATTGGCAGGGGTCATGAAGAATTCTCGACGATGAGGCAGCAAGATGCTTTTGAGTTGTTGATGCATCTTTTCAAGCTGATTACCCGTTCCTCCCACCCAAAACCTTTGAACGATCCGATTCAGGATTTCCGCTTTGTGATGGAACAGCGTCTACAATGTCTGACCTGCAAAAAGGTGAGATATCGAACCGACGAAGTGGAAAATCTGAGTATTCCGGTCCCGGCTCGTAAAGTCTCAAGAGGGGCAGAGCAGGACACTGAGGGAAAGGATGAGTACGAGTCAGTATCCTTAAAGGAATGCCTCGACACCTTCACTGCCGAGGAAATTGTCGAGTTCAAGTGCCCCTCATGTGGCAGCCAAGACGGTGTCAGCAAACGTTCACTTTTCAAAACCTTTCCCGCTGTGCTGGCGGTCAATGCCCGCCGTTTTCAGTTGGTTAACTGGGTACCCACCAAACTTGACATACCAGTCGTGGTTAATGATGAACCATTTGAACTCGACGAATACTTATCAAAGGGACTTCAAGCAGGGGAGGAAGCATTACCCGAGGATGCTGACGATAAAAGCGGCGCCTCCAGCTTCACTCCAAATGAGGCTGCACTATCCCAGCTTGAAGCCATGGGGTTTCCCCGTGTTCGTTGTGAAAAGGCTCTTCATGCGACTGGCAATACTGATGCGGAGGTTGCAATGAACTGGCTCTTTGAACACATGGAGGATCCTGACATTGATCAACCGCTTGACCTTGGTGGCTCTACCGGGGCTTCCGTGAATCCCGAGCAGGTCGACATGCTAGGAAGCATGGGATTCAGTGCGCCGCAGGCTCGCAAGGCTCTTAAGGAGACAGGCGGGAATGTGGAGCGAGCGGTCGAATGGCTATTCAGTCATCCCGATGACCAGGGTGATTTTGGCGATGGAGCAGGTTCTTCGGAAGAGCCAACAGGTGCTCTAGAGAAGCCGCTCGCCGGTAGTGGGGACCTTCCCGCCAGGTTTCAACTTCAGTCAATCGTCTGCCACAAGGGCGGGTCAATTCACGCAGGGTAGGTGACCTTGAGGCTTTCTATAGATCATGTAACCATTGGGATGCTAATACTATCGCTAGACACTACGTTGCATTTATTCGCAAGGAGCTTCCGGATGAGATTGGCAAATCATGGGTATTGTTCAACGACGAAAAAGTCGTCAAGGCGGTTGATGTGGACGAGATGAAAAAATTTGCATATGTGTATTTCTTCCGGCGTATATGAGATAGAATGGAGCAATGGCGGGGGGAGCGTTTCAATGTAGTTGACTGGTGTACGGGAGAGAAAATGTGTAGCGGGATAGCTGAACAAACTAATCAAAAGAGCAAGACTTTGAGAGTTTCGTTTCTCTCCATCTGCCCAATCTTCTAATAAATCGAGATGCGCCGTGTGCACAAGCAAGATAGCTTTTCATGAGTAAGGGGTGAAAAGGGTCGATTATGCACAGCAAATATATCATTGGGCTACAGCTCAGTTATGACGTTAACAGAGTACTTGTATCATTTTTCTTTTGGTGGGTGGCTAGAACTAGATGGATCGAGCGGATCTGTCAGCTACCTTAGGGAGGTGGAAAGGGTACAGAGGTACATTTGACGCATCAATTACGCTTTTCGTCTTCCGCGGCAATTTTCTGCTGTGGCGAAACAAATCAAAGGGCGAGCGTTAATCAGTGGATCTGATTACCCCCGCGGACTTGCAGTGGGGCTTACGCACGTGATCTCGGTTTTATCTCTCTTGGATCCGCTTGATGGACCCCCGAGTCCGAGCTCGCGTCTCTATTGGTGGAAAGCTCTCTGGTTGATCAAATCGTCACTGCACACCCTCCACCATCTTCACTCTTCGCTCCCATTTCTTCTTTCGCCCTCTCGCCTTTGCTCGACTTTCTTACAACCCATCTACCCACCAATCCATCAAAGCTCACTATCAAACAATCCATCAATTCGAGTCGATATTCTTCATCCATTCCATCATCATATCTTCAGCCATGTTTAGCAGAACTATTGCGACCGCTGCACCTCGCGCTGCGGGCCGGGTTTTTGCCTCTGCTACGCGCCCCAGCATGATTGCACCTCTTCAGCGTTCGGCTCCCGCAGCTGCCGTCTTCCAGACAAGACGAAGCTACCATGAGAAAGATAAGTGTCCCATCTCGACAATTGGTCCCGATTAGCCTTAGATGAGTCTGGTTGCAATATTTTCCACTCGCATTTTGAGAGACGATATTTCAGCCAGCTCAAGTTGCCCATTGATATTCCGCGATATTATCCCCATCATCATCTCTTTCGAACGCTCAGCTAACATTTACATTACTGCTCGACCACTACAGTCGTCCTCGCAATGTCGGATCGATGAACAAGACCGATACCGATGTTGGAACGGGTTTGGTCGGTGCCCCGGCATGTGGCGATGTTATGAAGCTCCAGATCCGGGTCGACCCGAAGGACAACACTATTAGTGAGGTCAAGTTTAAGACTTTTGGCTGCGGCAGTGCAATTGCAAGCTCCAGTTACCTCACTGAACTCGTTCGTGGCATGAGTCTCGAGGATGCCGCCCGGATCCGAAACACCGAGATTGCCAAGGAGCTCTGCTTACCTCCCGTCAAGCGTGCGTTTCCTTTCAACTACCAAAATTTCTATTTTTGCAATATTGTAGCTAACCTTTGAACAGTGCACTGCTCTATGCTTGCCGAGGACGCTATCAAGTCGGCCATCTCCAACTACTACACCAAGAACCCCAAGACTGCCACAACTAACCTCGGCGGCACTGGCGCTGCGATGCCCAAGATCGAGGTTGAGACCGTCAAAACCACCGACAGCCAGCCGAGTGCTTAAATTAATCGGTTTCATCTGAATATTTTAAATTGCATAAGGCTGCTGTAGAAATTGTTTGGTGGTTTTTGGCTTTCTCATGTGATTCCCATACGAATTTGCGGTTCCCTTTTTCTCACTTCTTTTTTTCACAAGTACGGCGCAGAATAGCTCGAGGCTTTACTTCAGCGGTTCAATTTGACTATTTTCTACATCCTTATGTTATTGCTCGGCTTTTCAATGCTACGATTTCTGGGGCATAGTATGAATTTGCCCGGTGGGGTTAGGCTGGAGTCGAAAAAAGGTGTCGGTGGCTGTGGCGACATCCAGTCTCTTTAAGAGTTGTGAAAAAGATTGGTATTGCTTTCCATCGGAGTGGTCGTTGTGGTGTTGTCGATGAGGAGTGGCCATCGTTAAATCGATATGATGGGGTCGGCGTATCAAATCTCTCTTATGACCATAAGCTTTATATTTATATTCCATTTGCTACGAGCTATCTTGGTTCATTGTGTAAACTATTTCTTTCGATAAATGTCAAAATTTATTTCGACAATTCTTAAGATAACTGTCAATATGGAACAAGAAATGTTTCTGAATAAATGGCAAGGCAAAGGTGATTCATTTTGTTCTTTCGACAATAAAAAAGGCATCTCAGTCGAGTACGAAGATTTTTTTGAGTGAATAGAGAATCCATGGAGCTTAAGGTGAAATAAAATAAAATGAAATTGATTTCCAGGGCTCCGCTGGTAATATGCTAGTGTAATGCATTTTAGTAAAGACAAAGAGACCTATGTTTGCTTCGTGCTCGCTAGTACTCCTCCATTAGATCCTCATCCATGGGCATCTCTTCCCAAGGCGGTTCTGGGCCAGAACCTGGCTGATCCTTGGTACCCATACCTCTTCTGGATCTGCGCGAAAAATCAACAAAGTCCTTTCGCAAGCTCATGCGTACATCCATTTCCTTGACCTGATCTGCCAGCGCGAGAACTCGAGCAGTGGTCTCCTGAAGCTCTTGAAACTGCTCTTCTTCAGACACGGCGAGCGGGCCAGTCGTTGAGTCAGACGCAAAGCATAGCACTGTGTTTGACGGTTGCTTCAGTTCAAGTCCGTCATTCGATGTGGCCGGGGGTTTGCTATCTCGACATTCAAGTGAGGCGTTGAGATGGCGGTCTCTGATAAGGGACAAAATGTACTCTTGCGCTCTAGCTGGATCAGCTGGAAGAGCAGAGGTGAGCTGGCCGACTTCTTCGAGCGATAATGCAGAATAAATTTCCTCCAGTTTGATGATTGCATAGCGCCTGCGCGACTCGAGAAGCTCGAGGGTGAGCCCTTCGTTGGAGTCCTAACATCATTATATCAGGTCAGTGATTTTGAGAGAGCGATATTAAATTAGTTTCGGCGGTCTCGAGCAGGAAGAATCAGAAAAGCAATTGACGTACCGTTTGCCATATCTCCTTTCCCGCCTCAATTTCAGCTATCAGCTCATCTATGGAACCCTTGAAATAGGTGTCGACCAGGACATCGTAATGCCTGGCTGCAGCTCTATAGGCTTTCGCTGCAAGATGCGAGGTAGCTCTTGGCATTGTCTTGGCCTATCCATCGCACATGATTAGACTGCACTCTTGTATCAGATAATATTAAGACTGTTCCAACTCACATCTCCGCCCGATAGTAGACGAACTAGAACCCATCTCTTGTATGCTATTACCATCAAATTGCTCACAGCATTGTCAACCGGTGCCATGATGATGGAAGCGAGAGTTATCTCAGCCTTTTCCCATTGTCGAAGCCCAATGTAGATCTGCGCACACCAAAGACTATATTGTAAAAACTCTTGGTAAGTCACTGCCCCAGTCAGACCAGAGCCGGTCGTAATCGTAAGAAGGGCGCCAGGCCGAATTTCATTTATGGAAGCCTGAATAGAGACTGAAGGGATATAGTCTTCTGGCGTATCCGGGAAGTGTCTTATTATGTTATCAATGACGGGAAGGGCTGGCGGATATGATCCACCCAGTAAGCAGAGCTGTGCGAAGAGATTGTGATTAGACGTATAGGTTGAGGCTGTTGGATCGAGCCGGAGAATGGCTGTCTGAACTGGATCAATGGCCATCGCAGGCTGGCGCAGGCTGTTAGAAACAGTAAGAAGGTCCATTGACTGGGGGGACACCTACATTGTTCCAGTAGATAGCAGTATTTGTGGCCGTCTCCAACACTCTGCGCCACTCCAGCCCGGCATATCGCACCTGTATGGGATCGAATTGCTCCAAAAACTCGACGATTTTCGGCCAGAGTTTCCAATCAGGCAGGACCAGAGATACGCCAGGCCGCGCGCTATCCTCTGGGCTTAATGCAACAGCATGGATATGAGCGAGGAGAGTGTAAAGGTAAGGTATCGTGTGTCTAGAAGGAACGAAAACCTGTCGAGGAGCAAGAGTGTTAGCACCAAACCGCTACAAGGTGAAAGAACAGGACAAAATTGCTGCAACTCACGTTGAGCAGGTCGCCGCCGCCAGCGACCCCTCCTAGAAGTAGATTTGCTGGTGTCTGGTTGAGGATCTGGAGTATAGTCTTGATCTGCTTTTCATATTCTGCATCTGGTAAAGGCTGCGTTGGGGGCGGATGTGGAGGAAACGCCAGTAGTTGTGACAAAAGGGCCTCCATGTTGACGGTAAGGTTCCTTGCTAAGAAGGCAGTAGGTGAGTAGCAGGGTTCAGGGTTGGATTTAGAATGGGCACTAGAAGTTCGATGTAAAGAGATGACAACCACGTTTGTTCCAGTTTCGTTCAGTTCCGCGATAGAATTTGAGGAAGACCAGTCCCAAATGTCGACAACTTTCACCCGCGTTCAGTAACTGGCAGACACGGCTCCCTGGTAGAGACGTGAAATGCTCCACGCAATGGCTTTGACGAGTACCGTTGGCTTGGGCCGAAACATGAGTTAAGAGACAAAATCATTCATCATCATCGCAGCTCTAGTCTTAATTGAGAGAAAGTGAGGGTTGAGATAATTAGCGTAGCTTGTCTAGCTCAAGTTATTGGAATAGAGTCGTATGCCTCGCCCGTCATCAGCCTAAACATTATAGTGAATTAGCATAAGGGATTACCCAGCAACCACATCATTAGATAATAGTGATAAGATTAGATTCTCACTGATAACCATGATGCATCGGATCGTTAGTTCGCCACACCGTCCCCTTCGGTCCCGCCCTCCGATTGTCGTTTTGAACTTTTGACTCAAAAGCTCATTATCGCTTTCTGCTCACACATCGCGGGGTATCAATTGCCCAAACAAATTCTTTTCTTTCTCTCTCCTCACAAATAAGGTACTCACTCTTGGAAACAATTTTTTATATGCCAAATTCACCCTTTTCTGATCGCCAGCTTTTCTAATCCTCCCGTCAAAGATCACCGATCATGTCTCTCACGAATGCAACCCCTCTTGAAGTTGCGCAGGCCGCATCTTTATCTTCCCGAACCCTTGCTGTCCTCCCAAATGACGCACGCAATGAGGCATTGACTTCGATTCACAAAGCTCTCTCAGATGCAAAAGAAGAAATTTTGGCAGCGAACGCTCGAGACCTGGAAACAGCAAACAAGGCGGTTCTCAATGGAGAACTTAGCCAAAGCGTTCTCAAGCGTCTAGACCTGGGCCGCAAGGGCAAATGGGAGGACATGCTGAAGGGCATTCTGGATGTCCGAGACCTTGAAGATCCGAGTACGTTCAGACAATGTCACAAGAACAGGAGCTACTTTGGGAAATCTTGGCTAACTGGAAGGTCTAATGCGCAGTGGGCAAGGTCACACTACGGACGCTGCTTGATGACGGCCTGACTCTTGAGCGAGTTACTTGCCCAATCGGTGTCCTTCTGATCATCTTCGAGGCGCGTCCCGAAGTCATTGCCAATATTGCTTCTCTGGCCATTAAGTCGGGCAACGCCGCAATTCTGAAGGGTGCGTACATCTAAACTTCTCATTATATGTCTTCATGTGTTACAGAATTGACAGTCTATTCCCAACAGGCGGCAAAGAATCCACCGAGTCCTTCGTCGCAATTTCCACCGTCATCTCACAAGCCCTGGACACAACATCCGTCCCCAAAGGCTCCATTCAACTCCTCAAGACACGCGACGTGATCCCATCTCTACTTTCGCTTGACCGATATATCGATCTTGTTATCCCCAGAGGCTCAAATGACCTCGTGCGGTACATTAAGAATAACACTCGAATTCCGGTTCTTGGCCACTCGGATGGCATTTGCCATGTCTATATTCACGATGATGCGGACAAGGACACCACTGTCAAGGTTGTAGTCGACTGTAAGACGGATTACCCTGCCGCATGCAACGCAGTGGAGACGCTTCTTGTCCATGAACATGTTTTGTCGACAGTCCTCCCTGCTGTTGCGGAAGCTCTCTTAGCTAAGGGTGTTTCCCTGCGATGCGACGAACATTCTAAGGCTGCTCTAGCTGCTGCTCTTCCCAAGCACCTCGCAGTGCTGCTGCAGGACGTCTCAGAGGCGGACTGGGACACTGAATACACGGACCTCATTCTCTCGATCAAGACCATCCCTACAACAGACTCTGTCTCAAAAGCCATTGATCATATCAACAGACACTCTTCACATCACACGGATGCGATCCTGACTACGTCCGAAGAGACTGCCAACAAGTTTTTGGCGGGCGTGGACAGTGCTGACGTCTTCTGGAACGCAAGCACGCGCATGGCGGACGGCATGCGCTTCGGATTTGGCACGGAGGTTGGCATCAGCACGAATAAAATTCACGCCCGAGGTCCTGTAGGTCTGGAGGGTTTGATGGTCTACAAGTACCTGATCCGGGGAAATGGCCATGCTGCTGGGGATTATTTTGAGGGCGAAGGAGGAAAGAAGTGGAAGCATCAGCGTTTGGCATTCTAGATTACCCCCCTTATACCTAAAAGTTGTAGAGTGTGCGTGACACCACAGGTCCTACTGTAATAATAAAAGTCTTTTCTGGAACATTTGGCTGAGAAGCAACCATTTAATGCATCCACTCAAAAAATCCAATGGGTCTTTGTATGCGATCGATAGCACTTCTCAATGGGCGGTCACAGGTATCGGATCAGCGGAATGGAGAATATTTGTAGGACCGACATCGGACAACATTTTGAATTCATAGCTGCTAGTCTGGGTACATGGGAACTTGTCCTTTCCGAGTCTCGATAAGCAAGTATGAAAAGAATCATAACCTTCCCTGTCCCAACGCCTCCTAGCAAGGTCAAGACAACGGCTTTCCTCCGACTGAAGTCGTCGCTTAGACCTTGAAACCCCGCGACCGTCTCCGGCCACGAGCACGCTCGAACTTCCGACCCTTGCTCTCGACGTAGGGTTTCTAAAAGGATAATCAGCCTCTCGCAAAACTTTGTAAAACCATCCAAGTATAGAATTCCGACGCACCTTGTGGCTGTGGGGGCCGAAACCGAAGTGCTTGACAGCCTCACGGGCGTTCTTGGGGCCTCTAAGGAGGAGGGTGTTGGCACCGGTGGGGGCACGTTGAGCGAGCTGGTCCAAGGTCAAAGTCTCACCACCGGCAGCCTCGATCCGGGCACGGGCGGTGGTGGTGAAGCGGAGGGCAGCAACGGAGAGCTTGGGGATCGTCAAGAGACGGTTGTCATCGGTGACAGTGCCGACAACAACAACGGTCTTGCCCTTGTGGGTCTCACCGGCCTGTCTGCTGGCGGCGTTGGCGACAATGCGCGACAGCGACACGGGGGGACGGTTGATCTTGGACATAAAAAGGCGACGGAGGACAGCCTTGTTGAAGTCGGAGTCGGTACGGCCTATTCAAGACGAAACTTTTTAGTCTTCTTTGATTTCCCGGGTTTCGTTGTCTTTGTCAATCGAGGTTCAGGCGGGTCTAAACGTACGGGCAAGGAAGCGGTAAAGCTTCACCAAGAGCTTAAGGTAGGGGTTGTCGCTCTTGGGCGCCTTCCGGTGGCTGTTCCGAACATGATGACGGTCCAAGTCGATACCTGAAGTTCGAAATCGAAAAATTAGCCCTCCGATTCCCTAATCACCCATTCCATCCTTGTACGGCATCATTTCATCCAAAAAAATTCCCGTTTCGCAATTCCGAATCTTTCAGATGAAAATCTCGCGCTCGTTCCATCGTCCACTGGGGTTCACATACCCATCTTGTCGGCTGGTTATCGCTATTGTCGTTGTCGTCGTGAAATTCGCTCGGGGCTTGTGGTTGAACTTCGCCGTCGCTTAGGTGTCTTGGCCGACGCAGAGTGCGATAGGGCTAGGGCAACTTCTTCCTCCATCGTTAGCTCGCTTCGACTCTTAATTCCCCCATGGCCTTGTCGCTAAGGTATCAGGTACGTCTCGTCCAGCATAATTTCAGTGGCGGGAGTGGGGTCCGCAACCCGTCACTTCGTTATGGAAAGATACAGCCGAACCAGTCGCCTTTGGAGACCAATTGCAACCGACGGACCCTTTACGGAGTATGCAGCTGAACATGCGAAGGTTGATCCGCAGGACGAAAGGACTTCGAGAACGATGTGCATACCTGGCATACCACTTATTCACATATTATAATACAAATGATAGCGTATGCCCTATCCTGAGCGTACTGTCCTTTGTGCTCCGCTAAGAGGAGTTGTTCTCCTTCCCATTGCTTTTGTGGTCGAAAGCGCTCACCCTGCAAATATATGAAATCAGTGTGAATAGCTGGTGAGATTCGACCTGACACAAATCTTAGTCAAGCTTTTTTTTTTTTTTTTTTTTATTTAAATTACAATCTATCGACCCGAGCGGCTCCAACAATCTGCCCTATCCTCTAAAATACAGAATGCATGTAGCTCGATAGATACAGGATATATTTTATACTGGTCGCGGATGATAAAAACAAGAATTAGGTTCGTTCCTTGGATTGTACAGACGAGGGCCAAAAGTTGTGGCCCTCCGTGGTTATGGTTTCAAACGCTTAGCAGCCTGCCCTGAATGCGCCCGCTACCAAATATGCAAGCCGAAATATAAAAGAAGTGGACCAAGTCTCGGCGATTTCGAATGGCCATATGCTTTCAATGAATGAGCCGTCGACAGGGCTCGATGTACAGGAGGAGTCGTGACACTCTGGGAAATGCGTCGCGTGCCGTACCAAGACTGTCGGTCACAAAAGACGTTTGAGCATATCAATGACCTGGTGTATGTGCCACGAAACAAGAAGGGAGGGCGATTTTCGATCACTCCCTAGTAATCAGGCGTGCGAAGGCTGACGAAGAAGTCGCGCGTGAGCTCGAAGCTCAACCAGCTGCTAGCCATGCTAGGAGCAACCTTTAGCAGATTCGGGACAATGCCTTTGTACATTCCCCGAATTCCTTCTTGCGATACGATCATAGTCACTGCGTCCCACATGGATTTGTATTGGTATCCCATGCCAGTCATGGTATTTATCTGAAATCGTCGCCTCAGCACATCACTATATCCCATACCGTTAGAAGGAGCTCTGCTATATTCAAATTCGTTGATACACTCACAATGGATACGTGCACGTTTGCGCAACGGCGCCTGAAATTCCACCTGCGGCCAATTTCCGAATGGCACTTGGGTGCTGGTCACCTTCCGGGGTGAAGAAGCCTCGCACAGCTTCATAAGTCATGAAATTAAGCCCAACCTAATAAGTGTTATTCCGGTCGATCTCATGATATATTTTTGGGTTCAGCCATACGTAAGGGGCGACACCAGCCACTGTAGGGACGATCCCTCTGTACAAAGCAGCAATTCCACCTTCATTTTTATACATGGACGCCATTATCGCCCACATACCTGGAACATCCTTGACTGAATGTGGGCCAAGAGCAGCAAATGATGCTGTCTGGATTGATAGCCGGGTACGGACAATGTCCAAAGGATACGTGAATGAGACAGAAGTAATTCCGGCGAAACCACCGCAGATCAAGCGTGTGAGAGGTGTGAGATCACCACCAGGGTAGGGCTCAGCAAACTAGGACGGTTGAATATCTCTCAGTATTGACGCTTGAAACAAATCAATAAGAGAAGAGGACACGATTGGTAATCGTTGCGAACGGTCCATTTCTCTTATGCAGGGCTGCTTACCTTTTTATAAACATTATAGCTTCCAAACTGGACAGCTGAATAAGGAACGATACGGATGCAGTTTGTTCCGTTGCCGCGCATAAATCCTCTCCAGCCCTCCTCTCGCCACATCTTTGACAGGCCTTTCCAAACGGAAAGCTTATACTCCTCTCGACCGACGCTCTGGATCTGAAAAAGAATCTTGAGCCGTTCTAACGGGGATACGACAGTCCGGGAGACAGCACCGGCGACTCCACCAGCAAGAAAGGCGGCCAGAATCGGCTGGGCCAGGGTGTTCCGAACTTGTGGCAGAGCCGGGCTCTTCTCCTCAGATACGCTCGACATGGTCACGGCCTGTGAGCTGATTATTAGACTTTTTATGATTCCCAATTATAAAACCATAGCAGAGCACTCTCCCGGCCCTTATCTCCACCCTCGGCTGATGAGTGAGATCCCCGCGATGCGTTTTGGGTGGGGCTTCACTCCCACTTACGGGTTCAGTAGCCGGTGAGCTTTGTTTGCGATCCAAACTCACGTCGCTGAAAGGTATTCCACAAATCACGAATTCATACACGCCACAACTCGAATCAAAGCCACGGGGCAATCACCGGTTTCGACTCTCTTTCACAGTGACGGTTTGCGCCGTAGCGTATTTGGTCGTGTGCTTCGGTTCAAAGGAAGTTGGCCCAGCTCGCGACTGAACAGTTGCGACGGACAGTCTGCACAATCTTCTGCAAAACGAGTTGTCTCCATTCAATTGGAATTGCGGGGTATAGTGCTTAGGCAGTCAAAAGGCTTGAAAATGGACGTGCTATGAATGGCTGAGGCCCAAATGTTCGGACAAGATCCTAGCCAAGATCCTCGCGAGCATCAGGGGCGGTCTAAGCGACGACGAAAATTCGGCTGGACTATGGTGGTCTTTCCCCTGGTAATAAATGGGGGGACCTTTGAGGGGCTCCAAACACTGTTTCAGATCACCCTGAAACACTTCTTTCTTCAGCTTAAATCATTAGCAACAACATGAAATATTCTAAATAGGAATTTATAGTGTCGACTGGATACCAATTACGTCCCAACGGTAAAATGCCTTGAATCCTGGCACCTGACCTTTGAGAACTTTTTGAGGCGGACTTCATCTGCCCAAGTGTCAATACCATCCGATAATCGCACATCCGAATTCACATGTGAAGTAAGTATATACCTCAAGGAACTGAATGCTAACACCGACGATATTTTTGACCTGCTACTGGAGAGAAAGTAGGCTTATATTTGGTTCATTCTGCAGTAACTTGATGTGCCACTCGATCTCATGGGGATAGGTTTATATCTACCTTATAGTACTCACATGGCTTAGGCTATTACCTACCTAGGTACCTTGAGGTAAGTAATTACCTCAACAGTACATGGTGTACTATGGACGTCTGGTCCGGCGATTAATGATATGAGTTTGTGCAAAGATCATATTTGATTCAATGAACCTGTGCAGAGGTACAATACAAGTTATTTCGGAGAACGTGCTCCTCGGTTAGGGTTTCTCAATGGTCAGGCGCCCAGTTCTCTGCAGAAGAGCTTTATCAAAGCCATAAATGCAGCTCGAGACTATCGTCTCGGGGCAGCACTCGTGATGACTCGTTCTACTCGCTGCATCAGACTTGATCAGACCTGAGGCTTGATAACTGCAATCAGAAACAATCAGCTTTGCGGATTCTTATATGGAACACGGTGAAAAAAAAAAGGAGCTGACTTGGAATATACAATCCAAATCGAAGAAAAAGTAGAGTTGATTTAAGAGAGTAAATAGGTAAGATCTCTGCTATCAACCAGGAAGTCACCGTTTTGTAGACACAGAACAGCTAATAAACATGGGCTGGCTTGATACTCTTACAATGTTTACATGAGTGGCTGGTCGAAATAAGGTGGGACTCGTGTGGTAAGAAAACTACCTACTCCCGTGCAGTTCTGAAGTCATCATAGGTCACGTGACTGATCTGTGCGTTTCCGTTCGACGAAAAGTTCCCCAAGCCACCTTGGACTTTCTCTTCACCCTTTCATCATCTGTCCATCTCATCAGCTTTTCATCCTTTTCTGGTCAACTCCATCGTTGCCGCCCTTTGTACCATTATCGGAATTATTCCGTATCTTTGAGTTTTTGATTTTGAAGTGAAAGAACAACTCTTTGATTACCAAAACAACATGTCTCGCGGTGGTACTACCCTTTACGTGACAGGCTTCGGCCACGGCACGCGCGCCCGCGATCTTGCCTACGAATTCGAACGGTACGTCCTGCGCCGCCGATGAAACGGGCCCCTCCTCCATCGAAATCGCTCCCATGATTCCACGTCGTTCGCGCATCCATACATAACGAGAATCGCGATCGTCGTTGTCTTTTTACGTTTTATTCGATCGAACGAGCGTCTCGGAGGAAACCATGTTTAATATCCCAAACCCCCCTTGACTGTCGTTGTGCATCCTTACGGCGGCTCCGACACCCATCCATCACGTTTCCCTCTGCGCTTTAACCTCCTCGAGCCTCACTTACGGTCCGATCTAACATTTCCGCCTCGAAGGTATGGTCGCCTCGTTCGCTGCGATATTCCGGCCCCCCGGACTGCATCCAGTCGTCTGTAAGTCTTGAACCCCCTTCGTTTACTTGAATATATCCAGAAGGGTTAATTCTTTTCACAGGTTTGCTTTCGTTGAGTATGAGAGCCGTCGTGATGCTGATGATGCTTATCATGAGATGCACAACAAGCGCATCGGTCGGGATGACTTGTTGAAGATTGAGGTGGGTGTTTATATTTAACTTTCAAGTTCCAAAAACAGCATCCCAGCTAATCAAATTGGTCAACAGTGGGCCCGTACTCCCCCTTCTGCTTCGTGGCGCTTTGATTCCGGCCGTGACCGTCGGTACGGTGGTCGCCGTGACGCGACCCCCCCTCGCCGGAGCGCTCGATCTGTCACCCCTCCCCGCCGTCGGGAGTACTCCCCTCGCAAAGAGGATCGCCGAGAGCGCGACTATGACCGCCGTGACCGGGACCGCTCGCGGAGCCCTGATGACCGCGACCGCGAGGACCGCGATCGTGACGACCGTGACTTGCGGGACCGCGACTTGAAGGATGAGCGTGACCGTCCCGAGGAACGCGAGAACGGCGCCAACGGCGATGACCGGAAGGGTAAGCAGCAATGATCGATAATATCAAGGTTTTCCGTTGCCCATGCTCATTTGTGTACACAGCTCCTTCGGCGACGCCGCCTCCGGCGCACGATGACCTCGACACTGCCGAGTAAACTAATAATCCCTCCGAAGCTGGATAAGGTGGGCAAAAAGGGCGACACATGTCCCCTCGCTGATACCATGACCCTTGCATTATCGGCAATTCCGTCCATAGAAGAGCTTTTCAACTTCGTCTGGGCCGAATCAATACTGCCCATGGACGTGAATGAAAAGTTTAGATAGTTGCCACCCCTCTTCCCCCCTTTACCCCCCTCTCGCATTTTTTTTTATTAAATTTGCTTGCTTTCCTTTACGTATGTAACATGTCCCTTGTGTGAGGGCGAGGTTGGCAAGATAAATGGCTGTTTGATTGAAGATGGCGTAATAAGTTGTATTATAGTTTTTTTTGAATAGGTAGGAAAGAGAATCAATACTCGAATTCTGCTGGATCAATTTATGCTGGCTGGGTTTATTATTCATATTGGCCACCTGTATCCGTAGCAAGGCTAATGAATACGTGCTTGCTTTCACCGTGATGTGGATTCAAATGAATGTAAACAATAATATGAAACTTCTACAGTATACTCGCTCATGAAACTTCAAAAAGCCAAATGGTATTTCCGATGCCAGCTAGAAAAAAAAAATACTGCTAGTACGCCCAAAGAATGAGATATACCGACTTTCCATGGTATACATGTAAAGTACTCAAAGGATAAGATACAAAGTGCACAGAAAACTAGGACCCGTAAAAATGCCCAACCAGAAAATGACATTTCCGAGAATCGTCTTCCCCTTGAGAAATCGCGTACGACTAAGCATGACGAGCGGAAGCTGCAGCATTTGCATACCCAACAGGTATCCACGGAGTTTCTTGAAGATGCACCACATGACAAGTTCATGCACGCATGCTGAAAGAAGAAAAGTCACGAGAGTTGCAGAAGACCTTGACAACTTCAAGGCCGAAATGGAAGAGTGGTAGACATGTCGCAGTAAAAAGTTGTGGACGGGTCGGTTCCAGTCTCTAGCGAATTGGTCCCATGAAACGCTATTCTACGGAGATTGTCAGTTATCAGTGTTTGACGAGGTTCGCAAACTTCAAAATCCAGAGAGATAATAGCATTCAAGGGAAGTGGAGACCCCAAAGAAAGTTGGAAGAAAAGAACAATTATACTTACCCACCAGTCACCATAGAATCCACGATCAGCAAAGCGTGTGAGTTCAGCGAGGACATTGAGCTAAGGTGATTCCCCCCAGTAGCGTCAGTGAAACATGTTCGTGAGAGAAAAGGAAGACTTTAAGGAGGACAATTACTTACAATGCATTCCCATATAACATACCAGGTGAGCAAATATTCGAGCATAAACGGAAAAAGCATGTCCATGAGTACCCAAGGGAACTCCATCAACCGTTGCTGCAGTGGAATGCCTTGCTCCTTCAGGTGTACAGTCTGCACCACCACCGGGTAAATGTACGCCTGGCTAACGACGAGCATGATGAGGAGCGTGCCGAATGTAGCGGCCGTCTTTTCTGCAACGTAGAGCCAGCTGATGGATGATTGACGGGGGTACTCGAGCTCGTACACAAGTGTGGGTAGAGCAATATACTCCATCAAATTTCCCAATGTAAGATTGTGAGGATAACATTTGGCCCCTTGAGAACATTTTCCAGTTAGTTCTTCAGACAGTTCGTCAAGTTCCCAGTTGATGATTCGCTCAAAGGTCTGTATTTGCTCTGCATCGAGGGATGCGCCAGGCTCAATAGCAGAAGCAGCGTGGCCAACTTGGGTATGTTCTCCACGCAGGTCAGACGCACTCCGAGACTGAAGCGATCGTCGGCGCTGTTGAAGGTTGTATTCACGCTCAGCCCTAGCAGGGGATACAGATATTGAAGAAGCCCGGGCGTCAGGTTTTATGGATGGGTTTCCGCTCGGGGTAATGTCGCGCAGTAACTTTAACTTTCTCTCCAGAAAAGCTTTCCGCTTGTATACTTCGGATACTAAAGCCGCAAAAGTTGATTTGTCAGATTGTATCACGTCGCTCATTAAAAGAATATGGACACTTACAATAACCATTGTAGAATGCATAGCTATGCTGTTTCATGAGCATCGCAAGGCAGTGCATGACAATGAAGACTGTGTGTGTCCAGGGCCAATCACGGAAAGAGCTCCAGCCAATGACTCCCGCCAAATACAGAGTTTGCCAAATCTAGGACCGGAAACATTAGTAACATGGCAAATTGTGGGAAGTCTAAATTGCCACAATCAATTATATTGGAACTTACATTCTGAATGATCCATCCCGTTTTGTTCCAGCTCACGTAATTTCGAAAGACGGCTACTTGGAGAAGCCAACAAAAAGCTGTTGCAGCACACATAATTCCATCGGTCAAACCTAAAACGACCACATCTCGCTCCATCATGATTTTCAAAATCTCATTATTTCCGAGTATGTTCCCATATATTTTCCAGTTCTGCGCAGCAATTTTAAGGATCAGCAGGGCAGTCCCCAGCCAGAACAACGTGAAAAAGCCATGAAACGGTGAGTCAGCGCTGATTTGATTTTGACGATCAAAGGCCGTAAATTGTTTTGTGAAGACCAAATCACGAAAGCGAAAGATAGGTCGCTTTTTGCCTTTGGCTAATGCTTCAGCTGACTTTGCTTCTCGTTCGAGGCCATGGCGGAGGATCTCGCGCAATTCCGGATCATCAGCAGTCAAAATATATCCTCCACCTTCCTTTCTCTGTTCGAACGTAACTTGGACGCTCCGCCTCCGCTGGTGAGCTCGTTCGGGTATATTCGAAAAGTCCTGTGGTATCGGTTCCTGTCCTCTCTTCAAAATCTCATCTTTCGGCCTCGCACCAAGCGGCCAGCTTGGCTGCCTCGTCGTGAGGCCTTCAAGTTTGTTTCCGACTCCCCCACCCCTGCCTCCGGCCACAAGACCAGCATAGTCAATTGATTGTGTGTCATAATCCTCAATGCTCGGAGTGCTCGGAGAAGAACTACTTCCGCTCTGTTGTTCGCGAAGGCGGGAGATTTCAATTGGCAATGCCACTTGATCTATTTCAGAATCACTGAGGGTCGACTTTGGACTTGAAGGCCGTGAAGCACTTGGTGAGCTGGTGCGTTTAAAAAATGCGTTGCTGACCGAAGCAGGCGCATCAACATCTCTATTCCCACGCAAGTCCGCGGGCTCTGAAGCTGATGTCTCGGCCATGGTCGGGCTTGACCCTACCGCCATTCCACTTTTCAAAGGTTCCCAGGATCTTATTTACAGAACTGGATCTGCTTCAATCATGACTGAGAATTTCGGACTTTTATGTTTGCAGATGAGACGATCATTAAATTCGTCGAGCTCATGTAGTAAGCAAAAGGTGCGGATAGCGACTTCCGGTATCAGATCTGACGTCAAGTCGCCTGATTGGTCAATAGAAAGTAGAAAGCACGGAGCTCGGGAGGTATTTCTCGGACTACCGGCCTCTACAATGGCCGACTCCGCGATGAGCTATAAATAGCCATCTCCATCCGCTTGGCCTCTCAGATAGGATTAGAGTATTCAGAGAATAATAAACCGCAAATTTACGATGTAATCGAGTTCATTGCATTCGATGGAAACACTTATCATCACTTCTCTATTCTATGTCCATGCTGATGGTCTATACTATAACGACTTCTAGAGAGATATGTGCTCTTCAACCGATGACCTTAGATCTTACTCCACGCTTTTCAAGTAACTATCAAACCATTGTACCGCTTGGTAATAGGCGTGCTCCTTTGCGATTTTGTTCGACTTGATGCTGATATCAGCACGCACCGCGAAGCCATGGGATACCCCGCCATACAAAGCTATTTGCCAAGCTTGGCCGGTCTTCGGGAGGATGACCTCGGCATGGTGACGTTTCTCGGGAGGGAAGATTGTGTCATGCTCTGTTAACATTTTAACATTAGCGGAATGAGATTGCACCTGGTATTAAGCATATCCCCTTGGACTCACCGGCTGCAGCAATAGAAAGGGGGCCCTTGATGGCAGCCAGCTCCGCTTCTTCCACGAATGAGGGATGGGCTACATATCCGACATTGATCTTTCCTTGGCCAAGAAACCGTGCGACGTACTTGGCACCAAAGCAGTACCCAACCGCGCCGATGCGCTGACAGTTGAAGGTGTCTCGCATCTCACCGAGGGTGGCTTCAACGATAGGATCAACCAAATTCGTTGGATGCTTTTGCAGCCAAGAGGGGAGATCATAATCGCCGGGACGATTCAAGGGAACCGCATCGCCCTCGAAGAGATCTGGCACAACAACAAAGTATCCGTCGGCCGCATACTGGTCTGCAAGAAGTTGTGCATTGATGGTGTTATGGCCGATAATGTCCGTAAGAAATAGGATCGCGGTGTGAGTGGACTTGTTGGCTGGGTAGGTGATATACGCTTCAACTTGCTTTTGGGAGACGGAGGACCTAGCTTTGAGGGTCGTAATGGTACCGACGGCCTTACCCGTATGTTTGACGCCACGCGCGCAGCAGTCTCCGGGAGGGTTGCTTATCAGATTTGTCATGACGATGGCTGTCTTGGTGACGTGTAACTCTCAATGTCAATTGAAGATGAATATTACATCCAGTGTCAAATAAACTATCCAAAAGACTTCATACGGAAAAGAGGGGCAGCTTTGGCCGTAAACTTATGTAATGAAGCACCCAGCCATTTGAGTCACCTCGTCTAAACTATCACTAATCTTTGATTAAAAATTATTAAGCTTCCAAATGGCGTGATATCTGCGCTGTATCCAAGACTTTGATACGGGGGAATTAAGATATTGTAACATGAAGAGAAAGAAACCAAACGGAAACAGGTCAACGTAAGAAACACGTTCACTGAAATAATCTAACATATCGATAGCACAGTTATCCGCTTGCTAAAAAGATCGCTGTCGTAGTGCCCAAGTTTAACCGAGGATCTACTCTATCTTCAAGTCATAAACTACGGAGGTACAGGGGAGCATTATTCTCCACCTTTTTGCTAGCCAGGGTATGTAATCATTAGATTAACTTCGAACTGGCAAATTTGAAAATAGCAGGTTACATAATTTGAATGATTATGATACTAGGTAGGATTCAACAGCGTCCGTATCGCAAATATCATCTACACTACAGTTTTAAAACGGATAATTCGCTTTACATATAGCGTGGCTTCCATGCCTATGACATCTTCTCGTGTGTAGCCATAAGCGATCCTGCAGTTTCAGAAAATGTTAGCCACTACATCTGCCAGTCGAATCCAAGGACCAAACAACATGCAATTGACCGGGTGATCCAGTCCTCAAGCCATGGGACAGCGAAGAAAGAAGGGTGACAGTGGGAAGAGCTTACCAATAAATGTAACAACCAGCCTCGATCGGACCTGGCAAATATCTTCAGGCACCAGCCAGATCGTCGCGCCCATCTTTCTGGCGATACTGATGGCGAGCTTCGCATTGGCATAGGCTTCATCGTCGGTTCGGCCAGGAGCGACAAGGTCATAATCGACGTATGAGCTCTTCATGCCATTCAGCACGTCCAGCAAGAAATGACCGGTACCGATCGATGGATCCTTGAACGAGCGAATTGAAGATGATTTGCCGCCCTTGTGCGACATTTCATTTGCCCATCTGACCATTTCAGAGTCCGAAATCTCGCGTTTGCCCAGGCGTTGTGCAAGCGCTGACAGTGTCTCTGAGATGTCCTTACGCATAAGCTGCCATACCATACCCAGTGTAAGTGTGCGCTGTCCGTCAGTGATATCGGCACCCTGAATACCGACGAGCGAGAAGCGATTCTGTTTTCCAAGCTCGACCGCATAGTTTGTGTTCTCGACAGCCTTGAAGCGCAGCATCTCTCCACCTGAGGCTGGCGGGCGGTTGACATGGCGCCAATTAACACTGCCTGGAATAACCTTGTCATAGGCTTGCAGCAAGACGGTGCCGTCCCGTAGGTCATCAAAGAGCGAATTGACCGCCGGCTGCACATCCAAGGAGTTGAGCCACAGCGTGAAGACACGCGCTTCACGCTCGCCCTCAGCGTCAAAGTCTTCAACTTCAAGCTTCTCTTCCTCAGTGATCGGATCCAGACCAGGATGAGTATTGAACAGGTTGGCAACGAAAGCAAGATTTAGCTTTGGATTACCGGCAACCAGAGAGGTAGGGGTGAGGAACTTGCGGCAGTCAAGCTTATCGGAGTTATCCAGCACCTGCTCAGCGCGTTGAAGAAGGTCCCGGGTTTGCAGAGGTGCGCGAGAGCACAGATCTGGGGCCAGCTGATTGAGAAGGACCGTGTAATTTTCCCCGTCCTTGACGTCGGTCGAAAAGTTAGAAACTCTACAGAGGACGGCAAAAGTTAGTTGTTTTCCATGAAGAGCGACAGACAAACGGCCTTACCTTCGATCCCATTTTGCGTTCTTCAAATGGTAATTAAACCACCGCAGCAAAATTTGTTCTGGCGGTAAGCGGAGAAATTGTTCAAGAGTCTCATCCTCTTCCAGTAGTCTATACAACTCTGGGTGTAACTTGATGTCGATCTTTCCAAGCAGTCCGCGGCGAATAATTTGCCAGATAAGACCCAAGATTAGGTGTTCCCTGACCTCGATGATGTCCCCACTGCCAATGTTCACAACTGAACAACCAATGCCTTTGGCTGAATTGATGACAATGTTATTGTTTTCAGTCATGTGAAATGCGTTAAGTGCCTTCAGCTTCTTGCTCGGGCGGTTGAGTACTCGTTCGTCGATTGTGTCGGGCACGCTGTCATTAATCAACTTTGCCAAAACCAGACCGTCTTTGCATTCGTCAAACATCTCAAAGGTGTCAGTGGGGAAGGGCAAGAGGTGGCCCACGTCGGGGTCACCCGCCAGCACAGCATTAATGTGGCGAGTAAATTCTGTACGTTCGTCCTCGTTGATGGTATGCGTCACGTTCGACGATGATCCTTGTACTTGGATTTTGCCGCTCACGCTGCCCTTTGCGCCATGTCCGCGCGCAGGCAAAGCGCCTGGTGCAGCAGTTGGAGTTGAGCTTGGCGGCGCACGCTGGGAGGTTCGCACCTTCGAGATGAGCTTGAAGGAAAAACTTCAATCAGCATTTTTCGATCAGAACGATGACGGCTGACCAATTAGAACTTACGTCCACGTAATCATCAAGTTCTACTCTTCGGGAGCTGTCCAGTTCAACCTCCTTCAATGCTTGGCGCACAACGTCGTAGGGTTGCCTCTCCGACTGCTGCGTGGCTTTGATTACTGTAGCTTCATCCAAGTAGCCCTTATCATCGACGTCGAGCTTGCGAAAAGCATCTTGCAAGCCAAAGATTTCGTCTTGCTGGAACTGAGGATATTTCCTGAAGAAGTCATCAGCAAACCAATCAATTTAAACCTGGTAAAAAATGCGCCTATTTCCTTCACGTCGGAAAATGTAAGAGCTGTCCAAACAGCATATACAATTCAGCTAGACCATTAATAAATATAAAACAATCCCTCCACGGAGCTCGACAGTGCTTTTTCAAACATTGGTCTCTGTAATGTTCTCCAAAAAAGGGTCCAGGCCAATGAAAAGCAGATGATCTCATCGTACACAAAATGCAAATTGAGCTTCACGTCCATACCTTTGTAATTTAATGACGTTCATTTTGTTTGTTGCCGCACTAAACTCAGGCGTCGCTTTGCGAAAAGTATGGCAGTCTTCTTTTAGACCGAGCTCTGCAACTACTCTAAAACAAGTGGAAGACAGCAAGTCAGCAACGATCACTTGCCAAGATGGAATAAATGCACTTCGCCATATACATACACTGAATCAAAGGACCTGGGGTTCTGAGGCTGGGTCCTGAATTAGCTGCTGAAAGGGAAGAGATAGCTGTAGCTATGATGGGAATGTCGCAACTTGACGAAACGCGGGCACAAAGAAGCCTTCTTTCTCTCGCAAGATATACAGTGATATAATTGAAGAAAGTACGGATAGGATTAAGGCAGCAGAGTAAATAACTTACAATCAGAGCAGTAGCTGACGTTGACGTTGCTTGCCAAGAATGGCGTGTCGAAAGCGGAATGACGAAGGGGAGATGAACCGAGAACGGGGAAGAGATTACTATGGGGCGAAATTACTTGAGTTGGTACTGTTGTACTTGCTTGTTATGGCGGCTGCCTAAGGAGGTAAGAGGGGCACTTGCACCGCCACCGCGAATGTGGGGTCTCGAGCCGCTCAGGGTTCAAGCACGATAGATGGGAAAGGATCAAGGAGGGACGCAAGCTTGACCACGCTTCCTCAAATCATCTGAGATTTTTATTCAAATACTTGAAAAGTGAGCGCATTGCCCAGCGTAAACCCATCAAGCGTCCTCTTCCTTCGTTCTTCGCCCGTTCTCTGTTCAAATGCACTTCTTGCCTGTTATTTCCCTTGATTGATGATAAGATAAGCATGGAATGGTCCCATCCGTTCAAAATCGACAACCAGCGATGATTCCCTCTTTTCTCTTCTTCTCAATGAAGCGTTTCCGATTTCATTATCCAATACAGGTTATGCGAAAAGGCTTTTCCATATTCTAAACCCAAGGACGACCAACTCCATTGCCAGTGAATGCCCTGTAATCGCCTCAAAGTTTTTCTACATACAGTTTACAGAATTCTACTACAAAGTCGAAACGAATATCTAATCACCCTCTTGCTAGCGACGTAAATGGCGAGGTCCTGAGAGGAGCTGTGAGAGCATGAAGTGGGTAACATCTTCGTCACCCCAGTATGACAAGTGGCTTGCGATGCTGGCTATTAAGGAAATGTCAAAGACGCCCCTAAATTTTAGAATTTGTAAGCCCCTGTCGCGAATACTAGATGCTCAGGGCGACTAGAATGAAGAAACTTACTCTTGAATGCTGAAATCGACCCTGCCATTGCTGTTCAAGGCGCGTACTTTACTTTCCTCACGTCTGAGCTTTCTTCCTTTCTCCTCAGCTTCCTGCCAACTCGGATCAATCCCGTGCTCGCTTTGATGGCTCTTTCTTCGCTTCTGAAACCCGGAATATAATGTCTCGATTTCGGAATCAATCAGGGTTGGTGGATGATCGACGGCCGGATCAACATACAGGGCGCCTTCCGCTAGTCGCCGCTTCCTATCATCCTCCATAACTTCTTCCAGGCTGGACTGGACATTCTCTGCAGGAATCACACCTCCCCCAATACTATTGGTACCGGCAGCGGCCGAAAGTGGGACCCGCGAAAGTGGCACAGATGGTGAATTTCGTGAGCTGCTTGCTGATGAAGTGTCCTTTGCCTCGTCGCCGGTAATGCCCAAACTTCGATTGAGTAGACTGCTCGCAATTCCAGTGCTTAAGCTTGACCAGAATCCGGAAACGCTCTGACCAACTCTAGCTCCAATTCCCGTGAGACCTTGGCCAATTGGTGCACCAAAAATGCCTCGCTTTGTGTATGGAAGCGGCTGCGGCTTGAGGGATGCCATCGCTGGAGATATAAGGGGCTCTATGCGATAGCTAATGGGATCTGTTGGGTGGAAAATATTAAACAACTGATTGCATTTTGGCGATGATATAGTGACGGGAAGAAGTGTTGTCTCCGACCACTTCGTGTCAGTTGTGCCCGAATACAGTGGAGCACTGAGGAAAGGATCTTCAACTTCTTCGGAATCTGTGGGCGTTTCCGCAGGGGCGAAATTTGAGCTCTGCCGTGCAGCAATAGTGCGACCTCTCAGCATCTGGAATAGCCCAATTGGGGAGCCCAAACAGAAGAAATTCTCGACTTCAAAATTGAGCTGCAACTCTTGTTGAGGATGGTCTCGCATGCTAACATGCCTTTGACGAGCTTGTGCACGAAGGTGCTTTTCTTCTTTTTGGCGACACAGTATATCAAACATTATGGCGGAACCTAGGGAGTGCCCCACAAGGCTGACTTTTCCGTTAAAATTGGGGTTGCGCTCAAGAAAAAGTTTGTAAATGCGATTGCATTCGCGGAGAACGATGCCGGAAATGTGGCCTTTGTAAGCGCTTTGATAAAGCAGAATGTCCAGCGCAAGGTCAGTGATTAGACTCCGCACCGCTGGCACGCCTTCCACTGTGATGTCCGCTAAGCTCGGATATTCTTCCTCGTCTCCAAAATCATCCGCATCACCCAAATCATGTTCTTTCCGATTGTTTTTCAGCCCCTGCTTGGGGAAATCTAAGAGGTGACGCCAGCAAACAGGGAGCACCTGCACGCGGCAATTTTTGGGTAACTTTTCAAGCTCATTATTTAGAGCTTGGAGATCTGCTGAGGACGAGTAGACAGCTTTCAGCGTTTTTCTCAGCACATTGACATCATGCACAAAATTAACGCTTTCCAATCGAAGACCTAGTCTTTGACCAATTCCATGAGTGACCAAGAGCAAGTGGCCGATTTCTCGACCTTGTTCTTCTCCATCAGTATCTCGATAATCATCTCTGATTTCTTTCTCATCAAGTTTTCTGACCTCCTCTTCTGCCTTTTCAGGGTCTTCAGGTTCGTTTGTCTCCACAAATGATGAGACCCTCCGCTCCAATGCCTGCCTTTGAGGTTTTGATGCAGGTTCTGGCGGTCCTGGAGCGAGATGTTCCGCCTGAATATCAGGAGGGGCTGAACGACATTTTAGTGCTTCGAGTTGTGGTGCACTCTCCTTCAAATCAATATCCTCAGCAAGTACCGTGCCCTTCGTCGCTGGCGTTCCATTTTGGGGTGGAGTCATGTCTTGCTTCGGCGATTTAGAGTCTTTCAGCTCTTTCACTTTACCCGGTTCGCTGTAACCCCTGATGACTTTAACACCGCCGAGATGGCCACCTCCAGCAAAACGCTGATACATACTGCTGCTCATTCGAGACATGAAATCATCACTCAGCAACCATGCAGTCCTGTCATCCTGGTATGTGACCACAGAATTCATATATGTACCAAAGAGTCTGTGTGTGTGAAGCTGATTTGCTGGCGCCGGTGATGCTCCTTTTGAGTTGGCCAAATCTGGATCGACTTCTCCAGACGGAACTTTTAGATTTTCTGAAGAAGGCTTTGGCGTCACAAACCTTGAGGATGGAGCGCTCCTGGCATTTTGGCCTTCGATGGAAGCCATCAATGACGAAGACCTAGATCTATTCGGGGTGCTCATGGGCAGATTACTTTGTTGGGCTGCTTGCCATGGCTTCACTCGTAGATATCCTTCCTCAAGCTGCGTCGCGAGGTTCTCATCACATGGGCGGAGACTCGAGCCCTCTTTGAAAAAATTTGAGCGTTTGCGTAACATTCGTGGAGAAGAAATCGAGATACTAACCTTGATAGAACCATGTGCCTCTCCTGACCTCGTATATAGGTCCCAGCCAGTACGCGGGAGCCAGCTCTCTCTGTTCAACATCCACATCAAAAAGGTAATCCTCGTGAACGGCTACTTTGGCCTTTGCGGCGCGTTCCTCGATACCTCCATCATCCAAGCTCGTATTCTCATTGCGAGCGCCCTGCTTACCGGGTGTCGTGCCGAGATCGCCAGCATCAGCCCCCGGGAAAACAACCGATTGGTCGTCCTCTTCTTCCGCTAGCTTCTGGAATGTGACCTCTATTGCTTTAGAATCGTGGATGGAGAAAGGGACAAATTTTTTTGGCGGCGGAGCGGGTTTGGTGCCCTTTGACTCCTTTTGGTCCAGGAGCTGGGGCTTTCGTTTGGGGACCTGAAGAATAAATCTTTAGCTTCTATTCCATGGAGAGATTTCGATAGGGAGAATCCGTAGATGCTTTGACAATAACTTACATCCACGGCATAATACCACCTGACGTCCAACCTGGGACAATCCTTTGGATATTTTCGTAGACTAAGTCTATGACTGTGGCTTACCACATGATCACCACCTTGCTGCTGTCCTAATACCGGTTCTTTCGGACCGGGTGCGGGTGTAGATTTCGGTGTCGTGCTTCGCGAGCCCCACGGAGAAATAGCATTTAATCCGGCGGCAAGATAGGACTTATTTTCCGGCGTTGACATTTCGCCGGCGACGGGGCGATCCCGCCGTACGGCCTGCTTCGATGCCCAGGCAGGTTTGGGTACGTGAGAAAGCTCTATTCCAGAGAAAAAGCTGGGTAGCCCACGGTTGAAGATGCGGACGATGCTTGGAAGGCGGGCCAACTTGGAGGTGAACTTTGACAACGAGAATGTGATCTTTTGGTTTGAAGATTTGGCAAATATAACGAACGGATAAAAAACTAAGCAGACCAGTGAATAACTTAGATAATGTCGTTAATTATCGAATATATATTGAGGCACACCATAACCCCTGCGGAGGGACTGGTTTGGAATCCATCTGTTGTTGCCCGGAGTACCGAGCTTGTGATCACAGATACGTGGAGCGACAGAAACCAACGACGCTGAATCTAGGCTACCTGTCCTCCACAGCTTAATGGTCTTTGGCCATAACGTAAAGATTACCACGCTAGGTGTAAGTTAACCTCTTGCAACCCTTGCCAGGGGCCCAAGCCACGGTATCCCGGAATGAGACTGAGGGGCTGCTGAGTCATCATCTAACCTTCTATCTCGCTAATCTCTGTTCTTTTAGCGGAACACTCTGCCTGTCTGCAATAATTTCACTCTTCAACTTCAGTCAAAGAGGCTTTTGCCTGGTCGACCTTTGCTGCGTCAAAAACGCCGACCAAAGGTCGTGATACCCAGTGCTCTTCAGCCAGGGTCATTGTTATGAGAGGGTGTGGGCGAAGGCAATCAAAAAAAAAAGAATTTTTGATTCTAATTCTCCGCCCCGGCATTCTGACGACTTTTACTCACAAGGAAATGTCATGTTAATTTTTCATCGTTCCTCATTGTCCTTTCGTTGCTTGGATCAGGATTCGAAGCACATTATATCTTGATTTGTACATTGTCTCAATTTGTTTTACATCAGAAGCGAGATGCTCGCCCTCTTCTTTGCATCTGACATCACAGATTCGTCTTATGATGTTTAGATTCACTCGGACGGCGGAGAATGATCATCCCTTTGCTTAGCTTTAGATGGATCACCCAAAGCGAATCAGTCATGAACCCATGATCTGCATTCGGCGATGACGGAGCGGAGCCATAGTTAAGGCGGGAGACACAGATTGAGCATTGTTAAGCCCCAAATCTTCAACTCTTAATAGATGTCACACACAATGTTGGAAGTTGATGTTGCATAGCCACTTTGAAATAACAACAATTCATATTGAAGCTGAGTTCTTTGTCTGCATTGAATTCGTTCTGATTTTACAAAATCATTTTGCGAAATCCTTTTGCATGCGGTTGCGACACTCGCAGAGCATTCTCTCACATATGTTGCCCACTAACTCGAGAAGTCCCGACTCCTTTTCTGCTTCGCACACCTTGCTAAACACTCTTTAGTTCCTGCGATGCTACCTGTACCGACCGGTGGGATTTTACTGGCGGTTTGATTCACATCTACGCCAGAATACCCTAGAGCCACAGCAACGAGCTCTGGTGGGAGAGAAAACAAGCCATTAGCGATGTTATGCGTGCCGGCATCTTCGTTTGAAAGTGCGGAGACTAGCTGGGCGTTGTCACAACCTGAAAGATCGTCAATAAACTGCGCTTGATCCATTATTCTGGAGACCAAGTTTATATTTCGTACCTCTGTTGACCATTGTGTGTATGCTGGCTGCCGGGAAAATGGTCATTTTCATCGGCGTCAGGGTATTCTCTACCAGTCTCGCACCATTCTCCTCGATGAAGAAGGTGTCCGTGGTACCTGCAACTGCAACGACGTAGTTGCTGGCCCGAGGGTGATAATGAGGTGGAAGCATCGAACAAGGTCCAAGGTTGATCATGGCCAGCGTCAGCCCGTTGCCCACGGCTGCAGGGAAGGTGGCGGCGTTGGCGTTAACGACCGACCCAGGAGAGAATGTGAATGAAGGTTGAGCTGAGTAGTCAAACAGCCAATCTGAATTTTCAGGCAGCAAGTTCAGTCGATCGAGCTGCGTAGCGGCCGTCTTGAGTTGCGCCACGAGTGCTGGATCAATCGTTTTGTCAACGGCTCTCACCGCGGTAAGGGGGACGCTCAATGCGAAAGCACACCTTCCTGAGAAGATCATTTTGGTGAGGTGAGAAAGCTTTGAAGTTTTCAAAATCAAATATATCAAAATAGGCCGCCGCAATGGACTGAAGTTGGATCTTGATTTTTGAATTGGCGGGGGTTTGAAGTCAATCGGTGAGGTTAAAAGTGAGTTGGGATGAGCTTTATATAAATCTGGAGCTCGTTGAGGACTTATATCTCATCGCTGGCATCTATTACGATATAATTCCAACATTTTATCGAGAAGCATCGCCACAGCTCACCGCTCTTATTATATCAATAGCCAAAGCAGATTTATACATAGCATGACACAGGGCCAATGACAGGCCTTTCTGTGCGTCATTCATGTGGCATGGCAACAGCATTTTGCTTCACATCCAACACGCGCGTGATTCATGCGATGATTTCCGAAAATGCGGATGATGGTGCAGTAACTTACTGCGCTTTTCGCCCTTAGTACGGCGTTTTCCAATATTATTTTCGTCATTGTAAACGCCACTTCGTGTATGCGAAAAGCAAAATATGAGGGGCTTATAGCAGCCATGCTTCCCACATGAAGGCACTTCATTCTGCCATCCCTGTACGGGTCTGTGGCTATAAGCATTAGTAGAAACCGCCTTACATGTATGGGTGGGGGCCGCCCTACCAACGGCCTGGAAGTCTCCTGCTAGTTCCTTATAGGGATGCATTTCAACATATCATGGTGTCGTTCCAACAAAGTTGGAGGCGCAGTGAGCACAAATGGTCTTTCTTCACCGATACAGACATCCCCGCAGCACAACAGACCCCACGCCGCTCAGATATTGACCGTTTATTGCTCTCCAACGGTCCTCATCTTTCTGGCTGGCTTGGCATCAATAGAAATTCACTGCCAAAAAAAAAACATCGATCATTTTTGCTCTGGACTACGAACCTCCACTCAATTCCACATTGGAAGAAATAATGATCTCTCTTAATAGACGTATTACTGTATTAATGCACTGTAGTGGATGCATAGTCTTACTCAGCCTCAATTAACTTTAGTCCCTTACTTCCCGTGACACTCAAGCGGTTGGTGAGGTGTTTCCCTTGCAAATATAAGAGAGGAGTAAGGTACGCCAATGCAATGTGACGCTATTCATGAACAAAAATACCTGACGAGGCATCGACCTCAACCTGCCACGGTATACAAGTATCCAGCATTGCAGTTCAGTGTTTACCCTCGCCATCCCGTAACGCCAAGTCACGTGGGCGGTCATTTATGGGATTGTTTCAAAGATGCGGCTACCAAAAATTACCGAGTTAGTTAAAGGGTGATAACTGTAAACAGACCTTGCCTAGCTCCTGTTCGGTTAAACTTTCCTTTGACCCTGAAACGCCAACGGTCCCTCGGTCTCCGCGTGAACTGCGTCTATGTTTGGGACGAGCTCATCGCTATCGTCATAGGCTCGCTGCTTCCAGATGCTCGACCCAGCTGTTTTTCACAGGGCAACCTTACATGACAACTCGTTTCATAAGGGACCGTCAATCTTCCAACTGCCCATTCCTAATCAATTATAAGCGTTCAGTCGCGCCCAAGACTAATCTCCAGATAAATCTACTATAATCAATCGCGTTGGCAACACTAGCTCCCGTATAACAAAAAAAAAAAAAATAGGAGGATGCCTCCGAAGTCAAAGAAACGCGTCTCGCCATCATCATACGATTCCGACGGTGGCTTTGTCGCTGCGGACGACGAGCCCGCGACAAAAAAAGCTAGAACCGGGCCCAAAGGTCCTGCTGCGTCAAGGTCAGAAGCGTCTGGAGGTACTTCGGCTCATCAGACCGATGATGAAGGGAACCCGTTTTGGGAGGTAAGAGATCCTCTGAAAACGACCTCTCGAGCTCATTTTCGCTTTTGAATGGCTTTATTGCAATTAGTTCCCCAAGCGGAATGAGGCAAATGACTTGGTCTGAATGATATGCTCTGAGTGAGATACTGAGATTGTTTGTGCAGCTATCCAAGAATCGCCGCGTGACGGTCTCGAGCTTCCGAGGGAAAACAATGGTCAGCATTCGAGAGTACTATGAAAAGGATGGGAAACATTTGCCAGGAAAGAAGGTACGGTCTTCCGTCTCCGGCCCCTTTATTCAAATTCATTTCATTCCATTTCCATCTTCTCTACTATGATATTTGCAGCAACATCAAACTTTTAAATAAGTCCGCGTTGTCGTCTGTTTTCTTTACAAGACTAATAAGAATGGCATTTTCTAGGGTATCTCTCTTCCAATCGAGCATTATACCGCCCTAATCAGCGTTCTCCCTGCCATAGAAGGTGTGCTTGTGGCTCAAGGGCAGAAGGTACCACGGCCAGATTATAATACTTCCGCTTCTCCTGGTGCGGATGAAGAGAAAGACACCGAGGGAAATGGAGAGAGCGATGAGGCGGACGAGGATAAAAAGTCGAAACAGAATTTTGAAGCCACAAGTGATGAGGATGAAAATGATGACTAAGTTGACGAAAATCGAAAGACAAATAGTTAGCCTGTACTGGTTTTGAAGCAATTGAACTACTTAGAATTGGATTTCCTAATGGCACCAGCTTGTTACAGCTCCGTCCATCATTTGGAATATAGCAGCACCACACCACATTTTGGATAGGAGAAAGAGAATCTCCTTGATCAATGGTAACATATCATTACTCTCTATATACACTGGCACAAATTGGTGCAATGCTCCAAGCAAATGCCTTAATCATGAATAATCTATATCAGCAACGTAAATTTCTGCGACCGTTAATTCGTTTCCTGAACCTGCAGGCGACTGAACAAGCTTCCTCCTCTCCACGCATGCTTTGGGTCTCTCTCCTTCTTTGCGCGGCTCTCCTCGCCAACTTTGCCCCATCCTCCACCACCCGGTGTCATAATGACAATTCTTTCCCCGGGTTGCATGAATGCCGTGTTTTTGGCCCCCATGTTGATGATCCTCGTCTCTTCATGGTCTTCGCCTCCACGGTGGTCAGTATCGGACTGGGCAACCCGACGAATCCACAAGTTTAGCCCGCATTCTGCATCGCCACCGCCGTTCAGACCATATGGATGGTAAACACGCCGTTCAGACAGAATTGAGACGTGAACAGGAATACGGAATTCGATATCACGGATGACGCCATCACCTCCTGGGTGCTGGCCAATTCCACCCGAACACGGGCGCAAACTAAACTCGCGAAGAATGACGGGGTATCGACGTTCGAAGACTTCAGAATCTGTGATTCGAGTATTGGTCATGTGGGTGTGAACACCGTGACTGCCGTCCCAGTCGGGACCCGCGCCGCTACCGCCTGCAATGGTCTCGTAATAGCCGAAACCCTTGACCTCTTCTTCACCATCCTGACTTCCGCCAATGCCAAATGTTAGGTTATTGCAGTCGCCTTGAGAAGCAGCACATGCTTGGAAGCATTTAAGAATGACATCGGTGAGTCGTTGACTCTGGGGGAGAGAGAGAGAATTAGTTAGATCTTCCGCTGCAGGAGTGTGAGAAAGGTAGTGCAATTTACCGTCAAAACATTTCCACCAACCACTGCTGCTCGGCTGGAAGGCGAGAGGAACGACTTGGGTGGAATGCGAACATCAATGGGCTTCATGCAGCCCTGGTTCAAAGGAATGTCTTCCGAGATGAGGCAACGAAGACAGTAGATGATGGCCGAGTACGTGACGGCTCGAGGTGCGTTGATATTCCCTGCCCTACATTAGAAAAAAGTTGTTGCATTAGAACTGAGTGGCTCAGAACATACCGTAAACCTCTGGTCCAGTTCCTGCAAAGTCAAATACTGCTTCGCCCTTGTCTGCGTCAATCGATATCTTCAGCCTGATGGGGCTACCATCATCCATGTAATCAACCGCAGACAAGTCCTTCCCTTCAAAACGCTTGCTGACCTGCTTGAGAAGATTCCGGACGCTCAGTTCAGCATTATTTTGAATGTTGTGCATATAAAATTGAACAACTTCCTCGCCATAGTCTTCAATCAGTGCACTGATCAGATTTATGCCTTTTTGATTGGCAGCGATTTGCGCCTTCAGGTCGTTGAGATTGTCTGCCAAGCACCTGGTGCCACTGCATCCTGGATACTTGGATGGTTCCTTCTGCAAAAGTTCCGTGATACGCTCTTCATTGAAATTACCCTCGGAAACAAGCTTTTCGGATTTGATAGCAGCTCCTTCCTGGAAAAGCTCTCGAGAGTGCGGGGGCATAGAGCCAGGAAGAATTCCACCAATATCTGCGTGATGAGCACGCGAGGCGACATAGAAGACAATCTTCCCATCGTTGAAGGCCGGAGTAATGACAGTAATGTCGGGCAGATGCGTGCCTCCATATTCAGGATGATTCGAGACAAGTACATCACCGGGCTTAAGCTTCCCCTCCCACAACTTAGACTGCGTACGGACACAGGTTGACATGCTTCCAAGGTGCACTGGAAGGTGAGGAGCTATCGGTTGTTAGTGTGAAAGAATGTAATAAGAAGCTATGTTGGACTCACCATTGGCGACTAATCCGCCATCTGCATCAAAGAGGGCGCAAGAATAGTCTAGTCTCTCCTTTACGTTCGTGGACACACTCGTCTTTTGGAGCGCTCGTCCCATCTGCTCAGCAATGGCCATAAATCGGTTGGCAAAGATACTCAGCATAATTGGATCGACGTCCTTGGCGTTGACTTTCTTTGTCTGCACATTGTCGTCGCCAATATTGATGACGACGTGGGTATCAATCACCAAAGCTGAGGCGATGGGTGTGACAACAATAGTTTGAGTCCCATCGGCGATGATTGCAGGACCCTTTATACGGTCACCAACGTTAAGATCGTCGAGCTTGAAGATTGGGGTTTCTTGTCGGCCACCCTCAAAGTAGACACTATTAGTACCGTATCTCTTCTCGTTTGGCCCCAAGTCATTTATTTTAATCTCCTTCAGCTGCTGATCAACAGTCTTTTCTAAGCCTTTAAAACTCTGTCCAATTCCACGGGCTCGGACATCGTCAACAATGATATCGCGGCCGGGTAGGGTAAACCCAAATTCTTGCTGATGTTGTTTAATAAAGGCTCTTTCAAAGGCCCACTCGTCGCCATTGTATTCGTTTTCCACTTCCTCAACACTAGGCTTGATAATCATCAAGGCGGACTCGGTACCCCGGTAACGCATGTTCAAGTACTCCTCAAAGACAATCTTATCATCGTTGAATCCTTGATCGTGTAGTGCCTTCACTGCCTTCCCCTTAAGACCATCCATGACCTCTTTCAAGTCTTCTCGGACGGTGGAATCGTCGGACCAGACTTTTGAGCTTGGCACCTGCTGCTCATCAACAACATCGGCTAGACCCATGCCATATGCAGAGAGGACAGATGAATAGCGGTGGACCAAAATCTGGCGAATACCAAGGTTTTCGGCTATTGCTACAGCATGCTGACCCCCGGCACCTCCAAAGGTTGCAAGTCGATGCTGCGACGTGTCGTGGCCCTTAGCCTCCGTCAGCGACCGGATGGGTCTCGTCATGGTCTCGTTGGCGATTTTAATGAAGCCATATGCCACCTCATCACACGTCATTTTCTTGTCGTCTCTTCCGCCAGAAACCTCCTCATTAATTTGATCTGTGAGTTCTTTGAAAAGCTTCTCGCTTGCATCTTTATCCAAACCTTCATTCTCGTGTTTTCCAAAGATCTTTGGGAAGAAGTCCGGAAGTAAGCGGCCAAGGAAAAGATTGGCATCTGTGACGGCCAAAGGACCGCCCTTTCTGTAGCAAGCCGGTCCGGGATGTGCGCCAGCGGACTCAGGTCCGACCACGAAGAGGCCATTTCGGAAGAATAATCGCGAACCGCCACCGGCAGCAACTGTATTAATGTCGAGCTGCGGCGATTGAATTGTCACGCCCGCGGTGGTCGTCTCAAAGACATGTTCATATCTCCCCGCGCCATAACGGCTCACGTCCGTGCTAGTGCCTCCCATGTCGAAACCAATTACCGGTGTTCGAGTAGCAGGGTCGTACGAAGTCAACGCATATCCGACAACTCCACCAGCAGGGCCTGAGAGAATGGCTTTAAGCCCCGAAAACTGATCGACGTCCACGAGACCTCCATCAGACTGCATGAACTCGCATCTCGCGCCCTTTGCCCCTTCCTCGGTCTTCAGACTGTGCGTTCCCAGGCCGCCTTCGAATCCCGCTTCAAACCCGGCAATATACTTCTTGATAGCTGGAGTTAGATAGGCATCGGCGCACGCAGAAGTTGCTCGAGGCACCAGCTTGATCATGGGCATAAGCTCGTGGCTCAAGCTAACATGGTTGAAACCCAGCTCTCTCGCTATCCGGCCAACCAAGGCTTCATGATCGGGAAATGTATAGCCATGCATCAGACAGACAGCAATGCTTCTAACGCCTTTTGAGTAGAGCGCTTGTAGCTGTGATTTTATCCTTTCTTCTTCGGGTCGTCTAAGTATCCGCACGGCCTCGCCTGAAAGGCCTCTTACGACAGCAGCGTCATCGGGAGTCTGATCTCGGGGTGGTGTTTTTGTCTGATTCCGAAAAGGGTCCTCTGCATAATCTTCGAGTGTGACCCGTTCATCCACCTCAATGACTTCTTCATAGAGTACATCAGGCTTCTTTATGGCCAAGTCGAAAATTCTCGGCCGTGACTGATTGCCAATCTCCAAACAATCTTTAAATCCCTTGGTCACCACCATGGCGATCTTCTCTCCTTTTCTTTCCAGCAATGCGTTGGTCGCCACTGTTGTACCCATTCGGATGCTCTCGATCTTGGACGTATCTAACGCCTCGCCACGAGGGATATCGCGGCCGGTAAACTTTGAGAGAAGGCGTCGAATACCTTCGAGCGGCGCATCATCGTAATTAGACGGATCTTCGGATAATAGCTTTATGACGATATCGTCTTTCATCTTCCCAGTCCCCGGGTTTCCTACACAGTCGGTGAAGGTCCCACCTCGCTGTTCGTCCCATTAGCAATCGGAGAGTCTCTGTCTTTCTCGGGTCTCAACTCACATCAATGGCAATACGGATTCCACCTTCTTGTATTGGCGCCATATTGTATACAGTGTCTATTAGATTTGTGATAGGCAGAAATTGTCTCGATGCTTTGTATGACACAAAAGATAATCTGCACGTGTCCCCCTGCTGGGCACGGACAGAGAAAGAATAGACAGAGAGGCAACACCGCTCGAAGATGGGGTGAGGTTGGTTTAATTGATATTCGAGGAAGGAATTATGAATATGTGGAATGGCTTGCCGGTCTTATAGATCTCAGTGGTCCTTAAAGCATAGACAGAGGGGTTGCTCTGAACAGAGGCGGCGGAGCTTGTGCGATATATGATTGGACATTCAAACAACAAACCGATGACGGGAAACGATAAGCAACAACGACAGACACGGCAAGATCAACAATCTGCCGAGCGCAGATCACCGCTCTACAATGACCGACTTTTATTGGCTGAACACCACCCGCGACCCCTTTATCGAACCGTGGGGCGAGGGGCGAGGGGCAGGCCTCCTCGCCATAACGCACGGAGTATTTCTCAAGCGATCCGATCGCCCAAGCGGACCAATCGGAACAAACTCACATACAAAATAGTATGATATTTCACAAACTTTATATCTTCACGATTAATGGATGGTTTGGCCTAAATTTTTATATGCAGGTGCTCAATAAAACGAATGCTCATCTGAGAGATGTGTGATAAGCTTTTCTTGAATGAAAGGGTTTAAAATTTTTATCTGTCATATTTCTATAGTACCATGTAATATAATAGAAACTGAACAGTATCCATATCCCCAATATCCAGACAATATAAGTTATGGCTGTTGAAACAATCGAGTCAATCTTCAAATAGGATGAGAAGGCGATCAGGTCGCTTGGAAAATGCGTTGCTGCTGCAATGTTTTTGTGATAATTGGTTCTCGAGTTTGAGTTTGCCCCCCCCCCCCCTTTCCTCACACCAACTGTATGCAAATACGCAGGCAATGGTGGTCTTGTGCTAATCGGCAAGTGAGAACTGGGTGACGAACCAACCAACCTGCGTATGCTACGACGCCACGACGAATCAATTGTTAATGAGAGAGATGAGCGGGTTAGAAGTGAGAATAGATTCTGGAGTGGCGATTGAGGTCGAGGTTGAGAGGAAGTGAGCTGTTGGTGGAGACTGAGGAGCAGTGAACCAAAGGTCTTTAACTGCTTTGCTGACGGGAGTGAACTCGCCGCCTCATAGTCCTCGATGAGGTCTCGAGCATTTGATAGAATTTTTTCACGCTACCACTTGTCGAATCCAGGCTCATAGCATTTCCACTTCACAAGATATTGAATGGGATTTCCACGACCTCCCAATGCGATTACTTCGTCCAGCAGACGGTCAACGCCCAATCCTCCGTGGCCCTCGACGGTTCTGGCGGGAGGATATAACGGTTGGAATGTTTGTACGGTCCTTGTACGGCTCAGTGGATGATCTTACGTGTGCCACGGAGAAAATAGGATGAATCAGCCAGTTGCTGGGATGTTAAAGCTTCTATGCCAGTCGTCGGGCGAAAACTTTCTTTTCTTTTCCTTTTCTTTTTTTGAGTGCAGACGTGCGTTTGCACAAGTGCTTCTTGTATGAATTAGAGAGCAAGTCTTCCGGTGCCAAGCCAGTCCCTCCAGACACCTCCCACACTGGCTGCAACCTCTTCGGCGGTTCGATCCTCCGCATCGCGCAGAGCACGTATATCTAGTTTCCCTGATTGATCTTCTCTGAATAGGCCGAATTGCTCCGCAGCCTGGAGGACCTGATTAGGGAAAATCTGAGGTTCTAAATTGGAAGCGACTAGTAACAGAAGCCACGCCACCTCGACTTTTTCGCTCAGCACGGCAACGTGCAGTGCAGAATTAAACCCTCCAATAGGGTCTTGGTATCTTAAGACATCAATGGGAGCCCCTGATTCCTCCGCGCCTTGCTGTATTTCTTCACCGTCATTGTCTTCCTCGATATCGCCGAGCAGGTCGACAATTGCTTCAATATCTCCTTCGCGGCAAAATTCCAGGAATGCGCGGCCTTTACGCTCACCTGGGTGTGTGTTCAGGTACGCCTCCTCGGTGAGCAAGGGAAGGATGTCAAGTCCTTCCTGAACACCTCCTTCATTTCGTAAAATGCAGAGTAGTTGATCTTCGCCGATCTGGGACGTAGAAAGTAAGAGCGTTCCGCAATGGGGGCAGATAGGAGTCGAATAAATGTCTAGTAAGCATTGCCTGACAAAAACTGTTAGAGGACGAAAGAGAGACGGTCATTGAAATGTGCCATACCAGTGGAAATGGCAGCCGCAACCCAACTCGACATCATCCGGGACTGTCGTAGTTGCGGCGGCTGAACTGCTTGAGCCAACCATTAACTCGTCATCCTCATCCCTCTCCACTTCAACAACGAGAGGGTTTTGACACTCAATGCATACCGCCATAACTGGTAAGGCGTCCTGCAAAAATATGATCTATTAATCCGGGGTGGGGAGAGTTCTCTTTTTCTTTTCCCCAAAAGCTTCCGTAGCTTCTACAGCTACTAGAATAGCTGCTGTGTACCGAATGTCCTCCGTACAGTGCAATCAGTAGGTAGATACGTGCACAATTTTGGTCAATATCTTGGACCTTTAGTGATTTTCTTTCCCTGTTCGCGTTCTGAATGAAAACCTCGCATGCTTGATCGCTAGGAGTACACAACCTTGCAATATCCCACACTCGCTTAAAGACAAGCTTTCCGACCAAAACATGATGCGGCTACCGAGTACGTGCGCCGCGCGGCTCCATCGCTCCTTGGTCCATACGGAGTAGAAACGTTCAACTCCACAGTCTGTCGTACCCTCCCCCACACGCTGCAGTGAATCAATTTTATGGACTTGTCGACTGGAAACCTGCCTAAGTTCGAGTTGAGGAACGTGGCAAAATCCTCGATGCTATGGAGGTAGGGGAGCAACACCCTGGCGGCAGCGATCCGATCGCCGACGCCGTTTCGTCTGACGGCGATCATCAGCGACTGAACGGAAAGTTGCGCCAACTACCCGGAGTCGCATCAAAAGACATCGAGCAAGGTTCGACAAGTGCAAATGAAGGTCTTACAGACCAGGCGCTCAGGTTCTTTTCGAATGCTAGTAATGAGACGCTTGGGGCTTGTTTGGTTGGTCTCGGCGCCACAACATATTTCGTGCTCGGCAGGGTGGGTTTAGTATTAATCGGGGTCGTTGGAGGAGTGGCCATACATGCCAGTTGGGAGGATGGCAGCACTGGGGCCTCTAGTGATGAAAAGCAATCAGGGGGTATGAGCACTCGACGAGAGCCGGGCGTAAAGATTGTAGAAAGACTTCTGGATTGGCGCGACAGGAAGAATGCAGAGGATGAGAAGGGGGAGCTTGCGACAGGTGTAAGCAAGAATAGAAGAGATCATTCCGAATACCATTACTCAAACCTCCCACCTGCTACGCGGTCGGCCTTGTCAGATCTCACTGATGCCATTATTAGAGATTATGTGAAGTGGGTACTCATCTATGGTTCAGGGTTTAATTCTACCGCTGACTGTGAAGCTCTCAGATTCTGGTATTCACCAATTCTCCCAGCTGAAGCATCATTTCCGGCCGCTTGCCAACAGACGCTGACGGGATTTATGCTCTCTGTTTCATCACATTTGTCACGGAAGAGACCCGCTGATTCGTTCCTTGATTTTCTCACAAACGCGTCTTCCATCATCATCGTGTTTTTCAACGAGTTGTCGAGCGCCATATCGGCTCCTTCTCCAATTCCGTTGCCCGCGCCGAAAGCCGTCCTGGACTATCTCGAGTCCAACCCGGATAGCAACCTTGCGAATCTACTTAGCCAAAAGCATCAACAACGAAAACTGGTCATGGTTGCCGAGGATGTCTTGCAGACTTTTCTTGAGCCAGCAGTGTATTCTTGTCTGCCCGCGCGGGTGTTCCTGCGGGAGATACTAGCAGGAGTTATACTGGAATCGACTATTCAGACTTGTTCACAGCCAGAGTGGATCAATGGCTGGATCGTCTCGATGCTTGAAAAGGGGGAACCAGAGATCATGAATGCAATCGATGCCGGCGTCACCGGTACCGATGGCAAAGGACTTGAGACTGTGAAACGACAAGCAGAGACAACAAGGTTAGCTAGCGTGAAAGAAGATTCGCTAGAAGAGAGCGTGCGGAGGGGCGAGGGGACACAGCCCGAGACACATTCCAGCAAAGCTGAGGTGGCTATGGAGGCTGCAATGCGTGAAGCTCAAAGGCTGAATGAAATGATAGCTGAAGAAGACGCTCGAAGACACCGCTCACGTGTTTCGGAAGAGAGCACAAGTAGGGATGGTCCAAAACCGGACTCCGCAAATCACGCAAGTCATTCCATGACTCTGCCATCAGACAGCGGCATATTAGAACCTAACGAGGCTTTCAATGGCCGTTCTTCCGCCGAGGCTGCGCGATCTTTTATTGAAACGGCGAATTCAGAAAAGCGATCTACTCCATCGGCTTTTCCAGGCTTTGATACGCAACAGTCCGTTATAACAGAACACAAAGATGACAGTGCCATTGTCGAAAGTCCTTCTTCTGCAACCCTGAGTCTGGTCAATGCATCAATATCCTTAATTGATGATTCATTGTGCGAGGACGGAAAGGCTCTACGCTCCAAACCTGCGTCCGACTATCTTATCCAAATTGAGCCTGCATCGCAGAAATTTCCGGGTTGGATGATAGCAAGAAATTACGTCGATTTTGAAACGCTTCATGAAGTTATGCGCCGAATTTCCATGATCGCCGGAATTCCAGAATTTGGAGAACGTTATCGGTGCATTCCAAGCTGGAAAGGAAACACAAAGTCCGATTTGCGGTTGCAATTAGAAGTGTATCTTCGGACTGCTCTGACATATAGACAACTTGCTGAGAGCGAGGGAATGAAGAGATTTTTAAACAAAGATCAGGGACTTGATCGGATCGCGCAAGGAAACAAAAGCGGGTTTCCCGGCCTCGGCTGGCCCAGCCCGGCGGCTTTCGAGACCATGGGGAAGGGAATGTTGGATGTGCTGTCAAGTGCTCCAAAAAACGCTGCAGATGGCGGGAAGACTTTGCTTGGAGGTGTGACTGGGGTATTTGGTGGGGTTGGCGGCTTTGGACAGAAGCGGCAATCTTCTGGCAATTTAAGCTCGGCTTTAAATAGGACAGGATCGATGTCGGCCCCTTCTCTTTCACGCACTGACAGTCAAGATTCGTTTTCTGGTCTTCGAAGAAGCAGAGACAGTGAAGATAATGGTTGGAGAGCATCTGGCACATCTAGCATTCAACGAGAAATACTCCCGCATACAATGCCAGCAAGCCGAACTAGCAACGATTCTGCTTCGGGCTCCAACTACTCAATGGTCCCCGATACATCTCTCCGTAGATCAATTTCAGGGGCATCTGAAATGAGCAGAAAGTTGGAGCTATCCACCGCGGAGCGTGGCACCCGCTTACCTCCACCACCAAGTGAAATTTCAGATGATTATACCTCCCCTCCTACAAGCGAGGCTCAGACCCCGTCTCAAATTTCCAAAACTTCCTTGGCGCCCTCGCCCAAATCAGCAGGCGCTGTTCCAGATTCTTCTGAGCAAGGCCGAACCTCTGGTCAAAGGGCCTCTGCTGCGTTAGCCGCTACACTTCCAAGTCATCTCGAGGAGACGCCGGCTAAAAGTCAATCTCAATCTGCGCCTCTACCAATTAATGAACAAGAAACACAAGTGGCCGTGGAACTCATATTCGCAGTCATAAACGAGCTGTATACCTTATCGTCTGCCTGGAATATTCGTCGCACTCTCCTTACTGCAGCAAAAACATTTCTTCTGCGCCCAGGAAACCCAAATTTAGAAGCAATCCGTGCTCTACTACAGGAATCAGTTATCGAAGCCAATACTTCTGATGAGGGAATTGCAAGCCACCTCCGCAGTATTCGCGAGAACATCATGCCTACCGAAGAGGAGCGCCGGAAATGGCCCCCACCAAAGAGCGAAAAGGAGAAAGAGGATCTGCGCCGAAAGGCTCGTAAATTGCTTGTTGAACATGGCATGCCCCAGGCCCTCACTAGTGTTATGGGAGCGGCTGCCAGTGGTGAGGCGTTGGGAAGGGTATTCGATTGCTTGCAGATTGAACAAATTGCACGTGGTCTTATATTCGGCCTCCTCCTCCAGGCAGTCCGTGCTATTGCGCAGTAAACGAAAGGGATCCGGCAGTGCACCCTTCATCAAAGGCGATCAACGAGAATTACGATTACGAGGAGCGGCGACCTTGATTCTGACTTGGTTCCGTTATCAATTATTAATTACTTAATGCAAAATGATATCTTATGGCAGGCACAAGGATAAAATCAGCAAAGATACCACTGCTAATATCTAAGCCCTTGGGCATGCCGCATTAGTTATGGAGCCTCGCGAGATATACAACGTAATGAAAAATTAATGTCATATAATGTAATATATAACTAAGTACTGACCAAAGACTGGCCAGCTGAGTTGGCTTGCTTCATGCTTTATACTTGCTCTTTGATACCATATGATCTTGTAGAGGTCGTGCAGGTTTTTAACAAGACATGATTAAATGTTGGAATATTGTATATTGTTTTAATTAGGTATGGTTCTAGGATATATAAAAAGGACAGCTGCAAAGAGCAAATTCTGCCTGAAAGCAGTTATGATTTCAATAAAAAAAAGGCTACATAAACAGCACGAAACAAAAACAAAAGTATAACCTGAAGAGATATGTTGTTGTAGGTTCCTACAACTTTAACCCTGCCCGTGATCACGCTGGGGGGACCACCGGTGGCCACAGCCCAAGGTACGCTGGGGGCTAGCATCTCGGGTGTGTGGGTTGTATGGGCCATGGACACCCTTTTGCTTTTCCCATACAAAATAATTTTTTAAAAAATTGCAAATGCGGGTTGGGTGGATGTGTGGGTCCTGGCAAGCGAGAAGGGGCTGCAGGGTATATGAAAGAGGGAGGTGCAGCTGAGGTCCCCGGCAGTAGTGGTCTTAAGTGACAGCTGTCGAGGCATCTCGCGGCATCGATCTCGATCGCCTACT